GAAGTAATTGGTTAATACTTCTTATTCTTCTGTAGCCTATAAAACTCCTGAATCTCTGAAACTGCTGCAATTATTTCTCAGCACAGGGTGAACTTGAACTGGCCTTGTAGCTGTGCGTATGCACGTCCATCTGAGTATCTGCTCGGTCCGGGCCGTCCGGAGCTCAGAGCCAAGGCTGCAGCTGACGTGCTGCTCTCACCACAGCTGATAAGGCCTCTGGCTGCAAGCAGAGTGGAGATTAAACTCTTATGGGGGGGGGGGGGGGGGGGTTTGAACCCTCTGCACACTGATGCTTGGTCCCACCCTGACCTTCAGTTCAGTGTCCATATCAGACACACACCAGCTGCTGATGCATCACACAGACTTACATCAACATCTGAATGTCTCATGTCTGTTATTCTGCGTGACTTTCCCTCAGATGTTTTTTCATATAAAGTCAGTTCAGGTAAAAATAATCAGCTGAAACTCTCACAGTCTGGGAAGGGTTCCTGACACAGACTCTCTTCACAAAGCTCCTATTATTAATATTACTATTATTTTTTGCATGGTGACTGATCAATCTTTTGATGTGTTGCTTATGACTTTGTAAAGTTGCCTTAAACTTAGGACAGAGGTCACACTGGTCTATGAGACAGTCTGTTTTTGATAGGCTTTCAGAGGAAAGGAAGATTTAAACTTTTATCAAGCTAAGAGACTTTTTTTTAGAAACTCAGATGTCACTGAGACTCCATCCATGTTTTTACAGACTCTGATAAAAGCCTGCCAACCATCTGCAGGAAAGACAGTTGACAGGCATTATTTCACAGCTATCCCTCATAGAAAACTATCTTAATTGGTATGTTTGTCAATAAAGGACAATAATTGATGTAATATCAAAGTGAACACTTTAGTAACTTAAGTTAGTGATTTTTCACCAAAACCATCCTTATCATTAACTCTGTAAAGCAGTTAAATCCTGTCTTTGAGTCAGTTGGGAAAAATCAAAGCAGAGCCTCTGAGGATACATGCAGCCATGGAAATATTATGGGATATTAATTAGTTGAATAGATCAAGAAACTCCCTTGCTCACCCCTCCTTTATATAATACTGATAGCCTTTAAGAACAAACAATTAAAACAAGTGTGATCAGATTAATGATGATACAACACTGCAGAATAAACATTTCAAAATGTACCTTTAAATAGTAAAGACTTTTTCTTTAAATACTCTAGATAGTACCGTTATGCCAACATAACATACTTAAAATTACAGCTAAAAACTGATATCTAAAGTGACTTACCTATCAGGTAGTGCAGCTTTCATGGGGATGAAGGGACAAGGGAAACAGAGATGCTCAAATGGGGAAGTTGGAGTTGGCAAACCTTTCACATTGCTGTTGGAAACAGGAAAAAAATGTGTAGAGCTTTAGCTGCCATTGGTTATCATTTTGATTTAACATATTAATAAAATACTCTTGGAGACAGGGCCCAGTTGATGTCCCCTGGTGCTAAAACAGCTACTGCCTACCCCAACTGTGTTAGTCGCCGGTAGCCCTAAACTGCTACAAACTACACCCCCCAAAGAGTGCTGAACTGTCATGACGAGTGCTTTAACATGGCCCCCAACTCTCTGCGTTTTTGTCTCTCCTGCATGCAATGAGGGACACCAGTCACCAGGCACATGGCAGCATCAGGCACACCTGGTAGTGTGCTCATCAGCCCCATCCAAAGTCGCGACACAGAACCTACCTGTGCGACAAAAATCTGAGCAAATTCCACCTAACTTTTCATCCTGAGCTGCTCCTTCAGCTAGAGGTTCATCCTCATCTAGGAAGCAGCTTTACCAGCTTGGTGTTTCAACTCATCTTGACTGTTTTGACTTCTCTTTCCTTTGCCATTGTCTGAATAGGGTCCGCTGGTATTTATCAACTTTCGTGTGCTGTCAGGCTGTTCCTCTACAGGCGGACTGTACATTTAAATACTGCAGACTGTTTAACACTTCCTTTAGATACTACAAACTGTACCTTTGAATGCTGTAGACTGTCCTATACTACTGCAGACTATGCAGATTATGCCTATACTTACTGCAGACTATTCTTTGAAGTATTACGGACTGTTTTTTTTAAATACTACACGCTATTTCATTAAATATGGCTGGCTGTTCCTTAAATACAATACATAGATTTCCTTTAATTACTTCTGGCCAATCCTTTAAGTTTTACAGTCTTAAATTTGTATACTGGTCCTTAAAGGTCTACAGACTTTTACTTTTAACACAACAAACTGTTCCTTTAATCACTACAGACTTTTTCTTTAGGTTTGACAGACTTAATCTTGAAATTCTACCCTTTTCCATGAAATACTGTAGATTTGTCCTTTAGGGTCTACAGTCCTTTCCTTTAAATGCTGACCTCATGCCTTCCTCTGAAGGTCTTTGAAAATATTTGTAGCCCTTTAATGCCTGACACTACAAATTATGGCCAGAAAATTCAAATTTTTTGGAGCTGAAATGTTTATTTCACTTACTACTGAAAACTCAAAAAATCAAAATGTCCTTAAAATTTAACAAATATATTTATTTATCTCATTTGATACATTAGATGTTTTTGGAAACTGATAAACTACAAGAGGGCATTTTTATCATTTATCGGACTGTATTCAGTTTAACTTTTTAGTAATTTGTTGACCATATTGATTTGATAGAAGTATATAAATGTATGTATCAAATATGATACAAAAGACATTAAAGGGTTAAGGCATTTTTGACTCTTACATCTGAGGAGTCTTGTTCTTTTGAATAGTTTCTGTCAGTGATATCTGATTGTTTTGTATTAGTACTTTTTTGTCTTTGATGCCACTGTGATTGTTCATTCACAGGTCAGTTGAAATAGCTGTTAATGTCACAGTGACCTGCCCACACTGTTGCTGATCATGAGCTGTGGACACAGAGAAAACTTGCAATTCACAAAGAATATCAGACCTGTAAAAAAATCAGACCTGCCTTCTGACATGGAGCCGATCCCTTTTTTTTCTGAACACCTTATGGCATTAAGCTCGGCCTCTTTGCAGCACAGTGGGAGCTTTGGCAGAGCTGCAGAGCAGGTGTGACAGTGTTCATGCAGCAGCTGGAGCTCTGAGACTTGTGTCACATGTATGTGTGTGGGATCACACATGCATACTCCACTTGTGCAGCAAAGGCACCCAGGAGAGCCTGGTGGAGCACTGTGGATGAGACAGAGGGGTTTCCATGGATACCATACCCAGTCCCGATTGCCGTGGCACAATGGCCATGTGTGTTACTGTGTGCTGCAGTATGTGATGTTGATCTTCAGCCCTGTCTGAACAGAGGCCTGATCTGGCTGCTGCTGAATGGATGCAGCCTGTCCAGTAAGAGGAGCAAAGTACAAAACACAACGGCCCTGACGCTCAGACGCTTTGCTTGCCACTGACTCTGTGCCAGGCTCTAATCAGGCAGCCGTGCATCCAGCACGGGAACAATGGTACTGTTGGTGGGTACAGTAAGTCCCAGGCATTCCCATACAAGCAAAGACACTGAGTTTGAATCATTGTCGAGCTGGTTGCCAACGCTACCTCATGATTTCACTGACGTGCAGGCAGGTTCACTCCAAAACATACTTGTCTAAGCCTCCTAACTTTGACAGTACAAACTCTGCAGCCAGCGATGCTGACATTGATAACCTCAGGGTCTCTGTGTGCAGAAAGGGCACGTTCACTGCAGAGCAAACTGTGGCGTTGAAAGGTGGAAAAACTGGGTGTGAGAGGGGCCCCAAGGAGGCACCAAAATGCTTGTCCCTTAACCAAGGAAACTGGTGTAATGACCTCTAACAATGTTGCTACAACAATTCATGGAACCAGGAGGGGAAGTGTTTGGGAGATTAGGTTCTCCACATGGCGCTGAAATCTTTGTGGAGGTAAGTGGAAGGAGTGACGTGTGATCGGGTAGCTTGATAAAACAACTTCTGAAAGTGCTCCAACTGATAAGGTCTCTACATCAAACAGCATGTTCTCTGAGAGCAAAACCCTGCAGCACCAAAAGCGGTCTGCTACAGGAGCTGCTGAGGCCTGTAATGGTTTTAGGAGGGCATTAAACTTGAAATACATGCCAAGACCTTTTCCAATTTGTTGTTGTTTTTACTTCTTTTTTCCTCAGTGTTTCTCAAATCCCTCCTGTGTTTCGAAACCCTCGGGGCTCTCTTTTTACATTCTTTCAGGCTCTAAAGGTGCATCTGGAGCCAAGAAAAAGGCAGCAGCATTAACTCTGGACATTGCCCTGCTGAACCTTTGGACTCCCTGACAGAGGCCTGATCCATGTTGGACTTACAGCCCGTTTTCTCCATAAATCAGAGCCCATGTAGCGCTGCCTGAAATCACCCTAAAGAGGGTCAGTAATAAACGTGCTGCTTGAACACAACCTTGGCTCTGCAAAGGTTGAGATGTGCTACAAAAATATGATTAACCTGGTCACTGACCTGTAGTAACCTCTCTACCTTGAGCTACAGCTTCTATATATCCCTGAGATTAGCCCATAAACTGCTCCATGAGTCCAGAGAGAGGTCCATAAATATCAGACAGAGCAGCACATCTCAACCACCAAATACAGATCAGAAAACACACACAGCTCCTCGTCCTGTGAGGGGTGAGGTGAGGGGTGAGGCTCCCTCTGTGTTTCTTTCCCCACCCAATCCTTCTCTAACCTCAGAGTTTCATAACCATCGGAAGCTTCACCAGGTGGGGGAGGGAGGGAGGGAGGGAGGAAGAGAGAGAGAGAGAGAGAGAGAGAGAGAGAGAAATGGGGAAAGAAGGAGACAGAAGGAACAGTTGAAAGAAAATTGTGGAGGGGGAGGGACTCTGAAGCAGGTCTGGTTTAGAAATTATGCGATTATTGGATGAGCTGATTGTTGGACTACTGTGATGATCTGATGGGAAAAACTGAAACTGACAGAAGTTTTTTTTTTTTTTTTTTTTTTAAAGTTTTCCAGAAAATGATGCAACATTAAAAAATTTTAAATTTATACAGATGTCAATTTATTTCCCAGATGAAACATTCAGCAGTTTGAGTAAAATTTCACAGATTTTTGTCCTGAAGTTGTTAGCTTGGTATCAGCTTCACAGATAGAAAGTTATAGATATAACATCCAGTTTAATTTAGAGTTAATTGTAAATCAGAATAAATCCAAATTCATATTCTATTTACCTCAGTGTAACCTGTTAATATTGGATATTCAATGTTCTGTCTTCAGTGATGAGCTGTGGGGTTTGTCAAACAAACATAATTTTTCTGTTATTTCAACATCATTAGGATTTACAGGAAGGATTGTTTCTGCATTTAAGTTTATTTCTATATAAAATTCACTGACCGAAAAATGATCAAACATACAGGTTGTTGGAGTGTGGGCATCTTTATTAAAACAAAGTCAATTCTCACTTTAAACCGTGTTGAAAAACTGCAGTTTGGTAAATTTGAGTTGCACACTGCTCTTTCACTATAGTTTTTAAGATTTCCTCTTTGCATTTGTCTGTTTGTTTGAAGCTTTAATGTGAAAATCAGGAGCTAATTTCTGTGAGTCAATGCAGCTAAATATTAGACTTTATCAGGTTCAGACGTTGTTGATACGAGTGGCTGTTTCTGTTTCAGCCCTGCTGCAGATTTAATGCTTCAAACAGAGATAAACATTACATGGTGGAGGACTTCATTCGATACCCAGTAACGTTTCTATGGATTTATTCTATAAAGATGAGAGTTAGCTGCATACTGAAAGACAGTCTACCTGTGTTTTCAGGTAATCTCATTTGTCACCACTCTTCTCAGGTGGGATTTCATGTATTGGTATATATATATATATAAAAAGAATGACAAAACAGAACACAATAACATAAATATCGTTGAATTTCCTGGATTAAGTTTCTGTAAATAGAAAAGGCCCAAACAAATTAAAGTCTCACTGATCGTTTTTGTTACTACTTAAAGTGTTCTCTGTGGTCTTTAAGTTTTGATTATGAAGTTTTTAGCCCAAATCATGTTACCCGTGTCATTTTCAAAGGGTTTCCTTCTGCAGAGCACCAGTAGCTCATTAGTAATTAGCCTCTAAGTCGTGGGTGGAGACACTGCTGCTTTGGGTCTGCCAGAGATTCACAGCGATTTGAATGCAGAAATACTCAGCGATGCAAATTCATACTTTTCTCATGATGTGTCCTGTAGCGTAAGAAAAATGCCATATGAACACGTGGATAACAAGAAAAACATCATTTTCACCGGAGTGGATCTTTAAAGGAATCTCCGTCTTCATAAACGAAATAACATTCAAGTATTTTTTAACCTCTTCTTTAACTGTTTAATTTAAAAGATTGATGTCTTTGAAGCTCCTGGTCGTTTCTGCTGTTCTGGTGGCAACACCTGACTTAAAATAGAGCCACAATTACTCATCTTTATTATAACACATATATAAACATCATACCCAGAGTGGTTTGATTGAGGTGTAAACAGACTGAGCCGTGTTGATAATGAAGTACACTTCACTTCGTAGGAACCTTAAATCTGAATGTCAAGACTTGAACAGTTTCTATAGAATAAACACAAGCACATCAGTCTATACCACAGAAATCACTCCTAATATCAGGTCCCATACACAACCATATACCGGCCTCAGCTGCGCCCTCCAGTGTCCAAGGATGGAAGTAGAGTTCCTTCTACAGGACAGTCCTTAAACTACTCAGATGTTCAGGCTGTGATAAACGTCCATCTTAAAATCAGGGATTCAGAGAAAGAGACAGGTTGGAGGGACAGCTCTCCAGCTGAGCCTCAGCTTATCCTCTCTGCCTCAGCTCGTCCTCTCAGTCTCAGCTCTTCTGTTGGTTGTTTTGCTTCAAAGATTCCAGTAAACTCTTTATTCTTTCGCTGGTCTGCTTTTGTCTCCTCTTCTTGTTACTCTTCACTCCTGCAACCTGGGAGGGCAAAAGGAGGGTAGCGAGTCCCCACGGTGTGGCAGTGTCGCTGCTTGCATCACCGCCTGATGTTGTGGCTTCACTCTGCTGGAGTAGCCAGGTGCTCTCCTGACACAAAGCCACGAAGCGGTCAAGCTGTGCAGCATTGACGTTCTTGCTGATGTTCAGGGAGGTTTCAAACGGGTTCTGGATGTGCAGCGGTGTTACCTGTGGCTTGTTCTGCTCTTGGCCCTGCAGAGGAGGACAGGGAACAACATCAGCTAATAACACACATTTCTGAGCAGCTTCAGCCACAAGGCCTGCATGTCCAGCAAGACATGGTCCATCTATCTCCTTGTTCATGATTTTAACTGTATTTGGAGCATCTACAGTGGCTATAAAAAGTCTCCACCCCCCACTGACTTTTAAAAGGATTCAGGTCTGGGCTTACGCTGGGCCAGTCCAAACCTTTAATCTTCTTGTGGTGGAGCCATTCTTTTGTTCTTTTTCATCTTCATCTTTCTAGCAGAAGCCTGAAGGTTTTGTGCTGACACTGACTGTTATTTGAATTGTTCACAGTTCCCTTCACCTTAGTTACAGGTCCAGTTCCAGCTGGAAAAAATTAACAGCCCAAAGCCTTGATGCTACACCCACTTTTTAAGCTATATGTTTTGCTCATTCCTCGTACTTTTGTTTCTAGGTGGAATACAACCAGCCTAGCCTCCATATGAACCAGGATCCATGAACCTACCTACTAGGATGCTTTGCTCGGCACACCTGCCAACCAGAGTGATAAAAAGATGGGCTGTGGGGGACAACAGAGGATGGCAGCATAAAGCCATCAGTCACAGGAGTGAGTGAGAGTTAATGCTAAGTAAAGCAGAGTCATCGCTGCCGCAGGCCCAGGTCACGGCCGTGGTCTACCTGAAAGCTTTCTCCACTGTGTCATACCTGTTATTAGTCTCATATTTTAGGCTGCAAGTCCCTCTTCAATCATTCATCATCTATGCGCCCAAGAGTCCAACCTGAGCACAAACACCTGACCCATTAGGTAAATCCCTGCAGGTGGATGAAGAGGAGGTAATAGTGCTTGTTTTAAACTCTCCTGTTTGCATACAGAGGAGAGAGAGGATTCCTAATTTATCCCTCTTATATAACCTTAAAGAGACAGTATGAAGCAGGCATGATTTATTTTTGTCCGTTTTATTCATTACAAAAAAACCTTTCAGGGCCTAACAAATACTTACTAACAAAGTAAATGTGAAGTTTAATGTGTAGTTTTAAATATCAAGTTAACGTGAAGTTTTAATGTTAAGTTTTTTGTAGCAAATGAGCCAATGCACTTTTTTTTCCATCACCCCAAAAACATCATAAGAGTCACAATGACAGCATCATCAACATCATTCACAAAGAGCTGGATCACAGAGTGTCTCAGAAGTACAAGGGGACTGTTTAGATCATTTGTTTCAGTTATTCTACCACTGGAGACAGCATAGGAGAAGAGCTGAACTTAGTGCTCAGGGGTTCTCAGATTTGAGTCTGTGGCTTTATCTTAAAGGTAGAAAGGATCCCTGTGGATCCGATACAGTTTCGTAATTCATTCAACCACCAGGGGGCGACAGAGGAGAAAAGTCTAGTGACTGGCCTTTGTTGTTATGAGCACCAGGCACCTTTCATTGACAGAGCACAACAGGTGAGAAGGAGTGAAGACCAGCATGAGGGACTGCAGGTAGGTAGGAGCAGATTTGGTTGTAGTATTGTAAACAAGAAATAGGGTTTGTACCAGAAAGTAAGGTTTTATATTTGATCCTTGCTGTACTGGAAGCCAGTGGAGAGAGCTGAACAGTTAAGTTACAAGTGCTGTTGGGATGGTAGAAAACTGGACTGGCTGCTGCATTTTGGATCATCTGCAGAGGTTTGACTGCTCAACACAGGGAGGTCTGCCAGTAAGGAGTTGCAGAAGTCATTGCGTGATATTAAAAGAGCCTGTACCAGGAGCTGAGTTGTGTGCTCTGTCAGGTAAGGTCTGATCCTTCTGAAGTTCTAGAGGAAGAATCAGCAGGATCCAGTTACCAAGACCACATTAACCCGAAAGGTTAGTGGGTCAACAATCATGAAACCCAGATTCCAAGCAGACTTAGTGGAAACAATTTCATTTGAGTTAAGCTGGATCCTGATCTGTGGTTGTAGAGAGGGACTGGCTGGAATGACAAGAAGCTCAGTTTTGGAAAGGTTGGAGGAAATGACAAGAAGAGCTGGGTATCATTTGCATATCAGAGACATGAGAATCCATGAGTTTGGATTATTGTACTGTGTGAGACTGTATACAATGAGAAAAGCAGGGGCCCAGGCACTTGCCCTTGAGGAACCCCCATTGACAGGCAATGCGGTCTGGATACTTCTCCTTTCCATGATACAGTAAAAAGTCTCCCTTAGAGGTAGAACACAGACCACTGAAGGGAAGATCCAGAGATACCACGATCAGTGAGACACAGCAGATGGCTCCAGCAGTAGTAAAACTGAGGACTGACCAACAGCTTTGGTAAACACAGCAATTCTGCTACCAACAACAGAGCCGTTTCAGTGGAGTGACCCCGCTTAAAGCCAGACTGATAGGGGTCAAACAGGTTGTTGTGTAAAAACTCACAAACCTGATCAAACACTTTGGGCTTAAGAATTTTTGCAAGGTAAGGCAGAAGTAAAAGTGGCCTGTAATGATTGACCCCTCTGGTTGAGAGTGGATTTCTTAAGCAGCGGAGTGACCCGAGCTTGCTTACATGATATAGTAAGGCATCAGTTGGTGGAGGCTGCAAGCAGAAGTGGTCAGCGCTGAGAACTGCTTACTAATGGAAAAAACCTTATCAGACAAATACAAGGCCAACGTGTCTGAGGTCAGCAAGGTGGAGGGATTAGGAGAGGGTGGGAAGAAAACAGAGTAGATTAATCTATGTCCTCATTCTTTCACAGATTTATCTATTTCTCACCCGTTCACAGATTATTTGTATCCCCACTCACAGATTCATGTCCTCACTCTTTTATAGTGTTTTTTTTTTCACCCTGACTGCAGAAACTGGTTGTAAAGGGATCAAACATGTTTTTACACTGAGCCAGAAGGAGCTCATTATTGGGATCTAGCTCAGGGCACTGGGCACCATGAGACCAACATCAGTCATACATGGTGATGATCATGCGTGACATTAGTCACACTTGGTGCTATTATTGTGGTCGGTGAAGACACTGTCCTTGCGCATGCTCTGCCTGTTTCAAACTTCAGAGAAGGGAAACTTCAGGAAAGAATGAGCTCGATTTCCTTCTTAAAAACAATTAAAAAAAAAAAAGGTTTTAATTTTTGCTCTAATTTCTCAGTGATGCAACTATTTCATCCTCTTTCAAGGATATTAAAACTTGACATCAAATTATCCTATAATTCCTTTACCTGTTTACTGAATCTCTGACATAATAAAGCTTTACAGAGCTACTGCTGGATTTCTGGTTCACCTTGCAAATGAAGATGATATTTCAGACTGTGAGATGCAGAAATATCTTTTAGAAGTATTATTAGTATGATAATCTGTCTGTCAGAAAATGTACTTTCGCTGACCTAAATGTGAAATGATCCTCATGGCTGTAAAACTGTAAAATAAGCTCAAAGTTGAGGTACAGTAACTGATTTTTTTAAGCACAATAACTGACTAAAAACTAAACTATATCTTACTAAAAATTAAAATTTCTTATTTATCACTGTTTGCTGAGTGAGTTAATTTTTCCATCCTGCAGAACCCAAACAAGAATCAATACGGATTCATGTTTCAAAGTATCATATCAAAGTTTGAATGCAATGTGATAATCCTTAAGATGTACTGTTCAAAATGAAGCCACAAATCTTCTGAAATATGACAAGATATATAAATAATAAAAACTGTCTGGTTCAGTAAGGGGGAATAATCAGACATACCTTTCTGATATCTATGGACATCCTGCTGTATGCAAACGACGCGTAGAACTCAAAGAACTCACTTATCAGTTTCTCTGAAACAAAGTTAGAGAGGCAGTTAGCTGATGACACAGACATCGATTTCAAACTAATTTATAGCTCCTTAGCTTAGCAAGATCTGGTAGCTCTGACTCCATGCCGTCACCTCACCCAGTGTCTCTGTGTTGACCTGGAGCTGGATCCTGCTAAAGTCACTGACAAATGTGCAGTCATTCCCCTCAATCACACTCGTGTCTTCAGGACCTTGTGGGAAGAAAATAAGGAAACAAGGTGAATGAGTGAGTGAGTGGGTCTATGATGGCCATAAAGAGGACACTGAAGGATGAGTGTAGACACTGCTTTCATGGACAGAAAACGGGGAAGGGGGGGTCAGGTGGATGTACATATGTGAGTGTGTCTGCAGTAAATCATGTCCTTGTTTGGCTGCTTTACTCATCCTTACTTTTCTCTTACCAGTCTCCTTCACCACAATGACACTGGAGAGTGTCTGTGTGTTTTACTGCCAGTTTAAATAGCTGCTCGCTCCCTCACTTGCTTATGTGTCCACAGGAGGTGGGGTCACCAACCTTCGCAGAGTGATGGGCCCTTTATTGTCCTGTAAGCAGTCTGTGCTAACTCTGGCTGAGACGGGTGGAGGCGGGTGAGGGTGGGTGACGGTAGATTGCTTTTAGAAGGCAATTATAAAGCAGCCAAGGTGACCGGGAGGGGGAGGAGACAGAGAGCAGGGAGCCGGTGAGAGCTCAGGCAGACCTCAGTGTCGTCAAACTCAAGAAAGATTTTTACTTAATATGATAATAGGAAAGAGAGGTACACTCTGAAGTTTGATGATCTAAAATATAATAGCTGTTACATTTCTATGTTCTGATCTGTTACATTGTTCTGTTCCGTTGTATTTAAACTGTTATGTTCTGCAAGATTTAAACTGTTCTGGTTTGATATTTGGACTGTTATATTATGTTATACTTGAACTGTTCTGTTCAGTGTTTTCCCTAGAATTTTTTCTAGGGGAAAAAAGGGCTCTCCATTGATGCTCACACGCATGCAGATGGTGACATGCTGTTCTTGTAGCCTGTTCCTCAGGTCAGTCTTCACCTAGAAATTGGCTTAAAAGCTTGAAAGTAACCTTTCACATTGATGGAAGAGGGTCCACCAGGATTAAAAGCGCTCATTGATGACTCAAAACAAGTTGAAAATAACATGTGTTTTTGTGCTCACACAGTGGGAGGAAAAATTATTAGTGGCGCATTGATATCAACAATCATGTGAAATTTCAGTAGCGGCGCACATTATTCAGCAGTGGCACACAACCGTTCATTTTATTGTTTTAGGTTCAGTAAAGAATCTGTTCATTTTATTATTCAGGCTGCAGTTAATTATTCATAGTTTATTTTATTATTCAGGGTTCATTTTGTTATTCAGGGTTTGGTTAATTATTCAGGGTTCAGTTTATTTTTCAGGGTTCAGTAAATTATTCAGAGTTTATTTTATTTTTCAGGAATCGAAAAATTATTTAGGATTCATTTTATGGTTCAAGGTTCAGTTAATTATTCAGGGTTCCGTTTATTTTTCAGGGTTCATTTTGTTAATCATAGGTCATTGTATTATTCAAGATTCAGCGTTTATTTTATCATTCAGGGTTGAGTAAATTATTTAGGGTTCAGTTTATCATTCAGGTCTTTTTTTAAGGTTCATTTTGTTAATCAGGTTTAATTTTTAATTTCTGGGATGATAATTTTTACAGGTTCATTATTTCCTGGGTGTTTATTTCCTTTCTATGGTGTAGACATGTAAGAAATTAAACAAGGACAGGTGCGAAAAAGAGAATTGTTATACAGCTAACAGCCGAGGCGGCATTAAAATCTGCTGGTTTATTGTTGCATAAATTACTTTAAAAACAGGGCACTTTTTCTTTGTTTTGATATGCCAATAAACTAAAACTGATCCTCTTGTGAGTTTTGAATTATCAATTTGCACCATATTCTGGCAAAAAAAATTCTAAATGTCATTTTGAGATTTAAAAAGTTGTGAGAGAGTGATGAAGAATGAAGGTGTGGTCACAAACTGCTGAATTTTGAAATGTAAATGTTTAATTATTTACCTCCCTGAAGTCTTTGTTATATGTTTACAGTTTTATCTTTTCATGGTACAAATTTCATTGACCAAACTGGTCCACTTTTTTAACCGCATTTCTGGGGTGGACTTTCAGTGTAAACCTGAGGAAATTAAATGTGTGGTGCAGGTGAGATGTCTGTTTAAGATAAGATGAATCTTTTATCCTACAGCTTTATTTGTTCAGTTGTTTTTTGGGTTCATGTCCTGATAATGCCACAATGTTTAAAACTGTCACTAAATACAGATATAATAAAAATTAGGTGAATGGGGGGCATGCTGTGTGGTGTTGAAAGGTGCTGTACACATGTGTCTGTGTAATAATGTCATGCTGGAGCTCTTCATCTCTAAACAATTAAGAAAGTTCATTGAAACACTTGAACTGGGGAAAAGGCCATGAGCTAAAAAGGACTGAAAGGTGTGGCTGGTTGTACCTGCAAGGTCCCTCAGGTGGTTGAGCGTGGGGATGATGGGCGGGCTCCTCCTCTGCAGGAAGAACAGCACCATGACTGTCAGGGAAAAGTTGGTGATCCAGGCTCCAGGGATACTGCTTGTGATACCATGAGCTCGGGCCCAACAGCGCACTGTGAACACCAGGGAGCGAACCCTTGGGTCCAGCTCTCCATACAGGTACAGCAGCTCTGTGCTCTTCATCGCCACCCTGTGGACAACAAGCAGTATTACAGCTGATCTCCTGCTGCTCTGCATGACTTGACAGGACTTTATTGAGCTTTTTTATTTTGTACGCTTCCAACGAGTGCAGACAGAGTAAGTCATAAAAATAATAAATGATGATATACGGTATATACAGTCATGGAAAAAATTATTACACCATATAATATTAGATTATTATAAGGCTTATAAGATTATTATAAGCGTACAGTCTCCAACATCCACTCAGCTGTGTGACGTCGTCATGGAGAAGTGAAAGAGGATTCCAGTGGCAACCTGTGAAGCTCTAATGAACTCCATACTCAAGAGGGAGAACCTAACAGACACTCATCCTGTGGTTTAAGGCTTAAGTTTGATGGTCAGTGTTACAAATGTGATCCTTTTATAATTTTAGTATTAATATTAACATAAATGTGATGCTGGTAGAAATGAAAAGGATTTCTCATCAAAGCTTGGACTGCATTGTTGGAGGGTTTAACTGAGCGTCTGTTGAATATGGTGGGGTTTTAAACCAGTTAAATGTGAGAAAACAGCACTGCAGGTATTTAAGAGACAAGAGGTGGTTGCAGTTGGTGAAAATCTGTCAGTTTAAGCTAAATAATATTTCAGCAAAATATCAGCCTTTCTGATGTGTTCAAAATGTTAATAAGAAACAAACCCCTGCAAAGCTTTAAAGCAGAGTGAATAAAACTTAAAGACCACCCTAAAACTGAAGAAGCTTTTTGGAAGAGAGAAGTGGATAACCATGACCTGGATGAATGAGGACCTACAAAGACAAACTCTGTGCTGGTTTTTAAAAAGGTCAGTGAAACTGAGAGCCGATAATACTACCAGCAGAGGGTAGTGTTCAAGCTGTCACAGGAAGAGTCTATAAGTTTCTTTTTTTTCTCATGTGTGCCTGCGTACACGCACAGCAGAGAAAGGAAATGCTTCATAGATCTCCCAACTCGATTCAAAAGTCCCCCTCACATCCGCCCACACTGAAGAAACTGCATTTCTTTGAAAATGTCGGTGTTGTTTTTTTTCTGCGTTTTTTGTGCTGGTTTTTTTTGCAGTTTGTCTGGGTTTTTGTGCAGTTCTATACAGGTTTCTGCAGTATTGCTTGTTCTTGTGCAACTTCTTTATTAGAAGGTTTCTGTTGGGTTTTTTTTGTACACTAGCAGGTGTGTGCATGTTGGAGCAGAGACCAGGACATCTCTGAGGTTAAGAGGACAGAAGTGAAAAAAACAAAACAAATGAGTGCCTTGTTAGTTTCACTGCGGCATCATTGTAGCACTTCCTGTTGGTGTGGGGTTTCTGTTGGGGGGTTTTGTAACATCCTTGTGGTGAAACAGCACTCAAAAACAACATAGAACTCGGAGTCTATGTGAGGCCAAATGTCAATGAGCTGCTTTGACCAACATTTGAGAGTTTGACCCTTTGAAACTGACCTGGGGCCTCATTTATAAAACCTGGCATAGGATCCATACTAAAAGTGTACGTAAGTTGAAAAGCTGAAAAGTGCGTAGGCAAAAAAAAAATCTGATTTATAAAACCCTGCCTACGCACACCTGCACGCACTTTCCCTTTATAAATCACAGACCAGCTGGAAAGTTGCTCAGCAGGGATTTGATTCTTCCCCGCCCTCTCCACACCCAAAATTCACCATGTATGGTCATGCAAATTACCTCATGAATGTGATTTGCATGTAAATAAGCCTGGTGGATGCACGGCATTTCACGCTTAACCATGGCATCAACAAGTCGTAGAAAAAGAAACTTTTCAGAGATCGAGGTGGAGGTTCTTGTAAATGAGGTGGCGGCGAGACGGGAGACCTTATTCGGCGGCCATTCGAGTGGCATCACCAATAAAAACGCCGTTGCCGTGGTGGCAATTGCGGCTGGCACTGAGCGCAGCGTTGCCGAAACAGTGTTGTTTTCGTCATATTTCGTCAAATATTTTCGTCAACACCAGCGTCAAAAGGAAATATTTTCATCAACGAGAACAACACTGGTTGCTTTTGTTGACGGAAATATTTCCCTTTTCTTCCACGACGAAGACGTAACGTTGACGAGCTAAACATAAGTCGGAGATGACTAAAATGTGACGAGACGAAAGTGCGTTTACGTTGATGGGACGAGACGAAAATGACGAACAGAGTTGCAAAACTCTAAACATATAACATATAGGAGCAGCTTCTGTCCGCTCTGACAGCTCTCATCAGCCTGCTGTGCTCCTCCAACACACAGACACACACGCACGCGCGCGCGCACACGTGGAGCAACAAAACTGTGCCGAAATCAAGAAGAAGTGGTCTGATCTAAAGGTGGAGGCAAAGAAAAAAGTGGCTTTGCACCGTCGGAGCGTGGCGGCGACAGGAGAGAATCGGAAAAAACATACACGTGTGACACTCGTGCATGTGTAAAAAAAAAAAACCAAAAAAAACGCTCCGTTATCCACCGCTGCTTATGTGGTGAAAGTTCGTAAACCAAAAAGATTTAGTCATATTAATCTTAAAACAAATGCATGTAAATGGAATCTGTTTTTTTTTGCACATTTGTAAATTCAAATTGGCAAACTATTTACACCGCCACAGTGGGGTCTGTGCTTTCTGCGAGCATCACTGCCTGGTACGGCAGCTGCAGCTCTCAGGACAGAAAGGCTGCATCGAGTCATCCGTTGTGCTGAACGCATCACCCGGACTGTTCTCACCTTGCTCCGATTGTCTCCAAAAAGTGCGTAAGCAAGGTGTGGAGTTTGCTTAAAGTTGCGCACATTCCTACACTAGTTTTTCTTTTATAAATCCCAACTCTTGCGTAAGAAGTGGCGTACGCAATTTCTAGCCAGGTTTTGTGCGTAAGCAAGCTTTATAAATGAGGCCCCTGCTCTGTTGTTGCGTGATCATATGGTAAATACCTGTTGTTGGCTGTGAGGTCGCACTGGAAACCGGAGGGCTGGTGAGCAAAGCGGACCAGAGGACATCTTGCATTGAGGATTTTCTGCACCCCCACGCAGCCAGGTCCAAACTGGTCCACGCACTCCCCGATGACAGACAGGACGCTCTGGGTGACTGCACGCTCTGAATTCGCCCCCTTCATCTGGAACTCCACACTTAGACCAGATTTCAGCTGCAATACCAAAATTTTAGAGGAGTTACAGATCCTAAACTGTAGTTGGTCATACACTTCACATCATTATGATTTAGTTTTTAATCTTCTGACTATAAACCATCTTGTGACTCGTTCACTCTCTTAATAAACAACAGCAGACAAAAAGTTCTCATTAAAGCAAACTTATTTTGCCATATCTGACCTTTTGTTTTGAAGTTTGAGGCAACCCTTATACCAGCAATATGAAGACTACAGAAAAAAATGAATGAGAATAATTCATAATATAGATTTCCGAGAGCACACCAGCAGACTGTTAATGAAAGCAATAATTGTTATAACAGGATCAGTTTATGTTTAAGGTTAAAAACAAAGTATTAAGAGTATTTCCAGAAAATTTGCAAAAATTGTTTATTTTTAGTTCAGAAATGAGGAGTGTATGAATATATCCAAATTTAAGAAAATGTATAAAGAAAGGATAGTCAGACATTATGACATTGGCAGTAGTGAGATATTCCTCTTTAAGCAATGTAGAAGTATTGTCATATACTGAATTAACTTCTTATTATTATCATTATCGTAGTTTATTTATTTTCTGTCTTTATTATTGTAATATTGGGTGTCTTGTAATGGGATGGACCATCTTTCTCTATTGTACATTTGTGTTCTGAGTAAGGGTTAGGCAGATCAAGAGTCTTCTTCCTCCTGCTGCTTTTCAGACCGGAGTTGTGTTGAAATCATGAAAACTCTTTTTTTTTTTGTTTTGTTTTGTTTAAAGTTTTTTACATTTGAACTTAAAAACAACAACAAAAAAAGAACTTTAACAACTATTCCTTAAACAATTAATCTCATTATTACCAATTTGTTTTTTCCCTTGGTGATGGCGTCAAGGTCCAGAAACATGTCAAGGTCACAGCCAAGCTTCCCGAAGCCGTTCACTGACGAGCCGAAAGGCTTGATGGTGCATTCTGGGAAATAGGCAGTGGTGATATCTTTGAGCAGGGAGCACACAAGGAAACGCAGTCTGATGTTCTCGTCTGTGAGCTGATAAGCTTCAGTCAGGGAAATTACCTGCTGGTCTACCTGAGGGGAAACAGGACACAGGTAAGCTCAGTCAGTGAGTAAAATATCGGATTCAGACATTAGGACAACTGCTAGGATGGATTTGTCTTTCAGGATGAAATAAAGTCAGATAATCTAAACCCACAGAAAAACACTCACACTGTCCTCTCTGGACAGCCTCCGTATCAGCTCATTAATGGGCATACTGGTTTGTGATTGGATCAACTGGCTCCCGTGTGGTGAGTCCGCTGAGCTGGCGCCCCTCAGCGACAGCAGTCTGGATTTAAATGGCACCACAGATTCATGGCTGACGCTGGGGAAAGACGCATCTTCCATCAATGCAGAGACACTTTCTCTGCTGGCAAACTCAACGACAGCGTACATGCCCTAAGGAATTAAACACAACTCTCACTATCTTATGACAGTTTGCACTTTCAAACTGGCTGCACGTCAGGCTAACTGCACATCTTTACTCACATAACTCTCATAGAAGAAGTGTTTGTTGATTTCTCCATGTTTTGATAAATACTTCAGAAACTTTTTCTCGCTGGTTTTGGAGAGGCAGCTGATGAGAACAGATCGTTCCGCCTGTTCCTGTCTCTCTGCCAGGACAGCATACAAAGACTGGGGTCCATCCTGTACATCTGACAAAATTAAGACAAATTAGACATGATGTTTAATACATTTGTTTCTGTTAAGATGATGGGTGTTATCTTGAAATAACAGAGGTAATACTGCAAAGAGTAGAAAAGTTTCTGAATATTCAAATTATAAAAGCACAATTACTTTGCAACTTTTCATTTAAGGTGTTTACCTGTGTAGGTTAAGGTCAGAATGCTTTTGTTTGGTAAATTTTTGTGCGTTATTTTTAGTTATTTTGTAAACATTACTCTGCACCAAATTACAGCCTCACTACCAAATATTATTAAACATTACTTAACTGAACTGAACTTTCTTAACTAAATTTTAAACCGATGAGCCACTGACCTGTAAATGTGTCTTAGTCAATATATCAAAAGTGATATTAACAATTTAAAACTGGTTGTAAAAAAAAGTTAGAAAAAAGTTAGAAAGTTAGAAAAAAGTTAGAGTTAGAAAAAAAAGCTTCTTTATTTCAAGAACGTGAACAAGTTCATTATTTTCCAGCCTGGATTTCCCTTCAGTGTGTGAACTGAACCTATGATGTGAACTACTTTTCTGCTCTGCAGCCTGTGTCTGTTTCTGCAGGATCAGTTGAGCTGATCCTGCATTTATCAGATGGTCGTACTATTTACCTGACCGGTAAGAAGGCTCCTGTTCAACTGTGAGGACCATATATAACATTCTCTCTAACTTACACCATTTCCCCCACGCATAGAATTTCCTGACATAATCATCCCTTTGATTCTGATAAATTTATATATTCAATTATGTATTAATGATTTATTTACTCTCTTGGGTAAAGTCCACACATTCCTGTAAGAAACTGCTTAATTCACAGACAAAAAGACTATGACAGAAATGTGAACAACCAAATACAACGAACTGCTTGATGAAGTAAACATCACAACCTAAATTACTTACAACCTAAAATATCTGATTTGTTGACTCTAAAAGATATAACTTCTTTACTCTTGACCTGTTTTATTTACTTAAAAATATCTACGTTCGTATTTATTTAACAAACCGATCAAATACAGCCGAGTGACAGCGAATTTTTTGTGATATCTAGTATTTCCATTCGTAATTGTAAGCGGTGAGCAGACTTTCACCAACACTGAGAAAAACTGAAATTAAATGTTTTCAGAATGAAGTTCGGTGCTTGGGTCAAACAGTAGCAGAGCTAGCTAATAGGTTAACTAGGTCGTTTTGACGGATACAAACCAGTTTCTTCTTTTCGAAGTGCTTCACCCTGAGCAGCCGCAGCATTTGTTCCGACATCTCTCCTGAAGAGTGTTTTGACCCACTTTGTGGAGTTTATAATGCTCCTTCCACCGGTCATATGTAACCCGCACACTGCTATGGAGGACGCCATTGCCGTTCCAAAAGACACAAAACGACGCATGCGCGAAGCTCGTATACGGCAACTGGGAGGTATCAAAACAACTTAAGTGTAACTGCGACAAACGTGAGAGCGGTTTTATTCGGTAGTTTTAACATTAAGCCCAGTTTTGCTCTTTATTTTCTCCTTTAAAGGTTTATTGGCTCTTCATATAAGTCTTCGTCACGTGTACCCAACACTTAAATTATTTAGAGCTGATGTCACAAAAAGCGACGTTTTCCACCGGAAAACACCGCACGGTTCTGCGAAAGGTGACGCGTGTTTCGGCCGTCAGGCCTGATAAAATCGGTTTTTCACCTGAGAAAAATGAGGAAATGGAAAATGAAACTCACAGAGAGCTTAGTAGCTGACAGCGCCGATCACATGAGCTTCCTGTGTTTATGTCCTACAGGCACGAGCTGACCTCAAACGTCGTCTTTACTCCGACAAACTCTCCATGGACGGAACTCCGGGGTTCTGACCCCAAAAATACGCCAGGTGAGTTTCTGTCGAACCCTTTCAGAGCACAGAAGAGCTGCAGGATAGTATAATCAAGGTTGTTGTTATTTTTACAGCTTCAATTTGACTGGTTAACAGAGTTCATTTCCATTTTACACCTCTAAACGGTGAACTAAAGATAGAAAAAGCTAAAATGTTTTAGTCAAGTCAAGAAAAAGTAACTTAAAAAGCATTTTATTGAAATCTGAGTAAAACTGCCATCTATTGTTCGGCTTGAGTAAAATACCCAATTTAAGTAAGTACTGAGTACTCTGGTAAGTCGGTGTTGTTTTGAGTTTGCATCTAGTTCAGGGTAAAGTTATTAGGTGTTTCTGTAGCAGCTTTTGTCAGATTTATTTCTGCAGGTAGGATTTGAACTTTCACTCAATAATTCAAACTTAACTGGCTGTAAATGTTGTGAGCTCAGTACAGTTAAAAAATTATTTCAGGAGCTTATCGAGGACAATTTGACTTGAAATATCTTGAAATAAGAGCTGAGCTGTTAGGTCAGAGCAGCATCCGTCAAGTGTACTATAATACTTTGATGAGAAAAAGGACAAATTTAATCTGTAACATTTCAGTTTTCTAAAGTTAGATGTTGATTCAGTCAGCCGGGAAGTTTGTGCGATTTATTTTACTCAGTAACTGATGCTGCGTGAAATGTAGTGAAGAACAGCACTTTCAAGTACAGTTACACAGAGAAACTGCTTGATTACAGTGTTTGGAGTAAATACCGAAGTTGCTCTCCACCCTGTTTCTCAGTTCGCTTCAGACCTGCTGTGTGGGGATTCCCGGTCTCTATGTAAATGGCAGATGGGTGATTTATTTGCAGAAACGTGCTTTATTTGCTGTTATTTTGACTATTAATGAGCTGCTTTACATGATTATCAGCAGTTAGTGTTTGGTAAAGGTCAGTGGAGGTCTAAGCTTCCCTGTGCGGGGGCTTCCCAGCTTTACTGTGAAACTCCCGTCCTTTGCTTGGAAAACATGTGAAGCTCCTCCCAGCCAGCCAAGGCCGGGCTTCTCACTTCATGAAGCATCAGTGTTTATCACAAGCCTCAGATGAGCAGAGCATGACCGACTGTGAGCTCTGAAACTCTGAACTCAACAGGAACATGTCTGCATCCTGACTGCCTTATGTTTTATTTCAGAACGAGCTGCTAAAGCTGAGAAAGATGGATTACACATATGAAAACAGAGTGGAACTGCTGTTGGCTCACATGAACATAGGGGACTTCATCACAGCGGCAGAGAGACTGTATCAACTGGAGGAAGTGGAGGAGGAAGAGGACGGGGGCTTGTCTTTTGACGAGGGAAGTCTCTCCCCAGAGGAGATGGATGAGAATGAGGAGGTGGGGGACCTGGTGGTCTCTGGGGGTCATCAGGATGACTTCAGGGCTGATGAGATTGGAGGTGTTCGGTATGGGACAGTGACAGACCTGCTGTCCTTTGTTAACCTGCTCTCCAACATGCAGGCGGCAGCTCTGCAGAAACTGCCTGAGGAGATGGGAGTCCTGCTGAACAAGGTAAGAAATAGAGACGGATCAAAGTTTGTTTGTCCAACACCAGCCCAAGAAAACAGGAGAACTTAAAATCATATTTGATCTTTCCTTGCAGAAATACATGACTGTGAAAAAAGGCCGCTATCAGGTGAACATGGATGTGCTCCTGTTTCCATGGAAACTGACCTACAAATATCACAGCTCTGGCCTCGTGCCAAAGGGCTCGTTTGGGAAAGTCCACTTGGCTCAGGACTCAAGTACCAGGAAGAGGATGGCATGCAAACTGGTGAGTAAACAGTGTCTGCAGAGACTGGAGCTCTCAAAGCTTCGCACCTTTACACCTGCAGATGCCCAGGATCTCACCTGAAAAGAGCTGCATGTTTTAACAGCCTTTCCTGTTTGTTCAGTGAAAGTTAAAGTCAGAATAATATTTTGATTCTTTCACTTTTGAGGAAAGAGGAACAGCACTAAACAGAAGAACCCCCTTTTCCCACAAACACTCAAAAAGAGCAAAGGTCACTGCAGGAACAGGAACTGAAGCGCCCCACGTGAGGAGGAGCTCAATGATAGAGGGTTTACTCTTTCTCACATGGAAAATATTGACCAGTGACAGAGGAGTTTGCTGCCCACTCTGCTGTTGGCATCAGCTTGCAACGTTGACAGAGTGTTTTGTACACAGTGTTAAAAATACACTGAGGGGATTGACTGAAAATTAGTTCATGTGCTTCATATCTTATTTACGGCAGATCTGCATGTCAGCAGATAGTTTTGGTCTGTTAATGTTAAATATCACTCTATGTGGTCAACATAACTAACGACTGAAATCAGAAGCAAATAGACCAACGGCCTCTCTGGATGAACAAAAGACTGTTTTCCCATCAGTGTACAAATTCAACAGTTAAACACCTTTTGTAAGTGCTTTAGGTGTTTTTTTTTTACTGTCACACACACACTAGCTGTTTGTCTGCATCACTAATGCTCATATCCTGATCATACAGAAATCTGAAAGTGACTGAAACATTAAAAATAATTAGCAGGATACTTGAATATCCGGCGAGCAGCCAGTGCTCATTTAAAATCTGCGTCTTCATGTGAAACATCAGACTTAATCCAAGCTGAGCCATGTTTCAGTGCATGTGTTTTCCTCTATCTTTACCCCCACAGATTCCTCTGGAGAATTTCAAAGCTGCAGACGTCGAGTTTCAGGTTCGATTTCGCCACGAGAACATTGCTGAACTGTATGGCGCTCTGCTCTGGGATCAGAGTGTCCACCTGTTCATGGAGGCTGGAGAGGGCGGCTCGGTCTTAGAGAAGCTAGAGAGCTGTGGGCCAATGAGGGAGTTTGAGATCATCTGGGTGACCAAGCAAGTCCTGCGGGGTCTAGAGTACCTGCACTCCCACAAAGTCATCCACCATGACATCAAACGTAAGAGTCAAAACACTTTCCACTGAATTTACTGTGCTGCGCTGTGGCAGAGAAAACGAAACCCTCTTTACATCAAAGTCAAACCACAGACAGATAAAGTTCTTCATGGGCATCTCAAGTGCCAAGAAGGAAAGAGATGAATAAGTCAAGACTACCACAATCCAAACATAATACTGAAATGTAAAACTGAGAATCATTGAGTTTTCAAATGTCTGCAGTTCGCTCTGACACAAATATCATCCTTTCTTCCTGTGACCTAACTATTCAGGTCCAGAAAAAAATGCTGGCAGCGTGGGAGGGGGGGCAGCTGGGGTTAGATGGAAAGTAGTTTCACAGCGGTCTGGTCAGATGCGTGCCTCTGGGATCAAAGTGAGCTGTGTGTCAGCAGGAAGGCTTGAGGGCTGTTTGTTGTCTGGAAACTCCAGCCGTCCTCTTCTTGTGCTCTCAACGTTAATTTAGGGTCCACAGAAGTGAGTGACATACCACAACCTCCAGCTTGGCCCGTGACAAGTGGCTGTGGTTGTCAGCGTTTCCTGTCAGCCATCAAAAACAGGAATTTGACCTCAGGTTTCAAACTGCGAAGATGAGTTTTTCACCAAAGGCTGCCCTTATATTATCTGTGGAACTCCTTTGCTAAAAGCATGAACATGCCTGGACTCCTTTTAAATTGTCTTTTCCATAAACACGGTTTTAGCTAGCTGTTTTTGTTGGAAGTGTTACCTATTGTTCCCTCACATGCTAACCTGCACATCAGTGACAGTTTTTCTGCAGCATGCATGAATCAAAGCTGTCTGTCTCTGCATTCTTCAGCAAGCAACATAGTCCTGATGTCGGATAAGGCCGTTCTGGTGGACTTCGGCCTGTCAGTGCAAATGACTGAGGACGTTTACATTCCCAGAGACCTGAGAGGAACAGAGGTGAGAAAGAAACTTAAATCAAGTTATAAATACTATCAGTACCGAAGCAGGGTGACTTGAGGTCCTTGTGACTTTTTCGTAGATTACGGTCCATTTGCTCTTAACAAAAGGTCAAACAACATGATGTCAAAGCTAACGTAAACAAACTAAGTATCTGTGCTCTGCCATTTAATTTGTAGAAACTCATTCAATAAAACTCCTAATCATCTATCAAAACTTTCTTTTTTAACTGCCAGTCTTCTGAAGTTTATGGCTGTAGAAAAACCCTCAACTCACTAAGGTGCTGACTCACTTGTATGATTTAACGACAAATACTTTGTTTCGCCAAATGTCACTGCTGTAAAATTTGACCCTATGGTGGGTTTTATTCAGACTGACTTCAGGCTAAAATAACAGAAACCCTGAAGTATGAATACGAATGCCAAGAGGACCCAGGTTTTATTGGTCTTTACATGTAGAGCTTTAAAAGCTAAAATGTAAGTCTGTGATTGATTAATCGATCCAACCGATCAATCTGTTTTTGGTCCAATCAATAATTAAAGTGGGTTTTTTGAGTGTGTTGTTACTAAAAGCAGCACTTCACTGAGTCTGGGTTAAGGACAGACCTCAGTCTGACAGGATAAAGACTAGCGAGCACTCCTCCTTGCTGATGGGGGAGTGGTGCACTCATTGACTTTAAAGAAGCTGGTGAGAACCTGCTGAAGCTTTGGGTTCTCACGGTACTTGTAATTAGCAGCTGTGGGAAATTTTTTTAATTACTATATGAGATTTCCTACAAGGCTTTTCTCCCTTCATGCATCTGTCTAGCTTTACCATATGTTGGCCTGTCAGTTTGTTGTGGTCTTTGTCCATGCTCTCTTGGCCTGTCATGGCTCAACTCATGGAAAGTCCCAGCAGTAATGATAAGACAGGCAGAACAAGCAGAGACACTCAGCTGCACAGACTGATATTAACAGAGGAAAACAGGCTGGAATTTCCAGCAGAGAAGAGCTGGGAGTGTTTACTCTTCACACCAAAAGCTAACTGCCTTTACCGCAACACACAGCCAGAGGTTAGCTCCATAGTTTGCTTTCATAGCAGGACGTGTCACTCCGTTTGTTATGAAATACTTACAAATATGGTGGTAAAACTATTAAAATGGACATACTTAAACTCTTCTCCAACTCGACTCAGCTGTTGTTTCTAATTCTTCTTCTGCTGCCCTGATTTATCCAGATGTACATGAGTCCAGAGCTGGTTCTATGTCGGGGACATGGTACAAAGACAGATATCTACAGCCTCGGGACCACCATCATCCACATGCAGACTGGGAGTCCTCCATGGGTCAGGAGATACCCACGCACGGCATACCCATCTTATCTCTACATTGTAAGTGCTGTTCTTTTGGGGTTCAGCTGGTCCTGTACTTGAAACCTCAGTCTGCTATGAAATAACACTGAACTTTGGACACGCTCATAAAGTCATGGTTATCAGAGGATAAAAACCCACTAACTGAGCTAGTTGTATTTTTTAAAAGTTGATATTTCAGTTGTGGAGACATTGCATGAAAAAGTAGGAGGAGGAGGAAGTGGCTTTTTATTTGATCCTGTTTTGGAAGATTGAAGACAGGCTGCTAGGGAGGAACTCGCTCTGGAAAACCAACCTCCACAGTCAAATATTAGTACTGGGTTAACTGTTCTAACCACTGGGAATGATTATTGTATATTGCAGACATTTGTCACTTTGGTTTCTTATCAAAATACTTTCAATGTTTAAGATTTCCAACAGTTTAAACTACTTTTTCAAGGGTTACTCAACATTCCTGCAAATATAATAACACATTTCAGCAGTGTCCATGAATAATAACAACAGCATCAAAGTTCAGTGTTTAAGAACACTTTTGGTCACTTGGCCTCCTTTTAGAAACAAACAAATAGATTAACAAACAAACATAAACAAACAAACATGAACAAAATCTGTTCCCAGTTTTATCTGATATTTAGTTTGTTTCTGTCAAGCTTCAGTAACTTTTACATCCTGGTTCCATCTAGATTTACATAAATGACACAGCTTACCATGAAACATGGCTGTGCTCACCCACAGATGAGATGATCAGAAGATAAAAAAAAGTTGAATGTGACTAACCCCACTGTGTGATCTCTGACCCATTTAAACAGGCCCTTCTTGTTTTTACAGATTTTCCATGACACAGGTCCTTTGCTTCTGCTTTTAAACCATTAGCCTTTAAGCTTTAGAGCATAACTCACTTCCTCATGAAACTGTTGTCATGGAGAAGTAATAGTCAGCCCCTCCTTCAGGCCGGGCCTTGCAACTTTTGCTTGTTTCCTTTGTGCTCAATCTAACTTGTGTTCCTGACTTCTGATCACAATGAAAGCAGAAGAGAAAATAGGCACCAACTGTTTTTTTGGTTTCGTCTAACTTTGCCTCTCATGCTGCATTTTCAAACCCCTTTCTTTTGATTCTGTCTCTTACAGATCCACAAGCAGGCCCCACCTCTAGAAGACATACCAGGGGACTGCAGCCTGGCTATCCGCTCTTTTTTGGAGCGATCTCTGGAGAGGAACCCTGCTCTGCGGGGCTCAGCCTCTGAACTTTTAAAGGATGATGCCATCAACCCATCGAGGGAAGATCAACCTCGCTGCTGGAGCCTGGACTCAGCCTTGGAGGAGGCCAACCACACCATGCTGCGGCAGCACAGCCAGCACCCCGACACCACGCAAGGTAAGGATTAGTACAATCAGTTTGGTTCTGGAAATCATGCCAAGTCTCTTTAAGGTAAATGTGTTCTGGTCTGTCTCTCTGCAGAGTCTTCCCTGTACTCTGAGGACTCTGGTAATATGAGGAGGAAGGGCTCTTTGTACATCGACCTAGGGGCCTTGTCAGGTCACTGTAAAGTGGTGACAGGCCCTCCCACCTCTGAATATGGCTTGTGTCGGACATGATGAGAGATCCTTGGACCAACATTGGGGTATGGCTTCCTTTCCATTACCCAAGGGCTGATCGACAATTTCTGGAGGCTCTCAGGTTGTTGATGAAGTGGCTCATTGAAGGACCTACACCTTTTTGCTGGAAAAGGCACTGCTGCAGGACAGTGGAAGGTAGAAATGCATTGTGTATCTATATATGTTAGGATGAGATATCATGAATGTATATGCTCTGTTTTATTGTGGTCAGTCAAATCCAGTATCTGGTGTTCTTTCTCATAAAACCGTGACGCACAATCCTAGATATTATTTAAGCACTAAAGTATGTAAGCTACTCCATAAAGTATGTATGCACCATGCAGACAGGTGGGATTTGTAGTTCTATTTGGACTTCCTCTTGTTAATTCCTGTGGAATTTCATTAGTACCATGTTTCTGTTAAAGTGCAGCTTCTGTGGAATGTATGCGATTTAATTTCTATTCTGTACATCCTGTGACATGTGGTCTGCTGTGCTTCTTCGAGCCTGACACAAAGTTAGGAAACCAAAAGAAAAACAGAATTTGGAAAGTTCACTAATCACTGATGAGTACAGAAAATTAGAAATGCTGAATATTTGGTATTAACATGTGTTTAAGCTGTTTTAATGCACAGCTGCCTGCTCAGCTGCACACTCTGCTACAGGGACTGCATACTGCTGTGTGTTGTGGCCTATGGTGTTAATTTGACAAAGTGTGATTGAAAATCACAGTAAGCATTGCTGTCTTCATAGATTCTGTGTCCTATGATCCAAGTTTACATATTAAACACAAAAGGTTCAAATTGGCCCAAACCAGTTCAACTTTTTTTTTTAAAGGACCTTTGTTGTGTCATTTCCTCACCATTAATTGTAAAGCTAAATTTTTGTGCTGTAAAACAATTGAAAATGTTTAATCAGATTAATCATGATGGTGGATTAATCTCTGCCAATTTTACAGCCCCTCTAGGTTTATCAACTTTCGAATATATTGTGATTTATTCTATTACACCTAATTCCCAAACTATTTAAAAAAAAAACTGTAAAATTAAAAGGACATATGTATCGCTGATGTTTTTGACTTTCTTCGTGTAACTCAGTGGTTTAGATGTGTCTGCAAAGATCTGGTGTTTGATAGGGAAATGGCAGTCCTTCCCACTGATGGGTTTTCATGGACAGAGCAAAATGATTGTTGTCTGTTGGTGAGGAAACGTGTTTCTGAGAGTGGGTGGGGGACAGTAGAGTTCCCCTTCTCTTCCTTTCCCTTCACACACAGGGCTGATCCAGCCTTTGCAGTAGTTGCTCCTAACTTGGGCAACAGCGTGTCACCTCATATTAAATTTGCCTCCAGTGTTGAATAATTAATAACCTTACTGAAGAACCGTCCTTTGTCTGTGGCTTTCACCTCCAGCTAAAAAACATTGTTATCCTGACATTTTAACCATTAAAAGAAACAAAAATATGTTTTCTTGCTTTTCTTGTTTTCCTGTTTTGACTTCATAAGCCACTTTGGTCAACATTGGTTGTTTCTAAATGTGCTATATAAATAAAGGTTGACTCGACTTTCTGTTGAAGCAAACAAAAAATAAAGACCCATGTAACCAATGGAACATAAAGCCTTTCTCTGTACTGTGTTCACAGTCTATACTCTGACCATTGACCTTACTGCTCTACATGCTTACAGAGTGTATTGAAATGCTCACAAAATCATGTTTAAAAAAGGTTATTAAAGCAAGTTGGACTTTTTACATAGTCATTTGTTTGTAATTCCATAGACGGAGCATTACTGAAGCTAATGTGAATGCCAGTTATGCATTTAAAAATAAACATTGAAATGATTTAAATTACTGTGTGTATGACTGTACAGTTTTTCAACCCACAGGGATTGTTGTTGTGACATACTGAAGAAAAATCAGCTGACAAAAAGGAGATCAAATTTCAATTAAAACTAAAATTAGCTACAGAAAAATCCCCAGAATAACATCTCATTTTTAAGATGAGTGGGGTATTTTGGATTCCCATGAAAGACACTGGATCAAACAGATTTGGTATAAACTGTTTTTTCAGCAGCAGTCTTCCCCTCTTTACTGTTTTGATTTGATTTTATTAAGATCCCCATTAGCTGTTACACTAGGTAGCAGCTACTCTTCCCGGGGTCCATTAAAAAAATAAAATGAACAATTACATCAATTAAAAATATTAATAGTCATAATAATGAAAAAGAAAAAAAAGTCATAACAACAAAACACTAACAAAATCAATACAAAACCATAATACCAATAACAACAAAATAACATTTATAACAAGTCAGATAACAACCCTGTAAAACTTAAAAATATCCATTGACAGGGAGGAAATCAAAACTGACCATAATCATTGCCAATCAAGGCATTAATTTTTAAGATATTTTTTAATGTTTAATTTAATGTTAAATGGTCTTGTTTACTCATAATGTCAATCTTCTTTTGTTTTTGTGTAAGGGAAACCCAAGCAATTCACATGTATGAAGCATTTTCTCTTTGTTATGCCTTCTCTTCCTCTTTCTAAAAACATCACATATAAGTAGGCAGGAAGTTATGGGGCTTGCCTCAGTGCTGAAAAGGAGAAAAGTGCCTTTTAAAGCACTTTTCAATGGTTTACCCCTGATTAATGCCGCCATCTGCTGGTTATTATCAGTAAAATTTCTGCTGTTCAGCCAAAAGACTTCATACACTGCCTGGCCAAAAAAAAAAAACGCCACCTGGATTTAACAAAGCAAATAGGTACCCTCCTATTGGAAAATTACTGCATGGGCAACTGTCTTTTAGCTTGCAACAAGTCATTTAACCCCTGCTGAAAATAATGATGTCAAAAGACACATCCTGTGGTCATGGAAAAGATGTTAGTCTGTTTAAAAAGGGTCAAATCATTGGCATGCTTTAAGCAGAGAAAACATCTAAGGAGATATGAGAAACCACTAAAATTGGGTTAAGAACTGTCCCGTGCATTATTATAAACTGGAAGGATATTGGGGATCCATTGTCTTCAAGAAAGAAATGTGGTTGGAAAACAATCCTGACTGATTATGACCAGTAATCACTTAAATGTTTGGCCAAATCAAATCTAAGAAAAACACTGTGGAGGAATGGAAGAAGGTCATGTGGGCTGATGAGTCCAGATGTGGTGTAGGGCTGCAACGATTAGTGGACGTAATCGATTACGTCGACACGACAAATTAATCGACACGAAAATTAAGCGTCGACGCGTCGTGTTATTGTTGTTAAGAATCACATGCCGACGCCTCATGCTCATCTATAACTGCAGTGCACTACATGTGCTGGGGGCAGTAGCGCTCGCTGTTCACATCCCGTGAGCAAACACAGAAGAAGAGTGCACACATTATGGCAGAACAAACTGAAGAAGACGCTCCAAAACTCCGACCCAAAACTTCAAAGGTTTGGGAACATTTTACGGAGAACAAACCAAAAAAACACGTTGAGCAAAGCTCAGCTTTCCTACCATGGCAGCACCACGGCGATGCATGAGCACCTGAAACGCCGACACCCTGGAAATAGGTGTTTATAAATAAAGAAGATAGGGATTAATCGTGATTAGTTGAACAACTAGTCAATAGATTAGTCGACAAAAAAATAATCGTTAGTTGCAGCACTAATGTGGTGGGGCACATCAGGACAAGAAGAGAGGCAGGTGAGGCGATGCACCCATCATACTTAGTGTCTATTGTACAAGCCTATGATCTGTGCTATGTGCTATGATCTGGGGTGGCTGCAGTTGGTCAGGTCTAAGTTCAGCAACATTATGTGCCCAAGGAATAAGGTTAGGTGACTACCTGAATGTACTGAACGACCAGGTTATTCCATCAATGGATTTTTTCTTCCTTAATGGCATGGGCATATTCCAAGATGACAATGCCAGGATTCATCTGGCTCAAATTGTGAAAGAGTGGTTCAGGGAGCATGAGACATCATTTTCACTTATAGACTGGCCACCACAGAGTCCAGGCCTTAACCCCAATGAGATGTGCTGGAGAAGGGTTTGCGCAGCATCAATACAAGATCTTGGTAAAAAAAATTAATGCAAGACTAGATGGAAATAAATCTTGTGACAATGTCACAAGGAATGTGTACTGTTATCAACGGAATATTAGCTTTTTGTTTTTTGGGGGGTTTTTTTGGTTTTTATGGCAACTTTTTTTGGGCCAGGCAGTGAGGCGGTGTATTTACCCCTCCTTGTTACTCAACATGGTTTGCCCAAAGGTGTAAATCAGACAGTCTGTTAGAGTAATATATATATATATATGTTATTTTTAATGGAGAATATAATTGAAATGTTTAAGGTATAGCAATGGGTAAAGCAATTGGTGCATTCACACCAAATGTGAATAAAATAATCCACTCATTTAATTTGCACAAATGTTGTGTATTAACTCACTCAATTCTCATGTTTATATCAAGTTTGCAGAGTGTCCAAACAAAAGCGTCATTGTAGAGAGGAGAGAAAGAGGGGAGGGGTTCCTACAAGTCAGGTCAACTGGTTTACACGGACCATAGCAGAGATTGATCACACTGTAAGGATCTTTTGTGTTTGAATAACTTGCCAGATCACTCACTGAATCCACTCTTATCTTGGTTCAACTTCCTCACTACCACCACCAAAATAAAACTCTCCTGCATGATAAAGCAGCCCAGAAAAATAACTAAAACAGCCCAAATCCCTCTGACTGAACTGTACAGGTGCTCAGTGTTGAGGAAAACTACCCTCATCAATGAGGACTTCTTCCACCCCTTGCACTACTCTTTCATGGTGCTGCCATCACGTATCTGTTGCTGTGTGTGCTTTGTATGGGTGTTGTAATATGTGAGGAGGCCATGTCAACGATAAATTTCTGTTTTCTTTTAGAAAAGACAATAAGGTTATATATCTATCTATAATTATAAACTAAAGAACCATTCTGGCTAAATATAAATGACAAACATTTGTCACGGTTAAAATGTAATGGTCAGAGCAACAATGACTGAAGATCTACTTTTACATAAGAAAAAAACAAAGACTTCTGGAATTCAGCCCTAAACTCTCAATACTGTATCTGCCATCATTGTTTGATTGACATGTTTTTCCCCCAAGAACCTGTGCTATTTATTTTATTCAAAAGAGGAGCTTCTTTCATTGAGACAAAGCAAGACTAGATGACAACATCCAATTCCAGCAGAGAAGGTGTTTTTGTGGTTGCCATGCTGGTGTGGAGGTGAGGGCAAAGTTGAAGGCTTGGAAATGGAGGTATAAACCCTTTTTTCCATCAATCATCATGTGAAACATCAACTCTTTGCCCAACAAAAGCAACGAGCTGGAGATATTGGTGAAGACTGAGGAAGCACACCGTGAGTGTAGTTTCCTGTGTTTTACTGAAACCTGGTCGAATCAAAACAACTCGGTCTCCAGTGTGGATCTACCTGGCTTCACTCTTGTAAGGCTGGACAGAGATGCTCAAGCTAGTGACAAGAAGAAAGAAGGAGGCCTGGCTTTATTTGTCAACCAGAGATGGTTTAACTCTTCACACATGACTGCCATGAGAAGTTGCATTGTCCAGATATTGAACTGTTGGCAGTTGTTCTTCAGCCATATTATGTTGAAAGGGAGTTCAGTCATATCGTAACAACATACTTGTATACATCCCATCCAAAGCAATGGCTGAAGTTCTGTGTGAGGTTCTCCATGGTTGTGTTGCTAGAATACAGATTCAAAACCCCAAGGCATTAACGCACAAACTTCACTCACACACTCCATTCTAAAAAAAACATGGATCATCCACTTCATATCACCTTGATGGACCAAAGGGCCAGCTTGTGGACAGATCCTCTCACGTCGATGCAGGACAGAAAAAAATTAGAAGATCTTTTGTCTCCACAGCCATCGGACTTCTTACTTCTTCTATAAATAAAAGATGAAATTCCAGAAAAAATAATTTCCCTTTGGAGATCGATTAAGTTCTTGTACTATTTCACTCTCTTCTATCTTCACTCTGTCTAAAATCCTCAACCAATACCGTATTTTTTTATTATTACTATTCCATTAGCGTCTATTTTTGATAGTTTCCTGTTCCAAAGATCCTGATCTAGCATAACATGAAGGAGCTGAAGTTTGAAGCACTTAGGTAACATAAAGTGAGCTAATTTTTTACCTGCTGCAGAGAGACGCTCATGATAGTTGGGTCACGAACTGAGATTCTGTGACCATCCTTTGGCAAGGATGTTTTGACGATTGATTTGACCTCTATGGACCCTTTAGAAAAGATTTAGCCCCCAGGTCCCTCGCAAAAATCCCGGCATTTTTTGCTGGACAGCCAAATTCAAAATGGTGCCTGGCGCCATGCCTAAAAATTTACTTTTGATCTGGATGACCTAGAATCATGTATGAAGGCACTTTTCTATACAAGTCAACCATGAGGATTCCAAATCTGAAACAATTTTAACTGTAAGACCTCATTTTGACACCAAAATTCAAGATGGCCGACATCCAGTAGAGTAAAAACGTAGCTTTAGTTTATAAATTTTCAGTCAGTCCGGCTATTTCTGATTGGTTAAGTAACAAGAAGATGTTCTCTAGGTTGCGCCACTGCCAGATAGCCAGATAGCTGGGGGAGCTGCCCCCTTAGGGACTGCTGGCCTGCCCTGAACCATTCTTCGTCAGGCCCCTCGCCAGAGACCAGTTTGTCATGGGAGACCCTACCAGTAGCACACAGCTCCAGACAACAAAGCTCTCAGGGTCATAGGGACGCACAAACCCCTCCACCACGGTAAGGTGATGGTTCCTTGAGAGGGTTTTTTTTTTCTTTTTTTTGGTCTTTTTTTTTCCATTGCACATCGGAGGGCGTGCTGCATATGTGGAGAGGTAGTTGAGTTTGTAGCTTCCTTTATAATACTTTGCGTATATCATCACCAACAGCAGAAACATCATATCTGAAACCACACAAAACACTTGTTAGTCTGAATCAGAGAATTCGGTGTCCCTGCTTTCTGACTCATCAGATTCAGATGACTCCACCCTCCTCTGAGCAACATCCTCCTCCTCCTCCTCACTCTCAACTTCTTCTTCCTCTTCAACTGGCCCTGGTGCAGGTAAGTGTGTGGGGAGAGCAGGCTGTGTGTGGTGGACAGGACGACAGCGACCAACCACCAATTCCCAACCATGTCCAAGTGGCGAGGGGTGATTCTTCAGTGTGGGGTGGCGCACTAGATATGCCGAGTAGTTGGCGCGGAGACAGTGTTGCCATAAGCTGTCTGCATCTGGAGAGAGACGGATAGACAATTTTCTCTTCATGGTCTTCCACTTGGAGGCACGAGCATCAGCCATGGTGCTACTCTTCTTGTCTCCATAGATCACTTGTCTCGTGAATGCAAATAGCTTTTGTTCTACCTCCTCTTCAAGCTCAAGGCTATCTAATTGCATTGCATTTTGCATTGCACATTGCACCAACTTGTCAACACAACAACCGATGGAAGACTACAGCATTGAACAGTCGGAAGCTGACACCATCCTCTTCACTGTTCATGCAGGTCTACGGCAGTCAGGCTATAGTGGCCCCGTTGTTATTGATGCAGCTGATACGGATGTCTACGTTGCAGCATCGGTCATCTCACAGCTGCTCCCTGGCATGCTATGCCTCAAGAGGAACAAAGAGACAGTCCTCTGTCATGGCATGCTAACAGAAGAGATGGCACAATGCGTTGTGCAGCTACACTGTTTTACAGGCTGTGATGCCAACTCAGGATTTTATGGCAAAGGAAAATCATCAGTGGAGAAAAGAAGAGTAGCACCATGGCTGATGCCCGTGACTCCAAGTGGAAGACCATGAAGAACTCAACTACCTCTCCACATATGCAGCACGCCCTCTGATGTGCAATAGGAAAAAAAGAAATAAAAATACCAAAAAAAGACCCCAAAAAAAAGAAAAAAAAAACCCTCTCCAGGAACCATCACCTTTCCGTGGTGGAGGGGTTTGTGTGTCCCTATGACCCTGAGAGCTTTCTTGTCTGGAGCTGTGTGCTCCTGGTAGGGTCTCCAATGACAAACTTGTCTCTGGCGAGGGGCCTGACGAAGAATGGTTCAGGGCAGGCCAGCAGTCCCTAAGTTACTGCTCTAAAATATTGATATGATAGGAATATATGGGCTATTTTTAGTTGCCTATATTTTTTACAAGAAAATCTACTGACCTCAGATGTTGTGAAAAACATATTTAAAGGTATGAAAATTAAATATAAGTAAAAATATTTAGTGGAAATTATAATTAAACACTAATTTTCCAGTTTTTGTTGGATTACCTATGAGACATACTAAGATATAGTTTTCAAAAATGGGTAGTTCTGTAAAGAAATAATGAAGGTTTTTGATTTAATATGCTTTTTAAACTCTTAAACTAGTTGACAGAAAATAACCTCAACTTTACCTCAAGAGATATTTATATTCCTTTGAGATTAAAGTGAATTAAAGTTGATATTAAACTTTTAGATATAACCTACCAGTGTAAGTGTTTTTCTAAAGTAAACAGCATTTTAAATCTCCATGGTAACCTGTGACGATGTAAAAACTTTAAATCATTACAAGTCGATAAAGAGTGGTCATTTCTGAAGATTCAATCTGAAGATCGACACGAAAAACTTCTGTGGCTCACAAACTTTCACCTTTTGACAGCTCCATCGTAAATAAAACCTCCCCAGACGACTAAAGACTCAAACTCTGACAAATACCTGAACAGAGAGGACAACAGCAACGACATGGAGACCGTAAGATTTCATGACAATATTATCATACAAACTTGTGTTATCGTCGAGACTTTGAGAATAGTTAGTTTAAAAGTGATGCATTGAATGATGAAGCTAAAGTCCTGCCCACCACTGACCACTGTGGTCCTGTCCTGCATGTTTAACAGCAGAAAAGTTCATGTAATTGTGAGAAATCTCTGCGTTTAAAAATGTAAATCTATTTAAAAACTTACAAAAACAGACAAAATTAAGTGAAAAGAAATTTCTTATGTACAGCCTTTAAAATTAAGAGTTTGATAAAGTTTCACTCAAATATGTTTTCATGTTTCCATGAATCAAGTGTGTGTTTTCTACAACAAAATGTAAAACTTCATTATGGTTTTGACAGGGAAAAACTCACCTTAAGTGTAATCGAAACACTGTCCTTCTGTAGCAATCCGTTTTTTTCAAACTGAAAACTGAGGGTTTTCTTATTATTGAATCCTGAAAATACACAGTCTTTCCCCCAATGAAATAAAATGACTGAAATAGACTAACCAAAAATATCAATTCTTAATGTGGGGTTGTATTGATATTAATCTATTTCTATTGCACAATTAACCTGCTGATTAGAAACTAAATACAAATTCTAAGACATTTATAACCAGGACAGAGATTCACTGATGGCCTGAAGATTAACCCAACCTGAGCATTTGACTTGGCTGCTGACCTTCAGTAAGTGCTACATGTTGGGGCGGTTGTACATGGCAAATTCAACGAGCTGGACAGGAGGAGGTTGCAGCAAATGCACATCATGATCACCTCAAATAGAGACACTGATGATTTCTCTGTTCATAAGTGCTTCTCTTTGGGGGTGTTTTGTTGGTGTCTTTTCACCAAAAAGCAGGTATGAAACAGAAAAATACTGGCAAAGACATGTTTCATTATGGCTTACTGGTTTTGTCATGATTATTTATTATTATTTTTCATTCCTTATTATTTGTCATGATTATGTCACCAGCATTACCCAAACACATGCACTGACTAGATAAGTGAAAGCAGTAAGTGCTACTTGTTGGGGTAGTGTTGCTGAAAACGGACTCTCAGCTGTCAACACAGAAGCCCCCTGGGAGATATATTCTTGTACAACAGAATTTTAGCTCAGGAAAACACTGGTCCAGAACTGTTTCTGAGCTGAGGGTCAATATCACTACCCTGACTTGAGCATTAACTTGCACCTTGAACTCAGTAAGTGCTACTTGTTGGGGCAGTTTTACTTGACAGAAAAAGCTGTGTGTGTGCGTCCTTTTTTCATTGTTCTTGAAGTCTGATCATGCAAGAATGTCTCCTAGATCACTCCAAACAGAGCCACTGCTGATTTGCTTCAACAAAAGTGCTTCTCTTTGGGGTTGTCTAGGATGGTAAAAACCACCAAGAGGATATGAAAGTTCTCGACTGTTCATCCACCAGCACTGTGGCAACATTTGTTTTCATAATTTAATCCAGGATTAAAAGCCTTGCTGTGCTGATCAGGGAAAAATGAGGGGGGTCTAGTCTTGCCTGTAACTGGTCAGTACTGTAACCCCAACACAAACACTGACTTGGGTTCCACATGCAGTAAGTGCTTTTTGTTGGGGTAGTTTTACTGACAAAGAACTATTGCAAAGACTCAGATGAATAAGGCATCAACAAAATCCAGATGACTGGTTCACAGGGCAGTCATGACAAGATGTAGTCTTATTTCATCACCCCCTCCGCATTAAAAGTAGACTTTGAATGTTACAATGTAATGATGTTGAATCCGATGAGGAGGACATGTGAGGGGCAAGGTGATATTTTTTGATGGGGTGTGAGGCCGCTTACCACTACTCATTAATGGGACATTACCCAGGCTGATGGGCCATCCTGTTGAGTATGGATCTCTGAATACAAGCAATAGTCACAGCTATGGAAACCAGGAAGTTAACGGGTGGAGTCAAGCCCAAAGGACTGCTTGAAGGATATAAAGTTGAGGAAATGATGAAAAGCAATTAAATGCCTTCCAAAGGGACGCTGCATGGGGGTCCTGGAAGTAGCATCTAAGACATATATAACCAGGACAGAAATTCACTGATGGCCTGAAGATTAACCCAACCTGAGCATTTGACTTGGCTGCTGACCTTCAGTAAGTGCTACATGTTGGGGCGGTTGTACATGGCAAATTCAACGAGCTGGACAGGAGGAGGTTGCAGCAAATGCACAACATGATCACCTCAAATAGAGACACTGATGATTTCTCTGTTCATAAGTGCTTCTCTTTGGGGGTGTTTTGTTGGTGTCTTTTCACCAAAAAGCAGGTATGAAACAGAAAAATACTGGCAAAGACATGTTTCATTATGGCTTACTGGTTTTGTCATGATTATTTATTATTATTTTTCATTCCTTATTATTTGTCATGATTATGTCACCAGCATTACCCAAACACATGCACTGACTAGATAAGTGAAAGCAGTAAGTGCTACTTGTTGGGGTAGTGTTGCTGAAAACCAACTCTCAGCTGTCAATACCAAAGCCCCCTGGGAGATATATTCTTGTACAACAGAATTTTAGCTCAGGAAAACACTGGTCCAGAACTGTTTCTGAGCTGAGGGTCAATATCACTACCCTGACTTGAGCATTAACTTGCACCTTGAACTCAGTAAGTGCTACTTGTTGGGGCAGTTTTACTTGACAGAAAAAGCTGTGTGTGCGTCCTTTTTTCATTGTTCTTGAAGTCTGATCATGCAAGAATGTCTCCTAGATCACTCCAAACAGAGCCACTGCTGATTTGCTTCAACAAAAGTGCTTCTCTTTGGGGTTGTCTAGGATGGTAAAAACCACCAAGAGGATATGAAAGTTCTCGACTGTTCATCCACCAGCACTGTGGCAACATTTGTTTTCATAATTTAATCCAGGATTAAAAGCCTTGCTGTGCTGATCAGGGAAAAATGAGGGGGTCTAGTCTTGCCTGTAACTGGTCAGTACTGTAACCCCAACACAAACACTGACTTGGGTTCCACATGCAGTAAGTGCTTTTTGTTGGGGTAGTTTTACTGACAAAGAACTATTGCAAAGACTCAGATGAATAAGGCATCAACAAAATCCAGATGACTGGTTCACAGGGCAGTCATGACAAGATGTAGTCTTATTTCATCACCCCCTCCGCATTAAAAGTAGATTTTGAATGTTACAATGTAATGATGTTGAATCCGATGAGGAGGACATGTGAGGGGCAAGGTGATATTTTTTGATGGGGTGTGAGGCCGCTTACCACTACTCATTAATGGGACATTACCCAGGCTGATGGGCCATCCTGTTGAGTATGGATCTCTGAATACAAGCAATAGTCACAGCTATGGAAACCAGGAAGTTACCGGGTGGAGTCAAGCCCAAAGGACTGCTTGAAGGATATAAAGTTGAGGAAATGATGAAAAGCAATTAAATGCCTTCCAAAGGGACGCTGCATGGGGGTCCTGGAAGTAGCATCTAAGACATATATAACCAGGACAGAAATTCACTGATGGCCTGAAGATTAACCCAACCTGAGCATTTGACTTGGCTGCTGACCTTCAGTAAGTGCTACATGTTGGGGCGGTTGTACATGGCAAATTCAACGAGCTGGACAGGAGGAGGTTGCAGCAAATGCACAACATGATCACCTCAAATAGAGACACTGATGATTTCTCTGTTCATAAGTGCTTCTCTTTGGGGGTGTTTTGTTGGTGTCTTTTCACCAAAAAGCAGGTATGAAACAGAAAAATACTGGCAAAGACATGTTTCATTATGGCTTACTGGTTTTGTCATGATTATTTATTATTATTTTTCATTCCTTATTATTTGTCATGATTATGTCACCAGCATTACCCAAACACATGCACTGACTAGATAAGTGAAAGCAGTAAGTGCTACTTGTTGGGGTAGTGTTGCTGAAAACCAACTCTCAGCTGGCAATACCAAAGCCCCCTGGGAGATATATTCTTGTACAACAGAATTTTAGCTCAGGAAAACACTGGTCCAGAACTGTTTCTGAGCTGAGGGTCAATATCACTACCCTGACTTGAGCATTAACTTGCACCTTGAACTCAGTAAGTGCTACTTGTTGGGGCAGTTTTACTTGACAGAAAAAGCTGTGTGTGTGCGTCCTTTTTTTAATTGTTCTTGAAGTCTGATCATGCAAGATTGTCTCCTAGATCACTCCAAACAGAGCCACTGCTGATTTGCTTCAACAAAAGTGCTTCTCTTTGGGGTTGTCTAGGATGGTAAAAACCACCAAGAGGATATGAAAGTTCTCGACTGTTCATCCACCAGCACTGTGGCAACATTTGTTTTCATAATTTAATCCAGGATTAAAAGCCTTGCTGTGCTGATCAGGGAAAAATGAGGGGGGTCTAGTCTTGCCTGTAACTGGTCAGTACTGTAACCCCAACACAAACACTGACTTGGGTTCCACATGCAGTAAGTGCTTTTTGTTGGGGTAGTTTTACTGACAAAGAACTATTGCAAAGACTCAGATGAATAAGGCATCAACAAAATCCAGATGACTGGTTCACAGGGCAGTCATGACAAGATGTACTCTTATTTCATCACCCCCTCCGCATTAAAAGTAGACTTTGAATGTTACAATGTAATGATGTTGAATCCGATGAGGAGGACATGTGAGGGGCAAGGTGATATTTTTTGATGGGGTGTGAGGCCGCTTACCACTACTCATTAATGGGACATTACCCAGGCTGATGGGCCATCCTGTTGAGTATGGATCTCTGAATACAAGCAATAGTCACAGCTATGGAAACCAGGAAGTTAACGGGTGGAGTCAAGCCCAAAGGACTGCTTGAAGGATATAAAGTTGAGGAAATGATGAAAAGCAATTAAATGCCTTCCAAAGGGACGCTGCATGGGGGTCCTGGAAGTAGCATCTAAGACATATATAACCAGGACAGAAATTCACTGATGGCCTGAAGATTAACCCAACCTGAGCATTTGACTTGGCTGCTGACCTTCAGTAAGTGCTACATGTTGGGGCGGTTGTACATGGCAAATTCAACGAGCTGGACAGGAGGAGGTTGCAGCAAATGCACAACATGATCACCTCAAATAGAGACACTGATGATTTCTCTGTTCATAAGTGCTTCTCTTTGGGGGTGTTTTGTTGGTGTCTTTTCACCAAAAAGCAGGTATGAAACAGAAAAATACTGGCAAAGACATGTTTCATTATGGCTTACTGGTTTTGTCATGATTATTTATTATTATTTTTCATTCCTTATTATTTGTCATGATTATGTCACCAGCATTACCCAAACACATGCACTGACTAGATAAGTGAAAGCAGTAAGTGCTACTTGTTGGGGTAGTGTTGCTGAAAACCAACTCTCAGCTGGCAATACCAAAGCCCCCTGGGAGATATATTCTTGTACAACAGAATTTTAGCTCAGGAAAACACTGGTCCAGAACTGTTTCTGAGCTGAGGGTCAATATCACTACCCTGACTTGAGCATTAACTTGCACCTTGAACTCAGTAAGTGCTACTTGTTGGGGCAGTTTTACTTGACAGAAAAAGCTGTGTGTGCGCGTCCTTTTTTCATTGTTCTTGAAGTCTGATCATGCAAGAATGTCTCCTAGATCACTCCAAACAGAGCCACTGCTGATTTGCTTCAACAAAAGTGCTTCTCTTTGGGGTTGTCTAGGATGGTAAAAACCACCAAGAGGATATGAAAGTTCTCGACTGTTCATCCACCAGCACTGTGGCAACATTTGTTTTCATAATTTAATCCAGGATTAAAAGCCTTGCTGTGCTGATCAGGGAAAAATGAGGGGGGTCTAGTCTTGCCTGTAACTGGTCAGTACTGTAACCCCAACACAAACACTGACTTGGGTTCCACATGCAGTAAGTGCTTTTTGTTGGGGTAGTTTTACTGACAAAGAACTATTGCAAAGACTCAGATGAATAAGGCATCAACAAAATCCAGATGACTGGTTCACAGGGCAGTCATGACAAGATGTAGTCTTATTTCATCACCCCCTCCACATTAAAAGTAGATTTTGAATGTTACAATGTAATGATGTTGAATCCGATGAGGAGGACATGTGAGGGGCAAGGTGATATTTTTTAATGGGGTGTGAGGCCGCTTACCACTACTCATTAATGGGACATTACCCAGGCTGATGGGCCATCCTGTTGAGTATGGATCTCTGAATACAAGCAATAGTCACAGCTATGGAAACCAGGAAGTTAACGGGTGGAGTCAAGCCCAAAGGACTGCTTGAAGGATATAAAGTTGAGGAAATGATGAAAAGCAATTAAATGCCTTCCAAAGGGACGCTGCATGGGGGTCCTGGAAGTAGCATCTAAGACATATATAACCAGGACAGAAATTCACTGATGGCCTGAAGATTAACCCAACCTGAGCATTTGACTTGGCTGCTGACCTTCAGTAAGTGCTACATGTTGGGGCGGTTGTACATGGCAAATTCAACGAGCTGGACAGGAGGAGGTTGCAGCAAATGCACAACATGATCACCTCAAATAGAGACACTGATGATTTCTCTGTTCATAAGTGCTTCTCTTTGGGGGTGTTTTGTTGGTGTCTTTTCACCAAAAAGCAGGTATGAAACAGAAAAATACTGGCAAAGACATGTTTCATTATGGCTTACTGGTTTTGTCATGATTATTTATTATTATTTTTCATTCCTTATTATTTGTCATGATTATGTCACCAGCATTACCCAAACACATGCACTGACTAGATAAGTGAAAGCAGTAAGTGCTACTTGTTGGGGTAGTGTTGCTGAAAACCAACTCTCAGCTGTCAATACCAAAGCCCCCTGGGAGATATATTCTTGTACAACAGAATTTTAGCTCAGGAAAACACTGGTCCAGAACTGTTTCTGAGCTGAGGGTCAATATCACTACCCTGACTTGAGCATTAACTTGCACCTTGAACTCAGTAAGTGCTACTTGTTGGGGCAGTTTTACTTGACAGAAAAAGCTGTGTGTGCGCGTCCTTTTTTCATTGTTCTTGAAGTCTGATCATGCAAGAATGTCTCCTAGATCACTCCAAACAGAGCCACTGCTGATTTGCTTCAACAAAAGTGCTTCTCTTTGGGGTTGTCTAGGATGGTAAAAACCACCAAGAGGATATGAAAGTTCTCGACTGTTCATCCACCAGCACTGTGGCAACATTTGTTTTCATAATTTAATCCAGGATTAAAAGCCTTGCTGTGCTGATCAGGGAAAAATGAGGGGGGTCTAGTCTTGCCTGTAACTGGTCAGTACTGTAACCCCAACACAAACACTGACTTGGGTTCCACATGCAGTAAGTGCTTTTTGTTGGGGTAGTTTTACTGACAAAGAACTATTGCAAAGACTCAGATGAATAAGGCATCAACAAAATCCAGATGACTGGTTCACAGGGCAGTCATGACAAGATGTAGTCTTATTTCATCACCCCCTCCACATTAAAAGTAGATTTTGAATGTTACAATGTAATGATGTTGAATCCGATGAGGAGGACATGTGAGGGGCAAGGTGATATTTTTTAATGGGGTGTGAGGCCGCTTACCACTACTCATTAATGGGACATTACCCAGGCTGATGGGCCATCCTGTTGAGTATGGATCTCTGAATACAAGCAATAGTCACAGCTATGGAAACCAGGAAGTTAACGGGTGGAGTCAAGCCCAAAGGACTGCTTGAAGGATATAAAGTTGAGGAAATGATGAAAAGCAATTAAATGCCTTCCAAAGGGACGCTGCATGGGGGTCCTGGAAGTAGCATCTAAGACATATATAACCAGGACAGAAATTCACTGATGGCCTGAAGATTAACCCAACCTGAGCATTTGACTTGGCTGCTGACCTTCAGTAAGTGCTACATGTTGGGGCGGTTGTACATGGCAAATTCAACGAGCTGGACAGGAGGAGGTTGCAGCAAATGCACAACATGATCACCTCAAATAGAGACACTGATGATTTCTCTGTTCATAAGTGCTTCTCTTTGGGGGTGTTTTGTTGGTGTCTTTTCACCAAAAAGCAGGTATGAAACAGAAAAATACTGGCAAAGACATGTTTCATTATGGCTTACTGGTTTTGTCATGATTATTTATTATTATTTTTCATTCCTTATTATTTGTCATGATTATGTCACCAGCATTACCCAAACACATGCACTGACTAGATAAGTGAAAGCAGTAAGTGCTACTTGTTGGGGTAGTGTTGCTGAAAACCAACTCTCAGCTGTCAATACCAAAGCCCCCTGGGAGATATATTCTTGTACAACAGAATTTTAGCTCAGGAAAACACTGGTCCAGAACTGTTTCTGAGCTGAGGGTCAATATCACTACCCTGACTTGAGCATTAACTTGCACCTTGAACTCAGTAAGTGCTACTTGTTGGGGCAGTTTTACTTGACAGAAAAAGCTGTGTGTGCGCGTCCTTTTTTCATTGTTCTTGAAGTCTGATCATGCAAGAATGTCTCCTAGATCACTCCAAACAGAGCCACTGCTGATTTGCTTCAACAAAAGTGCTTCTCTTTGGGGTTGTCTAGGATGGTAAAAACCACCAAGAGGATATGAAAGTTCTCGACTGTTCATCCACCAGCACTGTGGCAACATTTGTTTTCATAATTTAATCCAGGATTAAAAGCCTTGCTGTGCTGATCAGGGAAAAATGAGGGGGGTCTAGTCTTGCCTGTAACTGGTCAGTACTGTAACCCCAACACAAACACTGACTTGGGTTCCACATGCAGTAAGTGCTTTTTGTTGGGGTAGTTTTACTGACAAAGAACTATTGCAAAGACTCAGATGAATAAGGCATCAACAAAATCCAGATGACTGGTTCACAGGGCAGTCATGACAAGATGTAGTCTTATTTCATCACCCCCTCCGCATTAAAAGTAGACTTTGAATGTTACAATGTAATGATGTTGAATCCGATGAGGAGGACATGTGAGGGGCAAGGTGATATTTTTTAATGGGGTGTGAGGCCGCTTACCACTACTCATTAATGGGACATTACCCAGGCTGATGGGCCATCCTGTTGAGTATGGATCTCTGAATACAAGCAATAGTCACAGCTATGGAAACCAGGAAGTTAACGGGTGGAGTCAAGCCCAAAGGACTGCTTGAAGGATATAAAGTTGAGGAAATGATGAAAAGCAATTAAATGCCTTCCAAAGGGACGCTGCATGGGGGTCCTGGAAGTAGCATCTAAGACATATATAACCAGGACAGAAATTCACTGATGGCCTGAAGATTAACCCAACCTGAGCATTTGACTTGGCTGCTGACCTTCAGTAAGTGCTACATGTTGGGGCGGTTGTACATGGCAAATTCAACGAGCTGGACAGGAGGAGGTTGCAGCAAATGCACAACATGATCACCTCAAATAGAGACACTGATGATTTCTCTGTTCATAAGTGCTTCTCTTTGGGGGTGTTTTGTTGGTGTCTTTTCACCAAAAAGCAGGTATGAAACAGAAAAATACTGGCAAAGACATGTTTCATTATGGCTTACTGGTTTTGTCATGATTATTTATTATTATTTTTCATTCCTTATTATTTGTCATGATTATGTCACCAGCATTACCCAAACACATGCACTGACTAGATAAGTGAAAGCAGTAAGTGCTACTTGTTGGGGTAGTGTTGCTGAAAACCAACTCTCAGCTGTCAATACCAAAGCCCCCTGGGAGATATATTCTTGTACAACAGAATTTTAGCTCAGGAAAACACTGGTCCAGAACTGTTTCTGAGCTGAGGGTCAATATCACTACCCTGACTTGAGCATTAACTTGCACCTTGAACTCAGTAAGTGCTACTTGTTGGGGCAGTTTTACTTGACAGAAAAAGCTGTGTGTGTGCGTCCTTTTTCATTGTTCTTGAAGTCTGATCATGCAAGAATGTCTCCTAGATCACTCCAAACAGAGCCACTGCTGTTTTTCTTCAACAAAAGTGCTTCTCTTTGGGGCTGTCTAGGATGGTAAAAACCACCAAGAGGATATGAAAGTTCTCGACTGTTCATCCACCAGCACTGTGGCAACATTTGTTTTCATAATTTAATCCAGGATTAAAAGCCTGTGCTGTGCTGATCAGGGAAAAATGAGGGGGGTCTAGTCTTGCCTGTAACTGGTCAGTACTGTAACCCCAACACAAACACTGACTTGGGTTCCACATGCAGTAAGTGCTTTTTGTTGGGGTAGTTTTACTGACAAAGAACTATTGCAAAGACTCAGATGAATAAGGCATCAACAAAATCCAGATGACTGGTTCACAGGGCAGTCATGACAAGATGTAGTCTTATTTCATCACCCCCTCCGCATTAAAAGTAGACTTTGAATGTTACAATGTAATGATGTTGAATCCGATGAGGAGGACATGTGAGGGGCAAGGTGATATTTTTTGATGGGGTGTGAGGCCGCTTACCACTACTCATTAATGGGACATTACCCAGGCTGATGGGCCATCCTGTTGAGTATGGATCTCTGAATACAAGCAATAGTCACAGCTATGGAAACCAGGAAGTTACCGGGCGGAGTCAAGCCCAAAGGACTGCTTGAAGGATATAAAGTTGAGGAAATGATGAAAAGCAATTAAATGCCTTCCAAAGGGACGCTGCATGGGGGTCCTGGAAGTAGCATCTAAGACATATATAACCAGGACAGAAATTCACTGATGGCCTGAAGATTAACCCAACCTGAGCATTTGACTTGGCTGCTGACCTTCAGTAAGTGCTACATGTTGGGGCGGTTGTACATGGCAAATTCAACCGAGCTGGACAGGAGGAGGTTGCAGCAAATGCACAACATGATCACCTCAAATAGAGACACTGATGATTTCTCTGTTCATAAGTGCTTCTCTTTGGGGGTGTTTTGTTGGTGTCTTTTCACCAAAAAGCAGGTATGAAACAGAAAAATACTGGCAAAGACATGTTTCATTATGGCTTACTGGTTTTGTCATGATTATTTATTATTATTTTTCATTCCTTATTATTTGTCATGATTATGTCACCAGCATTACCCAAACACATGCACTGACTAGATAAGTGAAAGCAGTAAGTGCTACTTGTTGGGGTAGTGTTGCTGAAAACCAACTCTCAGCTGTCAATACCAAAGCCCCCTGGGAGATATATTCTTGTACAACAGAATTTTAGCTCAGGAAAACACTGGTCCAGAACTGTTTCTGAGCTGAGGGTCAATATCACTACCCTGACTTGAGCATTAACTTGCACCTTGAACTCAGTAAGTGCTACTTGTTGGGGCAGTTTTACTTGACAGAAAAAGCTGTGTGTGCGCGTCCTTTTTTCATTGTTCTTGAAGTCTGATCATGCAAGAATGTCTCCTAGATCACTCCAAACAGAGCCACTGCTGATTTGCTTCAACAAAAGTGCTTCTCTTTGGGGTTGTCTAGGATGGTAAAAACCACCAAGAGGATATGAAAGTTCTCGACTGTTCATCCACCAGCACTGTGGCAACATTTGTTTTCATAATTTAATCCAGGATTAAAAGCCTTGCTGTGCTGATCAGGGAAAAATGAGGGGGGTCTAGTCTTGCCTGTAACTGGTCAGTACTGTAACCCCAACACAAACACTGACTTGGGTTCCACATGCAGTAAGTGCTTTTTGTTGGGGTAGTTTTACTGACAAAGAACTATTGCAAAGACTCAGATGAATAAGGCATCAACAAAATCCAGATGACTGGTTCACAGGGCAGTCATGACAAGATGTAGTCTTATTTCATCACCCCCTCCACATTAAAAGTAGATTTTGAATGTTACAATGTAATGATGTTGAATCCGATGAGGAGGACATGTGAGGGGCAAGGTGATATTTTTTAATGGGGTGTGAGGCCGCTTACCACTAGCGGTGCAGACATCACCCAGGCTGATGGGCCATCCTGTTGAGTATGGATCTCTGAATACAAGCAATAGTCACAGCTATGGAAACCAGGAAGTTAACGGGTGGAGTCAAGCCCAAAGGACTGCTTGAAGGATATAAAGTTGAGGAAATGATGAAAAGCAATTAAATGCCTTCCAAAGGGACGCTGCATGGGGGTCCTGGAAGTAGCATCTAAGACATATATAACCAGGACAGAAATTCACTGATGGCCTGAAGATTAACCCAACCTGAGCATTTGACTTGGCTGCTGACCTTCAGTAAGTGCTACATGTTGGGGCGGTTGTACATGGCAAATTCAACCAGCTGGACAGGAGGAGGTTGCAGCAAATGCACAACATGATCACCTCAAATAGAGACACTGATGATTTCTCTGTTCATAAGTGCTTCTCTTTGGGGGTGTTTTGTTGGTGTCTTTTCACCAAAAAGCAGGTATGAAACAGAAAAATACTGGCAAAGACATGTTTCATTATGGCTTACTGGTTTTGTCATGATTATTTATTATTATTTTTCATTCCTTATTATTTGTCATGATTATGTCACCAGCATTACCCAAACACATGCACTGACTAGATAAGTGAAAGCAGTAAGTGCTACTTGTTGGGGTAGTGTTGCTGAAAACCAACTCTCAGCTGTCAATACCAGAAGCCCCCTGGGAGATATATTCTTGTACAACAGAATTTTAGCTCAGGAAAACACTGGTCCAGAACTGTTTCTGAGCTGAGGGTCAATATCACTACCCTGACTTGAGCATTAACTTGCACCTTGAACTCAGTAAGTGCTACTTGTTGGGGCAGTTTTACTTGACAGAAAAAGCTGTGTGTGCGCGTCCTTTTTTCATTGTTCTTGAAGTCTGATCATGCAAGAATGTCTCCTAGATCACTCCAAACAGAGCCACTGCTGATTTGCTTCAACAAAAGTGCTTCTCTTTGGGGTTGTCTAGGATGGTAAAAACCACCAAGAGGTTATGAAAGTTCTCGACTGTTCATCCACCTTCACTGTGGCAACATTTGTTTTCATAATTTAATCCAGGATTAAAAGCCTTGCTGTGCTGATCAGGGAAAAATGAGGGGGGTCTAGTCTTGCCTGTAACTGGTCAGTACTGTAACCCCAACACAAACACTGACTTGGGTTCCACATGCAGTAAGTGCTTTTTGTTGGGGTAGTTTTACTGACAAAGAACTATTGCAAAGACTCAGATGAATAAGGCATCAACAAAATCCAGATGACTGGTTCACAGGGCAGTCATGACAAGATGTACTCTTATTTCATCACCCCCTCCGCATTAAAAGTAGACTTTGAATGTTACAATGTAATGATGTTGAATCCGATGAGGAGGACATGTGAGGGGCAAGGTGATATTTTTTGATGGGGTGTGAGGCCGCTTACCACTACTCATTAATGGGACATTACCCAGGCTGATGGGCCATCCTGTTGAGTATGGATCTCTGAATACAAGCAATAGTCACAGCTATGGAAACCAGGAAGTTACCGGTTGGAGTCAAGCCCAAAGGACTGCTTGAAGGATATAAAGTTGAGGAAATGATGAAAAGCAATTAAATGCCTTCCAAAGGGACGCTGCATGGGGGTCCTGGAAGTAGCATCTAAGACATATATAACCAGGACAGAAATTCACTGATGGCCTGAAGATTAACCCAACCTGAGCATTTGACTTGGCTGCTGACCTTCAGGAAGTGCTTCATGTTGGGGCGGTTGTACATGGCAAATTCAACGAGCTGGACAGGAGGAGGTTGCAGCAAATGCACAACATGATCACCTCAAATAGAGACACTGATGATTTCTCTGTTCATAAGTGCTTCTCTTTGGGGGTGTTTTGTTGGTGTCTTTTCACCAAAAAGCAGGTATGAAACAGAAAAATACTGGCAAAGACATGTTTCATTATGGCTTACTGGTTTTGTCATGATTATTTATTATTATTTTTCATTCCTTATTATTTGTCATGATTATGTCACCAGCATTACCCAAACACATGCACTGACTAGATAAGTGAAAGCAGTAAGTGCTACTTGTTGGGGTAGTGTTGCTGAAAACCAACTCTCAGCTGTCAATACACAAAGCCCCCTGGGAGATATATTCTTGTACAACAGAATTTTAGCTCAGGAAAACACTGGTCCAGAACTGTTTCTGAGCTGAGGGTCAATATCACTACCCTGACTTGAGCATTAACTTGCACCTTGAACTCAGTAAGTGCTACTTGTTGGGGCAGTTTTACTTGACAGAAAAAGCTGTGTGTGTGCGTCCTTTTTTCATTGTTCTTGAAGTCTGATCATGCAAGATTGTCTCCTAGATCACTCCAAACAGAGCCACTGCTGATTTGCTTCAACAAAAGTGCTTCTCTTTGGGGTTGTCTAGGATGGTAAAAACCACCAAGAGGATATGAAAGTTCTCGACTGTTCATCCACCAGCACTGTGGCAACATTTGTTTTCATAATTTAATCCAGGATTAAAAGCCTTGCTGTGCTGATCAGGGAAAAATGAGGGGGGTCTAGTCTTGCCTGTAACTGGTCAGTACTGTAACCCCAACACAAACACTGACTTGGGTTCCACATGCAGTAAGTGCTTTTTGTTGGGGTAGTTTTACTGACAAAGAACTATTGCAAAGACTCAGATGAATAAGGCATCAACAAAATCCAGATGACTGGTTCACAGGGCAGTCATGACAAGATGTAGTCTTATTTCATCACCCCCTCCACATTAAAAGTAGACTTTGAATGTTACAATGTAATGATGTTGAATCCGATGAGGAGGACATGTGAGGGGCAAGGTGATATTTTTTGATGGGGTGTGAGGCTGCTTACCACTACTCATTAATGGGACATTACCCAGGCTGATGGGCCATCCTGTTGAGTATGGATCTCTGAATACAAGCAATAGTCACAGCTATGGAAACCAGGAAGTTAACGGGCGGAGTCAAGCCCAAAGGACTGCTTGAAGGATATAAAGTTGAGGAAATGATGAAAAGCAATTAAATGCCTTCCAAAGGGACGCTGCATGGGGGTCCTGGAAGTAGCATCTAAGACATATATAACCAGGACAGAAATTCACTGATGGCCTGAAGATTAACCCAACCTGAGCATTTGACTTGGCTGCTGACCTTCAGTAAGTGCTACATGTTGGGGCGGTTGTACATGGCAAATTCAACCAGCTGGACAGGAGGAGGTTGCAGCAAATGCACAACATGATCACCTCAAATAGAGACACTGATGATTTCTCTGTTCATAAGTGCTTCTCTTTGGGGGTGTTTTGTTGGTGGTGTCTTTTCACCAAAAAGCAGGTATGAAACAGAAAAATACTGGCAAAGACATGTTTCATTATGGCTTACTGGTTTTGTCATGATTATTTATTATTATTTTTCATTCCTTATTATTTGTCATGATTATGTCACCAGCATTACCCAAACACATGCACTGACTAGATAAGTGAAAGCAGTAAGTGCTACTTGTTGGGGTAGTGTTGCTGAAAACCAACTCTCAGCTGTCAATACCAAAGCCCCCTGGGAGATATATTCTTGTACAACAGAATTTTAGCTCAGGAAAACACTGGTCCAGAACTGTTTCTGAGCTGAGGGTCAATATCACTACCCTGACTTGAGCATTAACTTGCACCTTGAACTCAGTAAGTGCTACTTGTTGGGGCAGTTTTACTTGACAGAAAAAGCTGTGTGTGCGCGTCCTTTTTTCATTGTTCTTGAAGTCTGATCATGCAAGAATGTCTCCTAGATCACTCCAAACAGAGCCACTGCTGATTTGCTTCAACAAAAGTGCTTCTCTTTGGGGTTGTCTAGGATGGTAAAAACCACCAAGAGGATATGAAAGTTCTCGACTGTTCATCCACCAGCACTGTGGCAACATTTGTTTTCATAATTTAATCCAGGATTAAAAGCCTTGCTGTGCTGATCAGGGAAAATGAGGGGGGTCTAGTCTTGCCTGTAACTGGTCAGTACTGTAACCCCAACACAAACACTGACTTGGGTTCCACATGCAGTAAGTGCTTTTTGTTGGGGTAGTTTTACTGACAAAGAACTATTGCAAAGACTCAGATGAATAAGGCATCAACAAAATCCAGATGACTGGTTCACAGGGCAGTCATGACAAGATGTACTCTTATTTCATCACCCCCTCCGCATTAAAAGTAGACTTTGAATGTTACAATGTATTGATGTTGAATCCGATGAGGAGGACATGTGAGGGGCAAGGTGATATTTTTTGATGGGGTGTGAGGCCGCTTACCACTACTCATTAATGGGACATTACCCAGGCTGATGGGCCATCCTGTTGAGTATGGATCTCTGAATACAAGCAATAGTCACAGCTATGGAAACCAGGAAGTTACCGGGCGGAGTCAAGCCCAAAGGACTGCTTGAAGGATATAAAGTTGAGGAAATGATGAAAAGCAATTAAATGCCTTCCAAAGGGACGCTGCATGGGGGTCCTGGAAGTAGCATCTAAGACATATATAACCAGGACAGAAATTCACTGATGGCCTGAAGATTAACCCAACCTGAGCATTTGACTTGGCTGCTGACCTTCAGTAAGTGCTACATGTTGGGGCGGTTGTACATGGCAAATTCAACAAGCTGGACAGGAGGAGGTTGCAGCAAATGCACAACATGATCACCTCAAATAGAGACACTGATGATTTCTCTGTTCATAAGTGCTTCTCTTTGGGGGTGTTTTGTTGGTGTCTTTTCACCAAAAAGCAGGTATGAAACAGAAAAATACTGGCAAAGACATGTTTCATTATGGCTTACTGGTTTTGTCATGATTATTTATTATTATTTTTCATTCCTTATTATTTGTCATGATTATGTCACCAGCATTACCCAAACACATGCACTGACTAGATAAGTGAAAGCAGTAAGTGCTACTTGTTGGGGTAGTGTTGCTGAAAACCAACTCTCAGCTGTCAATACCAGAAGCCCCCTGGGAGATATATTCTTGTACAACAGAATTTTAGCTCAGGAAAACACTGGTCCAGAACTGTTTCTGAGCTGAGGGTCAATATCACTACCCTGACTTGAGCATTAACTTGCACCTTGAACTCAGTAAGTGCTACTTGTTGGGGCAGTTTTACTTGACAGAAAAAGCTGTGTGTGTGCGTCCTTTTTTCATTGTTCTTGAAGTCTGATCATGCAAGAATGTCTCCTAGATCACTCCAAACAGAGCCACTGCTGATTTGCTTCAACAAAAGTGCTTCTCTTTGGGGTTGTCTAGGATGGTAAAAACCACCAAGAGGATATGAAAGTTCTCGACTGTTCATCCACCAGCACTGTGGCAACATTTGTTTTCATAATTTAATCCAGGATTAAAAGCCTTGCTGTGCTGATCAGGGAAAAATGAGGGGGGTCTAGTCTTGCCTGTAACTGGTCAGTACTGTAACCCCAACACAAACACTGACTTGGGTTCCACATGCAGTAAGTGCTTTTTGTTGGGGTAGTTTTACTGACAAAGAACTATTGCAAAGACTCAGATGAATAAGGCATCAACAAAATCCAGATGACTGGTTCACAGGGCAGTCATGACAAGATGTAGTCTTATTTCATCACCCCCTCCGCATTAAAAGTAGACTTTGAATGTTACAATGTAATGATGTTGAATCCGATGAGGAGGACATGTGAGGGGCAAGGTGATATTTTTTGATGGGGTGTGAGGCCGCTTACCACTACTCATTAATGGGACATTACCCAGGCTGATGGGCCATCCTGTTGAGTATGGATCTCTGAATACAAGCAATAGTCACAGCTATGGAAACCAGGAAGTTAACGGGTGGAGTCAAGCCCAAAGGACTGCTTGAAGGATATAAAGTTGAGGAAATGATGAAAAGCAATTAAATGCCTTCCAAAGGGACGCTGCATGGGGGTCCTGGAAGTAGCATCTAAGACATATATAACCAGGACAGAAATTCACTGATGGCCTGAAGATTAACCCAACCTGAGCATTTGACTTGGCTGCTGACCTTCAGTAAGTGCTACATGTTGGGGCGGTTGTACATGGCAAATTCAACAAGCTGGACAGGAGGAGGTTGCAGCAAATGCACAACATGATCACCTCAAATAGAGACACTGATGATTTCTCTGTTCATAAGTGCTTCTCTTTGGGGGTGTTTTGTTGGTGTCTTTTCACCAAAAAGCAGGTATGAAACAGAAAAATACTGGCAAAGACATGTTTCATTATGGCTTACTGGTTTTGTCATGATTATTTATTATTATTTTTCATTCCTTATTATTTGTCATGATTATGTCACCAGCATTACCCAAACACATGCACTGACTAGATAAGTGAAAGCAGTAAGTGCTACTTGTTGGGGTAGTGTTGCTGAAAACCAACTCTCAGCTGTCAATACCAAAGCCCCCTGGGAGATATATTCTTGTACAACAGAATTTTAGCTCAGGAAAACACTGGTCCAGAACTGTTTCTGAGCTGAGGGTCAATATCACTACCCTGACTTGAGCATTAACTTGCACCTTGAACTCAGTAAGTGCTACTTGTTGGGGCAGTTTTACTTGACAGAAAAAGCTGTGTGTGCGCGTCCTTTTTTCATTGTTCTTGAAGTCTGATCATGCAAGAATGTCTCCTAGATCACTCCAAACAGAGCCACTGCTGATTTGCTTCAACAAAAGTGCTTCTCTTTGGGGTTGTCTAGGATGGTAAAAACCACCAAGAGGATATGAAAGTTCTCGACTGTTCATCCACCAGCACTGTGGCAACATTTGTTTTCATAATTTAATCCAGGATTAAAAGCCTTGCTGTGCTGATCAGGGAAAAATGAGGGGGGTCTAGTCTTGCCTGTAACTGGTCAGTACTGTAACCCCAACACAAACACTGACTTGGGTTCCACATGCAGTAAGTGCTTTTTGTTGGGGTAGTTTTACTGACAAAGAACTATTGCAAAGACTCAGATGAATAAGGCATCAACAAAATCCAGATGACTGGTTCACAGGGCAGTCATGACAAGATGTACTCTTATTTCATCACCCCCTCCGCATTAAAAGTAGACTTTGAATGTTACAATGTAATGATGTTGAATCCGATGAGGAGGACATGTGAGGGGCAAGGTGATATTTTTTGATGGGGTGTGAGGCCGCTTACCACTACTCATTAATGGGACATTACCCAGGCTGATGGGCCATCCTGTTGAGTATGGATCTCTGAATACAAGCAATAGTCACAGCTATGGAAACCAGGAAGTTAACGGGTGGAGTCAAGCCCAAAGGACTGCTTGAAGGATATAAAGTTGAGGAAATGATGAAAAGCAATTAAATGCCTTCCAAAGGGACGCTGCATGGGGGTCCTGGAAGTAGCATCTAAGACATATATAACCAGGACAGAAATTCACTGATGGCCTGAAGATTAACCCAACCTGAGCATTTGACTTGGCTGCTGACCTTCAGTAAGTGCTACATGTTGGGGCGGTTGTACATGGCAAATTCAACGAGCTGGACAGGAGGAGGTTGCAGCAAATGCACAACATGATCACCTCAAATAGAGACACTGATGATTTCTCTGTTCATAAGTGCTTCTCTTTGGGGGTGTTTTGTTGGTGTCTTTTCACCAAAAAGCAGGTATGAAACAGAAAAATACTGGCAAAGACATGTTTCATTATGGCTTACTGGTTTTGTCATGATTATTTATTATTATTTTTCATTCCTTATTATTTGTCATGATTATGTCACCAGCATTACCCAAACACATGCACTGACTAGATAAGTGAAAGCAGTAAGTGCTACTTGTTGGGGTAGTGTTGCTGAAAACCAACTCTCAGCTGTCAATACCAAAGCCCCCTGGGAGATATATTCTTGTACAACAGAATTTTAGCTCAGGAAAACACTGGTCCAGAACTGTTTCTGAGCTGAGGGTCAATATCACTACCCTGACTTGAGCATTAACTTGCACCTTGAACTCAGTAAGTGCTACTTGTTGGGGCAGTTTTACTTGACAGAAAAAGCTGTGTGTGCGCGTCCTTTTTTCATTGTTCTTGAAGTCTGATCATGCAAGAATGTCTCCTAGATCACTCCAAACAGAGCCACTGCTGATTTGCTTCAACAAAAGTGCTTCTCTTTGGGGTTGTCTAGGATGGTAAAAACCACCAAGAGGATATGAAAGTTCTCGACTGTTCATCCACCAGCACTGTGGCAACATTTGTTTTCATAATTTAATCCAGGATTAAAAGCCTTGCTGTGCTGATCAGGGAAAAATGAGGGGGTCTAGTCTTGCCTGTAACTGGTCAGTACTGTAACCCCAACACAAACACTGACTTGGGTTCCACATGCAGTAAGTGCTTTTTGTTGGGGTAGTTTTACTGACAAAGAACTATTGCAAAGACTCAGATGAATAAGGCATCAACAAAATCCAGATGACTGGTTCACAGGGCAGTCATGACAAGATGTAGTCTTATTTCATCACCCCCTCCGCATTAAAAGTAGACTTTGAATGTTACAATGTAATGATGTTGAATCCGATGAGGAGGACATGTGAGGGGCAAGGTGATATTTTTTGATGGGGTGTGAGGCCGCTTACCACTACTCATTAATGGGACATTACCCAGGCTGATGGGCCATCCTGTTGAGTATGGATCTCTGAATACAAGCAATAGTCACAGCTATGGAAACCAGGAAGTTAACGGGTGGAGTCAAGCCCAAAGGACTGCTTGAAGGATATAAAGTTGAGGAAATGATGAAAAGCAATTAAATGCCTTCCAAAGGGACGCTGCATGGGGGTCCTGGAAGTAGCATCTAAGACATATATAACCAGGACAGAAATTCACTGATGGCCTGAAGATTAACCCAACCTGAGCATTTGACTTGGCTGCTGACCTTCAGTAAGTGCTACATGTTGGGGCGGTTGTACATGGCAAATTCAACGAGCTGGACAGGAGGAGGTTGCAGCAAATGCACAACATGATCACCTCAAATAGAGACACTGATGATTTCTCTGTTCATAAGTGCTTCTCTTTGGGGGTGTTTTGTTGGTGTCTTTTCACCAAAAAGCAGGTATGAAACAGAAAAATACTGGCAAAGACATGTTTCATTATGGCTTACTGGTTTTGTCATGATTATTTATTATTATTTTTCATTCCTTATTATTTGTCATGATTATGTCACCAGCATTACCCAAACACATGCACTGACTAGATAAGTGAAAGCAGTAAGTGCTACTTGTTGGGGTAGTGTTGCTGAAAACCAACTCTCAGCTGTCAATACCAAAGCCCCCTGGGAGATATATTCTTGTACAACAGAATTTTAGCTCAGGAAAACACTGGTCCAGAACTGTTTCTGAGCTGAGGGTCAATATCACTACCCTGACTTGAGCATTAACTTGCACCTTGAACTCAGTAAGTGCTACTTGTTGGGGCAGTTTTACTTGACAGAAAAAGCTGTGTGTGCGCGTCCTTTTTTCATTGTTCTTGAAGTCTGATCATGCAAGAATGTCTCCTAGATCACTCCAAACAGAGCCACTGCTGATTTGCTTCAACAAAAGTGCTTCTCTTTGGGGTTGTCTAGGATGGTAAAAACCACCAAGAGGATATGAAAGTTCTCGACTGTTCATCCACCAGCACTGTGGCAACATTTGTTTTCATAATTTAATCCAGGATTAAAAGCCTTGCTGTGCTGATCAGGGAAAAATGAGGGGGGTCTAGTCTTGCCTGTAACTGGTCAGTACTGTAACCCCAACACAAACACTGACTTGGGTTCCACATGCAGTAAGTGCTTTTTGTTGGGGTAGTTTTACTGACAAAGAACTATTGCAAAGACTCAGATGAATAAGGCATCAACAAAATCCAGATGACTGGTTCACAGGGCAGTCATGACAAGATGTACTCTTATTTCATCACCCCCTCCGCATTAAAAGTAGACTTTGAATGTTACAATGTAATGATGTTGAATCCGATGAGGAGGACATGTGAGGGGCAAGGTGATATTTTTTGATGGGGTGTGAGGCCGCTTACCACTACTCATTAATGGGACATTACCCAGGCTGATGGGCCATCCTGTTGAGTATGGATCTCTGAATACAAGCAATAGTCACAGCTATGGAAACCAGGAAGTTAACGGGTGGAGTCAAGCCCAAAGGACTGCTTGAAGGATATAAAGTTGAGGAAATGATGAAAAGCAATTAAATGCCTTCCAAAGGGACGCTGCATGGGGGTCCTGGAAGTAGCATCTAAGACATATATAACCAGGACAGAAATTCACTGATGGCCTGAAGATTAACCCAACCTGAGCATTTGACTTGGCTGCTGACCTTCAGTAAGTGCTACATGTTGGGGCGGTTGTACATGGCAAATTCAACGAGCTGGACAGGAGGAGGTTGCAGCAAATGCACAACATGATCACCTCAAATAGAGACACTGATGATTTCTCTGTTCATAAGTGCTTCTCTTTGGGGGTGTTTTGTTGGTGTCTTTTCACCAAAAAGCAGGTATGAAACAGAAAAATACTGGCAAAGACATGTTTCATTATGGCTTACTGGTTTTGTCATGATTATTTATTATTATTTTTCATTCCTTATTATTTGTCATGATTATGTCACCAGCATTACCCAAACACATGCACTGACTAGATAAGTGAAAGCAGTAAGTGCTACTTGTTGGGGTAGTGTTGCTGAAAACCAACTCTCAGCTGTCAATACCAAAGCCCCCTGGGAGATATATTCTTGTACAACAGAATTTTAGCTCAGGAAAACACTGGTCCAGAACTGTTTCTGAGCTGAGGGTCAATATCACTACCCTGACTTGAGCATTAACTTGCACCTTGAACTCAGTAAGTGCTACTTGTTGGGGCAGTTTTACTTGACAGAAAAAGCTGTGTGTGCGCGTCCTTTTTTCATTGTTCTTGAAGTCTGATCATGCAAGAATGTCTCCTAGATCACTCCAAACAGAGCCACTGCTGATTTGCTTCAACAAAAGTGCTTCTCTTTGGGGTTGTCTAGGATGGTAAAAACCACCAAGAGGATATGAAAGTTCTCGACTGTTCATCCACCAGCACTGTGGCAACATTTGTTTTCATAATTTAATCCAGGATTAAAAGCCTTGCTGTGCTGATCAGGGAAAAATGAGGGGGGTCTAGTCTTGCCTGTAACTGGTCAGTACTGTAACCCCAACACAAACACTGACTTGGGTTCCACATGCAGTAAGTGCTTTTTGTTGGGGTAGTTTTACTGACAAAGAACTATTGCAAAGACTCAGATGAATAAGGCATCAACAAAATCCAGATGACTGGTTCACAGGGCAGTCATGACAAGATGTACTCTTATTTCATCACCCCCTCCGCATTAAAAGTAGACTTTGAATGTTACAATGTAATGATGTTGAATCCGATGAGGAGGACATGTGAGGGGCAAGGTGATATTTTTTGATGGGGTGTGAGGCCGCTTACCACTACTCATTAATGGGACATTACCCAGGCTGATGGGCCATCCTGTTGAGTATGGATCTCTGAATACAAGCAATAGTCACAGCTATGGAAACCAGGAAGTTAACGGGTGGAGTCAAGCCCAAAGGACTGCTTGAAGGATATAAAGTTGAGGAAATGATGAAAAGCAATTAAATGCCTTCCAAAGGGACGCTGCATGGGGGTCCTGGAAGTAGCATCTAAGACATATATAACCAGGACAGAAATTCACTGATGGCCTGAAGATTAACCCAACCTGAGCATTTGACTTGGCTGCTGACCTTCAGTAAGTGCTACATGTTGGGGCGGTTGTACATGGCAAATTCAACAAGCTGGACAGGAGGAGGTTGCAGCAAATGCACAACATGATCACCTCAAATAGAGACACTGATGATTTCTCTGTTCATAAGTGCTTCTCTTTGGGGGTGTTTTGTTGGTGTCTTTTCACCAAAAAGCAGGTATGAAACAGAAAAATACTGGCAAAGACATGTTTCATTATGGCTTACTGGTTTTGTCATGATTATTTATTATTATTTTTCATTCCTTATTATTTGTCATGATTATGTCACCAGCATTACCCAAACACATGCACTGACTAGATAAGTGAAAGCAGTAAGTGCTACTTGTTGGGGTAGTGTTGCTGAAAACCAACTCTCAGCTGTCAATACCAAAGCCCCCTGGGAGATATATTCTTGTACAACAGAATTTTAGCTCAGGAAAACACTGGTCCAGAACTGTTTCTGAGCTGAGGGTCAATATCACTACCCTGACTTGAGCATTAACTTGCACCTTGAACTCAGTAAGTGCTACTTGTTGGGGCAGTTTTACTTGACAGAAAAAGCTGTGTGTGCGCGTCCTTTTTTCATTGTTCTTGAAGTCTGATCATGCAAGAATGTCTCCTAGATCACTCCAAACAGAGCCACTGCTGATTTGCTTCAACAAAAGTGCTTCTCTTTGGGGTTGTCTAGGATGGTAAAAACCACCAAGAGGATATGAAAGTTCTCGACTGTTCATCCACCAGCACTGTGGCAACATTTGTTTTCATAATTTAATCCAGGATTAAAAGCCTTGCTGTGCTGATCAGGGAAAAATGAGGGGGGTCTAGTCTTGCCTGTAACTGGTCAGTACTGTAACCCCAACACAAACACTGACTTGGGTTCCACATGCAGTAAGTGCTTTTTGTTGGGGTAGTTTTACTGACAAAGAACTATTGCAAAGACTCAGATGAATAAGGCATCAACAAAATCCAGATGACTGGTTCACAGGGCAGTCATGACAAGATGTACTCTTATTTCATCACCCCCTCCGCATTAAAAGTAGACTTTGAATGTTACAATGTAATGATGTTGAATCCGATGAGGAGGACATGTGAGGGGCAAGGTGATATTTTTTGATGGGGTGTGAGGCCGCTTACCACTACTCATTAATGGGACATTACCCAGGCTGATGGGCCATCCTGTTGAGTATGGATCTCTGAATACAAGCAATAGTCACAGCTATGGAAACCAGGAAGTTACCGGGCGGAGTCAAGCCCAAAGGACTGCTTGAAGGATATAAAGTTGAGGAAATGATGAAAAGCAATTAAATGCCTTCCAAAGGGACGCTGCATGGGGGTCCTGGAAGTAGCATCTAAGACATATATAACCAGGACAGAAATTCACTGATGGCCTGAAGATTAACCCAACCTGAGCATTTGACTTGGCTGCTGACCTTCAGTAAGTGCTACATGTTGGGGCGGTTGTACATGGCAAATTCAACAAGCTGGACAGGAGGAGGTTGCAGCAAATGCACAACATGATCACCTCAAATAGAGACACTGATGATTTCTCTGTTCATAAGTGCTTCTCTTTGGGGGTGTTTTGTTGGTGTCTTTTCACCAAAAAGCAGGTATGAAACAGAAAAATACTGGCAAAGACATGTTTCATTATGGCTTACTGGTTTTGTCATGATTATTTATTATTATTTTTCATTCCTTATTATTTGTCATGATTATGTCACCAGCATTACCCAAACACATGCACTGACTAGATAAGTGAAAGCAGTAAGTGCTACTTGTTGGGGTAGTGTTGCTGAAAACCAACTCTCAGCTGTCAATACCAAAGCCCCCTGGGAGATATATTCTTGTACAACAGAATTTTAGCTCAGGAAAACACTGGTCCAGAACTGTTTCTGAGCTGAGGGTCAATATCACTACCCTGACTTGAGCATTAACTTGCACCTTGAACTCAGTAAGTGCTACTTGTTGGGGCAGTTTTACTTGACAGAAAAAGCTGTGTGTGCGCGTCCTTTTTTCATTGTTCTTGAAGTCTGATCATGCAAGAATGTCTCCTAGATCACTCCAAACAGAGCCACTGCTGATTTCTTCAACAAAAGTGCTTCTCTTTGGGGTTGTCTAGGATGGTAAAAACCACCAAGAGGATATGAAAGTTCTCGACTGTTCATCCACCAGCACTGTGGCAACATTTGTTTTCATAATTTAATCCAGGATTAAAAGCCTTGCTGTGCTGATCAGGAAAAATGAGGGGGGTCTAGTCTTGCCTGTAACTGGTCAGTACTGTAACCCCAACACAAACACTGACTTGGGTTCCACATGCAGTAAGTGCTTTTTGTTGGGGTAGTTTTACTGACAAAGAACTATTGCAAAGACTCAGATGAATAAGGCATCAACAAAATCCAGATGACTGGTTCACAGGGCAGTCATGACAAGATGTACTCTTATTTCATCACCCCCTCCGCATTAAAAGTAGACTTTGAATGTTACAATGTAATGATGTTGAATCCGATGAGGAGGACATGTGAGGGGCAAGGTGATATTTTTTGATGGGGTGTGAGGCCGCTTACCACTACTCATTAATGGGACATTACCCAGGCTGATGGGCCATCCTGTTGAGTATGGATCTCTGAATACAAGCAATAGTCACAGCTATGGAAACCAGGAAGTTAACGGGCGGAGTCAAGCCCAAAGGACTGCTTGAAGGATATAAAGTTGAGGAAATGATGAAAAGCAATTAAATGCCTTCCAAAGGGACGCTGCATGGGGGTCCTGGAAGTAGCATCTAAGACATATATAACCAGGACAGAAATTCACTGATGGCCTGAAGATTAACCCAACCTGAGCATTTGACTTGGCTGCTGACCTTCAGTAAGTGCTACATGTTGGGGCGGTTGTACATGGCAAATTCAACAAGCTGGACAGGAGGAGGTTGCAGCAAATGCACAACATGATCACCTCAAATAGAGACACTGATGATTTCTCTGTTCATAAGTGCTTCTCTTTGGGGGTGTTTTGTTGGTGTCTTTTCACCAAAAAGCAGGTATGAAACAGAAAAATACTGGCAAAGACATGTTTCATTATGGCTTACTGGTTTTGTCATGATTATTTATTATTATTTTTCATTCCTTATTATTTGTCATGATTATGTCACCAGCATTACCCAAACACATGCACTGACTAGATAAGTGAAAGCAGTAAGTGCTACTTGTTGGGGTAGTGTTGCTGAAAACCAACTCTCAGCTGTCAATACCAAAGCCCCCTGGGAGATATATTCTTGTACAACAGAATTTTAGCTCAGGAAAACACTGGTCCAGAACTGTTTCTGAGCTGAGGGTCAATATCACTACCCTGACTTGAGCATTAACTTGCACCTTGAACTCAGTAAGTGCTACTTGTTGGGGCAGTTTTACTTGACAGAAAAAGCTGTGTGTGCGCGTCCTTTTTTCATTGTTCTTGAAGTCTGATCATGCAAGAATGTCTCCTAGATCACTCCAAACAGAGCCACTGCTGATTTGCTTCAACAAAAGTGCTTCTCTTTGGGGTTGTCTAGGATGGTAAAAACCACCAAGAGGATATGAAAGTTCTCGACTGTTCATCCACCAGCACTGTGGCAACATTTGTTTTCATAATTTAATCCAGGATTAAAAGCCTTGCTGTGCTGATCAGGGAAAAATGAGGGGGTCTAGTCTTGCCTGTAACTGGTCAGTACTGTAACCCCAACACAAACACTGACTTGGGTTCCACATGCAGTAAGTGCTTTTTGTTGGGGTAGTTTTACTGACAAAGAACTATTGCAAAGACTCAGATGAATAAGGCATCAACAAAATCCAGATGACTGGTTCACAGGGCAGTCATGACAAGATGTAGTCTTATTTCATCACCCCCTCCGCATTAAAAGTAGACTTTGAATGTTACAATGTAATGATGTTGAATCCGATGAGGAGGACATGTGAGGGGCAAGGTGATATTTTTTGATGGGGTGTGAGGCCGCTTACCACTACTCATTAATGGGACATTACCCAGGCTGATGGGCCATCCTGTTGAGTATGGATCTCTGAATACAAGCAATAGTCACAGCTATGGAAACCAGGAAGTTACCGGGCGGAGTCAAGCCCAAAGGACTGCTTGAAGGATATAAAGTTGAGGAAATGATGAAAAGCAATTAAATGCCTTCCAAAGGGACGCTGCATGGGGGTCCTGGAAGTAGCATCTAAGACATATATAACCAGGACAGAAATTCACTGATGGCCTGAAGATTAACCCAACCTGAGCATTTGACTTGGCTGCTGACCTTCAGTAAGTGCTACATGTTGGGGCGGTTGTACATGGCAAATTCAACGAGCTGGACAGGAGGAGGTTGCAGCAAATGCACAACATGATCACCTCAAATAGAGACACTGATGATTTCTCTGTTCATAAGTGCTTCTCTTTGGGGGTGTTTTGTTGGTGTCTTTTCACCAAAAAGCAGGTATGAAACAGAAAAATACTGGCAAAGACATGTTTCATTATGGCTTACTGGTTTTGTCATGATTATTTATTATTATTTTTCATTCCTTATTATTTGTCATGATTATGTCACCAGCATTACCCAAACACATGCACTGACTAGATAAGTGAAAGCAGTAAGTGCTACTTGTTGGGGTAGTGTTGCTGAAAACCAACTCTCAGCTGTCAATACCAAAGCCCCCTGGGAGATATATTCTTGTACAACAGAATTTTAGCTCAGGAAAACACTGGTCCAGAACTGTTTCTGAGCTGAGGGTCAATATCACTACCCTGACTTGAGCATTAACTTGCACCTTGAACTCAGTAAGTGCTACTTGTTGGGGCAGTTTTACTTGACAGAAAAAGCTGTGTGTGCGCGTCCTTTTTTCATTGTTCTTGAAGTCTGATCATGCAAGAATGTCTCCTAGATCACTCCAAACAGAGCCACTGCTGATTTGCTTCAACAAAAGTGCTTCTCTTTGGGGTTGTCTAGGATGGTAAAAACCACCAAGAGGATATGAAAGTTCTCGACTGTTCATCCACCAGCACTGTGGCAACATTTGTTTTCATAATTTAATCCAGGATTAAAAGCCTTGCTGTGCTGATCAGGGAAAAATGAGGGGGGTCTAGTCTTGCCTGTAACTGGTCAGTACTGTAACCCCAACACAAACACTGACTTGGGTTCCACATGCAGTAAGTGCTTTTTGTTGGGGTAGTTTTACTGACAAAGAACTATTGCAAAGACTCAGATGAATAAGGCATCAACAAAATCCAGATGACTGGTTCACAGGGCAGTCATGACAAGATGTACTCTTATTTCATCACCCCCTCCGCATTAAAAGTAGACTTTGAATGTTACAATGTAATGATGTTGAATCCGATGAGGAGGACATGTGAGGGGCAAGGTGATATTTTTTGATGGGGTGTGAGGCCGCTTACCACTACTCATTAATGGGACATTACCCAGGCTGATGGGCCATCCTGTTGAGTATGGATCTCTGAATACAAGCAATAGTCACAGCTATGGAAACCAGGAAGTTAACGGGTGGAGTCAAGCCCAAAGGACTGCTTGAAGGATATAAAGTTGAGGAAATGATGAAAAGCAATTAAATGCCTTCCAAAGGGACGCTGCATGGGGGTCCTGGAAGTAGCATCTAAGACATATATAACCAGGACAGAAATTCACTGATGGCCTGAAGATTAACCCAACCTGAGCATTTGACTTGGCTGCTGACCTTCAGTAAGTGCTACATGTTGGGGCGGTTGTACATGGCAAATTCAACAAGCTGGACAGGAGGAGGTTGCAGCAAATGCACAACATGATCACCTCAAATAGAGACACTGATGATTTCTCTGTTCATAAGTGCTTCTCTTTGGGGGTGTTTTGTTGGTGTCTTTTCACCAAAAAGCAGGTATGAAACAGAAAAATACTGGCAAAGACATGTTTCATTATGGCTTACTGGTTTTGTCATGATTATTTATTATTATTTTTCATTCCTTATTATTTGTCATGATTATGTCACCAGCATTACCCAAACACATGCACTGACTAGATAAGTGAAAGCAGTAAGTGCTACTTGTTGGGGTAGTGTTGCTGAAAACCAACTCTCAGCTGTCAATACCAAAGCCCCCTGGGAGATATATTCTTGTACAACAGAATTTTAGCTCAGGAAAACACTGGTCCAGAACTGTTTCTGAGCTGAGGGTCAATATCACTACCCTGACTTGAGCATTAACTTGCACCTTGAACTCAGTAAGTGCTACTTGTTGGGGCAGTTTTACTTGACAGAAAAAGCTGTGTGTGCGCGTCCTTTTTTCATTGTTCTTGAAGTCTGATCATGCAAGAATGTCTCCTAGATCACTCCAAACAGAGCCACTGCTGATTTGCTTCAACAAAAGTGCTTCTCTTTGGGGTTGTCTAGGATGGTAAAAACCACCAAGAGGATATGAAAGTTCTCGACTGTTCATCCACCAGCACTGTGGCAACATTTGTTTTCATAATTTAATCCAGGATTAAAAGCCTTGCTGTGCTGATCAGGGAAAAATGAGGGGGGTCTAGTCTTGCCTGTAACTGGTCAGTACTGTAACCCCAACACAAACACTGACTTGGGTTCCACATGCAGTAAGTGCTTTTTGTTGGGGTAGTTTTACTGACAAAGAACTATTGCAAAGACTCAGATGAATAAGGCATCAACAAAATCCAGATGACTGGTTCACAGGGCAGTCATGACAAGATGTAGTCTTATTTCATCACCCCCTCCGCATTAAAAGTAGACTTTGAATGTTACAATGTAATGATGTTGAATCCGATGAGGAGGACATGTGAGGGGCAAGGTGATATTTTTTGATGGGGTGTGAGGCCGCTTACCACTACTCATTAATGGGACATTACCCAGGCTGATGGGCCATCCTGTTGAGTATGGATCTCTGAATACAAGCAATAGTCACAGCTATGGAAACCAGGAAGTTACCGGGCGGAGTCAAGCCCAAAGGACTGCTTGAAGGATATAAAGTTGAGGAAATGATGAAAAGCAATTAAATGCCTTCCAAAGGGACGCTGCATGGGGGTCCTGGAAGTAGCATCTAAGACATATATAACCAGGACAGAAATTCACTGATGGCCTGAAGATTAACCCAACCTGAGCATTTGACTTGGCTGCTGACCTTCAGTAAGTGCTACATGTTGGGGCGGTTGTACATGGCAAATTCAACGAGCTGGACAGGAGGAGGTTGCAGCAAATGCACAACATGATCACCTCAAATAGAGACACTGATGATTTCTCTGTTCATAAGTGCTTCTCTTTGGGGGTGTTTTGTTGGTGTCTTTTCACCAAAAAGCAGGTATGAAACAGAAAAATACTGGCAAAGACATGTTTCATTATGGCTTACTGGTTTTGTCATGATTATTTATTATTATTTTTCATTCCTTATTATTTGTCATGATTATGTCACCAGCATTACCCAAACACATGCACTGACTAGATAAGTGAAAGCAGTAAGTGCTACTTGTTGGGGTAGTGTTGCTGAAAACCAACTCTCAGCTGTCAATACCAAAGCCCCCTGGGAGATATATTCTTGTACAACAGAATTTTAGCTCAGGAAAACACTGGTCCAGAACTGTTTCTGAGCTGAGGGTCAATATCACTACCCTGACTTGAGCATTAACTTGCACCTTGAACTCAGTAAGTGCTACTTGTTGGGGCAGTTTTACTTGACAGAAAAAGCTGTGTGTGCGCGTCCTTTTTTCATTGTTCTTGAAGTCTGATCATGCAAGAATGTCTCCTAGATCACTCCAAACAGAGCCACTGCTGATTTGCTTCAACAAAAGTGCTTCTCTTTGGGGTTGTCTAGGATGGTAAAAACCACCAAGAGGATATGAAAGTTCTCGACTGTTCATCCACCAGCACTGTGGCAACATTTGTTTTCATAATTTAATCCAGGATTAAAAGCCTTGCTGTGCTGATCAGGGAAAAATGAGGGGGTCTAGTCTTGCCTGTAACTGGTCAGTACTGTAACCCCAACACAAACACTGACTTGGGTTCCACATGCAGTAAGTGCTTTTTGTTGGGGTAGTTTTACTGACAAAGAACTATTGCAAAGACTCAGATGAATAAGGCATCAACAAAATCCAGATGACTGGTTCACAGGGCAGTCATGACAAGATGTAGTCTTATTTCATCACCCCCTCCGCATTAAAAGTAGACTTTGAATGTTACAATGTAATGATGTTGAATCCGATGAGGAGGACATGTGAGGGGCAAGGTGATATTTTTTGATGGGGTGTGAGGCCGCTTACCACTACTCATTAATGGGACATTACCCAGGCTGATGGGCCATCCTGTTGAGTATGGATCTCTGAATACAAGCAATAGTCACAGCTATGGAAACCAGGAAGTTAACCGGGCGGAGTCAAGCCCAAAGGACTGCTTGAAGGATATAAAGTTGAGGAAATGATGAAAAGCAATTAAATGCCTTCCAAAGGGACGCTGCATGGGGGTCCTGGAAGTAGCATCTAAGACATATATAACCAGGACAGAAATTCACTGATGGCCTGAAGATTAACCCAACCTGAGCATTTGACTTGGCTGCTGACCTTCAGTAAGTGCTACATGTTGGGGCGGTTGTACATGGCAAATTCAACGAGCTGGACAGGAGGAGGTTGCAGCAAATGCACAACATGATCACCTCAAATAGAGACACTGATGATTTCTCTGTTCATAAGTGCTTCTCTTTGGGGGTGTTTTGTTGGTGTCTTTTCACCAAAAAGCAGGTATGAAACAGAAAAATACTGGCAAAGACATGTTTCATTATGGCTTACTGGTTTTGTCATGATTATTTATTATTATTTTTCATTCCTTATTATTTGTCATGATTATGTCACCAGCATTACCCAAACACATGCACTGACTAGATAAGTGAAAGCAGTAAGTGCTACTTGTTGGGGTAGTGTTGCTGAAAACCAACTCTCAGCTGTCAATACCAAAGCCCCCTGGGAGATATATTCTTGTACAACAGAATTTTAGCTCAGGAAAACACTGGTCCAGAACTGTTTCTGAGCTGAGGGTCAATATCACTACCCTGACTTGAGCATTAACTTGCACCTTGAACTCAGTAAGTGCTACTTGTTGGGGCAGTTTTACTTGACAGAAAAAGCTGTGTGTGCGCGTCCTTTTTTCATTGTTCTTGAAGTCTGATCATGCAAGAATGTCTCCTAGATCACTCCAAACAGAGCCACTGCTGATTTGCTTCAACAAAAGTGCTTCTCTTTGGGGTTGTCTAGGATGGTAAAAACCACCAAGAGGATATGAAAGTTCTCGACTGTTCATCCACCAGCACTGTGGCAACATTTGTTTTCATAATTTAATCCAGGATTAAAAGCCTTGCTGTGCTGATCAGGGAAAAATGAGGGGGTCTAGTCTTGCCTGTAACTGGTCAGTACTGTAACCCCAACACAAACACTGACTTGGGTTCCACATGCAGTAAGTGCTTTTTGTTGGGGTAGTTTTACTGACAAAGAACTATTGCAAAGACTCAGATGAATAAGGCATCAACAAAATCCAGATGACTGGTTCACAGGGCAGTCATGACAAGATGTACTCTTATTTCATCACCCCCTCCGCATTAAAAGTAGACTTTGAATGTTACAATGTAATGATGTTGAATCCGATGAGGAGGACATGTGAGGGGCAAGGTGATATTTTTTGATGGGGTGTGAGGCCGCTTACCACTACTCATTAATGGGACATTACCCAGGCTGATGGGCCATCCTGTTGAGTATGGATCTCTGAATACAAGCAATAGTCACAGCTATGGAAACCAGGAAGTTAACGGGTGGAGTCAAGCCCAAAGGACTGCTTGAAGGATATAAAGTTGAGGAAATGATGAAAAGCAATTAAATGCCTTCCAAAGGGACGCTGCATGGGGGTCCTGGAAGTAGCATCTAAGACATATATAACCAGGACAGAAATTCACTGATGGCCTGAAGATTAACCCAACCTGAGCATTTGACTTGGCTGCTGACCTTCAGTAAGTGCTACATGTTGGGGCGGTTGTACATGGCAAATTCAACAAGCTGGACAGGAGGAGGTTGCAGCAAATGCACAACATGATCACCTCAAATAGAGACACTGATGATTTCTCTGTTCATAAGTGCTTCTCTTTGGGGGTGTTTTGTTGGTGTCTTTTCACCAAAAAGCAGGTATGAAACAGAAAAATACTGGCAAAGACATGTTTCATTATGGCTTACTGGTTTTGTCATGATTATTTATTATTATTTTTCATTCCTTATTATTTGTCATGATTATGTCACCAGCATTACCCAAACACATGCACTGACTAGATAAGTGAAAGCAGTAAGTGCTACTTGTTGGGGTAGTGTTGCTGAAAACCAACTCTCAGCTGTCAATACCAAAGCCCCCTGGGAGATATATTCTTGTACAACAGAATTTTAGCTCAGGAAAACACTGGTCCAGAACTGTTTCTGAGCTGAGGGTCAATATCACTACCCTGACTTGAGCATTAACTTGCACCTTGAACTCAGTAAGTGCTACTTGTTGGGGCAGTTTTACTTGACAGAAAAAGCTGTGTGTGCGCGTCCTTTTTTCATTGTTCTTGAAGTCTGATCATGCAAGAATGTCTCCTAGATCACTCCAAACAGAGCCACTGCTGATTTGCTTCAACAAAAGTGCTTCTCTTTGGGGTTGTCTAGGATGGTAAAAACCACCAAGAGGATATGAAAGTTCTCGACTGTTCATCCACCAGCACTGTGGCAACATTTGTTTTCATAATTTAATCCAGGATTAAAAGCCTTGCTGTGCTGATCAGGGAAAAATGAGGGGGGTCTAGTCTTGCCTGTAACTGGTCAGTACTGTAACCCCAACACAAACACTGACTTGGGTTCCACATGCAGTAAGTGCTTTTTGTTGGGGTAGTTTTACTGACAAAGAACTATTGCAAAGACTCAGATGAATAAGGCATCAACAAAATCCAGATGACTGGTTCACAGGGCAGTCATGACAAGATGTACTCTTATTTCATCACCCCCTCCGCATTAAAAGTAGACTTTGAATGTTACAATGTAATGATGTTGAATCCGATGAGGAGGACATGTGAGGGGCAAGGTGATATTTTTTGATGGGGTGTGAGGCCGCTTACCACTACTCATTAATGGGACATTACCCAGGCTGATGGGCCATCCTGTTGAGTATGGATCTCTGAATACAAGCAATAGTCACAGCTATGGAAACCAGGAAGTTAACGGGTGGAGTCAAGCCCAAAGGACTGCTTGAAGGATATAAAGTTGAGGAAATGATGAAAAGCAATTAAATGCCTTCCAAAGGGACGCTGCATGGGGGTCCTGGAAGTAGCATCTAAGACATATATAACCAGGACAGAAATTCACTGATGGCCTGAAGATTAACCCAACCTGAGCATTTGACTTGGCTGCTGACCTTCAGTAAGTGCTACATGTTGGGGCGGTTGTACATGGCAAATTCAACAAGCTGGACAGGAGGAGGTTGCAGCAAATGCACAACATGATCACCTCAAATAGAGACACTGATGATTTCTCTGTTCATAAGTGCTTCTCTTTGGGGGTGTTTTGTTGGTGTCTTTTCACCAAAAAGCAGGTATGAAACAGAAAAATACTGGCAAAGACATGTTTCATTATGGCTTACTGGTTTTGTCATGATTATTTATTATTATTTTTCATTCCTTATTATTTGTCATGATTATGTCACCAGCATTACCCAAACACATGCACTGACTAGATAAGTGAAAGCAGTAAGTGCTACTTGTTGGGGTAGTGTTGCTGAAAACCAACTCTCAGCTGTCAATACCAAAGCCCCCTGGGAGATATATTCTTGTACAACAGAATTTTAGCTCAGGAAAACACTGGTCCAGAACTGTTTCTGAGCTGAGGGTCAATATCACTACCCTGACTTGAGCATTAACTTGCACCTTGAACTCAGTAAGTGCTACTTGTTGGGGCAGTTTTACTTGACAGAAAAAGCTGTGTGTGCGCGTCCTTTTTTCATTGTTCTTGAAGTCTGATCATGCAAGAATGTCTCCTAGATCACTCCAAACAGAGCCACTGCTGATTTGCTTCAACAAAAGTGCTTCTCTTTGGGGTTGTCTAGGATGGTAAAAACCACCAAGAGGATATGAAAGTTCTCGACTGTTCATCCACCAGCACTGTGGCAACATTTGTTTTCATAATTTAATCCAGGATTAAAAGCCTTGCTGTGCTGATCAGGGAAAAATGAGGGGGGTCTAGTCTTGCCTGTAACTGGTCAGTACTGTAACCCCAACACAAACACTGACTTGGGTTCCACATGCAGTAAGTGCTTTTTGTTGGGGTAGTTTTACTGACAAAGAACTATTGCAAAGACTCAGATGAATAAGGCATCAACAAAATCCAGATGACTGGTTCACAGGGCAGTCATGACAAGATGTAGTCTTATTTCATCACCCCCTCCGCATTAAAAGTAGACTTTGAATGTTACAATGTAATGATGTTGAATCCGATGAGGAGGACATGTGAGGGGCAAGGTGATATTTTTTGATGGGGTGTGAGGCCGCTTACCACTACTCATTAATGGGACATTACCCAGGCTGATGGGCCATCCTGTTGAGTATGGATCTCTGAATACAAGCAATAGTCACAGCTATGGAAACCAGGAAGTTAACGGGCGGAGTCAAGCCCAAAGGACTGCTTGAAGGATATAAAGTTGAGGAAATGATGAAAAGCAATTAAATGCCTTCCAAAGGGACGCTGCATGGGGGTCCTGGAAGTAGCATCTAAGACATATATAACCAGGACAGAAATTCACTGATGGCCTGAAGATTAACCCAACCTGAGCATTTGACTTGGCTGCTGACCTTCAGTAAGTGCTACATGTTGGGGCGGTTGTACATGGCAAATTCAACAAGCTGGACAGGAGGAGGTTGCAGCAAATGCACAACATGATCACCTCAAATAGAGACACTGATGATTTCTCTGTTCATAAGTGCTTCTCTTTGGGGGTGTTTTGTTGGTGTCTTTTCACCAAAAAGCAGGTATGAAACAGAAAAATACTGGCAAAGACATGTTTCATTATGGCTTACTGGTTTTGTCATGATTATTTATTATTATTTTTCATTCCTTATTATTTGTCATGATTATGTCACCAGCATTACCCAAACACATGCACTGACTAGATAAGTGAAAGCAGTAAGTGCTACTTGTTGGGGTAGTGTTGCTGAAAACCAACTCTCAGCTGTCAATACCAAAGCCCCCTGGGAGATATATTCTTGTACAACAGAATTTTAGCTCAGGAAAACACTGGTCCAGAACTGTTTCTGAGCTGAGGGTCAATATCACTACCCTGACTTGAGCATTAACTTGCACCTTGAACTCAGTAAGTGCTACTTGTTGGGGCAGTTTTACTTGACAGAAAAAGCTGTGTGTGCGCGTCCTTTTTTCATTGTTCTTGAAGTCTGATCATGCAAGAATGTCTCCTAGATCACTCCAAACAGAGCCACTGCTGATTTGCTTCAACAAAAGTGCTTCTCTTTGGGGTTGTCTAGGATGGTAAAAACCACCAAGAGGATATGAAAGTTCTCGACTGTTCATCCACCAGCACTGTGGCAACATTTGTTTTCATAATTTAATCCAGGATTAAAAGCCTTGCTGTGCTGATCAGGGAAAAATGAGGGGGGTCTAGTCTTGCCTGTAACTGGTCAGTACTGTAACCCCAACACAAACACTGACTTGGGTTCCACATGCAGTAAGTGCTTTTTGTTGGGGTAGTTTTACTGATAAAGAACTATTGCAAAGACTCAGATGAATAAGGCATCAACAAAATCCAGATGACTGGTTCACAGGGCAGTCATGACAAGATGTAGTCTTATTTCATCACCCCCCTCCGCATTAAAAGTAGACTTTGAATGTTACAATGTATTGATGTTGAATCCGATGAGGAGGACATGTGAGGGGCAAGGTGATATTTTTTAATGGGGTGTGAGGCCGCTTACCACTACTCATTAATGGGACATTACCCAGGCTGATGGGCCATCCTGTTGAGTATGGATCTCTGAATACAAGCAATAGTCACAGCTATGGAAACCAGGAAGTTAACGGGCGGAGTCAAGCCCAAAGGACTGCTTGAAGGATATAAAGTTGAGGAAATGATGAAAAGCAATTAAATGCCTTCCAAAGGGACGCTGCATGGGGGTCCTGGAAGTAGCATCTAAGACATATATAACCAGGACAGAAATTCACTGATGGCCTGAAGATTAACCCAACCTGAGCATTTGACTTGGCTGCTGACCTTCAGTAAGTGCTACATGTTGGGGCGGTTGTACATGGCAAATTCAACAAGCTGGACAGGAGGAGGTTGCAGCAAATGCACAACATGATCACCTCAAATAGAGACACTGATGATTTCTCTGTTCATAAGTGCTTCTCTTTGGGGGTGTTTTGTTGGTGTCTTTTCACCAAAAAGCAGGTATGAAACAGAAAAATACTGGCAAAGACATGTTTCATTATGGCTTACTGGTTTTGTCATGATTATTTATTATTATTTTTCATTCCTTATTATTTGTCATGATTATGTCACCAGCATTACCCAAACACATGCACTGACTAGATAAGTGAAAGCAGTAAGTGCTACTTGTTGGGGTAGTGTTGCTGAAAACCAACTCTCAGCTGTCAATACCAAAGCCCCCTGGGAGATATATTCTTGTACAACAGAATTTTAGCTCAGGAAAACACTGGTCCAGAACTGTTTCTGAGCTGAGGGTCAATATCACTACCCTGACTTGAGCATTAACTTGCACCTTGAACTCAGTAAGTGCTACTTGTTGGGGCAGTTTTACTTGACAGAAAAAGCTGTGTGTGCGCGTCCTTTTTTCATTGTTCTTGAAGTCTGATCATGCAAGAATGTCTCCTAGATCACTCCAAACAGAGCCACTGCTGATTTGCTTCAACAAAAGTGCTTCTCTTTGGGGTTGTCTAGGATGGTAAAAACCACCAAGAGGATATGAAAGTTCTCGACTGTTCATCCACCAGCACTGTGGCAACATTTGTTTTCATAATTTAATCCAGGATTAAAAGCCTTGCTGTGCTGATCAGGGAAAAATGAGGGGGGTCTAGTCTTGCCTGTAACTGGTCAGTACTGTAACCCCAACACAAACACTGACTTGGGTTCCACATGCAGTAAGTGCTTTTTGTTGGGGTAGTTTTACTGACAAAGAACTATTGCAAAGACTCAGATGAATAAGGCATCAACAAAATCCAGATGACTGGTTCACAGGGCAGTCATGACAAGATGTAGTCTTATTTCATCACCCCCTCCGCATTAAAAGTAGACTTTGAATGTTACAATGTATTGATGTTGAATCCGATGAGGAGGACATGTGAGGGGCAAGGTGATATTTTTTGATGGGGTGTGAGGCCGCTTACCACTACTCATTAATGGGACATTACCCAGGCTGATGGGCCATCCTGTTGAGTATGGATCTCTGAATACAAGCAATAGTCACAGCTATGGAAACCAGGAAGTTACCGGGCGGAGTCAAGCCCAAAGGACTGCTTGAAGGATATAAAGTTGAGGAAATGATGAAAAGCAATTAAATGCCTTCCAAAGGGACGCTGCATGGGGGTCCTGGAAGTAGCATCTAAGACATATATAACCAGGACAGAAATTCACTGATGGCCTGAAGATTAACCCAACCTGAGCATTTGACTTGGCTGCTGACCTTCAGTAAGTGCTACATGTTGGGGCGGTTGTACATGGCAAATTCAACGAGCTGGACAGGAGGAGGTTGCAGCAAATGCACAACATGATCACCTCAAATAGAGACACTGATGATTTCTCTGTTCATAAGTGCTTCTCTTTGGGGGTGTTTTGTTGGTGTCTTTTCACCAAAAAGCAGGTATGAAACAGAAAAATACTGGCAAAGACATGTTTCATTATGGCTTACTGGTTTTGTCATGATTATTTATTATTATTTTTCATTCCTTATTATTTGTCATGATTATGTCACCAGCATTACCCAAACACATGCACTGACTAGATAAGTGAAAGCAGTAAGTGCTACTTGTTGGGGTAGTGTTGCTGAAAACCAACTCTCAGCTGTCAATACCAAAGCCCCCTGGGAGATATATTCTTGTACAACAGAATTTTAGCTCAGGAAAACACTGGTCCAGAACTGTTTCTGAGCTGAGGGTCAATATCACTACCCTGACTTGAGCATTAACTTGCACCTTGAACTCAGTAAGTGCTACTTGTTGGGGCAGTTTTACTTGACAGAAAAAGCTGTGTGTGCGCGTCCTTTTTTCATTGTTCTTGAAGTCTGATCATGCAAGAATGTCTCCTAGATCACTCCAAACAGAGCCACTGCTGATTTGCTTCAACAAAAGTGCTTCTCTTTGGGGTTGTCTAGGATGGTAAAAACCACCAAGAGGATATGAAAGTTCTCGACTGTTCATCCACCAGCACTGTGGCAACATTTGTTTTCATAATTTAATCCAGGATTAAAAGCCTTGCTGTGCTGATCAGGGAAAAATGAGGGGGGTCTAGTCTTGCCTGTAACTGGTCAGTACTGTAACCCCAACACAAACACTGACTTGGGTTCCACATGCAGTAAGTGCTTTTTGTTGGGGTAGTTTTACTGACAAAGAACTATTGCAAAGACTCAGATGAATAAGGCATCAACAAAATCCAGATGACTGGTTCACAGGGCAGTCATGACAAGATGTAGTCTTATTTCATCACCCCCTCCGCATTAAAAGTAGACTTTGAATGTTACAATGTAATGATGTTGAATCCGATGAGGAGGACATGTGAGGGGCAAGGTGATATTTTTTGATGGGGTGTGAGGCCGCTTACCACCACTACTCATTAATGGGACATTACCCAGGCTGATGGGCCATCCTGTTGAGTATGGATCTCTGAATACAAGCAATAGTCACAGCTATGGAAACCAGGAAGTTAACGGGTGGAGTCAAGCCCAAAGGACTGCTTGAAGGATATAAAGTTGAGGAAATGATGAAAAGCAATTAAATGCCTTCCAAAGGGACGCTGCATGGGGGTCCTGGAAGTAGCATCTAAGACATATATAACCAGGACAGAAATTCACTGATGGCCTGAAGATTAACCCAACCTGAGCATTTGACTTGGCTGCTGACCTTCAGTAAGTGCTACATGTTGGGGCGGTTGTACATGGCAAATTCAACAAGCTGGACAGGAGGAGGTTGCAGCAAATGCACAACATGATCACCTCAAATAGAGACACTGATGATTTCTCTGTTCATAAGTGCTTCTCTTTGGGGGTGTTTTGTTGGTGTCTTTTCACCAAAAAGCAGGTATGAAACAGAAAAATACTGGCAAAGACATGTTTCATTATGGCTTACTGGTTTTGTCATGATTATTTATTATTATTTTTCATTCCTTATTATTTGTCATGATTATGTCACCAGCATTACCCAAACACATGCACTGACTAGATAAGTGAAAGCAGTAAGTGCTACTTGTTGGGGTAGTGTTGCTGAAAACCAACTCTCAGCTGTCAATACCAAAGCCCCCTGGGAGATATATTCTTGTACAACAGAATTTTAGCTCAGGAAAACACTGGTCCAGAACTGTTTCTGAGCTGAGGGTCAATATCACTACCCTGACTTGAGCATTAACTTGCACCTTGAACTCAGTAAGTGCTACTTGTTGGGGCAGTTTTACTTGACAGAAAAAGCTGTGTGTGTGCGTCCTTTTTTCATTGTTCTTGAAGTCTGATCATGCAAGAATGTCTCCTAGATCACTCCAAACAGAGCCACTGCTGATTTGCTTCAACAAAAGTGCTTCTCTTTGGGGTTGTCTAGGATGGTAAAAACCACCAAGAGGATATGAAAGTTCTCGACTGTTCATCCACCAGCACTGTGGCAACATTTGTTTTCATAATTTAATCCAGGATTAAAAGCCTTGCTGTGCTGATCAGGGAAAAATGAGGGGGGTCTAGTCTTGCCTGTAACTGGTCAGTACTGTAACCCCAACACAAACACTGACTTGGGTTCCACATGCAGTAAGTGCTTTTTGTTGGGGTAGTTTTACTGACAAAGAACTATTGCAAAGACTCAGATGAATAAGGCATCAACAAAATCCAGATGACTGGTTCACAGGGCAGTCATGACAAGATGTAGTCTTATTTCATCACCCCCTCCGCATTAAAAGTAGACTTTGAATGTTACAATGTATTGATGTTGAATCCGATGAGGAGGACATGTGAGGGGCAAGGTGATATTTTTTGATGGGGTGTGAGGCCGCTTACCACTACTCATTAATGGGACATTACCCAGGCTGATGGGCCATCCTGTTGAGTATGGATCTCTGAATACAAGCAATAGTCACAGCTATGGAAACCAGGAAGTTAACGGGTGGAGTCAAGCCCAAAGGACTGCTTGAAGGATATAAAGTTGAGGAAATGATGAAAAGCAATTAAATGCCTTCCAAAGGGACGCTGCATGGGGGTCCTGGAAGTAGCATCTAAGACATATATAACCAGGACAGAAATTCACTGATGGCCTGAAGATTAACCCAACCTGAGCATTTGACTTGGCTGCTGACCTTCAGTAAGTGCTACATGTTGGGGCGGTTGTACATGGCAAATTCAACAAGCTGGACAGGAGGAGGTTGCAGCAAATGCACAACATGATCACCTCAAATAGAGACACTGATGATTTCTCTGTTCATAAGTGCTTCTCTTTGGGGGTGTTTTGTTGGTGTCTTTTCACCAAAAAGCAGGTATGAAACAGAAAAATACTGGCAAAGACATGTTTCATTATGGCTTACTGGTTTTGTCATGATTATTTATTATTATTTTTCATTCCTTATTATTTGTCATGATTATGTCACCAGCATTACCCAAACACATGCACTGACTAGATAAGTGAAAGCAGTAAGTGCTACTTGTTGGGGTAGTGTTGCTGAAAACCAACTCTCAGCTGTCAATACCAAAGCCCCCTGGGAGATATATTCTTGTACAACAGAATTTTAGCTCAGGAAAACACTGGTCCAGAACTGTTTCTGAGCTGAGGGTCAATATCACTACCCTGACTTGAGCATTAACTTGCACCTTGAACTCAGTAAGTGCTACTTGTTGGGGCAGTTTTACTTGACAGAAAAAGCTGTGTGTGCGCGTCCTTTTTTCATTGTTCTTGAAGTCTGATCATGCAAGAATGTCTCCTAGATCACTCCAAACAGAGCCACTGCTGATTTGCTTCAACAAAAGTGCTTCTCTTTGGGGTTGTCTAGGATGGTAAAAACCACCAAGAGGATATGAAAGTTCTCGACTGTTCATCCACCAGCACTGTGGCAACATTTGTTTTCATAATTTAATCCAGGATTAAAAGCCTTGCTGTGCTGATCAGGGAAAAATGAGGGGGGTCTAGTCTTGCCTGTAACTGGTCAGTACTGTAACCCCAACACAAACACTGACTTGGGTTCCACATGCAGTAAGTGCTTTTTGTTGGGGTAGTTTTACTGACAAAGAACTATTGCAAAGACTCAGATGAATAAGGCATCAACAAAATCCAGATGACTGGTTCACAGGGCAGTCATGACAAGATGTACTCTTATTTCATCACCCCCTCCGCATTAAAAGTAGACTTTGAATGTTACAATGTAATGATGTTGAATCCGATGAGGAGGACATGTGAGGGGCAAGGTGATATTTTTTGATGGGGTGTGAGGCCGCTTACCACTACTCATTAATGGGACATTACCCAGGCTGATGGGCCATCCTGTTGAGTATGGATCTCTGAATACAAGCAATAGTCACAGCTATGGAAACCAGGAAGTTAACGGGTGGAGTCAAGCCCAAAGGACTGCTTGAAGGATATAAAGTTGAGGAAATGATGAAAAGCAATTAAATGCCTTCCAAAGGGACGCTGCATGGGGGTCCTGGAAGTAGCATCTAAGACATATATAACCAGGACAGAAATTCACTGATGGCCTGAAGATTAACCCAACCTGAGCATTTGACTTGGCTGCTGACCTTCAGTAAGTGCTACATGTTGGGGCGGTTGTACATGGCAAATTCAACAAGCTGGACAGGAGGAGGTTGCAGCAAATGCACAACATGATCACCTCAAATAGAGACACTGATGATTTCTCTGTTCATAAGTGCTTCTCTTTGGGGGTGTTTTGTTGGTGTCTTTTCACCAAAAAGCAGGTATGAAACAGAAAAATACTGGCAAAGACATGTTTCATTATGGCTTACTGGTTTTGTCATGATTATTTATTATTATTTTTCATTCCTTATTATTTGTCATGATTATGTCACCAGCATTACCCAAACACATGCACTGACTAGATAAGTGAAAGCAGTAAGTGCTACTTGTTGGGGTAGTGTTGCTGAAAACCAACTCTCAGCTGTCAATACCAAAGCCCCCTGGGAGATATATTCTTGTACAACAGAATTTTAGCTCAGGAAAACACTGGTCCAGAACTGTTTCTGAGCTGAGGGTCAATATCACTACCCTGACTTGAGCATTAACTTGCACCTTGAACTCAGTAAGTGCTACTTGTTGGGGCAGTTTTACTTGACAGAAAAAGCTGTGTGTGCGCGTCCTTTTTTCATTGTTCTTGAAGTCTGATCATGCAAGAATGTCTCCTAGATCACTCCAAACAGAGCCACTGCTGATTTGCTTCAACAAAAGTGCTTCTCTTTGGGGTTGTCTAGGATGGTAAAAACCACCAAGAGGATATGAAAGTTCTCGACTGTTCATCCACCAGCACTGTGGCAACATTTGTTTTCATAATTTAATCCAGGATTAAAAGCCTTGCTGTGCTGATCAGGGAAAAATGAGGGGGGTCTAGTCTTGCCTGTAACTGGTCAGTACTGTAACCCCAACACAAACACTGACTTGGGTTCCACATGCAGTAAGTGCTTTTTGTTGGGGTAGTTTTACTGACAAAGAACTATTGCAAAGACTCAGATGAATAAGGCATCAACAAAATCCAGATGACTGGTTCACAGGGCAGTCATGACAAGATGTACTCTTATTTCATCACCCCCTCCGCATTAAAAGTAGACTTTGAATGTTACAATGTAATGATGTTGAATCCGATGAGGAGGACATGTGAGGGGCAAGGTGATATTTTTTGATGGGGTGTGAGGCTGCTTACCACTACTCATTAATGGGACATTACCCAGGCTGATGGGCCATCCTGTTGAGTATGGATCTCTGAATACAAGCAATAGTCACAGCTATGGAAACCAGGAAGTTACCGGGCGGAGTCAAGCCCAAAGGACTGCTTGAAGGATATAAAGTTGAGGAAATGATGAAAAGCAATTAAATGCCTTCCAAAGGGACGCTGCATGGGGGTCCTGGAAGTAGCATCTAAGACATATATAACCAGGACAGAAATTCACTGATGGCCTGAAGATTAACCCAACCTGAGCATTTGACTTGGCTGCTGACCTTCAGTAAGTGCTACATGTTGGGGCGGTTGTACATGGCAAATTCAACGAGCTGGACAGGAGGAGGTTGCAGCAAATGCACAACATGATCACCTCAAATAGAGACACTGATGATTTCTCTGTTCATAAGTGCTTCTCTTTGGGGGTGTTTTGTTGGTGTCTTTTCACCAAAAAGCAGGTATGAAACAGAAAAATACTGGCAAAGACATGTTTCATTATGGCTTACTGGTTTTGTCATGATTATTTATTATTATTTTTCATTCCTTATTATTTGTCATGATTATGTCACCAGCATTACCCAAACACATGCACTGACTAGATAAGTGAAAGCAGTAAGTGCTACTTGTTGGGGTAGTGTTGCTGAAAACCAACTCTCAGCTGTCAATACCAAAGCCCCCTGGGAGATATATTCTTGTACAACAGAATTTTAGCTCAGGAAAACACTGGTCCAGAACTGTTTCTGAGCTGAGGGTCAATATCACTACCCTGACTTGAGCATTAACTTGCACCTTGAACTCAGTAAGTGCTACTTGTTGGGGCAGTTTTACTTGACAGAAAAAGCTGTGTGTGCGCGTCCTTTTTTCATTGTTCTTGAAGTCTGATCATGCAAGAATGTCTCCTAGATCACTCCAAACAGAGCCACTGCTGATTTGCTTCAACAAAAGTGCTTCTCTTTGGGGTTGTCTAGGATGGTAAAAACCACCAAGAGGATATGAAAGTTCTCGACTGTTCATCCACCAGCACTGTGGCAACATTTGTTTTCATAATTTAATCCAGGATTAAAAGCCTTGCTGTGCTGATCAGGGAAAAATGAGGGGGGTCTAGTCTTGCCTGTAACTGGTCAGTACTGTAACCCCAACACAAACACTGACTTGGGTTCCACATGCAGTAAGTGCTTTTTGTTGGGGTAGTTTTACTGACAAAGAACTATTGCAAAGACTCAGATGAATAAGGCATCAACAAAATCCAGATGACTGGTTCACAGGGCAGTCATGACAAGATGTACTCTTATTTCATCACCCCCTCCGCATTAAAAGTAGACTTTGAATGTTACAATGTAATGATGTTGAATCCGATGAGGAGGACATGTGAGGGGCAAGGTGATATTTTTTGATGGGGTGTGAGGCCGCTTACCACTACTCATTAATGGGACATTACCCAGGCTGATGGGCCATCCTGTTGAGTATGGATCTCTGAATACAAGCAATAGTCACAGCTATGGAAACCAGGAAGTTAACGGGTGGAGTCAAGCCCAAAGGACTGCTTGAAGGATATAAAGTTGAGGAAATGATGAAAAGCAATTAAATGCCTTCCAAAGGGACGCTGCATGGGGGTCCTGGAAGTAGCATCTAAGACATATATAACCAGGACAGAAATTCACTGATGGCCTGAAGATTAACCCAACCTGAGCATTTGACTTGGCTGCTGACCTTCAGTAAGTGCTACATGTTGGGGCGGTTGTACATGGCAAATTCAACAAGCTGGACAGGAGGAGGTTGCAGCAAATGCACAACATGATCACCTCAAATAGAGACACTGATGATTTCTCTGTTCATAAGTGCTTCTCTTTGGGGGTGTTTTGTTGGTGTCTTTTCACCAAAAAGCAGGTATGAAACAGAAAAATACTGGCAAAGACATGTTTCATTATGGCTTACTGGTTTTGTCATGATTATTTATTATTATTTTTCATTCCTTATTATTTGTCATGATTATGTCACCAGCATTACCCAAACACATGCACTGACTAGATAAGTGAAAGCAGTAAGTGCTACTTGTTGGGGTAGTGTTGCTGAAAACCAACTCTCAGCTGTCAATACCAAAGCCCCCTGGGAGATATATTCTTGTACAACAGAATTTTAGCTCAGGAAAACACTGGTCCAGAACTGTTTCTGAGCTGAGGGTCAATATCACTACCCTGACTTGAGCATTAACTTGCACCTTGAACTCAGTAAGTGCTACTTGTTGGGGCAGTTTTACTTGACAGAAAAAGCTGTGTGTGGCGTCCTTTTTCATTGTTCTTGAAGTCTGATCATGCAAGAATGTCTCCTAGATCACTCCAAACAGAGCCACTGCTGATTTTCTTCAACAAAAGTGCTTCTCTTTGGGGCTGTCTAGGATGGTAAAAACCACCAAGAGGTTATGAAAGTTCTCGACTGTTCATCCACCTTCACTGTGGCAACATTTGTTTTCATAATTTAATCCAGGATTAAAAGCCTTGCTGTGCTGATCAGGGAAAAATGAGGGGGGTCTAGTCTTGCCTGTAACTGGTCTGTACTGTAACCCCAACACAAACACTGACTTGGGTTCCACATGCAGTAAGTGCTTTTTGTTGGGGTAGTTTTACTGACAAAGAACTATTGCAAAGACTCAGATGAATAAGGCATCAACAAAATCCAGATGACTGGTTCACAGGGCAGTCATGACAAGATGTAGTCTTATTTCATCACCCCCTCCGCATTAAAAGTAGACTTTGAATGTTACAATGTATTGATGTTGAATCCGATGAGGAGGACATGTGAGGGGCAAGGTGATATTTTTTGATGGGGTGTGAGGCCGCTTACCACTACTCATTAATGGGACATTACCCAGGCTGATGGGCCATCCTGTTGAGTATGGATCTCTGAATACAAGCAATAGTCACAGCTATGGAAACCAGGAAGTTACCGGGCGGAGTCAAGCCCAAAGGACTGCTTGAAGGATATAAAGTTGAGGAAATGATGAAAAGCAATTAAATGCCTTCCAAAGGGACGCTGCATGGGGGTCCTGGAAGTAGCATCTAAGACATATATAACCAGGACAGAAATTCACTGATGGCCTGAAGATTAACCCAACCTGAGCATTTGACTTGGCTGCTGACCTTCAGTAAGTGCTACATGTTGGGGCGGTTGTACATGGCAAATTCAACAAGCTGGACAGGAGGAGGTTGCAGCAAATGCACAACATGATCACCTCAAATAGAGACACTGATGATTTCTCTGTACATAAGTGCTTCTCTTTGGGGGTGTTTTGTTGGTGTCTTTTCACCAAAAAGCAGGTATGAAACAGAAAAATACTGGCAAAGACATGTTTCATTATGGCTTACTGGTTTTGTCATGATTATTTATTATTATTTTTCATTCCTTATTATTTGTCATGATTATGTCACCAGCATTACCCAAACACATGCACTGACTAGATAAGTGAAAGCAGTAAGTGCTACTTGTTGGGGTAGTGTTGCTGAAAACCAACTCTCAGCTGTCAATACCAAAGCCCCCTGGGAGATATATTCTTGTACAACAGAATTTTAGCTCAGGAAAACACTGGTCCAGAACTGTTTCTGAGCTGAGGGTCAATATCACTACCCTGACTTGAGCATTAACTTGCACCTTGAACTCAGTAAGTGCTACTTGTTGGGGCAGTTTTACTTGACAGAAAAAGCTGTGTGTGCGCGTCCTTTTTTCATTGTTCTTGAAGTCTGATCATGCAAGAATGTCTCCTAGATCACTCCAAACAGAGCCACTGCTGATTTGCTTCAACAAAAGTGCTTCTCTTTGGGGTTGTCTAGGATGGTAAAAACCACCAAGAGGATATGAAAGTTCTCGACCGTTCATCCACCAGCACTGTGGCAACATTTGTTTTCATAATTTAATCCAGGATTAAAAGCCTTGCTGTGCTGATCAGGGAAAAATGAGGGGGTCTAGTCTTGCCTGTAACTGGTCAGTACTGTAACCCCAACGCAAACACTGACTTGGGTTCCACATGCAGTAAGTGCTTTTTGTTGGGGTAGTTTTACTGACAAAGAACTATTGCAAAGACTCAGATGAATAAGGCATCAACAAAATCCAGATGACTGGTTCACAGGGCAGTCATGACAAGATGTACTCTTATTTCATCACCCCCTCCGCATTAAAAGTAGACTTTGAATGTTACAATGTATTGATGTTGAATCCGATGAGGAGGACATGTGAGGGGCAAGGTGATATTTTTTGATGGGGTGTGAGGCTGCTTACCACTACTCATTAATGGGACATTACCCAGGCTGATGGGCCATCCTGTTGAGTATGGATCTCTGAATACAAGCAATAGTCACAGCTATGGAAACCAGGAAGTTACCGGGCGGAGTCAAGCCCAAAGGACTGCTTGAAGGATATAAAGTTGAGGAAATGATGAAAAGCAATTAAATGCCTTCCAAAGGGACGCTGCATGGAGGTCCTGGAAGTAGCATCTAAGACATATATAACCAGGACAGAAATTCACTGATGGCCTGAGGATAAACCCAACCTGAGCATTTGACTTGGCTGCTGATCTTCAGTAAGTGCTTCATGTTGGGGCGGTTGTACATGGCAAATTCAACGAGCTGGACAGGAGGAGGTTGCAGCAAATGCACAACATGATCACCTCAAATAGAGACACTGATGATTTCTCTGTTCATAAGTGCTTCTCTTTGGGGGTGTTTTGTTGGTGTCTTTTCACCAAAAAGCAGGTATGAAACAGAAAAATACTGGCAGAGACATGTTTCATTATGGCTTACTGGTTTTGTCATGATTATTTATTATTATTTTTCATTCCTTATTATTTGTCATGATTATGTCACCAGCATTACCCAAACACATGCACTGACTAGATAAGTGAAAGCAGTAAGTGCTACTTGTTGGGGTAGTGTTGCTGAAAACCAACTCTCAGCTGTCAATACCAAAGCCCCCTGGGAGATATATTCTTGTACAACAGAATTTTAGCTCAGGAAAACACTGGTCCAGAACTGTTTCTGAGCTGAGGGTCAATATCACTACCCTGACTTGAGCATTAACTTGCACCTTGAACTCAGTAAGTGCTACTTGTTGGGGCAGTTTTACTTGACAGAAAAAGCTGTGTGTGCGCGTCCTTTTTTCATTGTTCTTGAAGTCTGATCATGCAAGAATGTCTCCTAGATCACTCCAAACAGAGCCACTGCTGATTTGCTTCAACAAAAGTGCTTCTCTTTGGGGTTGTCTAGGATGGTAAAAACCACCAAGAGGATATGAAAGTTCTCGACTGTTCATCCACCAGCACTGTGGCAACATTTGTTTTCATAATTTAATCCAGGATTAAAAGCCTTGCTGTGCTGATCAGGGAAAAATGAGGGGGGTCTAGTCTTGCCTGTAACTGGTCAGTACTGTAACCCCAACACAAACACTGACTTGGGTTCCACATGCAGTAAGTGCTTTTTGTTGGGGTAGTTTTACTGACAAAGAACTATTGCAAAGACTCAGATGAATAAGGCATCAACAAAATCCAGATGACTGGTTCACAGGGCAGTCATGACAAGATGTAGTCTTATTTCATCACCCCCTCCGCATTAAAAGTAGACTTTGAATGTTACAATGTATTGATGTTGAATCCGATGAGGAGGACATGTGAGGGGCAAGGTGATGTTTTTGATGGGGTGTGAGGCTGCTTACCACTACTCATTAATGGGACATTACCCAGGCTGATGGGCCATCCTGTTGAGTATGGATCTCTGAATACAAGCAATAGTCACAGCTATGGAAACCAGGAAGTTACCGGGCGGAGTCAAGCCCAAAGGACTGCTTGAAGGATATAAAGTTGAGGAAATGATGAAAAGCAATTAAATGCCTTCCAAAGGGACGCTGCATGGAGGTCCTGGAAGTAGCATCTAAGACATATATAACCAGGACAGAAATTCACTGATGGCCTGAAGATTAACCCAACCTGAGCATTTGACTTGGCTGCTGACCTTCAGTAAGTGCTACATGTTGGGGCGGTTGACATGGCAAATTCAACGAGCTGGACAGGAGGAGGTTGCAGCAAATGCACAACATGATCACCTCAAATAGAGACACTGATGATTTCTCTGTTCATAAGTGCTTCTCTTTGGGGGTGTTTTGTTGGTGTCTTTTCACCAAAAAGCAGGTATGAAACAGAAAAATACTGGCAAAGACATGTTTCATTATGGCTTACTGGTTTTGTCATGATTATTTATTATTATTTTTCATTCCTTATTATTTGTCATGATTATGTCACCAGCATTACCCAAACACATGCACTGACTAGATAAGTGAAAGCAGTAAGTGCTACTTGTTGGGGTAGTGTTGCTGAAAACCAACTCTCAGCTGTCAATACCAAAGCCCCCTGGGAGATATATTCTTGTACAACAGAATTTTAGCTCAGGAAAACACTGGTCCAGAACTGTTTCTGAGCTGAGGGTCAATATCACTACCCTGACTTGAGCATTAACTTGCACCTTGAACTCAGTAAGTGCTACTTGTTGGGGCAGTTTTACTTGACAGAAAAAGCTGTGTGTGCGCGTCCTTTTTTCATTGTTCTTGAAGTCTGATCATGCAAGAATGTCTCCTAGATCACTCCAAACAGAGCCACTGCTGATTTGCTTCAACAAAAGTGCTTCTCTTTGGGGTTGTCTAGGATGGTAAAAACCACCAAGAGGATATGAAAGTTCTCGACTGTTCATCCACCAGCACTGTGGCAACATTTGTTTTCATAATTTAATCCAGGATTAAAAGCCTTGCTGTGCTGATCAGGGAAAAATGAGGGGGGTCTAGTCTTGCCTGTAACTGGTCAGTACTGTAACCCCAACACAAACACTGACTTGGGTTCCACATGCAGTAAGTGCTTTTTGTTGGGGTAGTTTTACTGACAAAGAACTATTGCAAAGACTCAGATGAATAAGGCATCAACAAAATCCAGATGACTGGTTCACAGGGCAGTCATGACAAGATGTAGTCTTATTTCATCACCCCCTCCGCATTAAAAGTAGACTTTGAATGTTACAATGTATTGATGTTGAATCCGATGAGGAGGACATGTGAGGGGCAAGGTGATATTTTTTGATGGGGTGTGAGGCTGCTTACCACTACTCATTAATGGGACATTACCCAGGCTGATGGGCCATCCTGTTGAGTATGGATCTCTGAATACAAGCAATAGTCACAGCTATGGAAACCAGGAAGTTACCGGGCGGAGTCAAGCCCAAAGGACTGCTTGAAGGATATAAAGTTGAGGAAATGATGAAAAGCAATTAAATGCCTTCCAAAGGGACGCTGCATGGGGGTCCTGGAAGTAGCATCTAAGACATATATAACCAGGACAGAAATTCACTGATGGCCTGAAGATTAACCCAACCTGAGCATTTGACTTGGCTGCTGACCTTCAGTAAGTGCTACATGTTGGGGCGGTTGTACATGGCAAATTCAACGAGCTGGACAGGAGGAGGTTGCAGCAAATGCACAACATGATCACCTCAAATAGAGACACTGATGATTTCTCTGTTCATAAGTGCTTCTCTTTGGGGGTGTTTTGTTGGTGTCTTTTCACCAAAAAGCAGGTATGAAACAGAAAAATACTGGCAAAGACATGTTTCATTATGGCTTACTGGTTTTGTCATGATTATTTATTATTATTTTTCATTCCTTATTATTTGTCATGATTATGTCACCAGCATTACCCAAACACATGCACTGACTAGATAAGTGAAAGCAGTAAGTGCTACTTGTTGGGGTAGTGTTGCTGAAAACCAACTCTCAGCTGTCAATACCAAAGCCCCCTGGGAGATATATTCTTGTACAACAGAATTTTAGCTCAGGAAAACACTGGTCCAGAACTGTTTCTGAGCTGAGGGTCAATATCACTACCCTGACTTGAGCATTAACTTGCACCTTGAACTCAGTAAGTGCTACTTGTTGGGGCAGTTTTACTTGACAGAAAAAGCTGTGTGTGCGCGTCCTTTTTTCATTGTTCTTGAAGTCTGATCATGCAAGAATGTCTCCTAGATCACTCCAAACAGAGCCACTGCTGATTTGCTTCAACAAAAGTGCTTCTCTTTGGGGTTGTCTAGGATGGTAAAAACCACCAAGAGGATATGAAAGTTCTCGACTGTTCATCCACCAGCACTGTGGCAACATTTGTTTTCATAATTTAATCCAGGATTAAAAGCCTTGCTGTGCTGATCAGGGAAAAATGAGGGGGGTCTAGTCTTGCCTGTAACTGGTCAGTACTGTAACCCCAACACAAACACTGACTTGGGTTCCACATGCAGTAAGTGCTTTTTGTTGGGGTAGTTTTACTGACAAAGAACTATTGCAAAGACTCAGATGAATAAGGCATCAACAAAATCCAGATGACTGGTTCACAGGGCAGTCATGACAAGATGTAGTCTTATTTCATCACCCCCTCCGCATTAAAAGTAGACTTTGAATGTTACAATGTATTGATGTTGAATCCGATGAGGAGGACATGTGAGGGGCAAGGTGATATTTTTTGATGGGGTGTGAGGCCGCTTACCACTACTCATTAATGGGACATTACCCAGGCTGATGGGCCATCCTGTTGAGTATGGATCTCTGAATACAAGCAATAGTCACAGCTATGGAAACCAGGAAGTTACCGGGCGGAGTCAAGCCCAAAGGACTGCTTGAAGGATATAAAGTTGAGGAAATGATGAAAAGCAATTAAATGCCTTCCAAAGGGACGCTGCATGGGGGTCCTGGAAGTAGCATCTAAGACATATATAACCAGGACAGAAATTCACTGATGGCCTGAAGATTAACCCAACCTGAGCATTTGACTTGGCTGCTGACCTTCAGTAAGTGCTACATGTTGGGGCGGTTGTACATGGCAAATTCAACGAGCTGGACAGGAGGAGGTTGCAGCAAATGCACAACATGATCACCTCAAATAGAGACACTGATGATTTCTCTGTTCATAAGTGCTTCTCTTTGGGGGTGTTTTGTTGGTGTCTTTTCACCAAAAAGCAGGTATGAAACAGAAAAATACTGGCAAAGACATGTTTCATTATGGCTTACTGGTTTTGTCATGATTATTTATTATTATTTTTCATTCCTTATTATTTGTCATGATTATGTCACCAGCATTACCCAAACACATGCACTGACTAGATAAGTGAAAGCAGTAAGTGCTACTTGTTGGGGTAGTGTTGCTGAAAACAACTCTCAGCTGTCAACACAGAAGCCCCCTGGGAGATATATTCTTGTACAACAGAATTTTAGCTCAGGAAAACACTGGTCCAGAACTGTTTCTGAGCTGAGGGTCAATATCACTACCCTGACTTGAGCATTAACTTGCACCTTGAACTCAGTAAGTGCTACTTGTTGGGGCAGTTTTACTTGACAGAAAAAGCTGTGTGTGTGCGTCCTTTTTTCATTGTTCTTGAAGTCTGATCATGCAAGAATGTCTCCTAGATCACTCCAAACAGAGCCACTGCTGATTTGCTTCAACAAAAGTGCTTCTCTTTGGGGTTGTCTAGGATGGTAAAAACCACCAAGAGGATATGAAAGTTCTCGACTGTTCATCCACCAGCACTGTGGCAACATTTGTTTTCATAATTTAATCCAGGATTAAAAGCCTTGCTGTGCTGATCAGGGAAAAATGAGGGGGGTCTAGTCTTGCCTGTAACTGGTCAGTACTGTAACCCCAACACAAACACTGACTTGGGTTCCACATGCAGTAAGTGCTTTTTGTTGGGGTAGTTTTACTGACAAAGAACTATTGCAAAGACTCAGATGAATAAGGCATCAACAAAATCCAGATGACTGGTTCACAGGGCAGTCATGACAAGATGTACTCTTATTTCATCACCCCCTCCGCATTAAAAGTAGACTTTGAATGTTACAATGTAATGATGTTGAATCCGATGAGGAGGACATGTGAGGGGCAAGGTGATATTTTTTGATGGGGTGTGAGGCCGCTTACCACTACTCATTAATGGGACATTACCCAGGCTGATGGGCCATCCTGTTGAGTATGGATCTCTGAATACAAGCAATAGTCACAGCTATGGAAACCAGGAAGTTAACGGGTGGAGTCAAGCCCAAAGGACTGCTTGAAGGATATAAAGTTGAGGAAATGATGAAAAGCAATTAAATGCCTTCCAAAGGGACGCTGCATGGGGGTCCTGGAAGTAGCATCTAAGACATATATAACCAGGACAGAAATTCACTGATGGCCTGAAGATTAACCCAACCTGAGCATTTGACTTGGCTGCTGACCTTCAGTAAGTGCTACATGTTGGGGCGGTTGTACATGGCAAATTCAACAAGCTGGACAGGAGGAGGTTGCAGCAAATGCACAACATGATCACCTCAAATAGAGACACTGATGATTTCTCTGTTCATAAGTGCTTCTCTTTGGGGGTGTTTTGTTGGTGTCTTTTCACCAAAAAGCAGGTATGAAACAGAAAAATACTGGCAAAGACATGTTTCATTATGGCTTACTGGTTTTGTCATGATTATTTATTATTATTTTTCATTCCTTATTATTTGTCATGATTATGTCACCAGCATTACCCAAACACATGCACTGACTAGATAAGTGAAAGCAGTAAGTGCTACTTGTTGGGGTAGTGTTGCTGAAAACCAACTCTCAGCTGTCAACACAGAAGCCCCCAGGGAGATATATTCTTGTACAACAGAATTTTAGCTCAGGAAAACACTGGTCCAGAACTGTTTCTGAGCTGAGGGTCAATATCACTACCCTGACTTGAGCATTAACTTGCACCTTGAACTCAGTAAGTGCTACTTGTTGGGGCAGTTTTACTTGACAGAAAAAGCTGTGTGTGCGCGTCCTTTTTTCATTGTTCTTGAAGTCTGATCATGCAAGAATGTCTCCTAGATCACTCCAAACAGAGCCACTGCTGATTTGCTTCAACAAAAGTGCTTCTCTTTGGGGTTGTCTAGGATGGTAAAAACCACCAAGAGGATATGAAAGTTCTCGACTGTTCATCCACCAGCACTGTGGCAACATTTGTTTTCATAATTTAATCCAGGATTAAAAGCCTTGCTGTGCTGATCAGGGAAAAATGAGGGGGGTCTAGTCTTGCCTGTAACTGGTCAGTACTGTAACCCCAACACAAACACTGACTTGGGTTCCACATGCAGTAAGTGCTTTTTGTTGGGGTAGTTTTACTGACAAAGAACTATTGCAAAGACTCAGATGAATAAGGCATCAACAAAATCCAGATGACTGGTTCACAGGGCAGTCATGACAACATGTACTCTTATTTCATCACCCCCTCCGCATTAAAAGTAGACTTTGAATGTTACAATGTAATGATGTTGAATCCGATGAGGAGGACATGTGAGGGGCAAGGTGATACTTTTTGATGGGGTGTGAGGCTGCTTACCACTACTCATTAATGGGACATTACCCAGGCTGATGGGCCATCCTGTTGAGTATGGATCTCTGAATACAAGCAATAGTCACAGCTATGGAAACCAGGAAGTTACCGGGCGGAGTCAAGCCCAAAGGACTGCTTGAAGGATATAAAGTTGAGGAAATGATGAAAAGCAATTAAATGCCTTCCAAAGGGACGCTGCATGGGGGTCCTGGAAGTAGCATCTAAGACATATATAACCAGGACAGAAATTCACTGATGGCCTGAAGATTAACCCAACCTGAGCATTTGACTTGGCTGCTGACCTTCAGTAAGTGCTACATGTTGGGGCGGTTGTACATGGCAAATTCAACGAGCTGGACAGGAGGAGGTTGCAGCAAATGCACAACATGATCACCTCAAATAGAGACACTGATGATTTCTCTGTTCATAAGTGCTTCTCTTTGGGGGTGTTTTGTTGGTGTCTTTTCACCAAAAAGCAGGTATGAAACAGAAAAATACTGGCAAAGACATGTTTCATTATGGCTTACTGGTTTTGTCATGATTATTTATTATTATTTTTCATTCCTTATTATTTGTCATGATTATGTCACCAGCATTACCCAAACACATGCACTGACTAGATAAGTGAAAGCAGTAAGTGCTACTTGTTGGGGTAGTGTTGCTGAAAACCAACTCTCAGCTGTCAATACCAAAGCCCCCTGGGAGATATATTCTTGTACAACAGAATTTTAGCTCAGGAAAACACTGGTCCAGAACTGTTTCTGAGCTGAGGGTCAATATCACTACCCTGACTTGAGCATTAACTTGCACCTTGAACTCAGTAAGTGCTACTTGTTGGGGCAGTTTTACTTGACAGAAAAAGCTGTGTGTGCGCGTCCTTTTTTCATTGTTCTTGAAGTCTGATCATGCAAGAATGTCTCCTAGATCACTCCAAACAGAGCCACTGCTGATTTGCTTCAACAAAAGTGCTTCTCTTTGGGGTTGTCTAGGATGGTAAAAACCACCAAGAGGATATGAAAGTTCTCGACTGTTCATCCACCAGCACTGTGGCAACATTTGTTTTCATAATTTAATCCAGGATTAAAAGCCTTGCTGTGCTGATCAGGGAAAAATGAGGGGGGTCTAGTCTTGCCTGTAACTGGTCAGTACTGTAACCCCAACACAAACACTGACTTGGGTTCCACATGCAGTAAGTGCTTTTTGTTGGGGTAGTTTTACTGACAAAGAACTATTGCAAAGACTCAGATGAATAAGGCATCAACAAAATCCAGATGACTGGTTCACAGGGCAGTCATGACAAGATGTAGTCTTATTTCATCACCCCCTCCGCATTAAAAGTAGACTTTGAATGTTACAATGTAATGATGTTGAATCCGATGAGGAGGACATGTGAGGGGCAAGGTGATATTTTTTGATGGGGTGTGAGGCCGCTTACCACTACTCATTAATGGGACATTACCCAGGCTGATGGGCCATCCTGTTGAGTATGGATCTCTGAATACAAGCAATAGTCACAGCTATGGAAACCAGGAAGTTACCGGGTGGAGTCAAGCCCAAAGGACTGCTTGAAGGATATAAAGTTGAGGAAATGATGAAAAGCAATTAAATGCCTTCCAAAGGGACGCTGCATGGGGGTCCTGGAAGTAGCATCTAAGACATATATAACCAGGACAGAAATTCACTGATGGCCTGAAGATTAACCCAACCTGAGCATTTGACTTGGCTGCTGACCTTCAGTAAGTGCTACATGTTGGGGCGGTTGTACATGGCAAATTCAACAAGCTGGACAGGAGGAGGTTGCAGCAAATGCACAACATGATCACCTCAAATAGAGACACTGATGATTTCTCTGTTCATAAGTGCTTCTCTTTGGGGGTGTTTTGTTGGTGTCTTTTCACCAAAAAGCAGGTATGAAACAGAAAAATACTGGCAAAGACATGTTTCATTATGGCTTACTGGTTTTGTCATGATTATTTATTATTATTTTTCATTCCTTATTATTTGTCATGATTATGTCACCAGCATTACCCAAACACATGCACTGACTAGATAAGTGAAAGCAGTAAGTGCTACTTGTTGGGGTAGTGTTGCTGAAAACCAACTCTCAGCTGTCAATACCAAAGCCCCCTGGGAGATATATTCTTGTACAACAGAATTTTAGCTCAGGAAAACACTGGTCCAGAACTGTTTCTGAGCTGAGGGTCAATATCACTACCCTGACTTGAGCATTAACTTGCACCTTGAACTCAGTAAGTGCTACTTGTTGGGGCAGTTTTACTTGACAGAAAAAGCTGTGTGTGTGCGTCCTTTTTTCATTGTTCTTGAAGTCTGATCATGCAAGATTGTCTCCTAGATCACTCCAAACAGAGCCACTGCTGATTTGCTTCAACAAAAGTGCTTCTCTTTGGGGTTGTCTAGGATGGTAAAAACCACCAAGAGGATATGAAAGTTCTCGACTGTTCATCCACCAGCACTGTGGCAACATTTGTTTTCATAATTTAATCCAGGATTAAAAGCCTTGCTGTGCTGATCAGGGAAAAATGAGGGGGGTCTAGTCTTGCCTGTAACTGGTCAGTACTGTAACCCCAACACAAACACTGACTTGGGTTCCACATGCAGTAAGTGCTTTTTGTTGGGGTAGTTTTACTGACAAAGAACTATTGCAAAGACTCAGATGAATAAGGCATCAACAAAATCCAGATGACTGGTTCACAGGGCAGTCATGACAAGATGTAGTCTTATTTCATCACCCCCTCCGCATTAAAAGTAGACTTTGAATGTTACAATGTAATGATGTTGAATCCGATGAGGAGGACATGTGAGGGGCAAGGTGATATTTTTTGATGGGGTGTGAGGCCGCTTACCACTACTCATTAATGGGACATTACCCAGGCTGATGGGCCATCCTGTTGAGTATGGATCTCTGAATACAAGCAATAGTCACAGCTATGGAAACCAGGAAGTTACCGGGCGGAGTCAAGCCCAAAGGACTGCTTGAAGGATATAAAGTTGAGGAAATGATGAAAAGCAATTAAATGCCTTCCAAAGGGACGCTGCATGGGGGTCCTGGAAGTAGCATCTAAGACATATATAACCAGGACAGAAATTCACTGATGGCCTGAAGATTAACCCAACCTGAGCATTTGACTTGGCTGCTGACCTTCAGTAAGTGCTACATGTTGGGGCGGTTGTACATGGCAAATTCAACGAGCTGGACAGGAGGAGGTTGCAGCAAATGCACAACATGATCACCTCAAATAGAGACACTGATGATTTCTCTGTTCATAAGTGCTTCTCTTTGGGGGTGTTTTGTTGGTGTCTTTTCACCAAAAAGCAGGTATGAAACAGAAAAATACTGGCAAAGACATGTTTCATTATGGCTTACTGGTTTTGTCATGATTATTTATTATTATTTTTCATTCCTTATTATTTGTCATGATTATGTCACCAGCATTACCCAAACACATGCACTGACTAGATAAGTGAAAGCAGTAAGTGCTACTTGTTGGGGTAGTGTTGCTGAAAACCAACTCTCAGCTGTCAACACAGAAGCCCCCAGGGAGATATATTCTTGTACAACAGAATTTTAGCTCAGGAAAACACTGGTCCAGAACTGTTTCTGAGCTGAGGGTCAATATCACTACCCTGACTTGAGCATTAACTTGCACCTTGAACTCAGTAAGTGCTACTTGTTGGGGCAGTTTTACTTGACAGAAAAAGCTGTGTGTGCGCGTCCTTTTTTCATTGTTCTTGAAGTCTGATCATGCAAGAATGTCTCCTAGATCACTCCAAACAGAGCCACTGCTGATTTGCTTCAACAAAAGTGCTTCTCTTTGGGGTTGTCTAGGATGGTAAAAACCACCAAGAGGATATGAAAGTTCTCGACTGTTCATCCACCAGCACTGTGGCAACATTTGTTTTCATAATTTAATCCAGGATTAAAAGCCTTGCTGTGCTGATCAGGGAAAAATGAGGGGGTCTAGTCTTGCCTGTAACTGGTCAGTACTGTAACCCCAACACAAACACTGACTTGGGTTCCACATGCAGTAAGTGCTTTTTGTTGGGGTAGTTTTACTGACAAAGAACTATTGCAAAGACTCAGATGAATAAGGCATCAACAAAATCCAGATGACTGGTTCACAGGGCAGTCATGACAAGATGTAGTCTTATTTCATCACCCCCTCCGCATTAAAAGTAGACTTTGAATGTTACAATGTATTGATGTTGAATCCGATGAGGAGGACATGTGAGGGGCAAGGTGATATTTTTTGATGGGGTGTGAGGCTGCTTACCACTACTCATTAATGGGACATTACCCAGGCTGATGGGCCATCCTGTTGAGTATGGATCTCTGAATACAAGCAATAGTCACAGCTATGGAAACCAGGAAGTTACCGGGCGGAGTCAAGCCCAAAGGACTGCTTGAAGGATATAAAGTTGAGGAAATGATGAAAAGCAATTAAATGCCTTCCAAAGGGACGCTGCATGGGGGTCCTGGAAGTAGCATCTAAGACATATATAACCAGGACAGAAATTCACTGATGGCCTGAAGATTAACCCAACCTGAGCATTTGACTTGGCTGCTGACCTTCAGTAAGTGCTACATGTTGGGGCGGTTGTACATGGCAAATTCAACGAGCTGGACAGGAGGAGGTTGCAGCAAATGCACAACATGATCACCTCAAATAGAGACACTGATGATTTCTCTGTTCATAAGTGCTTCTCTTTGGGGGTGTTTTGTTGGTGTCTTTTCACCAAAAAGCAGGTATGAAACAGAAAAATACTGGCAAAGACATGTTTCATTATGGCTTACTGGTTTTGTCATGATTATTTATTATTATTTTTCATTCCTTATTATTTGTCATGATTATGTCACCAGCATTACCCAAACACATGCACTGACTAGATAAGTGAAAGCAGTAAGTGCTACTTGTTGGGGTAGTGTTGCTGAAAACCAACTCTCAGCTGTCAATACCAAAGCCCCCTGGGAGATATATTCTTGTACAACAGAATTTTAGCTCAGGAAAACACTGGTCCAGAACTGTTTCTGAGCTGAGGGTCAATATCACTACCCTGACTTGAGCATTAACTTGCACCTTGAACTCAGTAAGTGCTACTTGTTGGGGCAGTTTTACTTGACAGAAAAAGCTGTGTGTGCGCGTCCTTTTTTCATTGTTCTTGAAGTCTGATCATGCAAGAATGTCTCCTAGATCACTCCAAACAGAGCCACTGCTGATTTGCTTCAACAAAAGTGCTTCTCTTTGGGGTTGTCTAGGATGGTAAAAACCACCAAGAGGATATGAAAGTTCTCGACTGTTCATCCACCAGCACTGTGGCAACATTTGTTTTCATAATTTAATCCAGGATTAAAAGCCTTGCTGTGCTGATCAGGGAAAAATGAGGGGGTCTAGTCTTGCCTGTAACTGGTCAGTACTGTAACCCCAACACAAACACTGACTTGGGTTCCACATGCAGTAAGTGCTTTTTGTTGGGGTAGTTTTACTGACAAAGAACTATTGCAAAGACTCAGATGAATAAGGCATCAACAAAATCCAGATGACTGGTTCACAGGGCAGTCATGACAAGATGTAGTCTTATTTCATCACCCCCTCCGCATTAAAAGTAGACTTTGAATGTTACAATGTAATGATGTTGAATCCGATGAGGAGGACATGTGAGGGGCAAGGTGATATTTTTTGATGGGGTGTGAGGCTGCTTACCACTACTCATTAATGGGACATTACCCAGGCTGATGGGCCATCCTGTTGAGTATGGATCTCTGAATACAAGCAATAGTCACAGCTATGGAAACCAGGAAGTTACCGGGCGGAGTCAAGCCCAAAGGACTGCTTGAAGGATATAAAGTTGAGGAAATGATGAAAAGCAATTAAATGCCTTCCAAAGGGACGCTGCATGGGGGTCCTGGAAGTAGCATCTAAGACATATATAACCAGGACAGAAATTCACTGATGGCCTGAAGATTAACCCAACCTGAGCATTTGACTTGGCTGCTGACCTTCAGTAAGTGCTACATGTTGGGGCGGTTGTACATGGCAAATTCAACGAGCTGGACAGGAGGAGGTTGCAGCAAATGCACAACATGATCACCTCAAATAGAGACACTGATGATTTCTCTGTTCATAAGTGCTTCTCTTTGGGGGTGTTTTGTTGGTGTCTTTTCACCAAAAAGCAGGTATGAAACAGAAAAATACTGGCAAAGACATGTTTCATTATGGCTTACTGGTTTTGTCATGATTATTTATTATTATTTTTCATTCCTTATTATTTGTCATGATTATGTCACCAGCATTACCCAAACACATGCACTGACTAGATAAGTGAAAGCAGTAAGTGCTACTTGTTGGGGTAGTGTTGCTGAAAACGGACTCTCAGCTGTCAACACAGAAGCCCCCTGGGAGATATATTCTTGTACAACAGAATTTTAGCTCAGGAAAACACTGGTCCAGAACTGTTTCTGAGCTGAGGGTCAATATCACTACCCTGACTTGAGCATTAACTTGCACCTTGAACTCAGTAAGTGCTACTTGTTGGGGCAGTTTTACTTGACAGAAAAAGCTGTGTGTGTGCGTCCTTTTTTCATTGTTCTTGAAGTCTGATCATGCAAGAATGTCTCCTAGATCACTCCAAACAGAGCCACTGCTGATTTGCTTCAACAAAAGTGCTTCTCTTTGGGGTTGTCTAGGATGGTAAAAACCACCAAGAGGATATGAAAGTTCTCGACTGTTCATCCACCAGCACTGTGGCAACATTTGTTTTCATAATTTAATCCAGGATTAAAAGCCTTGCTGTGCTGATCAGGGAAAAATGAGGGGGGTCTAGTCTTGCCTGTAACTGGTCAGTACTGTAACCCCAACACAAACACTGACTTGGGTTCCACATGCAGTAAGTGCTTTTTGTTGGGGTAGTTTTACTGACAAAGAACTATTGCAAAGACTCAGATGAATAAGGCATCAACAAAATCCAGATGACTGGTTCACAGGGCAGTCATGACAAGATGTAGTCTTATTTCATCACCCCCTCCGCATTAAAAGTAGACTTTGAATGTTACAATGTAATGATGTTGAATCCGATGAGGAGGACATGTGAGGGGCAAGGTGATATTTTTGATGGGGTGTGAGGCTGCTTACCACTACTCATTAATGGGACATTACCCAGGCTGATGGGCCATCCTGTTGAGTATGGATCTCTGAATACAAGCAATAGTCACAGCTATGGAAACCAGGAAGTTACCGGGCGGAGTCAAGCCCAAAGGACTGCTTGAAGGATATAAAGTTGAGGAAATGATGAAAAGCAATTAAATGCCTTCCAAAGGGACGCTGCATGGGGGTCCTGGAAGTAGCATCTAAGACATATATAACCAGGACAGAAATTCACTGATGGCCTGAAGATTAACCCAACCTGAGCATTTGACTTGGCTGCTGACCTTCAGTAAGTGCTACATGTTGGGGCGGTTTACATGGCAAATTCAACGAGCTGGACAGGAGGAGGTTGCAGCAAATGCACAACATGATCACCTCAAATAGAGACACTGATGATTTCTCTGTTCATAAGTGCTTCTCTTTGGGGGTGTTTTGTTGGTGTCTTTTCACCAAAAAGCAGGTATGAAACAGAAAAATACTGGCAAAGACATGTTTCATTATGGCTTACTGGTTTTGTCATGATTATTTATTATTATTTTTCATTCCTTATTATTTGTCATGATTATGTCACCAGCATTACCCAAACACATGCACTGACTAGATAAGTGAAAGCAGTAAGTGCTACTTGTTGGGGTAGTGTTGCTGAAAACCAACTCTCAGCTGTCAATACCAAAGCCCCCTGGGAGATATATTCTTGTACAACAGAATTTTAGCTCAGGAAAACACTGGTCCAGAACTGTTTCTGAGCTGAGGGTCAATATCACTACCCTGACTTGAGCATTAACTTGCACCTTGAACTCAGTAAGTGCTACTTGTTGGGGCAGTTTTACTTGACAGAAAAAGCTGTGTGTGTGCGTCCTTTTTTCATTGTTCTTGAAGTCTGATCATGCAAGAATGTCTCCTAGATCACTCCAAACAGAGCCACTGCTGATTTGCTTCAACAAAAGTGCTTCTCTTTGGGGTTGTCTAGGATGGTAAAAACCACCAAGAGGATATGAAAGTTCTCGACTGTTCATCCACCAGCACTGTGGCAACGTTTGTTTTCATAATTTAATCCAGGATTAAAAGCCTTGCTGTGCTGATCAGGGAAAAATGAGGGGGTCTAGTCTTGCCTGTAACTGGTCTGTACTGTAACCCCAACACAAACACTGACTTGGGTTCCACATGCAGTAAGTGCTTTTTGTTGGGGTAGTTTTACTGACAAAGAACTATTGCAAAGACTCAGATGAATAAGGCATCAACAAAATCCAGATGACTGGTTCACAGGGCAGTCATGACAAGATGTAGTCTTATTTCATCACCCCCTCCGCATTAAAAGTAGACTTTGAATGTTACAATGTAATGATGTTGAATCCGATGAGGAGGACATGTGAGGGGCAAGGTGATACTTTTTGATGGGGTGTGAGGCCGCTTACCACTACTCATTAATGGGACATTACCCAGGCTGATGGGCCATCCTGTTGAGTATGGATCTCTGAATACAAGCAATAGTCACAGCTATGTAAACCAGGAAGTTACCGGGCGGAGTCAAGCCCAAAGGACTGCTTGAAGGATATAAAGTTGAGGAAATGATGAAAAGCAATTAAATGCCTTCCAAAGGGACGCTGCATGGGGGTCCTGGAAGTAGCATCTAAGACATATATAACCAGGACAGAAATTCACTGATGGTCTGAGGATAAACCCAACCTGAGCATTTGACTTGGCTGCTGATCTTCAGTAAATGCTTCATGTTGGGGCGGTTGTACATGGCAAATTCAACGAGCTGGACAGGAGGAGGTTGCAGCAAATGCACAACATGATCACCTCAAATAGAGACACTGATGATTTCTCTGTTCATAAGTGCTTCTCTTTGGGGGTGTTTTGTTGGTGTCTTTTCACCAAAAAGCAGGTATGAAACAGAAAAATACTGGCAAAGACATGTTTCATTATGGCTTACTGGTTTTGTCATGATTATTTATTATTATTTTTCATTCCTTATTATTTGTCATGATTATGTCACCAGCATTACCCAAACACATGCACTGACTAGATAAGTGAAAGCAGTAAGTGCTACTTGTTGGGGTAGTGTTGCTGAAAACCAACTCTCAGCTGTCAATACCAAAGCCCCCTGGGAGATATATTCTTGTACAACAGAATTTTAGCTCAGGAAAACACTGGTCCAGAACTGTTTCTGAGCTGAGGGTCAATATCACTACCCTGACTTGAGCATTAACTTGCACCTTGAACTCAGTAAGTGCTACTTGTTGGGGCAGTTTTACTTGACAGAAAAAGCTGTGTGTGTGCGTCCTTTTTTCATTGTTCTTGAAGTCTGATCATGCAAGATTGTCTCCTAGATCACTCCAAACAGAGCCACTGCTGATTTGCTTCAACAAAAGTGCTTCTCTTTGGGGTTGTCTAGGATGGTAAAAACCACCAAGAGGATATGAAAGTTCTCGACTGTTCATCCACCAGCACTGTGGCAACATTTGTTTTCATAATTTAATCCAGGATTAAAAGCCTTGCTGTGCTGATCAGGGAAAAATGAGGGGGGTCTAGTCTTGCCTGTAACTGGTCAGTACTGTAACCCCAACACAAACACTGACTTGGGTTCCACATGCAGTAAGTGCTTTTTGTTGGGGTAGTTTTACTGACAAAGAACTATTGCAAAGACTCAGATGAATAAGGCATCAACAAAATCCAGATGACTGGTTCACAGGGCAGTCATGACAAGATGTAGTCTTATTTCATCACCCCCTCCGCATTAAAAGTAGACTTTGAATGTTACAATGTATTGATGTTGAATCCGATGAGGAGGACATGTGAGGGGCAAGGTGATATTTTTTGATGGGGTGTGAGGCCGCTTACCACTACTCATTAATGGGACATTACCCAGGCTGATGGGCCATCCTGTTGAGTATGGATCTCTGAATACAAGCAATAGTCACAGCTATGGAAACCAGGAAGTTAACGGGTGGAGTCAAGCCCAAAGGACTGCTTGAAGGATATAAAGTTGAGGAAATGATGAAAAGCAATTAAATGCCTTCCAAAGGGACGCTGCATGGGGGTCCTGGAAGTAGCATCTAAGACATATATAACCAGGACAGAAATTCACTGATGGCCTGAAGATTAACCCAACCTGAGCATTTGACTTGGCTGCTGACCTTCAGTAAGTGCTACATGTTGGGGCGGTTGTACATGGCAAATTCAACGAGCTGGACAGGAGGAGGTTGCAGCAAATGCACAACATGATCACCTCAAATAGAGACACTGATGATTTCTCTGTTCATAAGTGCTTCTCTTTGGGGGTGTTTTGTTGGTGTCTTTTCACCAAAAAGCAGGTATGAAACAGAAAAATACTGGCAAAGACATGTTTCATTATGGCTTACTGGTTTTGTCATGATTATTTATTATTATTTTTCATTCCTTATTATTTGTCATGATTATGTCACCAGCATTACCCAAACACATGCACTGACTAGATAAGTGAAAGCAGTAAGTGCTACTTGTTGGGGTAGTGTTGCTGAAAACCAACTCTCAGCTGTCAATACCAAAGCCCCCTGGGAGATATATTCTTGTACAACAGAATTTTAGCTCAGGAAAACACTGGTCCAGAACTGTTTCTGAGCTGAGGGTCAATATCACTACCCTGACTTGAGCATTAACTTGCACCTTGAACTCAGTAAGTGCTACTTGTTGGGGCAGTTTTACTTGACAGAAAAAGCTGTGTGTGTGCGTCCTTTTTTCATTGTTCTTGAAGTCTGATCATGCAAGAATGTCTCCTAGATCACTCCAAACAGAGCCACTGCTGATTTGCTTCAACAAAAGTGCTTCTCTTTGGGGTTGTCTAGGATGGTAAAAACCACCAAGAGGATATGAAAGTTCTCGACTGTTCATCCACCAGCACTGTGGCAACATTTGTTTTCATAATTTAATCCAGGATTAAAAGCCTTGCTGTGCTGATCAGGGAAAAATGAGGGGGGTCTAGTCTTGCCTGTAACTGGTCAGTACTGTAACCCCAACACAAACACTGACTTGGGTTCCACATGCAGTAAGTGCTTTTTGTTGGGGTAGTTTTACTGACAAAGAACTATTGCAAAGACTCAGATGAATAAGGCATCAACAAAATCCAGATGACTGGTTCACAGGGCAGTCATGACAAGATGTAGTCTTATTTCATCACCCCCTCCGCATTAAAAGTAGACTTTGAATGTTACAATGTATTGATGTTGAATCCGATGAGGAGGACATGTGAGGGGCAAGGTGATATTTTTTGATGGGGTGTGAGGCTGCTTACCACTACTCATTAATGGGACATTACCCAGGCTGATGGGCCATCCTGTTGAGTATGGATCTCTGAATACAAGCAATAGTCACAGCTATGGAAACCAGGAAGTTACCGGGCGGAGTCAAGCCCAAAGGACTGCTTGAAGGATATAAAGTTGAAGAAATGATGAAAAGCAATTAAATGCCTTCCAAAGGGACGCTGCATGGGGGTCCTGGAAGTAGCATCTAAGACATATATAACCAGGACAGAAATTCACTGATGGCCTGAAGATTAACCCAACCTGAGCATTTGACTTGGCTGCTGACCTTCAGTAAGTGCTACATGTTGGGGCGGTTGTACATGGCAAATTCAACGAGCTGGACAGGAGGAGGTTGCAGCAAATGCACAACATGATCACCTCAAATAGAGACACTGATGATTTCTCTGTTCATAAGTGCTTCTCTTTGGGGGTGTTTTGTTGGTGTCTTTTCACCAAAAAGCAGGTATGAAACAGAAAAATACTGGCAAAGACATGTTTTCATTATGGCTTACTGGTTTTGTCATGATTATTTATTATTATTTTTCATTCCTTTTATTTGTCATGATTATGTCACCAGCATTACCCAAACACATGCACTGACTAGATAAGTGAAAGCAGTAAGTGCTACTTGTTGGGGTAGTGTTGCTGAAAACCAACTCTCAGCTGGCAATACCAAAGCCCCCTGGGAGATATATTCTTGTACAACAGAATTTTAGCTCAGGAAAACACTGGTCCAGAACTGTTTCTGAGCTGAGGGTCAATATCACTACCCTGACTTGAGCATTAACTTGCACCTTGAACTCAGTAAGTGCTACTTGTTGGGGCAGTTTTACTTGACAGAAAAAGCTGTGTGTGTGCGTCCTTTTTTCATTGTTCTTGAAGTCTGATCATGCAAGATTGTCTCCTAGATCACTCCAAACAGAGCCACTGCTGATTTGCTTCAACAAAAGTGCTTCTCTTTGGGGTTGTCTAGGATGGTAAAAACCACCAAGAGGATATGAAAGTTCTCGACTGTTCATCCACCAGCACTGTGGCAACATTTGTTTTCATAATTTAATCCAGGATTAAAAGCCTTGCTGTGCTGATCAGGGAAAAATGAGGGGGGTCTAGTCTTGCCTGTAACTGGTCAGTACTGTAACCCCAACACAAACACTGACTTGGGTTCCACATGCAGTAAGTGCTTTTTGTTGGGGTAGTTTTACTGACAAAGAACTATTGCAAAGACTCAGATGAATAAGGCATCAACAAAATCCAGATGACTGGTTCACAGGGCAGTCATGACAAGATGTAGTCTTATTTCATCACCCCCTCCGCATTAAAAGTAGACTTTGAATGTTACAATGTATTGATGTTGAATCCGATGAGGAGGACATGTGAGGGGCAAGGTGATATTTTTGATGGGGTGTGAGGCTGCTTACCACTACTCATTAATGGGACATTACCCAGGCTGATGGGCCATCCTGTTGAGTATGGATCTCTGAATACAAGCAATAGTCACAGCTATGGAAACCAGGAAGTTACCGGGCGGAGTCAAGCCCAAAGGACTGCTTGAAGGATATAAAGTTGAGGAAATGATGAAAAGCAATTAAAGCCTTCCAAAGGGACGCTGCATGGGGGTCCTGGAAGTAGCATCTAAGACATATATAACCAGGACAGAAATTCACTGATGGCCTGAAGATTAACCCAACCTGAGCATTTGACTTGGCTGCTGACCTTCAGTAAGTGCTACATGTTGGGGCGGTTGTACATGGCAAATTCAACGAGCTGGACAGGAGGAGGTTGCAGCAAATGCACAACATGATCACCTCAAATAGAGACACTGATGATTTCTCTGTTCATAAGTGCTTCTCTTTGGGGGTGTTTTGTTGGTGTCTTTTCACCAAAAAGCAGGTATGAAACAGAAAAATACTGGCAAAGACATGTTTCATTATGGCTTACTGGTTTTGTCATGATTATTTATTATTATTTTTCATTCCTTATTATTTGTCATGATTATGTCACCAGCATTACCCAAACACATGCACTGACTAGATAAGTGAAAGCAGTAAGTGCTACTTGTTGGGGTAGTGTTGCTGAAAACGGACTCTCAGCTGTCAACACAGAAGCCCCCAGGGAGATATATTCTTGTACAACAGAATTTTAGCTCAGGAAAACACTGGTCCAGAACTGTTTCTGAGCTGAGGGTCAATATCACTACCCTGACTTGAGCATTAACTTGCACCTTGAACTCAGTAAGTGCTACTTGTTGGGGCAGTTTTACTTGACAGAAAAAGCTGTGTGTGTGCGTCCTTTTTTCATTGTTCTTGAAGTCTGATCATGCAAGAATGTCTCCTAGATCACTCCAAACAGAGCCACTGCTGATTTGCTTCAACAAAAGTGCTTCTCTTTGGGGTTGTCTAGGATGGTAAAAACCACCAAGAGGATATGAAAGTTCTCGACTGTTCATCCACCAGCACTGTGGCAACATTTGTTTTCATAATTTAATCCAGGATTAAAAGCCTTGCTGTGCTGATCAGGGAAAAATGAGGGGGTCTAGTCTTGCCTGTAACTGGTCAGTACTGTAACCCCAACACAAACACTGACTTGGGTTCCACATGCAGTAAGTGCTTTTTGTTGGGGTAGTTTTACTGACAAAGAACTATTGCAAAGACTCAGATGAATAAGGCATCAACAAAATCCAGATGACTGGTTCACAGGGCAGTCATGACAAGATGTAGTCTTATTTCATCACCCCCTCCGCATTAAAAGTAGACTTTGAATGTTACAATGTATTGATGTTGAATCCGATGAGGAGGACATGTGAGGGGCAAGGTGATATTTTTGATGGGGTGTGAGGCTGCTTACCACTACTCATTAATGGGACATTACCCAGGCTGATGGGCCATCCTGTTGAGTATGGATCTCTGAATACAAGCAATAGTCACAGCTATGGAAACCAGGAAGTTACCGGGCGGAGTCAAGCCCAAAGGACTGCTTGAAGGATATAAAGTTGAGGAAATGATGAAAAGCAATTAAATGCCTTCCAAAGGGACGCTGCATGGGGGTCCTGGAAGTAGCATCTAAGACATATATAACCAGGACAGAAATTCACTGATGGCCTGAAGATTAACCCAACCTGAGCATTTGACTTGGCTGCTGACCTTCAGTAAGTGCTACATGTTGGGGCGGTTGTACATGGCAAATTCACGAGCTGGACAGGAGGAGGTTGCAGCAAATGCACAACATGATCACCTCAAATAGAGACACTGATGATTTCTCTGTTCATAAGTGCTTCTCTTTGGGGGTGTTTTGTTGGTGTCTTTTCATCAAAAAGCAGGTATGAAACAGAAAAATACTGGCAAAGACATGTTTCATTATGGCTTAGTCACGATTATTTATTATTATTTTTCATTCCTTTTTATTTGTCATGATTATGTCACCAGCATTACCCAAACACATGCACTGACTAGATAAGTGAAAGCAGTAAGTGCTACTTGTTGGGGTAGTGTTGCTGAAAACCAACTCTCAGCTGGCAATACCAAAGCCCCCTGGGAGATATATTCTTGTACAACAGAATTTTAGCTCAGGAAAACACTGGTCCAGAACTGTTTCTGAGCTGAGGGTCAATATCACTACCCTGACTTGAGCATTAACTTGCACCTTGAACTCAGTAAGTGCTACTTGTTGGGGCAGTTTTACTTGACAGAAAAAGCTGTGTGTGTGCGTCCTTTTTTTAATTGTTCTTGAAGTCTGATCATGCAAGATTGTCTCCTAGATCACTCCAAACAGAGCCACTGCTGATTTGCTTCAACAAAAGTGCTTCTCTTTGGGGTTGTCTAGGATGGTAAAAACCACCAAGAGGATATGAAAGTTCTCGACTGTTCATCCACCAGCATTGTGGCAACATTTGTTTTCATAATTTAATCCAGGATTAAAAGCCTTGCTGTGCTGATTAGGGAAAAATGAGGGGGGTCTAGTCTTGCCTGTAACTGGTCAGTACTGTAACCCCAACACAAACACTGACTTGGGTTCCACATGCAGTAAGTGCTTTTTGTTGGGGTAGTTTTACTGACAAAGAACTATTGCAAAGACTCAGATGAATAAGGCATCAACACAATCCAGATGACTGGTTCACAGGGCAGTCATGACAAGATGTAGTCTTATTTCATCACCCCCTCCGCATTAAAAGTAGACTTTGAATGTTACAATGTATTGATGTTGAATCCGGCGGAGTCAAGCCCAAAGGACTGCTTGAAGGATATAAAGTTGAAGAAATGATGAAAAGCAATTAAATGCCTTCCAAAGGGACGCTGCATGGGGGTCCTGGAAGTAGCATCTAAGACATATATAACCAGGACAGAAATTCACTGATGGCATGAAGATTAACCCAACCTGAGCATTTCACTTGGCTGCTGACCTTCAGTAAGTGCTACTTGTTGGGGCAGTTTTACTTGACAGAAAAAGCTGTGTGTGTGCGTCCTTTTTTTAATTGTTCTTGAAGTCTGATCATGCATGATTGTCTCCTAGATCACTCCAAACAGAGCCACTGCTGATTTGCTTCAACAAAAGTGCTTCTCTTTGGGGTTGTCTAGGATGGTAAAAACCACCAAGAGGATATGAAAGTTCTCGACTGTTCATCCACCAGCATTGTGGCAACATTTGTTTTCATAATTTAATCCAGGATTAAAAGCCTTGCTGTGCTGATTAGGGAAAAATGAGGGGGGTCTAGTCTTGCCTGTAACTGGTCAGTACTGTAACCCCAACACAAACACTGACTTGGGTTCCACATGCAGTAAGTGCTTTTTGTTGGGGTAGTTTTACTGACAAAGAACTATTGCAAAGACTCAGATGAATAAGGCATCAACAAAATCCAGATGACTGGTTCACAGGGCAGTCATGACAAGATGTAGTCTTATTTCATCACCCCCTCCGCATTAAAAGTAGACTTTGAATGTTACAATGTATTGATGTTGAATCCGATGAGGAGGACATGTGAGGGGCAAGGTGATGTTTTTGATGGGGTGTGAGGCTGCTTACCACTACTCATTAATGGGACATTACCCAGGCTGATGGGCCATCCTGTTGAGTATGGATCTCTGAATACAAGCAATAGTCACAGCTATGGAAACCAGGAAGTTACCGGGCGGAGTCAAGCCCAAAGGACTGCTTGAAGGATATAAAGTTGAAGAAATGATGAAAAGCAATTAAATGCCTTCCAAAGGGACGCTGCATGGGGGTCCTGGAAGTAGCATCTAAGACATATATAACCAGGACAGAAATTCACTGATGGCCTGAAGATTAACCCAACCTGAGCATTTGACTTGGCTGCTGACCTTCAGTAAGTGCTACATGTTGGGGCGGTTGTACATGGCAAAATCACCGAGCTGGACAGGAGGAGGTTGCAGCAAATGCACAACATGATCACCTCAAATAGAGACACTGATGATTTCTCTGTTAATAAGTGCTTCTCTTTGGGGGTGTTTTGTTGGTGTCTTTTCATCAAAAAGCAGGTATGAAACAGAAAAATACTGGCAAAGACATGTTTCATTATGGCTTAGTCATGATTTTTTTTTTTTTTTTTCATTCCGTTTTATTCGTCATGATTATGTCACCAGCATTACCCAAACACATGCACTGACTAGATAAGTGAAAGCAGTAAGTGCTACTTGTTGGGGTAGTGTTGCTGAAAACCAACTCTCAGCTGGCAATACCAAAGCCCCCTGGGAGATATATTCTTGTACAACAGAATTTTAGCTCAGGAAAACACTGGTCCAGAACTGTTTCTGAGCTGAGGGTCAATATCACTACCCTGACTTGAGCATTAACTTGCACCTTGAACTCAGTAAGTGCTACTTGTTGGGGCAGTTTTTCTTGACAGAAAAAGCGGTGTGTGTGTGTGCGTCCTTTTTTCATTTTCTTGAAGTCTGATCATGCAAGATTGTCTCCTAGATCACTCCAAACAGAGCCACTGCTGATTTGCTTCAACAAAAGTGCTTCTCTTTGGGGTTGTCTAGGATGGTAAAAACCACCAAGAGGATATGAAAGTTCTCGACTGTTCATCCACCAGCATTGTGGCAACATTTGTTTTCATAATTTAATCCAGGATTAAAAGCCTTGCTGTGCTGATTAGGGAAAAATGAGGGGGGTCTAGTCTTGCCTGTAACTGGTCAGTACTGTAACCCCAACACAAACACTGACTTGGGTTCCACATGCAGTAAGTGCTTTTTGTTGGGGTAGTTTTACTGACAAAGAACTATTGCAAAGACTCAGATGAATAAGGCATCAACAAAATCCAGATGACTGGTTCACAGGGCAGTCATGACAAGATGTAGTCTTATTTCATCACCCCCTCCGCATTAAAAGTAGACTTTGAATGTTACAATGTATTGATGTTGAATCCGATGAGGAGGACATGTGAGGGGCAAGGTGATGTTTTTGATGGGGTGTGAGGCTGCTTACCACTACTCATTAATGGGACATTACCCAGGGTGATGGGCCATCCTGTTGAGTATGGATCTCTGCATACAAGCAATAGTCACAGCTATGGAAACCAGGAAGTTACCGGGCGGAGTCAAGCCCAAAGGACTGCTTGAAGGATATAAAGTTGAAGAAATGATGAAAAGCAATTAAATGCCTTCCAAAGGGACGCTGCATGGGGGTCCTGGAAGTAGCATCTAAGACATATATAACCAGGACAGAAATTCACTGATGGCCTGAAGATTAACCCAACCTGAGCATTTGACTTGGCTGCTGACCTTCAGTAAGTGCTACATGTTGGGGCGGTTGTACATGGCAAATTCACCGAGCTGGACAGGAGGAGGTTGCAGCAAATGCACAACATGATCACCTCAAATAGAGACACTGATGATTTCTCTGTTCATAAGTGCTTCTCTTTGGGGGTGTTTTGTTGGTGTCTTTTCATCAAAAAGCAGGTATGAAACAGAAAAATACTGGCAAAGACGTGTTTCATTATGGCTTACTGGTTTTGTCATGATTATTTATTATTATTTTTCATTCCTTTGTATTTGTCATGATTATGTCACCAGCATTACCCAAACACATGCACTGACTAGATAAGTGAAAGCAGTAAGTGCTACTTGTTGGGGTAGTGTTGCTGAAAACCAACTCTCAGCTGGCAATACCAAAGCCCCCTGGGAGATATATTCTTGTACAACAGAATTTTAGCTCAGGAAAACACCGGTCCAGAACTGTTTCTGAGCTGAGGGTCAATATCACTACCCTGACTTGAGCATTAACTTGCACCTTGAACTCAGTAAGTGCTACTTGTTGGGGCAGTTTTACTTGACAGAAAAAGCTGTGTGTGTGTGTCCTTTTTTCATTGTTCTTGAAGTCTGATCATGCAAGATTGTCTCCTAGATCACTCCAAACAGAGCCACTGCTGATTTGCTTCAACAAAAGTGCTTCTCTTTGGGGTTGTCTAGGATGGTAAAAACCACCAAGAGGATATGAAAGTTCTCGACTGTTCATCCACCAGCACTGTGGCAACATTTGTTTTCATAATTTAATCCAGGATTAAAAGCCTTGCTGTGCTGATCAGGGAAAAATGAGGGGGGTCTAGTCTTGCCTCTAACTGTTCAGTACTGTAACCCCAACACAAACACTGACTTGGGTTCCACATGCAGTAAGTGCTTTTTGTTGGGGTAGTTTTACTGACAAAGAACTATTGCAAAGACTCAGATGAATAAGGCATCAACAAAATCCAGATGACTGGTTCACAGGGCAGTCATGACAAGATGTAGTCTTATTTCATCACCCCCTCCGCATTAAAAGTAGACTTTGAATGTTACAATGTATTGATGTTGAATCCGATGAGGAGGACATGTGAGGGGCAAGGTGATATTTTTTGATGGGGTGTGAGGCCGCTTACCACTACTCATTAATGGGACATTACCTAGGCTGATGGGCCATCCTGTTGAGTATGGATCTCTGAATACAAGCAATAGTCACAGCTATGGAAACCAGGAAGTTACCGGGCGGAGTCAAGCCCAAAGGACTGCTTGAAGGATATAAAGTTGAAGAAATGATGAAAAGCAATTAAATGCCTTCCAAAGGGACGCTGCATGGGGGTCCTGGAAGTAGCATCTAAGACATATATAACCAGGACAGAAATTCACTGATGGCCTGAAGATTAACCCAACCTGAGCATTTGACTTGGCTGCTGACCTTCAGTAAGTGCTACATGTTGGGGCGGTTGTACATGGCAAATTCACCGAGCTGGACAGGAGGAGGTTGCAGCAAATGCACAACATGATCACCTCAAATAGAGACACTGATGATTTCTCTGTTCATAAGTGCTTCTCTTTGGGGGTGTTTTGTTGGTGTCTTTTCATCAAAAAGCAGGTATGAAACAGAAAAATACTGGCAAAGACATGTTTCATTATGGCTTACTGGTTTTGTCATGATTATTTATTATTATTTTTCATTCCATATTTGTACTGATTATGTCACCAGCATTACCCAAACACATGCACTGACTAGACAAGCGAAAGCAGTAAGTGCTACTTGTTGGAGTAGTGTTGCTGAAAACCAATTCTCAGCTGGCAATACCAAAGCCCCCTAGGAGATTTATTCTTGTACAACAGAATTTTAGCTCAGGAAAACACTGGTCCAGAACTGTTTCTGAGCTGAGGGTCAATATCACTACCCTGACTTGAGCATTAACTTGCACCTTGAACTCAGTAAGTGCTACTTGTTGGGGCAGTTTTTCTTGACAGAAAAAGCGGTGTGTGTGTGCGTCCTTTTTTCATTTTCTTGAAGTCTGATCATGCAAGATTGTCTCCTAGATCACTCCAAGCAGATCCACTGCTGATTTGCTTCAACAAAAGTGCTTCTCTTTAGGGTTGTCTAGGATGGTAAGAACCACCAAGAGGATATGAAAGTTCTCAAATGTTCATCCACCAGCACTGTGGCAACATTTGTTTTTAATTTAATCCAGGATTAAAAGCCTTGCTGTGCTGATTAGGGAAAAATGAGGGGGGTCTAGTCTTGCCTGTAACTGGTCAGTACTGTAACCCCAACACAAACACTGACTTGGGTTCCACATGCAGTAAGTGCTTTTTGTTGGGGTAGTTTTACTGACAAAGAACTATTGCAAAGACTCAGATGAATAAGGCATCAACACAATACAGATGACTGGTTCACAGGGCAGTCATGACAAGATGTAGTCTTATTTCATCACCCCCTCTGCATTAAAAGTAGACTTTGAATGTTACAATGTATTGATGTTGAATCCGATGAGGAGGACATGTGAGGGGCAAGGTGATTTTTTTGATGGGGTGTGAGGCCGCTTACCACTACTCATTAATGGAACATTACCCAGGCTGATGGGCCATCCTGTTGAGTATGGATCTCTGAATACAAGCAATAGTCACAGCTATGGAAACCAGGAAGTTACCGGGCGGAGTCAAGCCCAAAGGACTGCTCGAAGGATATAAAGTGAAGGAAATAATAAAAAACAATGAAATGCCCTCCAAAGGGACGCTGCATGGGGGTCCTGGAAGTAGCTTCTTAGAAAAATCATACCAGGACAGAAATTCACTGATGGCCTGAAGGTTAACCCAACCCGAGCATTTGACTTTACCTTCAGTAAGTGCTACATGTTGGGGCGGTTGTACATGGCAAATTCAACGAGCTGGACAGGAGGAGGTTGCACCAAATGCACGCCATGATCACATCAAATAGACTCTCAGCTGTCAATACCAAAGCCCCCTAGGAGATATATTCTTGTACACCTGAATTTTAGATCAGGAAAACACTGGTCCAGAACTGTTTCCAAGCTAAGGGTTAATATCACTACCCTGATTTGAGCACTGAATTGCACCATGAAATCAGTAAGTGTTGGGGCAGTTCTCCTTAAAAGAAGTGTATGTGTGTTATTTTCCTGCCCAACCTGCCCACCTCATCAACCTGTACCAAGTTATTCTTGAATATATGTCTATTTGGATGAAATTGTCTGCTGTATGGTAAGGTAAACTGTGAATAATCAAATGTACAAAAATGACAGTCAAGATAGTGTAGCTTTTTGTTTTATGTTTTTTTACTCTTTTATTTTTTTTAAATGGGGAGATTAGGTTCGATATCTGCCATTTTTCAGTATTTGTTTTCAGATTGTTGGTTTGGGGTTTATTTAGGGAATCTTTGGTTGTTTTTGTCTACGCACACCTCTAAAGACAATATAATCTGCTACTATATGTTGAACTGTTTTGCTGGCTTTCTTGGGAGTGGAAAGAGTGGGGGCTTACATTGTTGCAATGTTACAATGTCATTTTGAAGATTTTTTCCATAGCTACATACATCTGAGAACAACACAAGTAAAGCTCAGAAAAAGAGTAAGAACATCATGTGCTTCGATTCAAGTAGGACACAGGTACTTGAAAGGCAATGCACAACAGTGAATACTGTTTATTATAATTTTTTTTTTAATGAGAGCATTCATTATCTATCGTCATCATCAAATAAATTGTCATCACCACAAAATTACAGAGGAACCATCTGTTAGCTTACTCAAGGGCTGAACAAATTGTCGGAGAGCAGGACAGTGCAAGTCAACATTTAACCACTGGGGACAACAGTGGAGAATGATCAAACAAAGTGCATACAGTGTTCTCTGAAGAGCACAGCTGAACATAGATTCTCTCAACATTGTGTCATGTCCAAGTATGTTCTTGACTGGAACATGATGGAAGGTATATGTGTCTTTTTAAAGGATGCTTGCTGTTGTCTGTGTTGTGTGCTTAACTGAACAGATACAATCCAGACGTATGGGACTGGACTGGTCAATCCAGTACAACCCTTTTTTTTTTTTTGTTTAACTTTATATGCTGTTTTTGTTATCGGTGTGCAACCTAAGAATGGTCAAAATAAATAAAAGGAGAGCGTATTTTCTGACATCAACAAAAGCTTCTTATGATTCTAAGATAATTCTCCCACAAATTCCAAAAAACCTTTTTTTCACCCAGTTAATGCAGTAGTTTCACACAAAATATTAGTTAACGTCCATAGAGGATCTTCCAAAAATGTGATATATGTTGGTCAACAGTTAAAGAATTGAGATTCAGATCTGCAATGCAATTTCATGTATTCACACACAGCCAAACTAACCCCAGCCTGTAGGAAACATTCACTAAAAGTAATTATTTGTTCCACTCTTAAAAAACTGACTGAGGTCTTAACCTTCAATAATTTAGTGTTGAATATCAGACCTCCCTTTGATAACCAGTGTAGTAACCCCTTAGAAATTGCTGGTCAAAGTTCACTTCACTCATTTTATCACAGAAAACTGAACTAAATCTGAGACAATAGCTGTCAAAAAACACTCACAGAGTCAAGAACTGAAAAGCACCCTTTTTATTGTATGTGTACAAGCACAATAACAGCCTGGATTCACATCAGATTTATCTCTGTTTATTTTAAGCTTTTGTCTTTTCATTTATAAATGCATAACAGTACAATAACATGGAAGTGCACTTTGCTTATTTAAACTCTGAATGTGTGGTTTTATCACATTATTCTCTTTGGTTTAATAAAAATAATAAACTGATGTTGCGCTTTTGTAGGAAAACTCTTTAAGCGTACAACCATTTTTTACATGGACCTAAAGTACAGTCAATGTGCAGTTTTTATTCTTTTAATGAGCCTGTGCAGCCTTCATTTACATTATGGTTATCATTTTGGTAAAGTCAGACCCTGCCCAAGAGTGTAAGGTACAAGATAAGTGTTATAGTAGTGGAGACAACTGTGGGAAAAAAGATTAATGTGCTGCAAAAAGGGCCAAGCATGCATAGCAGATAATGAGGAAAACTGATTCTCTAGGAGGGATTAGGCACAAAAGGTAAAAAGTGCAATGATATCCAAGAGTGTAAGGGAAATACATGGCAAACTAATTAAGAAACTGAGCTCCACTGATTTTATTTCCTAGTGACCATGTAGAAAATTCTGGAGTGTTTTTTTCCCTCATTCTTGTTAAACTAAATTAATCATAGTGGCAGTAGATGGGGTTTAGATCTTCCTCCAGTTGCTCTGAACAGTGTGGCACTCACTCAGGGGAGCAGTATCGTCCAGCAAAGAGGATGCTCATTGAAGGGTTGTGTCTGATGAAGAAGAGGAAGGGGTGGTCGGCGATGAAGGAGGCTGGACGCATGGCACAGCGCATCATCATGATACCAACGGTGGCGGCAGCGGCTTCAGTTCCCTCCTCATTTACCTCCACAAATGCTTTGTGGATGACTTTAGACAGGACCAGGTCGTTAGCCGGAGACATACCTGTTATGTGGGGGGTTATCAATTAATGTCATTTTAACAACAGAAAATCTCTGTACTGACCAGAGACTGCTCAGGATGATGAATAGTGAGCAGGTGGTTATAGCTTGTGTGTGCCATTATAGTTTTCTGGATTTCTGTTCGATAAAAAACTGTGAATCTCTCTATTACGATACATGTACATCTCCTACCAGAGAAGTCGCTCCTCCCCATGTCAAAGGCGTCCACCATCCCCATGCTCGTCAGGATGTCCTTCAAGTCATACTTCTCTTCCATCTTGAACCGAGGAAGCCCCACCATCACCTCAACGGTATCCATCATATCAGGACGAGTCCAATCCATAAAGTTCTCGTATGTCAGCTGTTGCTCCAGCTGTAGTAAATAAAAAATCAAACATCAGGTTGTTTTCATGTCTGCAGGTTTATCTACATATGCATGTCCAGGTGAGTTTGGGTCCTACCTTCTCCAGACCCGTTGTATCGTCTTCTATGTTGTTGGGAAGAAATATGAGCATGCTGAGCTCCTTTCCTTTGTAGGGCATCTCCAGAACCTGTGCAAGAGAGGGTTCCAGGTATTACAAAAAATATAGTACGCAAATCCAGGAAATGACTGGAAGCTGCATAGCAAACATTAGTGTGATGGTATCTTCTTAAATAGACATGAGAGAAGAAAGGTTAATCAAACACAACATATATCAGTGACTTGATCCGTCCAAAACTGTTCTATGAATTTAAAAGCAAACCCAAATCTTATGAAGTTGTTATAGCTGCACAGATTTCCATATTTGTATAGGCGGATATGACCAGACAACCTGACATCCAATCAGTTAACAGAAGTAAAAGTAATATACTGTATTACTCGATTACCTGGCAAGATCCTTCAGGGATGTAGGTCAAGGGGAACTTTGATTTCTGGTGCATCATTTTGACCGTCTTGGTTTCATTCTGGAAAAAAATCAAAAGTTATAAAGACGAGAAACATTTTTGTTTCAGTGATGTGGGTGGCTGACGTAACTTTTAAGTGTGATCAGGTAAAACTCTGAACAGAAGAAAAAGTGGAAATATCTGAGGCTGGCATTGAGCTACAAATAACAAGCACATTACAAGCTGTGTTAGATGTGAAGAGTATATTATGGATGCTGGTTGTCCTTATTTTTTAAGAATTAATCAGTAGTGGCAATAATACAGTTCAGAGTGAGAGCTCCAGCCTACCAGGTCATGTCCTGGTTGACCAAATTAGCCACTCTGGGCCTGGCTGGGCCTAGTATCAGCTCATTAAATGCATATCGTGCATCACTGCAGAAAATACTCAGTTTCTAGAAAAACCTTGGATTCAAACTCTCAGCAAAGAAAAGATAAAAGCACTGTCAGCATCAAAATAGCTGATAAATCAATTCATACATTATTTAATGGTTTAATGTTTTTGTGTAATATGAAGTGTTCTAAATCACTGACAGCATTTATAGCCAAAAACTTATTTGAAGTGTCTGTCTACAAACAGGTTTGGATCAAACTGAACCCTGTGGTCTAGTTTCCTTTGGTTCACAAAAGGTCAGAAATAGCATCCACAGCAACAGTGTTTTACTTTACTGTCATGGAGAGCTTTTAATCCACACTAACAGACTAGAGCTAACATCAGTCTGGTCAGAGTCACCTTGTTGAGCCTGAACGGAAGGTCACGTGTGGCATTCTCCTTAAACTGTTTCTCCCAGTTTCCTTTGAAGTAGATGGCATTGACCAGTACCAGTCGGGTCATGGTGTTCACCACGCCCTGAGCCAGGACGTCTTTAATTTTACCTGAAATCAGAATAAAACAAACAAAGCAATGTCACACAGCTGGGAGTTTGAACTCAGCAGTAGGGTAGGTTGTCTAGTCACAGAAATCATGTGAGCCATAAAATCCTATGGAGCTAAATCCAGGCCAAAAGGTTTATTAATTTGAAAAAAAAAAAAAAAAAAAAGGAATTTAAAAAAAAAAAATTTAAACTTAAATTTAAAATTTAAAAAAGTTTGATCTTGACTTTAAAGAAATTTAAAACACTGTATTGTTTATGAAAATAAATGTATAAAAGTTTTTCTACAACTGTAATCAACTTTCCCCAACAGGAGAAGGCCAATCAAGGATTGAAGTTTGAGCTTAACACTAACTACAACATCATTCATAACTGACAATCCCACGCCCCCCCCCCCCCCCACCCCCCGCCAGAATAGGGCCACAAGTTTGAAACTTAAAAAATATGATGTGAGTGAAAAAAGTTTTAAAGGTTCAAAAAAAGAAAAAAACTGAAAACATGATTTGAATGTGAAAGAATAAGATCCTAATCTAAAAACATTAAACCTGCAACTAAAAAAGTAACTCATCATTTCCTGCTAGTGCTAGCTTAGCACTGGCATCGGGTGGAATGTAAACCATACAGATGTAAACAGCAGAGAATTCTCGTGGTTACTAGAATGGTCTACATTTGAGCAGCATAACTTCCACATCGTGACATTAGTACACCACAAGTCATTGATATAGATACACAGACTTCCTCCTAGCTTCTTCCCCGAGTCAGCTGCTCTATCCGCTCGGTAGGCAGTGCGGCTGGCTAGCTCAATAGTCGAGGACGGGGTAGTGCTATCCAGCCAGGTTTCCGTGATATTAAGCTGCAGCAGTTGTTTATCTGCTTTTGTGTAGCTCCAGTCAGATCTCATCCATCTTGCCTCCGCATTTTCCCCTCTTTTGCAGCCGCTCACAGCATCTCCTCCTCCGCTTCTCATCCCCTGGAGTGCTGGATGTTGGCTCCTTAGACTGCTGTGTATTGTTATGTTGCCGTTGTAACCAAAGTTGGTATAACTAGAGAAGCAAGTGGTCGGCAACATTCATCTCTCGAGGGGGTGTCTAACTCGGTGTTACGGTGTGTTTGACCCTAAATTAATTTTACGCGTAATATCCCTTTAACATTAAAAAAATATATAAATATATTTGAGTAAAAAATGAAAATTAAGCGAATTTATCAAAAGAATTACTGAGTTGAATCATAACTTAAGTTAAGTTGAAAAAAAAAAACTTTTTTCAATTGCATCAAACCTTTGGGCCTGGACTTAGCTCCATGAAATGCTAAATTGTGTTTGATGCCATTTGATGCAAGTTGCCTTTCTATGTGGAGCATTATGCTTTTTCTGCAACACCCTAGTGAGAAGTTTTAACTTTTAATTCAAGCTCATGTTAAGATGATTTTGTGATTACTTATCAAGTATCTGATCAAAGAGTAACGTCAGGCTGTTAGAATGTAAAAATAAATGTGTGTGACTGGGTGTAATCGACCTTGTGTCTTCTTTTCCACCCAGCTGTTGATGTTGATTCTTGCAGCCTCAGAGCTGCTGATGAAGTCCACGGCCTCCAGCTCAGCGTCATAGTGCTTCCTGGTGTCTCCTAAGAAGTCCTGAATCAAAATGGAGAGAAAACCTTTTATTCATCTCAACACAGAGTAATGATTCATTTAGGTCAGAGGAATTCACTGCCAGATAATGTTTCCACAGTCACTGCTTTATGTGCCTGTACACCCTGCTGTCCACCCATCATCCATCACCCCAGTGTTCTTATTCTCTCCAGATTAACTGAATACAAACAGCTCACACCTGCTCTAAAGGTGTGCACACACCTCAACAAACTGGTAGGACTGCTCCCCGTACAGCCGGTTAGCCACATTGAGCGCATACGGTGCGTCTGCCTTGTTGAGCTCGCCCAGCAGCTGGCCAAAACTGGAATGGATTTCATCCTGACACTCCTGAGTTTTCAGGCACTGCAGAGGAAGAGGAGGTGAGCTGTTAATGGGATGCAACGACTGAGAGACAAACCACTGTGTAACAGACAGTCTATGGTCTGGACAGAAAGAAAACATGCCTAAAGGGCATTCTGGTATTTTTAAAGTTGGGCAGTTTTACCTATATTGGAATCTTAAAAGTTTTGAAGCTGTTTCTTTGGATTTCTTTGACCTTCAGCAGTTAAAGTGGCTATATGATAGTGACAGGATAAGAAATACCAATCTACTGTATGTGTCTCATTTAGCTGTTTTGTGGGTAGAAGTTCCTCACTCGCTGCTATAGAGTTGTAGAATTCACTTACATTTCTCATATCAATGTCACCTGTGTTTCCGTGGCTGGTCAGAGTTCCTGAGCTTTTAATTTGTCCTGCAGCTGTGGGTTGGTATAAGGACTTTGTGCTTAGCGGGAACAGATTCTCTGACCATAGCTTTTATACTCCTCGGCTGTTTGAGGTGTTTTTATTTACTAAACAAGCCTATTGTGACTATAGAGGAGCTTTTCATTTGATAATTGCTGATTATTCTAAATAAATCTTACCATTCAGAGTATTTGCAAGTTTGATTTTTTTGGAAAGCAAGAGTTTGAGGCCTAACATCCAACAGAACTGGCAAAAGAGCTTTACTGTTAGAAGTTGCCACCACAGGCTGAAATGTGTTATATTTGTGGTCAGGTGTATCCAGTAACTCTTTTTGGTTTTGCCACTCAGATTCCTTGAAGTAAGAAACTTTTGTGAAGTGCTAGATTCAGCAATTTAGTATCTCCATTCAAAGGCAGCAGACTCCACTGACAAACAGTCTTTTTAGTTCCAGGATTGTTTATTTGATTTCTGTAAATCTGTGGCTTTGGTTCATTGAATGGTTAATATTAAACAAAGTCACATTTGTAGCACATGTACCATCCCTCTTTAATAGACACTCCTTATCCAATTGAGAGTTATTGCATGGTCTCATTGAGCGAGAAGTAGGGTACACCCTGGACAAGCCATCAGCCTGTCACAGGGCTGATATACAGAGACCAAGGACTGGCTACAGTCACTTTTTCCTGCAGAAAATTTATCACAGTTGACCTTAAGAGCATGTGGACTCTGAAAGAAAGTCAGCGTACCTGGGAAAAAACAAACAAACAAAAAAAAAACACCCAGAACATGTAAAGGCCCAGATTCAAACCTGGAACTGTCTTACCTAGCTCTGTGCTTCCAGTGTAACATACATTACAGAAAAATATCTGACTTAGGCGAAGAAAGCCTAGAAACTCCCATGTTCTGCAAAATCAACAAGTCTTTGTCAGAGGAGTCTGCAGCTTTAGATAAATCGATACAATAGGGAAGTTTGGGAAGACAGCATTCAGTTTTTCTGCTCCCTCAGCATCAACTCGAACGAGTCCATCTCCGACTACAGCGGGGTGACGCAGCTCAAGTACGAACATTTATGATCATAACTTTATCATTTCCTTGAAGTTATAATTACCACATTAGTATTAGGACTTCCTTAATTTTAACTGAATTAGAATAAAATACACAAAGCAATGTCACAAAGCTGGGAGTTTGAGCTCAGCGGTAGAGTAGGTTGTCCAGTCACAGAAATCATGTGAGCCACAGAATGCTATGGAGATAAATCCAGGCCAAAAGGTTTATTAATTTGAAAAAAAAAAAAAAAAGGAATTTAAAAAATTAACATTTAAACGGAAAGTTCAAGGTTAGATCTTGATTCTTAAGAAATTTAAAAACACTGTATTGTTGATGAAAATAAATGTATAAAAGTTTTTTATCAACTGTTATCAACTTTCTCCAACAGGAGAAGGCCAACCAAGGACTGAAGTTTGAGCTTAACACTAACTACAACATCATTAACAGCAGCTAAAAGCATAAAAATAGTTCATGGTAACCTTGCGCCTACAGCTACCAGGTGAGTACAGTATATAGAAAGTGTTCAATCATATCTTCGAAAGTACCCACATCTCTTGAAGGCAACATAATCAGGGAAGACCATGAGCTTTCTTTGCAATGCTGCCACTAACAATCCCACGCCCCCCATGACAGAATAGGGCCACAAGTTTGAAACTTAAAAAATACGATATGAGAGTGAAAAAAGTTTTGAAGGTGAAAAAAACAACAACTGAAAACATGATTTGAATGTGAAAGAATAAGATCCTAATCTAAAAACATTGAACCTGCAACTGAAAAAGTAACTCTTCATTTCCTTGAAGTAATAATCACCATATTAATCATTTTGCACTGCAGACGCGGTAGTTATTCTGTCTTGGTGTCTTTGTCTGATTGCATTTCCATGAAGAAATGCAAAATGATTAATACAGCGATTATTACTTCAGGGAAATGATAAAGCAATGATCATAAATGTTCTTCCTTGAGCTGCGTCACCTACTGCAGTCAGTAATGGACTCATCCGAGGTCTTCATACAAACAAGAGGCTGCTGGAAGAGGTCAGTTGTGTTTAGTCTCTTTGCCAAAGGAAACAGGCAAAGCCGCAAAAAAGTTTGGTGGGACCCTATATGCACTGTTGCTAAAGTTAGTTGCTGCTCTGAGCATTATTTGTGACTATAGAGTGGCTTTTTGGTTGATGTTTATGCTTAGCAACTTAGACCGCTGTGTATTGCTATCATGCTGTCATTACTAAAGCTGGTATATCTATAGAAGCAAGCTGTCAGCAACATTCATTTCTCGAGGGGGTGTCTAACTTGGTGTTATGGTGTGTTTGATCCTAAGTCAATTTTACGCCGTGATATCCCTTTAACTTGTTGTCTGCGATCTGTCTCTTGATGATGTAATAATTATGGCGTGTGCTGCTGACCTCTTAACCAGGTCACACCAGTGAAAGTGATCTTGATCTCAGTAGGTTATTATTTGGTAAAATACAGATAAAAAGGAGCTGTTCATCTTTGCTAAACCAAAGCATCTTTTTCTCTGACAAAAAGGTTTCCATCTGTGAAGATAATTTCTGAAATGTTAGTGCAAATAAACAAGGACTGATTCCTGATTCTGATTGTCACATTTGCCCTCCATGATAACACTGGAAACACAACAGCCAGACAGACCCATAATGATCTGCCTGAAAATGAAAAACTTTGACTTTTAAAACCACATAATGTTAAAGTTTATGAATTAAATACATTTTATATTTACAACCAATACAAAATATCCAAACCAGTTAAAAAAAAAAACAAGAAAAAGAAAAAACAAGAAAACAAAGAAAGATTTTTGTCCTCATGATCTCCCTGCCAAAGCTTTCTAGAAACATTCCCATAAGGACAAAGTTCACCCTCCACCAAGCTGTTAGTTTTTTGTTATTGTGATAAAAAGGGTCCAAATTTTTGCTAAGAGATCAGGATGTGATGTTTTTGACAATAAGCAACCAAATCAGTAAGACCTAAACCACCAGTCACCATGACGTCTGCCGAATTTGGTTTTATCTCAATAGAAAACTTGTTTTTGTGAGTAGCAGAGGAAACAGTTTAGTATGTTTTATCATCATACATTTAGACATGCTGTGGAGTTCAGCTGCTGCTTCAAAGAGATAAACAACGACCAGTCAGAAACCAACTGAACTATGCTCCTGCATACTGTGCATTAACACAGTTTTGGTAAAAGCTTAACTTTTTTGCATTTTTCAACTGATGGTTTTCCTTTAAATCCAGTTACAGACAGCCTCACATTTGGTATCAGGCACCAAAGCATTAAAAAAAAACAAGCATGAGGATCTCCAGAACCCTTGTTCTCCAAAGTTCCCCTCACCAGACGAATCCACCAGGAGAGAGTTAGTAAAACCACCCTGTGTTAGTTAATCTCTGCAGCACTCAACCTTCAGCAGGTGCTCTGGCAGAGTCATTCGGACCTGCTGCTGCATCTGCATCATCTGCTGCTGTGCTGCATGCTGAGGCTTCTCTGCCTCAGTAAAGCAGAGGACCTGGGGGTGCAATGGTGACTGTTAAAAGACCATGAAATCGACATAGTGATGCTTGGAATGAGTTGATGTTTGCAGGCCTAAAAGAAAATAATGCTGGCATTGCACTAACCTATCGCAAAAGCTATTCCAGAAATACAGAGTGTACCCATCAAAAATATGCAATAATTGTGTTTGTCAGACCTATTGTTTATTCGTGTTTTTGCTCAGTTTTCATAAAAAATATTTTATCACATTTATTATCCGTGTTTTTAGCCAGCCTCATAGTTTCACTCTACTATGCATCTCTGCGGCTTTTGTTGCATTGAAAAATAAATCATGGACCTTTCATCATGTTTTTTTGGCCAGAAAAATTACACAAGATCTTTATCCATAACGCTGCAGGTGTAAGTGACCACACCCAACTATGTAACCATAATTTACTCACCACAGTTTCTGCAAGCTCCTGAGTTATTGGGAAAAGACATGAACTTTGACCTGTAGATAACAGCAGTTATATAAAGGTTTACCAGCTGGCACAGAGCCAACATGACAGAGAGAGAAAATAACCACTTCTTTGTCATGACAGTATTTGTTACTTACAAACCTCAAATTCTTGATTGTAAGGTCTGCACTGTTTCTATTGATGCTGCAGTAACAATATGAAGAAATATGCAGTAAAAGCAAACTTTAAAAGAATGTGTGTTTGCTTTTATTCATATTTTTTTCACCTATCTACTATCCCATATGCTTCACACATTAGTTGTTTGCAATCAAAATCAAAATCAATCAAAACAGCTTTTTCTCACAGTTAAATTTGAACCAATTAGACTCTGTGTAGCTTATTAATTTCATACTTATTTCGTAAGTATTTCATACTTATTAATTTTCATACTTAAGGTAAAATTTTTGTCCTTTAAACGATAAGAATAAACCCTGTTGTTGTAATAATCACTATGAAGTTGCCTCCTTCCCAAGTCATAATTTTAGACCCGCTGGTGCAGTATTTATTTGAGTAAAAAATCTAAAAGTTTTAGGTACAAATCCATGACATTAAATTATTCCCTAAATCAGAATACTTAAGATCACTGATTTTATGCGTGATTGAAAACGTGGTTAATTGCAATTTAATAAAAATGAACAGTTTGACAACCCTGCTTGCTAATATTTCCAAATTATATTGTGTATAATATGTAGTGTATTATTGTAGGAAAATACAGATTAACACAGCTGTGTTTCTGATTTTTGGACCATTAGGTGAAAAATTTGATGACAGTGTCATGACTCATCATAATACTATATTCTCTTATTACTCAAATAGATTGTGTGGATTGTATGTTTCTGATGTTTAAATATCTTTATGTTTTGATAGTTGTTTTCTCTGTTTTGATGATATTTCTACTATTATATCATAAAATGTAAATATCAAGCAGTGATTTGCCTTAAATTTCATCAGAAAATAAATAATCCAGTAATCTACAAACATGCTGCAACAGTTGACTGAATAAAACTTTTGCAAAACAAAGACACACATTTTTTTTCTACACTGGTTTGTCTAAGGATCAGTCAGCACATGTTACATAATGTTATCTGTTGTTATAGCATGTTGTAAATTATCTCCTGTCAATCCACCTTTTACACAACTTTATCATTATTTAGGACAGCAACACTTTCCTCAGAAACAGGGGGTTTGGTTTAAGACACCAACTCTCCCACATACTCTCACACCCCTCACACACACTCCTCACTGACTGACAGTCTGAATTATGTGGGTGTGGTGCTTCTTAAGCAATCATCTACAAAGTTGTGCTTTACAACACTTTTACGTCCATCCACATTCCTGCTCCGCCTGCAGAGCAAACAGGCTGCTCTGCTTCCACTGATGACTCTATGAATTAAAATCAATGTTAGATACAAGAGTGAATTTTATTAAATATACAAAGGAGCAGGTCCCCTTCTTCAGAGGTCACATTTTGTACTGCCAGCAGGTCTCTACAGTAGCAGAGAATGTACAAAATAGTAGCATTAGCATTTTTGTAATTGGCAAGAGACAAACATGCATACTTAAAACACAAGACAAAACATATTTTGAACGTCGTCTTGTACCTACGGTACAGTCAGTCAGTAAGTATGTAGTCAGCCAGCATGTGGTTGTTGTGCCCCACCCAATGTTCTGCTTTTTCCAAACCAAAAAGTAATTCAAATTAGGCCTGCACGATATATCGTTTGAGCAGCGATCCACCAATCACCTTCGTTCTTTACTCAGTTGCCAATCAGACTCAGTTCTCAGTTGCCAATCAGACTACCCTGCCAGCTGTCAATCAAAATCAGAGAGGAGGAAACCCACCCCTGCACATGTTCTGCACATGGAGTGAGTCGCTTGAGCTACCGGAGTTGAGCCGAGAAACGCGTGTCCGCTAGGAATTACTTTCGGAACATTCTTCATCACCGTTCAGCCCAACAAATAAGAACTGTATGGGTTTAAAATTGTACATTTCCGTGGACCACTCTACTATAAGCAGTGCGCGTTTTGTGAGGTGCATACAATTCTCGGAGGACACGCATTTCATCGGCAGAACACCGGTAACAACAACAACGACTGCAAACTGAGCAACAAACAGAGAAAACCACCGAAGATGAAGATTTGTTGCCAAAAAGAAAAGGAAAGTCACTTATCTGGAATTATTTTGGTTACAAGATGGATGACGTCGACTAAAATACGTGTTCTGTGTTGATCTGTTTCCACAACAACGTCCCAGCACAATAAAAGCTAAAAATATCTCTGAGACAGACAGAAGTCACTCTACAAACATTCACAAAAAGAGTTAAGATCAGTGCAGGTTAACTGTCCTCAAGATTTCAGCAGTGCAGCATAACATGAAGTGCTATTCAGGTCATCTGGTGAAAATTCCTGTATTTTTTAATATCGCAATATATATCGCAGGGTTGAAAAAAATCGCAATGTTAGTTTTTTCCAATATCGTGCAGCCTTAATTCAAATGGACCGGGTGCAGTGGCATGCTGTGATTGGATAATTTGGAGTTTGTGGGTGTGAAAAACGGCACAGGTCTGGAAGGATAAATGAGTGGTATGGATTCGGTGGAAACCTGCAGGTGCTGGGCGCCACAGTGTGATAGACTAAGTGAGCTCTTTATTAATGCTCTTTTAGTGACTCACCTCGGAGGAGTTACTAACTGATGACACAGATTTGTGCTGCTGCTCTGATAAGATGTACTGATTACTTAACCCTTAGCTTCATAACTTTTCCACTCCTTCATGTTATGTACTGTGTTACCATAGCAACACAGCAGAGCTGCCCCCATAACCTGAGTCAGAGTCTGAGCAAATCTTTGTCTTTGCTGCTGACGCTGAATGGAAAACCTGGTAATTCATAATCCACAGCTGTGTTTCCTGTTGCTTAAGCTATCACAGAGAGGAGCTGAATTTATTACAGTAATAAACAAATCAGCAAACCACACTAAACCAGAGTTAGTGTGAGAGTAAACTTGAGTATTTTGTACCTCTGACATCTGTGCAGCAGTATTGCTTCTGGCTCCTAGCATCACCATGGCCAGAGCTGAGGAGACGCTGAAAGGAGAGTAGAAGATATTCCCCGTCTTGTCATTATCACTCAGTTGTTTGAACAGAGCCAGAGAGAAGGCGGTGTTGGCCTTGCACAGAGGGGTTGGTGTTGCCATTATGACTGCAAAGAAAAGAAGGGGAAGCAAGTTGAAATAATATCATAAACCTACAATAAAGATTACATTTCCTCTTCTTGTCAAGCTGACATCATTTAATACATTTTATAAATTAATTTATCAGTAAGTTATTTCCAAATGCTTTGTGGATAGAAATACTTTAACTAAAGATGTTTAATCCTTTAGATGCTGCTGTTATTCCAATATCAGGCAGCATCACCAGCAGAATTATGTATTTTTTTCCCTAATTGTTGACATTTTTACTGTTTTCAACATTGTTTAATTTCCTTTTGTTTATGGTTACTTTTAAAGTTGTTTTATGGTCTATGGTTTTAACGGCACAAGTCTTTACTTTGACTTTGTTTCTTTCTCATTTCTGGCATTAATATGTTTCTTAGTTCGTTCTATATATTTGTTTGTTTCTTAATTCCCCTTTGTCTCTTTTGTTGAGTTTTGTTTAAACTTTAAAATCTCATATTACTTCTCACAATACTCTTTTGTTCTCTTAGCATTTCTTTTATCTCATTTTGATTTGTAAAGCACTTTAAATTTGATGACAAACAAAGACAAATTGTTCCATTACTCTGTTCGAACTGGACTTAATATCTCAAGGAAATGAAAAAATAAGAGGTTTAAAGAAAGCACCTGATCACAGGAAAACAGAATTAGCATTAAGAAATCTATGAACACTTTTCATCTTGACACATCTTGCCTAGTTCAGGGAGGCCTGACACAAAGTTAACAGTCCTTAATCCTACCTTAAGTTCTATTGATTTTGACTGCTTAGCCAGCAAAAAAGGTGTACCTTCATTTCTTTATTTTTACCTGCTGAGTCATTCCCAAAGTTTCTGACTTACCATAAGTCAGAATTATTGACTTTTAAATCCTAAAATAGTCATGGAAGAATAAAACACCTCAGTTGCAAATTTTGATTCAATTATTCTACAAATAAAAACAAGAGAAAATATCACTACTCGTCAAAATACTGTCCCTGTTTTACCGTCCCTGGTCTGTATGTGAATTTAACATTATTTTAACAAGCTGCACAATCACTTATACTGTCTAACTTTACATTGGCAAACCTTTACTTACAAACTGACCTAATTTAGATTTAAAATGATTGTGTCGATCTAAAAACACCTGATTGATTTGGCATTTTTGATCATTTCCAGTTAAATTGGACCCAGTACTCACTTAGTTTGGCTAACAATGAATAGATCTAAAAGGATTTGTTTTCAATTTTATTATTTTCACATATAACTTTGCATCAAAGTCATTAAACCACACCCAAAGGCTCATTCACTAAATATCTGACTTTCCATGGACCAAACATTATTGAAAAAAATTACCAAATTTTAGATTAAAATGATTACAACTATATATTATAATGATTATATATTATCATAATGAATATATACCGTTATACTCTGTATACATTTCCCCAGAATGAACCAAATGAGATGGCCATCAGCCTGATTATTCACTAGCAGTAAAACTTCTGTCCTATTTCACCTGATCAGAGAATAAAAGAGATTAACACTTGTTCAATTCTGCTGTTAATCGGCTATAAATAAAGCAGACACCGACATCTCATAACCGCTTACGGGAAAACTTACAGACAGTCGGTCGTTTAGTGATCTTCGGCAGTTTCCTCCTTCAGAAGAGGACTTCAGCAGGAACCATGGTCTTATTATTTACACCCCGACACACCCCGACAACCTGACTGAGGACTTCCGTATTCTCATATTTCATTGGACGGAAACTGAACTGGGACAAGAAGATTTTCGTCGCCTTTCTCGGCTGACTGGCTCTCAGAAACGGTAATGTACGTGTGTTATCCAAAATACGATCAAAGAAGTGTTGGTGGTGTTTTGAGTTTCAATCGGTGTGTTTTATACGGAAGCGTATTCACTTGGTTATTAAATGAACGACATAAATATCTCAGAACTACGAGACGATTTTTATGTAGAATAAAAAAAAATCTGCCATATTATTCTGAATCACACTGAGCCCCCGAAGGGGACATGAAGGAAAAAACGTTTTAGAATTTTCTCGAGATTGCAAATGTTTATCTCAGGATAATGGTAGCTGAAACTTTATCTATCTTAATCAAAATCAGCGGCATTCAGGGGCTAAAAGTAATGGAGGAACAAATTGTGATAAGTCAACTGGCAGATGACACAACTTTGTTTTTGGAGAATGGGGATCAAATTCCACTGGCTCTGCAGACTATCAGTTTCTTTTCAAGGGCTCCTGGCTTACAGCTAAACTTATAAAAAATGTGAAATTTGATATTACATGATTGCCACCTGCAATCTATGTGTAATATAAAGGTAAAAAAGGAAGTCAAATACTTGGGGAATTTTATCTCCAAGGACAAAACGGTGATTGAAAAAAGGAATGCCTGTAATACTGTGGATAAATGCAAATCTTTTTTAAACAAATGGCTGCAAAGAGATGTCTCCATCTTTGGAAGGGTTTTGTTATCAAAAATGGATAGTTTGTCAAGACTTATCTACCCTGCCTTTTCTTTACCAATCTCGATTAAAATGATTAAGATGATAAATACTAACTTTAAGATTTATATGGAGGAACAGGTGTCAATATATAGGGAAAAAATGACATGGTTAAAATGTATGAAGACAGGAGTATAAATGCAATTGATTTTGATGTTATGAATGGTGTCTTAAAACTAAAATGGCTGAAATCTTTTCTAATGAATAGGGATTCATTTTGGTTCACTGTTCCTAACTTGGTTTTCAAAAAACTGGGTGGAATAGGTTTTGAATAATAGATACATATTGATTAATAGAAATTCAGTTTATAAGGATGAATGGAATTTAAAAGGAGTCTGGGCTGTTGCTCACTTGTTAGATGAAAATGGGAACTTGTTGCAACATGAGGACTTTTGTACAAAATACCAAATACAATGTAATGTGAAGGAATATACAAAAATTACGAATGCAATACCGATCTCTCTGAGGGCGATGGTGAGAGAAGATGTTTGATATTCCACAGTCTCCCAAACAGTCTCCCAAAGATTGAGACAACTCTACATTGGGGGGTTAGACTTTTGTGATCGCAAATGTAACAACAAAGCTCTCAGAAATATGTTGGTAAACAAATATTACCCTAGCCCGATTAAAAGGATGTATATTTTGAGGCAATTTGATTTGGATAAGATTAAAAAGATAAGAAAGAATTATATCTCCTTGCCATTACCTCCCAAGGCAAAAGAAGTCCATTTCAAAATCTTGAACAAAATCTATTCAACAAACGAATTTTTAAGATTAAGGTTTAACTTTGAAGCAAATAATTGTGTGTTTTGTGATGTGGACGTTGAAAACCTGAGCCATGTTTTTTTTCACTGTAGCGCGGTACATCCCCTCAGGAGTAACATGCGGAGCTGGTTGCAGTCCAAAAACATTAACTTCCCTTTGTCAGCAGAAACTATTTTGTTTAGTGTTTTTAATGAGGATAGGAACTTGGATTTTGTTCTAAATGCTTTGTTGCTTTTGGGGAAGTTCTTCATTCACAAGTGTCGATATTTTAAAACAAGACTATGCTTACCTCACTAGAGGAATGAGCTGCTACTTTTTGTAAATCCTTAAAACTTGTCACAGACAAGAAAGCCCTACGCCTTTTTTCTTTACTAGAAATGTTCGAATTGATATAGAATGGCCTCTAACATTGAAATTGTGTTGTTGTTTTTCTCTTTTGATGTTATTCATGCTCAATCTAAGGCAAATATTCAATAATTTTCTTTTATGATAAATAAGTGCCTTGTTTATAATTCAATAATAAAAAAATGTTTATCTCAGGAGTTATTGGTCAGCATATTACTTCCGGGTCAATTCAATCAAACCAATGGACCAAAGGCTGTAATCACACAAAATACAGCTTCATCAAGATGTATACAGTACAAATATACCAGGTAGAAAGCTGACTTACTTTACACAAAATCCATATCCAAACGTATTCTGCTAAAATATGATGTTAGTTCTTTTTAGTTAACTGGGTGTAATTTATAGTATTAATGTAAACAACCCTGTTAGTAATAGTGCATCTAACAAATGCTACTCGAAGAATGTACTCATTTTAAATCAGAGTTCTTAAGTCCTGGTCCTGGACAGCCACCTGCCTGTAGGTTTTAAGCATCTCCATATCCCAACTGATTTGGTCGATCTGCTCATTGTCAATCAACTGAGACACGACACAACAGTTGGTTGATAACAAGCAGATCACCCAAATCAGTTGGGTTGGGATACCGAGATGCCTAAAACCGGCAGGCAGGTGGCTCTCCAGGACCAGGACTAAAGAAACTTGTTTTAATGCTTCAGCAAAAGACAGTACTTTAGTCACTGTTCTGCTGGTTGATACAGATTATTGCAAACTGTTTGACGAACATGCATACCATTTCTCTTTATTAAATGTCATCTACAATATAACCATGCTAGCAGAGATAAAAGACACAAGCTTGACACAACATGCGTAACATTAGCCGCAGCTGGATTTTTAGTTTGTCTATATCCCAGGCCTAGTGCTGTTCCATGAGGTTATAACGTATTTTAACTTATTTCCAGCCCACCATTAAGAGTTTGGTGGATGATTGCGGGTTTGGTGGATGTTTAAACAGGCAGCAAACTGCAATGGAGTCCCCATCACATCCATTCATTTATTCAATTCAAAGCTTCGCACACCAAAGCCTTGGGGTGTCTTTGATCACTCTGCCTGTTTTGCATTTATTGTCCATTTGATGGCACAGTAGAGCACATGAAGCACAATAATGAAGCTTCGGCCCAGGAGTCGAGTAATTGGATGGAAAGTTTCAATGCTCCAAGGGGCTTCATCTCACCATCACTAGCAACGAACCTCTTCCTCATGCGTTCCATCATTTCAGTTGGCTTGACACAGAAGAAATACACTGACCTATAATCTTTTGACCAATAACCCTTGGACAACTACTGCGAGATCTTGCAAATGTTTTGTGAAATCTCGCAATGTTTTGCAAGATCACGCAAAAAATCTCGAGAAAATTCTAAAAAAATTAATTTTCCTTCATGTCCCCTTAGGGGCTCCGTAGAATCAACATTAGGCTACTTTCTCAAAATTCTGACAAATTTTTCTGTATCATGCTGTTGCTACATTTTGTTGCAACGGGCACTGGTAAAAATGCATTCTATTATGGACTTGATTTCAACTAGTTTGAAATTCTAAACATATCATTAAAATGCATTAGATCAGGGGTTCTCAATTAGAAATGTAAAAGGTCCAGAAAATAGATTTTGAGGAATTCATAGGTCCACAGCGCATGCGTGGTGGGGAAAAATTTTGGCTTTTTTTTTTTTTTTTTTTTTAACCTTTTTTTATGTTTTTATGTAGTTTTAGGCTGGGTGAACTGTACTTTAATAATCAGGAGTTAGTGGAAGGCACAAAAACATTCATTTTCAGCATCACACTGATATTCTTTCTTGCTTAGTATTACTCAATAAAATAAAATAAGCTTTTTATTTTATCTGTTTGTAGCTCAGATTTTGGGGGGCAATCTCTATCAAAATCACTTCTCATAATGGCGTTTATGTTTTCACTTATCAGATCAACAGTGCTTTGCACCAAAGACACGTTGGCTTTGTGCTTGAAGGAGGTAAGATAATCATATATTTGTCGGTCTATTCGTCAGTGAATCAGCAATTTTTAGTGTCCACCTTTCTCTGTTTCGCCGTTTTGATGTCGGGTGCTATGGTTCATGTAATGATTAGATGAACCATAGCAAGTCCGCCATTGATGATGGAGATTGAAAAAGAAAATCGTTTGACAGTCAAAATCATTCACTCTTTTTAGTCATTTGATTCAAAGGCAAGAGGACCGATCACATCAGTTTTTGTTTGTTCCAGACTCATCCTGAGTCCATGAGCGGGGTAAAGGGGTGCAGTTAACAGGACAGATAAATATAGTTTGTTTCAGATACTCATATTAATGCTGTGAGACAGATAATTTTGAATAAAATGCATGTGCTTACTTTGGATCCTGTCAAAGGTATCACCAGAGAAATTACCTGTTGTGCAAAATGCTGCATGCTAAAACAGACATTCACAAATATGTTTTAACTTTTCTTATTTGTATGCACAGTAGCATGGTTTTGATCCACAAGCTTTCTTGCAAAGTTAAAAGAGGTTTACAGTCTCTATGTAGTTTAAGAAATACTAAATTAGCCTGTAAATAAACCCTAACCCTGGTTGTAGCACATTGCTCCTTATTCATTAGAATCACCTCTAATCTAAATGTATTATCACTAATAGTGTTGCTGTAGTCTTACAAAAAGAAATCTCTCCTGTAACCTGACGTGGTTTAACAAAGCTTACCTGTGACCTTTTTTGTAAACCCAAGTTTTTTTGTAGGCTCAAATAAAGAGCAAACCAAGTTATTCTCTGAAATAACCAAATAACTTCAAAATAAAAGCCTTTCAGAAGTTCCACCAAACTATTTTTATTGTTTGTGACATGTACAAAGGTGAGTAAGAGCCTAACAGCCCTCAGTTTCTGTCTTTCTTAGTCGAGATCCGTGCACAGCTTGCAGAAAAAAAACAGAGCACTCTGTATTCTCCAGATTTTTTTTAGATTTCAGATTGAAATGAAGCAGTTTAACCTGTAAACATGACCTGACCATCACAATGAAAAAAATGAAGCTAACACATCTGTTAGAAGTACCAGGGAACAGTTGGCTGTGATAACACAAGCAAGATCAGGATGTACTGTCTCAAACTGTATTGAACCAAACCAGACCTTGGAGGGATGTGTCCATCTGAGAATAACATGTTTCCTGGGGGATCATAAGTGGACAGCTCTGAGTGCAATCATTCGCATCCTGCACTAACTTGCTTTATGATCAGATATCGCTTTCTCACATCATTATGCAATCGGCCAAAGAGTCTCCTTCACCTTTTTAACTCTTTATATAAAGTTAGATGATGATAAGCTGTGATGCTGACTCAGTGCAGGTAAGAAGGCTTACATTTTTATTTTGCTGTGGCAGCATGTGGAGACACTTATCATACATGAGGTCCGAGACATAAAGGACAAAAAGCAAAGGCAAAATCACCACAAATAGATACAAAGGAAAAATACAGATAAACAAAGCTACAGGTACAGAACAACTAAAAGATATACAGGACTTGATAACCAGAAAAAAAAAACCTGTTAAACCAGTTACTTCCTATGGAAGGCACATCTGGGGTTTACATATCTGCCCCCTTAGGTCTATCGAGAATTACTCTGGGTTGCAGAATCGACCTGCAAAGAGGATGGTCTTGGTCTGGTTATGTCTGATGAAAAAGATGAAGGGGTGGTCTGCATAGAAGGTGAATGGGATCTTTAAAGAGCGCACAGAGACGACAGGAGCTGTGACAGCAGCAGCTTCAGTTCCCTCTTCATTCACATCCACATACGCCTTGTGGACTACTTTAGACAGGACCAGGTCATTGGCTGGAGACATACCTGTACCAGAGGAAAACCAGTCCAGTGATGTACTGCTAACTGAATTAATGAATCAATATTTACTCTTGGATATATTATTTAATTTGTACCTGAAAAGTCACTCATTGAGACATCAAAAGCGTCAGACATTCCCATTTCCACCAGGACCTTTTTCAAGTCATAATTCTCCTCCAGCTTGAAACGTGGGAGCTTTACGTCCACCTCACCATGACTCATCATATCTGGTCGAGTCCAGTCCACAAATTTCTGGTGGGTCAGCTCATTCTCCAGCTTGCATGGATGAAATAACAACAGCCAGTCAGTCTGTTAATTTTATATTTTAATACTGTGTGTGTGTGTGTGTGTGTGTGTGTGTGTGTGTGTGTGTGTGTGCGTGTGTGTGTGTGCGTGTGTGTTGGTTCTGTACCTTCTCCAGGCCTGTGGTGTCATCCTCTATGTCATTGGGCAGGAAGAGGATCATGCTGAGCTCGCTCCCTTTGTAGTTCATCTCAAGGACCTGTGAAAAAAAAACATTTTTAATTTCTCATATTGTGAAAGAAATATGACAACTTTGGCCAAAACAACTGGGTAAAAACATAGACTGTATATACTATGGACAACCTGGTTCCGCCTTCCGCCTGTATATGGATTTGAAGCCAAAAAGCTCTCGGTAATTCCGTGTTTTTCTCCACTTCCTTGAAACCAGAGCTGCGCAGTAGCGATGCGCGCATTCGGCTGCACAGTCGCCGAGAGTCCCTGTGATGACGCTCGGCTCAAACAGCGTATCCCCCTGGGTGAGCTACGCAATCCCTGAATGCCCATAGGCTGTACCAGGTGTCAATCATAGAAAACATGAACCCCCTAATAACTTTTAAAAATGGAGCTGTACAGAAAAAAGAGGACTTGAGCACAAACCAGTCTTACAATAACTACATGTCAACATCACAAGCAGGGGGGAGAAAAAATTATGTTCTGTGTAATAAATTTCTTAAGTTGGCCCACAGCCCCATAAGCTTTGCTGGCGGAGGCGGGATTTATACAGTCTATGGGCAAAAAGCATTTGGAGCTCCCCCTATTGGCTGGCTGTAGCACAGGTAATACATCCCACCTTCATGATGTAAACAGATGCTTGAACAAAGATCAAAATACACTTAAAATGCATGTTTTCTGGTATTTTAAAGTTTGATCTCATCATTCTGATTTGTGTTCATCTGTTTATTTTTTAGAGAGAGTAAGTTTTAAGTACTAATTTTGTGCAATAATAAAGAGCACATTTCTGTGTCATTTAAAAACAGAATTAATGTGCCAGAGTACTACTCCAAAACTTCAAATACAGACAATGAGGCAATTTTCATGTACTTTGCAAATGCAAAAGAGCTTGCCTAATGCATTGATTTACTGTTTGCAGAATAAAATAATTCAGGTACTAACAGATTATTTTATAACATGTTACCACCATCATGGTGTTCACTGTACCCTTTGCTATATAATGTGCAGGGAGTAAACATGCAGATCCTTATTCCTGGGTGACCAACTTTCTTTTCGAGAGCAAGAGAGCAGCTTGAGTTTGCAGAAATACACACATGTAGAATTCACTAAACCAGGGGTTCTCAATTAGAAATGTAAAAGGTCCAGAAAATAGATTTTGAGGAAGTCATAGGTCCACAGCGCATGCGTGGTGGGGAAAAATTTTGGTGTTTTTTTAATGTTTTTATGTAGTTTTAGGCTGGGTGAACTGTACCTTAATAATCAGGAGTTAGTGGAAGGCACAAAAACATTCATTTTCAGCATCACACTGATATTCTTTCTTGCTTAGTATTACTCAATAAAATAAAATAAGCTTTTTATTTTATCTGTTTGTAGCTCAGATTTTGGGGGGCAATCTCTATCAAAATCACTTCTCATAATGGTGTTTTATGTTATCACTTATCAGAGCAACAGTGCTTTGCACAAAAGACACGTTGGCTTTGTGCTTGAAGGAGGTAAGATAATCATATATTTGTCGGTCTATTCGTCAGTGAATCAGCAATTTTTAGTGTCCACCTTTCTCTGATTTGCCATTTTGATGTCGGGTGCTGGGTGTGAGCAACGCTCCTGCTGCAAAGACGTTACCGCTGCCTGCGCCGTGCAAAGAAGACACGTCATTGTCATTGTCATGGGAATGGCAGCCCATAATGCAAGTGTGAGCACGCGCACAGTTACACACACACATGCACACACACACACACACGCTCTCTTTCTCTCTCGGCCAGTCTAACCTCGCGTCAGTCATTCAGAGAGAGTGCCGTGGCGTGTTGTTGATTTTTTTTTTTTGCTCTGGGTCCACAAAGAGGTGGGACCGCGGACCCTGGCACTAAACTTTCCAAGAATCTGTTCTGCTGTAGACTGGAGACCTGTAGACTTATTAACAAGTTGAAAATGGCTTTTAGTTGGAGGAATCAGTAATACCACATACCATGCAGTGTTTACTCCTCAGACTCTGGCTCCTACAATGGGATATTTTGGTGTCACTTTTTCATATTTAGAGAATATTGCAAAGTGTCGCCCACAAACTTCCTCTCCCTGACTTACATTTAAAGAATAATACATGACATGGGTTATATCCACATCATGTCCAACGTTCCTCATGATAATCTTGAGATCAAACTATTGGACAATTAAATTTCATGGCAGAATAAAACAGTTGAAACACAGATGTTACCTTGATTTTGGCCTCAGGTATGTCGTTATAATAAAAATTTTTCTTCTGCTGCATCATCTTCACCGGTTTAGTGTCATTCTGTCAGACAGCAAACAGAGTAAAACAGTCATCTGCAGTCAGTTCACTAAAAATAACCTTTGAAATTTGAACCATAAACTATCTCTAAAATCAGTGGCTGTTATGGATGAGCAGATCTGGCTGGGTGATGGCATGGCCTTGAGATATGATGGGTTAGTTCAACACTTCCTGTAACTAGATGAGTGTGTTTTTCGTTTTAGTTTGGCATAGGCTTCAGCAAGGCCCCCCCCCCCCCCCCAATGGTGTAAGTGGTAAAAATTGGGTGGATGGATGTTTCCACGATTAACCTCCTGCAGTCTTGTGGTAAGAGTTTGGATTTTATGTTCCAAACACCCATAACGATCTGCTAGAAACTGTTGGGTCTGCTGAAACTCTCAGTTCTTTTAAACTAATTTTTCATTCTTAGTATACAATCCCTCACTGTTACATTTATACTTCTAACTTAACAACCGCATCATACAATTTCTGTTTACATTTTGAGAGGGAATTTTATCTGTGTACAATCATTTGAGATGCTTTTATATTTGATGCTTTTACCGCCTTGTGTTCAGGTTGCTTTATTTCCTGTAGTCTGGAAAACATGCTTTTATTTTGAAATGACGCTACTTGTGATGAATTGTAAGTTACCTGACTTAAAGAAAACAAGGTAAAGAACAGTTCGAATAATTGTTCAGTGTGTCAGCACAGGCTATTATTATTTGTTTTAGGATTCACATCAAATCTAATAGTTTAAAAGTGTCTGACTGGCTTTCAGAGGATGATTAAGTATGGTGGTCAGGTGTAGTTTCACAGACCCTACAGAAACTGTTTAAAACATTTTTGTTCATTACTGCTTCTGTCCATGTTAAATTTGCAGTTTTACCTTGTTTACTCTGAACTGAGCCTCTTCAGTTAACTTCTCCTCAAACTGTTGGTCCCAGTGTCCTTTAAAGTAGATGGCGTTGATTAGCACCAGTCGGGTGGAGTTGTCCAGCACTCCCTCCGCCAGCACCTCCTTGATTACACCTGGTGAGCAGAAATCAACGGTCATCAGCATTTAAATAGAGACACAGGGGCTTTGGTCAAGTTTTTATCCTGAAGGGTAATGTGATTTTTACTCTTCTTATGTAATAATTCCTGGACTTTTTTTTAACTTCATCAAACATTTAAAAGTAGGAATATTTGGGTGACAATCTACTAGCTAAAGATAAAATGAGTCACGTGTCTGTGGGCACTCCGAGAGAACTCCATAAATCTCTTTAGTTTAATCATAGAACTGTTTTGGAAGTGACCTTCAAAGGTGCACACAAACACGTGTTATTGTGGTCGTTTAAATCAGATTGCACCCGTGTCCAATACAAAGAGAATCTGGTGACAGCCTCTATCTGACTGTAGTAGTCTGTCTTTTGTATTGTAGCAATTCCACCTTTTGTTGTCTCCTCCACCCAGCTGTTGATGATGGCCCGGACCTCCGCTGCTTTGGTTTTAAAATCCACAGACTCCAGCTCAGCTTCGTAGTGCTTTTTAGTTTCTGCTAGGTAATTCTAAAAACATTTAAAAATCACATTGAAATCCTTTCACCAAATGCAGAGAGATCACGAGGTGTACTTTTCATATCGTCTTTTTAATTGATTTTTGACGGTTTTCTCTGTTGTATGAAAATACTCTAGAAGAAAAACAGGTGAAGTCAGGGTAAGTCCTACTTATGAGAAAGTCAAACTTATGAGCAGGAAGTAAAAATCCTGAAATAGAATGCAAGTAACATGAGATAGTTGTAATTATAGGTTTTAAAATAAATGATAATGAGCATAAACTTGATCTCCTCCCTCCATGGATATCCAGTTAACCTGAGCACATACCCCAATGAAGTTGTAGGACTGCTCCCCGTAGAGCCTGTTGGCCACACTGAGGACATGCGAAGTGTCCTGCTTATTCATCTCTTTTAACAGCATGGCAAATTTAGCGTGGATATTATCATCATTGTCCGTCTGAGGTTTGAGGCACTGCAAAGAGCCACACAGAAGACCTGCATGTTACAGAGGCACGCTGAGACTAAGTGAAGCGAAACACAGCTTTGAGTGATCTTCAAGTTAGCCAAATTATGGTGAGCTTACCTATTAAATAGTTAGAAAAGACACCAAAATCATCCAGAAATCTGGACCTCAATGCCAAAGAACAGAGCCCAAAGGAGGAGGAAAAAGATGATGATCTGAAGAAATTATTGCAAAATCTCATAAGACTTTTAAGTTTTGAGTAACTCTTGTGCTATTCCCCAATACTTTTGGGGGTTCTTGGAAAACATTTGCGTGAACTTTAAAAGTTTTAAAGGAAACTCTGAGATCTGAAAAAAATCTTGGCGATAACCTGTTACTTTTGTAAGATTTCGATAAAAAATTTAGGAGAACCTGCTTTACTTCTGAGCTCCTGAAAAACATTTGCAAAATCCTGACTGTCCTCTGTAAGATTCAGCCAATTTTGGTATGCTGCTGTAGTGAAATCCTGGAAAACTTCCGAAGAGCCATACATTTTTATGTCCTGATAAACATTGAGAAACTCATGAGTTTTCTGCGAAAATATTCAAGATTAACTTCTGTGAGCTACCAAGGAACATCCCAAAATGTTAACGACTTAAAACTTAGATCCAAAGTAATTTCAGGGACAACTTAAGTGCAACGCAACACAAAATTGTTCAATTTACAAAAGTTGAGATAATTTTGTCAGGCAAGATCTTGCTCAAGTTTTTCAGAATCTCTCAGAAGAGCTCTGGATTTTTAAAAGTATATTGCGTTCTTGTAAAAAGTAATGTGGTTCCTACAGCAGTACCAAACCTTTTTTGAGTTGGTCCTTAGAGGTTCCTTAAAATTGAGCAAAAGTTTCCCAGGAACTAAAAAAAGAATCTTGAAATTGTGCAAAAATTTCTTGGAAACTTTCAACAGTCCTTTTTCAGTACACTGCAAAGTTCAGAGGGCTGTTGCAGAAGTTTTTACACGATGTTGCAAAATTTCCTTTTCACAATTATTTTAAAATTGAACAACAGAATCATGCAAAGTTTCCAAAAATTTGTTGGGATCTCCTAAAAGTCTCTCAGAGATTTAACCGCCAATTGATATTGGTAGACAGAAATGTATGATTTTGGTGTTGGGTTTTCGTCATCTACAACCATTCAACTCCAATACCCTCTCAAAGTTTTCAGGGGGTTAATTTCTTTGCGAGACCACTGGACCACTTAAAAATAATAAAACAGGCGAGAAAAGACAAAACACACCAAGGTGAAGCTTTAAAACTCCTAGCATCAGCATTCAAAGACAAAAAGTTAACACACATTTTTGTAACATTTTTGTTTGTTTTGTTGTTCAAATGACACTAAAATGTGTTGTAAATATTTTTTTTTTGCCATGAAATTTGCAGCAGATTTGGAAATTCTGAGAAATAGAAGTCAGTTTTTATCACTGAAGAACACCATCCTCCAAATCATTTATCATTTCTCTAATTCTGGCTTTGTGTTCACCTCGCGCAGATATGCCGGCAGCTTGCTTTGCTGCTGTATCTGCATCCGCAGCTGTTGCCGGGTCTGCATCTGTGACTGATACAGGGTTGCAATTGGTGTCTTCTTCTGTGTTTCATCTCGTTGCGTTGGCTGCTCCTCTGACGCCTGTGTTTCATCTTGTTCCATTGGCTGCTCTTCGGGCCCCTTCGACTGCTCTCCTTCTTTGAACCCAAGGACCTGCAAATACAGGCAGTTTGTCCGATCATTAAGATTACTATAGATTATTATAGATTATGGAAAATTTTGGGGGAGGGCAGACTGATGCAAAAATCCAAGTCAGTCTTTGCAGAATTGGTGATGCTGTTTGTGGGGCGATATAAGTTCTGCAAAGTTGCCTGAATAAGCATGCCAAATACTTTAACCCTCACATACTGTTCGGGTCAAATTTGACCCGTTTTGACCTTTAACAGCAGTAAAAATACCCTAAACATCATTTTTTTAAGCCTGAAACTTGATGACTTTTCGTGAAGTTGCCCAAAATACATGAAATTTGATTTAAAAATATTCATGTGTATTTTTGTTTATGTGCTACAAATTTTTCCCCTCTAAGGCTGTTACGGGTCAAATTTGACCCGTATCTATATTTAGATGGATTTTAGATCTAGCAGTGTGGGACAAACAGTAACAACAGTGTTCAATTTAAGGTTTGTTGTTCAAAAAGATATATTCAAATCATTATGAAACTATCATTACCTTGACAGAAACACACACACACACACACACGACCTGACCTAACTAGTCAAGAGAACTTTCTGTGACAGAAAGCTGCTCTTTGAACTCTTTGAAGGGGCAATTTTGACCCGGAACATACTGTGAGGGTACAGGATTTGAACAGTATGTGACGGTTAAGAAGATTGTCAGCCAGACATCGCAGGTGGAAATACACAAGTGTTTTGCAAAGTCTCACCTTAAAAGAGAGCAAAAATGAGATAATTGAACCATCCAAAAGTCCATCTGTTTTTCTCTTTTTATTGCGAAAGTAGTATAAAATTTCAAAATATGCTGCAAAAGTAACGTCATTGCTAAAAAGTTAATGCAGTGTACAAAGCACCTAAAAAGTATAACATAAAGCCCTAGTTCTGGGGGTGTCACCTTTGTGCTGAGACTGTTGTCCTTCACTTGCTTTAAATCTGACCACTTTATGTCACGACATCTCCCACTTTCTCCTTCCAGTTCCCTTCTCTGTCTACTGTCCTGTTCTTTCAGTAAAAGGGTAAAAAAAAGCTGAAAAGAGAAAAAAGTGTAGAACATTTATTTATTTATTTTTTGTACTCTATCTAACAGTGGTCAGAAAAACGCCTCTTGTTTAATCCTGCAAACTTACCGCTGAATTTTTCAGTAAGAAAAGCACATGTTCAAAGAGAAATAGTTTACATTTAAACAGTTATTACCATCTGTTCTAAAGTAAAATAGCTAATTGCCCTCTTTTTTATTATATTATAATGGCCATCCTATCAGTCCACCTGGACAAACAAAGTTGACCCTTTGACCTCTGCTTTCACCTGACTGTAAAAAAATGCTGCACCTTTTGTTTTCCGCGTCTCCATGGTGTGAGGCTGCAAATACTGATGCTATTTTGGCACCAGTGGCATCTTTTTGTCCCTTTAAAACTTTGAACTGTCATAGCGTCTAGCCTCATGTCATCTGTGTTTGACATGACAAACACAGAAATGGGCTTACTTTCTCATGAGAGCAGAGGACACTGTACAGTTTTTAAACTAACTAGACGTAGATTTATTCATCCTTAGAGCCACAAGGGGGGGTAAGAGATTACAGCTGCTACTGAGCAAGAGGCAGGTTGTCATTCCCAAACCCTGACATAAATAGAGGCACTGACTCTTACAGGCAATTTAGAGTCTCCAACTATCCTGACAAGCAGGTTTTTGGACTGTGGCGGTATCCTGTGCATGCAAATTGCAGCAAAAGGTACCTTTCAAGTCCTGAATTTGAACCAGGAACCTGACTGCTGTGAGGCAACTGCACTGACCACCACACCACCACGCATATCTTAATAGAGTAGTATTTATTTTATAAAAGGAATACTGTTTAAAAAATAATAATAAAGGCTGAGTCTGACTTAAACATTGCATTCTGCTGCTCTATACAAAGAGAACTTTTTATCAGTATGCACATATGTAGGAATTCACTGTGGTAATATTCACACACATATGGTTAGACTTCATGAACAATGATTGGGTAATAGGATCAGCCCCCAAAGAAAATAAAAATCCTTGTTTTACCAAGACTGAAGCAACTCCTTATGAACTTAGCAACAGGGTTGTACACACAAACACACCTAGTTATGCATGTACACACACCCACCCTGATGACTCTCAGGCAGGATTACTTTACTTTGTTTCTGCTGATCACAGATTGTAAGCTTGATTTATAATAGTCGTCCTAAGACTGTCAAATCTTTGAGGAGCTCTGAAGCTCACGTCAGGTCTGTACATCATGCTGCATTCATCAGTTTCACAACATTCACTGTTTTTACCCCTCCCACCCTTCCTTTGTTGCAGACAGTGCACTTTTATATTTGAACAGAAGCTCACAGTGGATCTTTTCCAGCTCATTTGTGTGCCTCCTCACTCGGGTTGCTTCCCTCCTTTGAGTAAGGAATTTAAAGGGAGACAAGAGGACAGAGGATGTAAAATTTACAAAACAAACAAACAAAAAAATCCTTGCTTTTACCAGTGACTATCTGAAATGACATCAGGTACCCATGACAAGCTTTTAAGCTGCCACATCCATAAACCAATGTTTGAAAACTTTTTTTTTTTTTTTTTTTTGACAATTTAGAGGAATTTCAGCTCCTGTAATCTGAGCCAGAGCACACCCCAGCTCCCCTTTTCAGGAGACCGAGCAAGTGATAAATGCTGAGCAGGTACTTAGCTCATCCTGACACTCCTCATTTGTAAAAGATTTCCATTTAAATCTTGACCGGGACTTGTCCTGTCATCTCCTCCACCAGACTGTAAGTAAACATTGCTGCGCACGTCAGAACATGAAACCAGAGCCTACGCCTTTTTCTCTGTCTTTTCCTGCATTCATGCGGTGGCCTGATTCCGATTTAATCTACTGAGTTCATAACATCTGAATGCCTGACTCAGCTCCAAGTGGGTGTGTTATCATGGGAACTGGGACTTTTGAGCCCTGAGTTCTCACACATAGTTAAATGTGTGTTTCAGTGTGTGTTTTTACCTCTGACATTTGTGCAGCAGTGCTGCCTCTGGTCCCCAGCATCACCATGGCCAGAGCTGAGGAGATGCTGAAAGGAGAGTAGAAGATATTTGCTTGTTTGTCGTCTTCACCCAGCTTCTTGAACAGAGCCAGATTGAAGGTAGAGTTGGCCTTGGCAAGGGATATTGATGGTGAAGCCATTGTATCTGTCATAAAGAAAAAGATAAATGAATATGGTGCACAATTTGGTCTGACAAGTCACCATTTTCTGTCTGGAAAACATAACAGTTTTTGGAAAAATCACATTAGGTGGAAATCTGTTGCTTTTTCAACCAGACATGAGGGTAGAAGTGATTTATCTGTTGCATGAGGATGCTGAAAACACATCTGTAGCACACATGCATCTATGCATCACATCAACTCTACTGTCTGACGATATCTGTTCATTTCTGTTATTTGCATGGAACCAGGAGATTTCTATGTCCTTGTCTTAAATGAAAGAGTTTGATTTTTTGGGATAATGTTCTTGCAAAACAGTTGCCGTGTCAACATGGCATGCAACGCTGTTGTTGCCCATGTTAATGATGTAAGTTAATCTATTTCTATGTTATTTTGTGCATTTGCAACCAAGGTATTTGAGTCAGATCATCTTATAGTATGAAAAAAAAAAACAAGAAAAACCTGACATCCCTCTGTTATCAATGGAAAATAGAGTAAATAGAATACATGGCTGCATGTCTGGTTTGAGATTTAAACATAAATCCTAGGCTTCTAAGATTAATTTGCAAACTGCTACCAAGTTGTGCAAACTTTGCTCTCCTCCTACTGAGTTTTTTTTTGTTTGTATCCTAGCAACGTCTTCAAACATTGCTATCACCTCCCAAACATGTACAGGCAAATCCTAAGAACACAAAAATAGGTCAGGTCAGGTCAGGTAAGGTAAGGTAAGGTAAGGTGGGCTTTATTGATCCCCCATGGGGGAAACTGTTTCACCACCAGGACAAGAAGACTCATACATACAGCAAACAGCATGGACACATCAGAAAAACATAGACTAACACCAGACACACAATAAATAGTAAAAGCCAATAAAACAAGTGGTAAAGTGAAAGATAAGGACATGAATGAAAATGACATGAATGACATGAAAATGAAAGATAAGGACATGATTAAATACAAAAAAAGCCTGATAAAAATGAATAAATACTAAAATGAAAACCTCTACAAACTATGCAGCAGTGCCAAGTCAGACCCTAACATACACTGTTAAAAATTCTCACTGCTGCTGGAACAAAAGACTTTCTCAGTCATTCCGTGGAGCACCGAGGCATCACAAGTCGCTCACTGAAAGAGCTTTCAAGACCTTTGAAGACATAGTGCAATGGATGATCTTTGTAGACCTGGTCCTCCTCTCAACAATTGCCTCAAGAGACTCTGGGACTAAGCCAATAACTGATCCAGCCTGATCCTGATCTTCCTCAACACTCTCTATTCCCAGAAGAGGAAGAGACAGCACACACCCCTCTAGCCCCTGACTCAATGAGTCCCAGAAAAAGTTTTGGTTCTGTGAGAATAAAATAGAAATTATTAAGTAGCCTAAAAGTGTTGTATTACCTCATCAAATGCGAACTTAATCACTCTCAAGCCATCAACGTAGCCTCTTCATTACTTTAAATGGACCTTTTGAGACCATAATAAACTGTAAGACAGTCCTGAAAGTAGACTTTGTGAAAGTTACTCTTGCCCATTAACATTCTTTCAAATCCACATTAAAGCTTTGAATAAATGTGACCAAGACATACTGTATAGTCAATAAATGTGAAAACAAGACTAGGTTATTGTTAGATATTGTTTAAAATGATGAAACTTTGAAGACAGATAAATTGCCTGTGTATCTTACCTGATAAACTTTTGAATAAGCATATTTGATAAAAAAAAAAACTCATTTAGTTTATCTGAAACTAAGTTATGAAAAAGTGTTTACATATATATATATATATATATATATATATATATATATTCTGATGACAGTAAGTGAAGTTCCAGTAATGCTAATGTTGAGTTAACTAGTTGTACTAGCAGCTACGTAATTTTTCTGAAACTAATAGTTTCCTAGCTTAGGCCATAGAAACTCACCTGGGGCCTATTAGAGAACACATACCTCAGGGAGTTGTTTCTAAACATCACTACTGCTTTATCTTTTCACATCATTGACTCTTTTTATCAGCCATATCCCCAAGTCACTGTTTGTGCGCACATTCAACAGGACCCATATGAAGAAAACAACCTCTGAGATTATGAGACTCATGTTACCATACTGTGCGCCTGCTGACCTGCATGATAGTTTCTTGTCAATGAAGAAAAATTCCCCCTGGAATTACTAAGGAGTGCTTATTGTGAAAATTTCTTACAGAGCACCCTTCATGATATTTTGATGAGGCAATAAATCTTTATTCATTTAAACGTACTCATTAAAAACAGGCATCATTTGGCATTCCTACGAAAAACTGCACAAATGTGGAGCTGTTAGCTGCTTTACACCTGTCCGTGTCCTATCATCAATTTCTTAAAACCAAAGTTTTGTACTTACTGTCAGATTGCTCCAGGAGACAGAACAAGATCCAGAGTGATTCAGTGAAAGTCAGACTAAGTGTATTATTTGACTGTGACACACCCAGGATCACGAAGCTCTTGCCACAGCTTGAGAAAGCATTCAGAGATCACACCCATCAATAAGAGGCACACCCAACCACATTATGATTCATGTCTCCTGCCAATAGGTGTGAACTATAGGGTTTGGCACAAATATAGTTTACAGAACACATATTAGTCATAAGGGCAGACACCTCGGAAAGGGCTATATTGATGAGATCTTACATTTTTGAAGGTTTAAGCTTGAAAATTGAACACATATTTGAAATGCTGATCACTCTGAGATCTTATCTGACATCAGAGAGAAGGATATGTGGGCCATTTGTCAGGTGCAAAATCACTAATCACACAAGAGGAAATTTTGAAAAGAAAAACACAAACCATAAAGTCTTCTTGAATTCTAACCTTGTTAGCCTGGCTGGGCCATCCTGTTGCATGAATCACTTGCCGTTCCTTCCCACAACAGTCTGGACTTCGGCCCATTGGGAGCGTGTATTCCCGATCAGAAAATAACCGGACCAATCAGGGGCTGCCTTTCCACTGTTACCTGGACAACAGGGAAAGGCAGCCCCTGATTGGTCCATGTGTAGTGGTGACATCTAACACATGCTGGGGGACTTTTCAAAGCCCTGTTCATTCAGAACGCTGTTAATTCTGCAGCTGACTTAGCAAAGTCGGCAGAAATCGTTTATATCCGCAGAAGACGTTGGATAGAATTGTGGGAAGGAACGGCAAGTGATTCACGCAACAGGGTGGCCCAGCCAGGCTATAACCTTGTGGCTCTGTTGAAGAATTTAGACATCCAACTCACATCAGCTTTTATTTGAGCATTTTATTCATGCATGCAGAACATTTTGATGACAAAAGGGTACAGAGAATATGAGAAGCTGTTGGACTGCTGCAGCCACCATCGTGGAAACAACTGATCAAATCTATCAAAGATGCTCCATAGTTACATTTATACCCTCTGAACCCTTGAAATTACAGTAATGACTGTTTGCATTATGTTAATGTCTTCAGAGTGGCTTTGGTACAAGGGCAGCTCTCAAAATGCACACAATACATTTCAATTACATATCAAAGCAGACATATGTATGTCTTTATGGAAAGCAGCACAGTTTTGACTCAGAAGCTCTCCCAAAGCACAGCTCAAAAATTTGAATAGTCAATAGCAGAACGTCTCCATCTTCTTCAAGAGGAGACGAAATTAGTAGATGTATCTGACTCTTATAAGTCTAATTCAGTGTTTTAAGACTCTAGAATCAACTTCACAGAGAACACAGAAAAGACAAAGTCACCATATAGACATTAGAAACTTAAATGATGCAAACACAAAAAACAGTGTTTTAATGTAAATCACCCAAGTGCCCCAAAAATGTACACAAAATGTGAAAAACAGACAGATTATACCTATAAGAGGCATTTCTACTGCAAAGCTTGCAAAAGGAACTTAATAACGGCCAAAAATAAAACAGCAATTCAATAAAATGAAAGAAACCAAAACAGAAAACAACCAAAAGTTTAGAAGAGTGACCACAAAGAGACCAAATAACCATCTCAATCTACTCCCTTACAAATTATGCTGGGGTGTCACATATTGGCCCCCTTCACATCTCATGTCTGCGGACGTCCTGCAGAGTTTACTCTGGGTTGCAGTATCTACCTGCAAAGAGGACAGTTTTGCTGGGTTTATGTTTAATGAAGAAGAGGAAGGGGTGGTCTGCCACGAAGGAGAAGGGCTTCTCAAGATAAGCAGAGGTCAACGTCATTATGACACCTGTGGCAGCTGCCGCCTCTGTCCCCTCCTCGTTCACATCCACAAACGCCTTGTGAACCACTTTAGATACAGCCAGGCCCTTGACTGGAGACATGCCTGCACCAGAGGAGACAAAGCAAGCTGATTTTTCACAAATAGTGAATAGCAAATGTTATCGTCAACATATTTTTTTTTTCTTCGAACAACATCCTAAAGTATATTTTTATTTCTGACCTGACAAATCACTCAAGGAGCTGAAAAGATCTGTCATTCCCAACTTTTTCAGGGTTTCCACCATGCTGTACGTCTCTTCCAACTTGAACCGAGGAAATTTCACCTCCACCTGACCATGATTCATCTTTTCTGGTTGAGTCCACTGCTCAAAGTTTTGATAGGTCAGCTCCTTCTGCAGCTGGTGTGGATAAAACAACAGCAATCAGTCAGTCTGTTTATTTTATAGTTACACGTACAGTGTGTGTGTGTGTGTGTGTGTGTGTGTGTGTGTGTGTGTGTGTGTGTGTGTGTGTGTGTGTGTGTGTGTGTGTGTGTGTGAGTGTGTGTGTATGTGTGTGTGTGGGTGGGTGGTTCTCTACCTTCTCCAGGCCTGTGGTGTCGTCCTCAATGTCATCGGGCAGGAAGATGAGCATGCTGAGGTCTCCCCCTTTGTAAGGCATTTCAAGGATCTGTTCAAAAGATTGTTATTCTTTAACCATGATGAAATCTTCTTCATCCTGAACACAGGCTGAATAAAAAGTATGGCTGACAAACATATGGTTCATATAGCATTAAGTGACAATGGGCTCTATTTTTTTCTGCCTCCTTGGTGGCGTTGTGTAAGTGCAGCGCAAGTCAGGTCTGCCACACCGATGAGGCGTGCCCAAGCACACTTTGGTATTTTGGTGAGCGACGCTGCCCAGTGCAAGTACCCCCCCCCCCAACTCAGCTCCTCCCAGTGGCATAAGTAGCAGAGAGGGAAGGGATAAGGCATGGAGTGGGTTTAACACAGCCAATCCTGTTTTCACCAATCACATCAGCTCCTCTCCTTATCTTTAAATCTGCCACCAGCGTGGCAAATTACAATTTTTGTGAAGTAGTCAAAGAGATCAAGAGATGGCTAAAGACAGCAATGCCACACAATGTTGACAAAAGGCAGCCCTTCAACAGGTGTCGTGGCAAGCACTGCGGAGAGAGGACACTCTCTCAAATAAGCACAGAGGTGTCTGGAAAGTTGTGCCCATGGGTAAGACAAACACCCTTTAATCACAGCATAAACAAATTCCAATAATGGCATTAAATTTGGCATTAAATCACCTGTGCGTAAAGGACGCATCAAGCTCCATGGCCTGGCTCTTTCTTTCCTTGATGTAGGCATATAAAATGAACTTGGCTCAAGCAACTGAATAGTATCATATTTTTATGTGGGCTTAAATCCAGATTGAATATTCACAGAAATTTAAGGATGAGAAAACCTCAAAATGGGTAATTTTAAATGAAAGTTTCTTTTCATTTTTAAGTAAATAACTCATCTTATCACTAAAATAAATCCTCTGGTCAGCCTTGCCCGCAGCAGCAGCAGCAGGACAGGGACAGGACACAGAGCTGTGTCCAGGTCGAGCTGCGTGAGGAAGAAGAGGAAGAGAGAAAGGGATAGAGAAATATCTTGTTGAAGGTGCGGTAGGCAGGATTCCGTTAAAGAAGCATCTTTTTTTTGTGGTGTATATGACACTTGGTAATATAACGATATCGTTGTGTTTTATTATGTCAGTGTAGTCAGCATTTTAAGCCACCCGCTCTTTCTGACTGTAAACAAAGCCATTCTCCGCCTGCTCCAACCTGATTGGTTAGTGCTTAGTGCTGATTGGTTGTGAAGCAGACGCTGCTCCCTCATTTTCTGAGGCACACTCCACGTACTCCAATAACGTGCACAAGCTCAAACAAAGTTAGCATGCTACAACATCGGACAGTAGAAACCAACCAGAAAGTACTGAAAACACAAGCGATAAAACGAAGTAAATACCAGAGACTCTGGCAGAATAAAGGGCACTTCAAACAGAGGTAGACCGAACAAGAGCTAAGAAGCCGGATCAACATCAGCATGAACGATGGGGGACATTTCAGGATCTTACAGACCCTGTAACCCTTCTGCTAAACCGCTTTAACAAAGTAAACCAAGTGTCTGTAACAGAAGGACCTGCTGTGTGTTGTAGCGCGGCTAAACTGTTTACCTCAGGACCTAGAGTATGTCACTTAATCCTAGTTGTAGAAGTCCTGCAAACATTGTGTTTGCTGGTAGTCTGTTGACATCGACAGCAGCACCAATGCTTTTTACTTTCGTGGTGAGTGGGCCCCATTTGTAATCATCTGAAGTATTTATCTGCATTATATCTGAATTTAATTGATACAATAGGAGCAAGCAGGAGTGTCTGTTTGTGGGCGGGGCTTGTTGGAGCAGAGAGGGAGGGGAGAGGAGGAGCTGAGAGGAAACCTGGTTGTGAGGGGTAGTGTTTACATTCCAGATTTCTTCCAAATACTGGCACTTCCTCAGATCCTGCCAACCCCACCTTTAACTTCATCATGTGTGACAATTGACTGGATATTTAATGAAATGCAGTTTCAGCTGAGTAAATTCGGTCAGGTGGAGAGTCCAAACGCGTGCCAAACGCGCTCATTAGATGAGACATACATCAGAATAAATCGATATACTGTAGATCTGAACTTATGTGCTGACTTAGTTGCACTTTGAAATTTGTTTTCAAATGTAAAGTGCGTTACAAATAAAATCTATTATTATTATTATTAATTTTGGTTGTTGTTAATTATGTATTGCACTGAAATGTGTCTGACGCTGTGGAATTTGGCCTGTGAGGCATTGGTGATGTCTGCACACTGTGCCGCCAGTCTACCAAAATACCACAAGACCATCTGCGCTCAGCCTGTGCTGAAAGCTGACCAGGTTTGAATCGGCAAGCATTCAATGCACAAAAATGTCACTGTGCCAGCTGATTCTGTTGACATCCCTCCACCACGCCCAGCTTGGCGAACCTTGGTACGTCTCAGTCTACGAAAATATCAAACTGGCTTTGCACCCTCCACTGCACCGCAGGCAGGCACAAAAATACAGCCCAATGTGTTTAGCTGTGTTTAGTTGTCTTTTAACATAGATGCTAAATCATCAAGGGGGCAAGAGTTGGTCTGAACCCATACAAGGCTCATATCGAGAGAAATCCTTACACCCGATCTACACCTGCATTATTAAATGTATTTCCAAATGCTTCAGTTCAGACAGTGAGCAGAGCATAGCCATAGAGTTTCATAATAGACACAAGTCAAGCACTATTACAGATCATTGCACCCCTCCAAGAAACTTTAATAACCACCAACATATGGGTTTCCCCTGCTGGGTCTGATTGCAGCTCTGCTAATGCTTACTGCACAAACTCATCACCTGGAACGTCACCACCAGTTAGATATCTCAGTGTCTGCCATGTTTGATTTCACTTTTGAATAGTGGGAGGATAGGAAGATGTGTCAGCCATCTTTATATAAGTCACTGATCCTGAACAACAGGCTGAAGGTACATTACCTTGATGTTGAGCTCTGGTATGGAGTTGTAAAAGAACGACTTCTCCATGCACATCATCTTCACAGTTTTGGTGTCACTCTATGAGAGAACAGAGAACTGTTGAGTGTTTTTTTGTACCTCAAACTCATAAACTTTGATTGTCTATTAATAACAAACTATCAAAACATCTGTTTGGGTGTTTTCTGATTTAAAAAGCAGACTGAACGACAGACTATAAAATCAAACTTCTGAGGTCAGCACTGGATCAAACCAGCTCTGTTAGGGTTCCTGTCTAGCTTAGTTCAAGTGCGACTTTATATATGAGTTTATACTCATGTTCAAGGTCAGTGGCTGAAGTAGTTTCAACATAATCAATCCACATAAGTTTACACCTTACTGGTCAACGTTTTACTGGACAAAATGAACCTTATGTCTGAATGGTGCAATCTAACACTGACACAACTTACATTAAAAAACTCAAGTTTCAGCTCACATTTTAGAGTGGATTTTGCACCTTGACTTAAGACACACACTACGCAGAGCTGCAGCAGAACATAGAATTTCAAGACAGATGGATTTTTGAGACTAATGTTGGAAATTCTGGTAACAGAGCCAGAACTGTTCATCATCATTCAGTTATTGTGGGAAAATCTACAGAAAAATCACAATTTTAAGTAATAAATTAGTGTCTCATTTTACAGGTAAAAATTCACTAATGAATGAATTCTGTATCAACATAGTCACACAAGTTCCTCCACTGCCTCAACACTGTCTGGTGTCTACTTTATCTTAGCTTCCTCTTCTGTTTTTATGTTCATGTAGCCTTGATGTAAGTAGGACTTCTGGCTTTTTGCTCTATAATTCTGCAGAAAAAGTCCGAGTTAAATAAGCTCAGATCATTCAGACTTCACAGAAAAGATTTATTAAATGCACTTATTTAGCATCTTTTGTTCTTTAGTCTGTTTCCTTCAGTTTCTGTCTGTGAGCAGTCTTACCTTACTTATTCTGAATGGATGATCTGTAGTGAGCTCCTTGTCAAAAATTTTCTCCCATGTTCCCTTAAAGTAGATGGCGTTGACCAGCACAAGCTTGGTCAATTCACCTATGGTGCCCTGAGACAGCAGGTCCTCGATTTTACCTGGTGATGAAGAGAAATATTCATCAGACTGAGTAACCGACGACGCGGTGCATGCGTGGCGTAGGTCAGGTCCACTGCGCCGACAAGGCGTTCCCAAGCACAATTTGGTATTTTGGTGAGCGGCGCAGCTTGGCGTAAGTATCCCCCCTCCCTAACTCAGCTCCTTCCAACGGCATAAGCCGTAGCAAGGGAGTAGAGAGGGCATGGAGTGGGTTTAACACAGCCAAGACCTGTTTTCACCAATCACACAAGCTCCTCTGCTCGCCTCTAAATCCGCCACCAGCGAGGCGTATTACCATTTTCGTGAAGTAGTCAAAGAGATCAAGAGATGTCTGAAGACAGCAATGCCACACGATGGCGACAGAAGGCAGCCCCTCAACAAGTGTTGCTGTAAACGCTGCAGAGGGCATCCTCCAAACTGTCTCATATAAGCACAGATGGATTTGGTGTGTGTAATGTTGCACCCACTGGTAAGACAAACATCCCTTTCCACAAATAAAGACACTCACATAAAGTTGCATATATTTAAACCTCACATGACAAAGGTGGGGTGTGCGCACAGATCACAACATAAATTCCAATAATGGCATTAAAATTGGAAACATCTGTGCATAATGGCGCATCGCACTCCGTGGCCATGCTCTTTCTTTCATAGAAGTAGGCCTGTAAAATAAATTTTGCTCACAAAACTGAATATTATAATATTCGTATGTAGGCTTAAAGTGAATAACTCATCTGAGCACTAAAATAAATAATGTCCAGGTTGAGCTGCACAAGAAATAAGAGGAAGAGGAAAAGAGAAAAGGAGGGAGATGAATAACATATCTTGTTAACTTCATCATGTGTGTCTATTTACTAGATATTTAATTTAATTTAATGCGGTTTCAGCTGTGTTAATTCGGTCAGGTTGTGTGTCCAAACGCGTGCCAAACGCGCTCATCAGATCACATATAGATCAGAATATATCTATATAGATCTAAACTTATGTGCTGAATCAGATTATTAGTTGTTGTTGTTTATTTATTGCACAGAAATGTGCCTGACACTGTGGAAACCTGCCTGTGAGGCATCGGTGACGTATACCGATACGCCGCCGGTCTACCAAAATACCACTAGACCAGCTGCGCTCTACCTGCGCTGAAAGCTGACCAGGTTTTGAATCGGTGAACTTTCAGCACACTTTACACGCTGGCAGTGAGCACTAAAATGTCACTGTGCCAGCTGATTCTGTCGACACCTCCCCCCTGCCTCGCCACCACGCCCAGCTTGGCAGACCTCGGTGTGCCTCAGTCCAAGAAAATACCAAACTGGCTGTACGCCGGGCTCTGCCAGACCAAAATACCACTACGCGGGGTCCACCACCCTTCACCGTGTCCCCGGTGGACACGAAAATAGAGCCCATGGACTCTACAGTACTTTTATTTACAAGGAAATTTGGTTCCTTATTTTCTGGAAATTATACGACAAAGAGGAGAAGAACAAAGATAGATGCATGCAGAGATTTCCACCACATGATCATTTGTGTTTTTAATGCATTGCGACCTGAGGGCTTGAAGGTCATCCAGTATTGGTTTTTGGTCCTTGTCCCTTTGATGCACAGATTTATATTACAAGTACTCCAGCTGATTTTAAAACATGTTGCTGTCACCCAAACAGGAATAACATTTCTTAAGAATGATGTTATTTTCATATCTGACTTTTGATATGTTTTTGTTTATTTTACATTAGAATGGGTTTGGTATTTTTTAAATCTATTACGTTTGTTTCTTTTTTATCCAACACAGTCCTCATTGATTTTCAACAGCATTGTCACTTCTACCTTGTGTCTTTTCCTTCACCCAGGTGTTGATGTTGATCCGGGCCTCCTCTGCTTTGGTTTTGAAGTCCACAGACTCCAACTCAGCGCTGTAGTGCGCTTTGATGTCTGCCAGGAAACTCTGGAATCAAAAAAAAGGTATGTTTGTATGTTGAAACCACAATAAGTAATAACTCAAATCAAAGTTACAGAGTTTCATTTTTAACTGAAAGGTCTTTCTTCTTCATTAAATCAATAGGAACGTGAATGAAAAAGGAAATATATTTCATTGATCAAAGCGTTATAAAAAATTACTCAATCTAGTTGCCATGAAAGTTATCATAAGGACACTCAAAAATCAGTCTGGTAAGTGTTTCTGGCACCTTCTATGGTCAATACTTCAATAATCATCATGAAGAAGCCCTTGCCCTTCTGAAAAAAAAAATACATCTATTGTCCCTGTGTTTTTCACAAATTTCTGTCTTTTGCACATAAAGAATTTCCAATTCTTTACAGGAAATTGAAAATTACTTATTTCTAAATTTCTTTTATATATACATATATTTCTTTTATATATATATACATATATATATGTATATGTGTGTGTGTGTGTGTGTGTATTTCATGTCCATTATCTTGTTTCATTAAGAAAATAAATACAATCTAATGTGATTATTCAACATTTGATTCAGTTGTTGCAAAAGACACTGAGTTTGTCTTAGGCTAAGCTGAATATGCTCACAGCCATGTCTGTCTTAAAATCCAGTTAACCTGAACACTCACCTCATGAAACAGGAAGGACTGTTCCCCGTACAGTCTGTTTGCAGTAACCAGGGAGTAAAAGGCGCTCGGGTCGTTGAGTAAGGTGAGCAGATTGCCAAATTCAGCATGGACATCCTCAACACCACCTGTCTGTGGAAGTGCCACAGAAGACATACATGCTAAAGAGACAGTGAGGTATGGCAGAGCATGGAACAGCTTTGACAGCTTTATATTATGTTAATTTTATGGTCTTTCAGTTTGCTGGCTGAAATAATGAGAAAGACACAGACATATATAGTCTATGATTGCAACAGTTTTTAAACCTTAAAAGTGATCCTATTGTTTCCCTTCTCAATTAGGAGAATGATAATGTTCCAGCTGAGAGCTGATGCATTAGGAGCGGGTGGTTTGGTGAATCAGGGTTATGCTACAGTCAAAGTCAAGTAAATGTACTACTGATACTGCTTCCATACCAAGCAGCACCACAAGGCTTTGCCTGCTGTTTGTTTTGCTTCTAACATAGGGATAAGTTGTTATTCTCAGAGACTTCGCATTCAGGTCATGGGAGCCTGCCTGTATTTGATTAAGGAAAAAAATCATACATATGATTTAACAAAATCATGTAAATTCAAAAATAAACCAAAAATAAGCCAGCAGGATTTTAATGAAGGTGGTCACACACTTTAGCCATCGTATAAATCTCAAACCCATAAAAATTTAGGAAAAGAAAGTTTTCCATCTGCTGAAAATATATGCTTTATTATAGGCTGAACATTCACTCTGAAAATCTAAACTCTGACATTAAAGTTGCAGCAAATATTAGAATTTTTCCTGGAAAGAGTGGTACAATATATCTTCTTAACAGGTGACAGACACTTCCTATAACTCATCATTGCTTTCATTCTGTCCGTATAATCACATCAGGCTTTCTGCTGACCTGCTGTGACTGCATCCTTGCCTGCTGCCGTGTCTGCATATGCACTGGAATCTGCATTGGCATCTGCATCTGCATCTGCATCTGCTCTTCTTCCTCTGGCTTCTTTGGTTGATCTCTCTCATTGAAGCCTAGGACCTGAGGGTGCAGATCATTTCTATCATCATCGGGTTCATTCAGGTCAACTTCAACAACATGCTTGTTATGAGATGTTTGGTGGAGCAGACTTTCTGATGAAGTGTCTTCAAGTCAAAGGATGCCATATCAGAAATGTTGCTTTGACCTAGAAATAGACTGAGGGGTGGAGCTGAGGCGGGCCTCCTGGTGCCCAACTACATCATGCCCACCTGTGAGTCCGCTCAGCCACACCTTTTATTATACATATCTGTCCATAAGTCTTTATATTAATTTCCTCAAAATTGATTACTTCAGTAGCATTGAAGTAATGAAGAGGCATGAGTAGAAACATCCCTGTATGAAAATACTGTAAGAATTATTTCAGTATTTCTGTGCACATGACAGAACCTGAAAATCAATCAATCAATCAATCAATCAATCAATCAATCAATCAATCAATCAATCAACTTTATTTCTATAGTACATTTTAAAATAACCACAAGGGTAGCCAAAGTGCTGTACAATGATACATAAAAACAAATAACACAACGAGAAAGAAAACCTGAACCCACGACATTTTCATGGGCATTTATCCAGCAGTGAGAAGGATGGCCTGATTCCAGCACCTCAGTGAACCTGATCCATGATTTTAACGGCCTCTGATCACTTGACTGGGTTCCAAACAGGTTTCTTTAGGACTGTGAGAATTTCTCACTGTATTGAGAGTGTGTTTCAGCGTGTGTTTTTACCTCTAACATCTGTGCAGCAGTGTTGCCTCTGGCTCCCAGCATCACCATAGCTAGAGCTGAGGAGATGCTGAAAGGAGAGTAGAAGATATTCGCTTTTTGGTCATCCTCACTCAGCTGTTTGAACAGCGCCAGATTGAAGATGGAGTTGGCCTTGGCAAGAGATGTTGATGATGAAGCCATTTTGTCTACAAAAAACAGAGAATTATTAACTGTAGCATTTGGTTTTACCAGTTAAATTACATCATCTTGTTTGGAAAAGATAAGAGCTTTTTAAAAATTACACTTCATCTTCTTTTCAGCCAAAACTTGGAGGTAATAGTGATTTATTGTATGCATGAGGGTGCTGAAAAATCAAACCCAAGCCTTGAGCTGACATGCATACATTTGATTTATTCTCTTTATTTACTCTGTTTATATGATAAGGACTTGATTTCAGTTGAGTCAATTGAGAATTTAACTTGTTTTATTTCCGCACATAGACAATACTTGGGCAGGCTTCTCAAGTACATGTGGCTGCTCAAGCATAAGGCAAGGGATTACCACATATTATTCATAGTCTTCTAACTGGCACTAGGTTACCTGAACCAGTGCGGGCAAACACTAACTATCTAACACTCACTAGCTTGATGTGTGGTTTATCACCAAAAAAATGGGCTTGAGGGTCAATCTTTGTGAAATTATTTGAGAAATCAATAGCAGACAGCCCTATTAAAATGATGTGTGACACCAATGGTTTTAGATTTACAAATGAAAAACTGCAGAGGACGTTTGTTTTTGCATTATATTTGCTGCTTACCTACGTGACAGACATCAGTGTTGGTTTCAGACCCACTTAAAATTACAGCAGTGTGAAAAGTGACAGTCATAACCTCTCTGGTTTAACTATTCCAATCTTGTGTTCTCTGCTGAAAGTGCTGTGTTGTATCTTAAATTGTGGTTTTACACAGTACCCCTTGAACCACAAAGGTTTAAAAAAGAGGGCCTACTGACAACTCATCAGAAGTAGGATGAGCCACAAAAAAGCCTACACCTTGCTCTACTTCTGGGGGTTTTGCGCCCAGCTCTTTGTGAGTGACCCAGCACCAGGCACTTTGGTCACTATTGTGGTCATGAAGAAAATTTAATTGATGGTGACAATAAAAAGATCTCACATTGATAATTGTTTGTTTCATTCTTGATGTTTATTTATTTAATTTATTCACTTTGTACTTTGCCTTTAACACTGTTTGGCAGGACCTGCATCCAATTGGACTCGAGACACTTTGTGAGTCTTACTGATCTTGTTTCTTCTTGTCTAGATCTCGACTGGAATTGTTCTTGCTCTTGAACGTATGCTGTTAAATGACATTGTAACATGAGCATCTTCAGACAGGAGCTGGCTTTTGTTCAATAGTTGAATGATGTACATTATGTCTTTAGGTTCTTAGAACTACTTTTCTATTTTCTTTTATCTCAGACATGTAATCTTTTTGGTGTACCTTGACATGTTTCGGTGGAAACTTCATGGGATAAGGCCAGAGTCATCAGCACCGAGGACAATAAGCAGCACTGAATTAGGGAAGCCATTGAAATAGGGAAATGGGACCCAGGGACGATGAACAGGGATGAGGGGGCATACATGCTCTCACCTGGAGCCGCGTCCTGCAGAGGCGAACAGGCAGTGGAAGGCGTGACCCTCCTGTAAAAAAAAAACTGACAGAAGCGTCACGCCCATAGACAGTCTACAGTCACGCCTCAGTAACATCAGCTGATATGACCTGTCACACCCATAGACTGTACATGGTTACACCTACCACCAACTGACATTTATGAGGAACCTGGAATTTTCAGCTGAAACATGTCAAGGTACGTGAAAAAGATTACATGTCTGAGATAAATGAAAATAAAAAACCCAGTAGTGGGCTGCCCTGGGCTTTACTGAGGAGATTTTGAGTACATCCATCCTTCCCAAGAACTTCAAAAGGAGCCGCTCTGAGGACAGCAGATGTGGTGCAGGTCGTAAACAGTAACATGCCTTTATAGTCACTTATTTGATTCATCTTTTAAAAGTTAAAATGCATCAAAAGAGAGCCTTGATATATGATGTGCATTTTTTTAAATGAACTGATGCAACTCTTAAAAATATATATATCTTCCTTAAACTGCCGAATCACTATTCAGCACATTTTGCAAACTCTGAACCCTCCTGTGCAAACTTTTAGAAGTCTTTTCTGTATTTATTTGACTTTGTAACCCAGGAATGCCCTTCAACAACACCATCACACCTAAAGCGTGCTGACAAATTCTACTTTTCCCTTACCATCCTGTTAACATACAACAGTAAATCTAAACTTTTTAAGAAACACTGCATAAAATACAAAGATAGCTTTCACCATTTGCTGCCCAGATGATGAAAAACTGCATTACTCCAGAGTAGTTACATGTCTTACAACCTTTTTAAAACTCAGGTCATTGGGTTTGTTCGATACTTACTGTAAGACTGTCCCTGAAGACAAAAGTAGATCCAGGTAGTGATTCTGTGAAAGACAGGCTTGATCTGTTTGAGTCGGTTCTGTTTTATCTCACTGTGACACACCCAAGATCATCCAGTTTTTGATGGATGCCATCCATCAAAAATAGTCACACCCAACCATTAAATGGTTCATGTATTGTGCAAACAATGTGACCTACAAGGTTTGGCCCTGGCACAGTTTATAAAACATCATTTAATAATAATGTAATAGTGACAATTGTCAGGGGCAGATGTAAATTAGAAGCCATCCCCGTACACCTAATGAACTCTGGACTCAACAGACATGACATGAAAAGATGTGCAGATCCTTTTTTTTTTTTTTTTTTTTTGGGGGGGGGTGCAGGATGACTGATCAAGCAGAGGAAAATTTGTAGAAACTCAAGAGAAGTAATGTTGGTTATAGATTCAAATGTGTGTATTAAATTGGATTATTAATGGAAAAACCATTTAAGAAAACATTGTAAAACATCTCCCTTGAATCCTTGAAATTTACATTGATTGCAGTAAGAGATGCCGCAGGTAGAGATTTTGATGGTACTTCTATGGTCTTTCACACAGTCACAGTTCTTAAGCATTTATTGATTTCACAACATTGCCTCTGTACATCTAGTACATTAATAGAAACCTCACACAAATTTCCTTTTTAAGTTACACTGTAATGTAGCTGTTATCTTTAGGGTAGTTATTAGTAGTTCCATTAAAGGTGCTGTATTCTCAAACTGATTGAACCGATTGTTCACAAACAATCTCATTTCTGTCAGCTCTCGACATGTTCTGCCTTACCTTCTACTATTCCTTTTCTGTATTTGATCTTTGGACATCATTCAACAGCAAAACATTTCAGAAAGATATTCAAACATGACAACTCATTTAAAAAAAAAACCTTCACTAGATGTTCCAATTTGTGGATGAGACTCGTCCATGATGTTGCACTTAGCTATTATCCAAAGAGAAGACAGTACAACATTTTATTGGCAACAACTACCTGCATATAACTTTTAAAACAGCAGTAAGAGCTACTTAAAACAAGATATTGGTCATCTTTCATTGCAGTGACGGGTGGGAGGCTAACAAGGTTAGAACACATTGTTAGGGTGGCCAGCAAAATGATTGGCAATAAATTCTCTGACCTTTCTGCACCTTTTTACAGAAGAGTGGCATCTAAAGCTCAGGAGCATCACTTGCATGCCGAATTTGTGCTTCAGATTGCAAATATCTAAATCCAACAGAATGAGAAACTTTTTTGTTAGGCAATTGTACAACTAAATCTTTAAAATGATCCAGTATGAGGCATTTGATTTTCTTGGCTGATGTCTGATGGTATTTTCTGATGGATCTTGCTACCAGTTGGCCTCTGATGTATTGTGGTGATGTTGTACCTATGTTGTCTTTGTGATCAGTTCATGTGTTGATGCTGTTAATGTTTATTTTATTTTATTTTATTTTTTTTTTACCTGGCTGCAAAACAAATTTCCCTCAGGGGACAATGAAATGAAACTTGAAGTTGGGGTGTGTCTACTGCTGAATCACTATTCAGCACTTCATCCTAAATGATTTTGCAAACTCTGAACCCTCTTGTGCAAACTTTTAGAAGTCTTTTCTGTATTTATTTGACTTTGCAACCCAGGAATGCCCTTCAACAACACCATCACATCTAGAGCGTGCTGACAAATTCTACTTTTCCCTTACCATCCTGTTAACATACAACAGTAAATCTAAACTTTTTAAGAAACACTGCATAAAATACAAAGATAGCTTTCACCATTTGCTGCCCAGATGATGAAAAACTGCATTACTCCAGAGTAGTTACATGTCTTACAACCTTTTTAAAACTCAGGTCATTGGGTTTGTTCGATACTTACTGTAAGACTGTCCCTGAAGACAAAAGTAGATCCGGGTAGTGATTCTGTGAAAGACAGGCTTGATCTGTTTGAGTCGGTTCTGTTTTATCTCACTGTGACACACCCAAGATCATCCAGTTTTTGATGGATGCCATCCATCAAAAATAGTCACACCCAACCATTAAATGGTTCATGTATTGTGCAAACAATGTGACCTACAAGGTTTGGCCCTGGCACAGTCAGGGGCAGATATAAATTAGAAGCCATCCCCGTAGACCTAATAAACTCTGGACCTCTGTCTCTGCAAACACCTGCAGAGTATCTGTCAGGCTCTGCAGGTTACAAAACATAAGAAGCACAGGGTAATGAGAGATTGTTTTCACCATTAATTTTGTTTGCTAAACAAAGGGATAAAAAATCTGAAAATGATGTAAAGCTAGTCAGCAAGAGGTCGAAATTACACCTGGACCACCTAGTTACTACGATGTGTGGGGAAACACCAACAGGTGTGACTTTGTTTTTTGTTCAGTTGAGACAACTGTAATATCCTGGTGTCTCCTTGAGAGTGGCAGCACAAAAACTCAGTGAACGAGGCCTTTATGATTTAATAAGTGCGAGTGTGTGACCTTTTAAAATGGTGTTTCAGTGTCATTAAATAAGCTTCGGTCCAAGTTGAGTTTATTTTTTTAGGTTTTTCATTAACTTTGTGAGAAAGAGCTGTGGTTTTGGCAGCCACAGAGACTGATAGCAGTTGACTCAGTTTATTCTGAACGGTGTGTTAACTTCAGTGAGCATGGAGCCAAAATTTGACAATTTTGAGAGGTGTATGTATGTGTGCTTCTACCCTCCTGCCATGTCAAAGTTCGGTTTCCTTTTATGTTTATAGGTTTCCATTAACATTGTAAGAGTAAGAGTTGTGGCTTTTGGAACACCTTAGTTTAAGCCAGTGTTTTTTCAAAGTTTTGGCAGTCACAAAGACTGAAACCAGTTGACTCAGTTTCATTTGAAAGGTGTGTTAACTTGGCATGTAGCCAAAATGAACATTAGCTGATCAGCTGTGGTTTATAATTTGGATCAGGATGGCCATTGCCACACTTGAGAATTCTGCACTCAAGTTTGATATCTAAAATATTCCAAGGACAACCAAACCTCTCATTACATGACTCTGAAACTCACGAGTAGGGTTGGGTTCTGATGCCTCCTTTCAATTCCGGTTCCTAACAATTCTCTCTTTCAATTCTTTTAAAGGGCAGGTTAAAAAAATGCATGGTTTATATGAGGGCACTAACTTCAGTTCTTTTAGGGTGAAATGTCTGAATTTCTCCATAAACTTTTAAATGATATGAACTTTACGATAAGTTTCACACAGGGCTATTTTCAACCAATACATAAATATCAATCTTTGTTGTCAGGTCATTTGTCTATGAAAAAGAGCATGGGCTAACATTGGTTGGATATTTAAGTTGACCTGTCGTATACAGTAAAATTTATTTAGTGGTAGCAGAAGACAACGTAATTCATTGTCTTACTTATCTGATTCTGACTGGTTAGAGGGAGACCGGCGCAGCGCGTCAAAGGCTCTCAGTTGTTTCTGCTCCATGAATCCGGGGGTGTTTAAAAGGGTGACCATACCCCCTCTTTTACCCAGACATATCCTCTTTTGGGGGGCTGTCCGGCCTGTCCGGTGGGAGTTTATAAAATCCTTCAAATGTCCGGGTTTTCTATGGAAGCCCCTTTTTTTCACTGGCGGCTTCCATAGTTTTGAGTTTGTGTAGTGTGTACTTAATCTTCTTTGCATCACAGACCATTGTATCTACCTTACACGTTCAATGAATCATTTAGAAAGACAGTCTGAGAGGCAGAACCCCGGAACGTGTATTCTTTCATTATAAAACAGTGCAGCACATCAGTGCTCCCTTCTGCTCTACCCATAGATTGTATATAGAATGGACAGCGTCTGCCTCCTCGCTGGGTGAAGCCACTCTGAGAACAGCACCCTCTGTTGATGGGCTGCAGTATAGGTCATAAATCCCGCCTCTGACTGATTGCGTTATCACAGCGACTCTCTGCGACTTTCCCGCCGAATGCGCACAACGCTACTGCGCATTGCTGGTTTCAGGAAATGAAGAAAAATCCCAGAAATACCAAGAGCTTTTTGGCTTCAAATCCAGGAGGCGGAACCAAGTTGTCCATAGTATATACAGTCTATGGCTCTGCCCCTCTGCTTCGAAGTGATGGGAAGAACAGTTCTTTTGACTGTACTGAATCTTTGAAATCCGTTCATTAAAATGATTTGTTCAAAAGATTCGTTCACTGAATTAGTCAGTGCTTTGGAGCCCCGTCCTGCTGGGTGCAGTACACAAGTGAATGACAAGGCGGTGCTGATCGGGAGTTTGTTCATTGAACGAGCCCCTCCCCTCCCCTGCTGCTGAAGTCACAGTGTCATACACTGGGTGACACATGTTCATCCGTCAAGTCATGAAGGAAGAATCACTCCCCTGCCCTGAAAAACTCACCTCTCTGTGTGCCACCGACGTTCGCATCGCGACGTTAGTGAAACAACAGCAGCAAGCAGCACACTCAAAATTTGACAGTTTTGTGTGGTTTTGTATGTTTGCATCTATCCTCGTGCCAACTTGCGCACACGGAAACCATACCTGTACCCTCATCATAAAATACAACATGAGAAAATATGCAATAGAACCTCTACACAAGCCTAATGAGTTTTGGAAACAAGTGCTGTTGACTGATGAAGTGAACACAAAAACTCTTTGTCCACAATAAACAAAGGTATGCTTGGAGAGAAAAAGGAGAGGCATTTCATGAAAGAACACCTTGGCAACTGTTATATTTGGGGCTGTATCAATCATGCTTTGGGGCTGGGTTGCAGCCAGTGGGAAAAGAAGCATTTCTCGGGTGAAGGGAAGAATGGATTCACTAAATAAGAGCAAATTCTGGAGGCAAATATCACAGCATCTGGAAAGAAGCTAAAGCTAAAAAGAGGATGGCTTCTACAACAGGAAGATGTAGAAAAGATACATCAAGATCCAACATGGATTACCTCAGGAAACACAAGCTGAAGGTTTTGGATTGGCCTTCATTGTCTCCAGACTTGATCATCATTTAGAATCTGATGGTAGATCTTATTGGAACCTTGAATGCTAGATGATCAAGAATATTGCATAACTGGAAACATTTGCAAGGAAGAATGGGGGAAAATCCCAAAGAGTAGTTGACTTGCATTTGGCTAAAAAAGCATTTCCAAGCTGTGATACCTGCCAAAGGGGGTCTTACTGAGTACTGAAAGTACTGACTGTGTTTAGTGCACAAACATATTATTTTGCTCAAAGGTACAAAAAAAGTGTTTTTTTTAATATTCCGATGTCAGTAAGTGTAGTTCCAGTAATGCTAATGATGAGTTAACTAGTTATATGAGCAGCTGCTTAATTTTTCTGGAGGTAACAGATTCCTAGCTTAGGTCACAGAAACTCACCTGGGGCTTCTTAAAAACACTTATTTCAGGAAACTGTTTTCACATCACAACTGCTTTATCTTTTTACATCATTGACTCTTTTTATCGGCCATATCCCCAAGTCACCGTTTGTGTGCACTTTCAACAGGGCCCAGATAAAGAACACAACCTCTTAGGTTCATGAGACTCATGTTCACCACACCATCTCCTCATGCGCTCTGCATAGCTAGCCTACAGTATATTTTTCTCTGTGTTAGAAATGATAGACATTCATGTTAATTGTTTGTAACAGGTTAGAATATTTTGAGGGATGAGACTTGTTAACAATTGTAAAGTCAGCCTGAGTATTCCTGAAATGTTAAAGTCCTGTTGACCTCTGTTGTTGCTAGGAAAAGCTAAGTCGAGTGATCCCAGGAGAGTTAATGTTCTGTTGATTGTAAAACAATAGGGTATGTCTTTGGCTTACCCTTCAGGCTTCTGGTTAACAAAAGCCTGGATAACCAGACATTCAGTTTTTGAAAGTTTAAGCTTGGAAACATGACGTATTTGAGATGCTGATCACGGTGAGATCTTTTCTGACATCAGAGAGAAGGATCATTGGGGCATTTGTCAGGTGCAAAATAACAAATCATACATGAGGAAATTTTGAAAAGAAAAACACAAACCATAAAGTCTTCTTGAACTTTAACCTTGTGGCTCTGTTGAAGAATTTAAAGACATCCAACTCGCATCAACTTTTATTTGAGCATTTTATTCATGCATGCAGAACATTTTGATGACAAAAGGGTACAGAGAATATGAGAAGCTGTTGGACTGCTGCAGCCACCATCGTGGAAACAACTGATCAAATCTATCAAAGATGCTCCATAGTTACATTTATACCCTCTGAACCCTTGACATTACAGTAATGACTGTTTGCATTATGCTAATGTCTTCAGAGTGGCTTTGGTACAAGGGCAGCTCTCAAAATGCACACAATACATTTCAATGATATATCAAAGCAGACATATGTATGTTTTTATGCACAGCAGTACAGTTTTGACGCAGAAGCTCTCCCAAAGCACAGCTCAAAAATTTGAATAGTCAATAGCAGAAATTCTCCATCTTCTTTTAGAGGATATGAAGTTAGTGGATATATCTGACTCTCATGAGTCTAATTCAGTGTTTTAAGACTCTAGAATCAACTTCACAGAGAACACAGAAAATTTAAGAGCCATAATAAAGTAGAAAAAATGTGGCAAAAAAGAAAGAGTGAACAAAATTTGTGAAAAGACAAAGTCACCATATAGACATTAGAAACTTAAATGATGCAAACACAAAGCTTGCAAAATGAACTAAATAAACCCCCCAAAAAAGCAATTCAATAAAATGAAAGAAACCAAAACAGAAAACAACCAAAAGTTTAGAAGAGTGACCACAAAGAGACCAAATAACCATCTCAATCTACTCCCTTACAAATGATGCTGGGGTGTCACATATCAACCCCCTTCACATCTCATGTCTGCAGACGTTCTCCAGAGTTTACTTTGGGTTGCAGTATCTGCCTGCAAAGAGGACGGTTTTGCTGGGTTTATGTTTGATGAAGAAGAGGAAGGGGTGGTCTGCCACGAAGGAAAAGGGCTTCCCAATATAAGCACACTCCAACGTCATTATGACACCAGTGGCAGCTGCCGCCTCTGTCCCCTCCTCGTTCACATCCACAAACGCCTTGTGAACCACTTCAGATACAGCCAGGCCCTTGACTGGAGACATGCCTGCACAGGGGGAGACAGAGAAAGCTGATTTTTTACAAATAATGAATTAGAAAATGTTATAGTGAACATAATTTTTTTCTCTTTGAACAACATCCTAAAGTATATTTTTATTTCTGACCTGAAAAATCACTCAAGGAGCTGAAAAGATCCGTCATTCCCAACTTCTTCAGGGTTTCCACCATGCTGTACGTCTCTTCCAACTTGAACCGAGGAAATTTCACCTCCACCTGACCATGATCCATCTTTTCTGTCCACTGCTCAAAGTTTTGATAGGTCAGCTCCTTCTGCAGCTGGTGTGGATAAAACAACAGCAATCAGTCAGTCTGTTTATTTTATAGTTACACGTACAGTGTGTGTGTGTGTGTGTGTGTGTGTGTGTGTGTGTGTGTGTGTGTGTGTGTGTGTGGTTCTCTACCTTCTCCAGGCCTGTGGTGTCGTCCTCAATGTCATCAGGCAGGAAGATGAGCATGCTGAGGTCTCTTCCTTTGTAAGGCATTTCAAGGATCTGTTCAAAAGATTGTTATTCTTTAACCATGATGAAATCTGATTTCTTCATCTTGATCATAGGCTGAATAAAAAGTATGGATGAAAAAAAACATTTCGTGCTTCCCCTACTGGCTGGCTGGTCATAGAGGTCACAACAGCCTCCCTCTCCACGGTAACAGAAGAGGCATGAGTCGAACTAGATAATCAGAATACAATACCCGTTTCCACAGGAAGCATTGGAACAGCATATAGCATTTAGTGGCAATGTGTTTAGCTGTCTTTTAACATAGATGCTAAATCTTCGAGGGGGTAAGCGTTGAACTGAACCCATACAAGGCTCATATCGAGAGAAATCCTTACAGCCGAGGATCTACACCTGCATTATTAAATGTATTTCCAAATGCTTCAGTTCAGTGAGATAGTGAGCAGGGCATAGGCATAGAGTTTCATAATAGACACAAGTCAAGCACCTGTCACTATTCCAGATTATTGCGCCCCTCCAAGAAACTTTAATAACCACCAACAAATGGGTTTCCCCTGCTGGGTCTGATTGCAGCTCCGCTAATGCTTACTGCACAAACTCATCACCTGGAACGTCACCACCAGTTAGATATCTCAGTGTCTGCCATGTTTGATTTCACTTTTGAATAGTGGGAGGATAGGAAGATGTGTCAGCCATCTTTATATAAGTTGCTGATCCTGAACAACAGGCTGAAGGTACATTACCTTGATGTTGAGCTCTGGTATGGAGTTGTAAAAGAACGACTCCTCCATGCACATCATCTTCACAGTTTTGGTGTCACTCTATGAGAGAACAGAGAACTGTTGAGTGTTTTTTTGTACCTCAAACTCATAAACTTTGATTGTCTATTAATAACAAACTATCAAAACATCTGTTTGGGTGTTTTCTGATTTAAAAAGTAGACTGAAGAACAGATTATAAAATCAAACTTCTGAGGTCAGCACTGGGTCGAACCAGCTCTGTTAAAGTTCCAATCTAGCTTAGTTTAAGTGTGACTTTATATATGAGTTTATACTCATGTTCAAGGTCACTGGCTGAAGTAGTTTCAACATAATCAATCCACATAAGTTTACATCTTACCTCTATAGCTCTGAGTAGGTGCATAGACCTTGGTGAAACACAGCTTCATGTGTTTTTAAGATGGTATAACTTGGAAGATGAGGAGAAGCAGAGCATTTTACTGGCTGTTCTGTGGTTGCAACATCTCTGTGATAATTTACATCACTCAGAAATGTGTAAAGACTTTAGTTTGTACTCCTGTTTTCATTTTTAACAAGCAGAGATCATTCCACCTGCACAACAACAGAGTACCAGTTTATATTTAACATTTATATTACCCAAGGCCACTTGTTATTTAACAATAGACATTATCATCTAATCATACTGTTTTGCCATATTTTACATACCATTACACTGCTGAACGTTGATTAATGGGAGTTAGCTGCAGTTATTTCAGCCACTGGCCTTTTTAAAGGTAAACAGCCCGTTAACAAAAGCTTCTCTCTCATTGGCCAAATGGAGTGACAAAATAATTTTCAGCATATTTTGGTTTGTTTAAACGAAACGTTTTACTGGTTAAAATGAACCTTATGTCTGCATGGTGCAGTCTAACACTGACACAACTTACATTAAAAATTCACAAGTTTAAATTTACATGTAAGAGTGGATTTTTCACCTTTAATTAAGACACACACTACGCAGAGCTGCAGCAGAACATAGAATTTCAAGACAGATGGATTTTTGAGACTAATGTTGGAATTCTGGTAACAGGGCCAGAACTGTTCATCATCATTCAGTTTTTGTGGGAAAATCTACAGAAAAATCAAAATTTTAAGTAATAAATTAGTGTCTCATTTTACAGGTAAAAATTCACTAATGAATTCTGTATCAACATAGTCACACAAGTTCCTCCACTGCCTCAACACTGTCTGGTGTCTACTTTGTCTTAGCTTCCTCTTCTTTTTCTATGTTCATGTAGCCTTGATGTAAGTAGGACTTCTGAATTTTTGCTCTATAATTCTGCAGAAAAAGTCTGAGTTACATAAGCTCAGATCATTAAGACTTCACAGAAAAGATTTATTAAGTTCACTTATTTAGCATCTTTTGTTCTTTAGTCTGTTTCCTTCAGTTTCTGTCTGTGAGCAGTCTTACCTTACTTATTCTGAATGGATGATCTATAGTGAGCTCCTTGTCAAAAATTTGCTCCCATGTTCCCTTAAAGTAGATGGCGTTAACCAGCACAAGCTTGGTCAATTCATTTATGGCGCCCTGAGACAGCAGGTCCTCGATTTTACCTGGTGATGAAGAGAAATATCCATCAGACTGAGTAACAGACACATGGACTCTACAGTACTTTTATTTACAAGGAAATTTGGTTCCTTATTTTCTGGAAATTATACCACAAAGAGGAGAAGAACAAAGATACAGAGCATTCACATGTTATTTATTTAGTAGTCTACTGTAAACAATTGAAGAAAAGATAAAGAAACACAGTTTATACAGTAAATATAGATCAAAAAATGAGTGGGTATGAAAGGAAAAAAATTTTTTTCTTTGAAATCATTTTCTGATGTGGCTGAAACTGAGTGAAAATGACGTGAACTTGCCCAACTATTTTGGATGGTTTTAACTTTGCCTGAATCTATCTTAAAAAGGCTTGGGTCGAGAGGAGTCACCAGCATTTATAGATGATATCTATATACAGTTTCTTCTTTGCATTGTGCTGTGGATGTGGCTGTGAACTGTGTTCACAGGCAGTGTTTTTTGGAGGTGATTAAGAGCCCATGCAGAGATTTCCATCACAAAGTCATGTGTGTTTTTAATGCATTGCAATCTGAGGGCTTAAATGTTATCCAGTATTGTTTTATGGTCCTTGTCCCTTTGGTGCACAGATTTATATTACAAGTACTCCAGCTGATTTTTAAACATGTTGCTGTCACCCAAACAGGAATAACATTTCTTAAGAATGATGTTATTTTCATATCTGACTTTTGATATGTTTTTGTTTATTTGACATAAGAATGGGTTTGGTATTTTTTTAAATCTATTACGTTTTTTTTTTTTTGTTTTTTTTATCCAACACAGTCCTCATTGATTTTCAACAGCATTGTCACTTCTACCTTGTGTCTTTTCCTTCACCCAGGTGTTGATGTTGATCCGGGCCTCCTCTGCTTTGGTTTTGAAGTCCACAGACTCCAACTCAGCGCTGTAGTGCGCTTTGATGTCTGCCAGGAAACTCTGGAATCAAAAAAAAAGGTATGTTTGTATGATGAAACCACAAAAAGTAATAACTCAAATCAGAATTACAGAGTTTTATTTTTTGGTTTAAAGTATTTCAATTCTGTATGGGAAATTGAAAATTAACATATATGTATCAACATATGGACATATACCAATATGTCCTTATGTTTTTATGTCCATTACCTTGTTTCATTATGAAAATAAATACAACCTAATCTGTTTTTTCAACATTTGGTTCAGTTGTCGCAAAAGACAGTAAAAGGGCTCTATTTTCGTTCCTTGCCAGTGGCATGGCGTAGGCGTGGCGTAAGTCAGGTCCACCGCGCCGACAAGGTGTGCCCAAGCACATTTTGGTATTTTGGTGAGCGGCGCAGCCCGGTGTAAGTATCCCCCCTCCCTAGCTCAGCTCCTCCCAGTGGCGCAAGTCGTAGAGAGTGCGTGGAGTGGGTTTAACACAGCCGAGACCTGTATAGACCAATAACATAAGCTCCTCTCCTCGCCTTTAAATCCGCCACCGGCAACCTCAACAACCTGTGAGTGAAATTATAGCATTCATCTAGTTGCATGGCTTCAGCAGAAAAGTATCAGTCTCAACTCCAAGGCCATACTTCTCCATTCCCATGTTCATTAAAAAGAAACAGATATGACTCTGCAAGCATTCACACCAAGTGAGTTTTCAGTAAATCATGATTCACATACTTATATAATGATAAAATACACATGTGGTAGCATACACATACAATTTTTCTTTCAATATATTCAAACCCCACAAGACAAAGGTGGGTTGTGCGCACAGATCACAACATAAATTTCAATAATGGCATTAAAATCAGAACCACCTGTGCGCAAAGGACACATCGCGCTCCATGGCCTGGCTCTTTCTTTCATAGATGTTGGCATATAAAGTAAATTTGGGCCTAACTCTGGATTGAATCGTCACAGAATCTTAATGATGCGAAAAAATCAGATAAACATGTAATTTTGAGTGAAAGTTTCTTTTAATTTTATTATTATCATTTTTTTTTTGTTCAAATTTTCGAGGTTAATAACTCATCTGATCACTAAAATAAACCATCTGGTCAGCCGTGCCACCGCAGGAGCAGCAGGACGGAGAAAGGACACGGAGACATGTCAGGTGTTCTGCAGTAGAATGCACCCCTGCCGTAGAATGCACCCCCTGACAGGAGCGCAATTGAAAGTACAGAACAAGGCAAAGTTTTCCTTACTGTTGGATAGATTCTAAAGCCTGTGCCTTTAATGATTTCATTCAGGCTATTCAGATTAACCGAAAACATAGCCCTCTGATTCGGAATATTTGCTGCCCCAAAAAATATAATGTTCTCTACCTTGACAGCTTACTGTAGAGTTTATATACCCAAGTACACCTCTGTATGTGCATTTTTTAAATACCTAAAAACAGAACGAAAGTTTGCTGCTCCATTTGACATGTTGTCATGATCCAATACTCCTGTATTTTGTTTTGTTTTTTATGAGATCATTTTCTTCCACTTGAAGAAGCTAATAAGTGGATGGGATGCAGGGGATGCATTCTACGGCACAACACCTATCAGGCTGCACGAAGAAGAAGGAGAAAAGGGGGGGGAGATGAATTAAATATCTTGTTAACTACATCATGTGTGACTGTTTACTGGATATTTAATTTAATGCGGTTTCAGCTGTGTTAATTCGGTCAGGTTGAGTGTCCAAACGCCTGCCGAACGCGCTCATCAGATAAGATATGGATCAGAATATATTGATATAGATCTAAATGTATGTGCTGATTCAGATAATTGCACTGAATAGTGGTTGTTGATGATTATTTATTGCACTGAAATGTGCCTGACACTGTGGAAACCTGCCTGTGAGGCATCTGTGACGTATGCGCACTACGCCGCCAGTCTACCAAAATACCGCTAGACCAGCTACGCTCCACCTGCGCTGAAAGCTGACCAGGTTTGAATCGGCGAGCTTTCAGTGCACTTTTTTTCCCCGCCAGCCAGCACGAAAATGTCACTGCACCAGCTGATTCTATCGACACCTCCCCCTACCACGCATCCACGCCCAGCTTGGCGGACCTCGGCGCGCCTCAGTCTATGAAAATACCAAACTGGCTGTGCATCGGGCTCTGCCAGACCAAAATACCATGATTGCGCGGGGTCTGCCGGCCTCCGCTGTACCGCCGGCAGGCATGAAAATAGAGCCCTAAGTTTGTTCTAGGCTAAACTGAATAATCTCACAGCCACATCTGTTATTATAATCCAGTTAACCTGAACACTCACCTCATGAAACTTGAAGGACTGATCCCCGTACAGTCTGTTTGCAGTAACAAGGGAGTAAAGGGCGCTCGGGTCGTTGAGTAAGGTGAGCAGATTGCCAAATTCAGCATGGACATCCTTAACACCACCGGTCTGTGGAAGAGCCACAGAAGACGTACATGTTGAAGACACAGTGAGGTAAGGCAGAGCATTAAACAGCTTTGACAGTTTTATATTATGTTTATATAACATGACTTTAATATTAATATTGTGGCCTTCCAGTTTGCCAGCTGAAATAATGAGAACACAGACATATATAGTCTATGATTGCAACAGTTTTTAAACCTTAAAAGTGATCCTATTGTTTCCCCTTTCAATTAGGAGAATGATAATGTTCCAGCTGAGAGCTGATGCCTTTGGAGTGGGTGGTTAGGTGAATCAGGGTTATGCTACAGTCAAAGTCAAGTAAATGTACTACTGATACTGCTTCCATACCAAGCAGCACCACAAGGCTTTGCCTGCTGTTTGTTTTGCTTCTAACATAGGGATAAGTTGTTATCCTCAGAGACTTCACTTTCAGGTCATTTGAGGACTCATCAGTTATGAGTTGGTATTATGTGTGTTTTGGTGTCCATCAGAGATTTTATGTCTGCCTATGAGTCAATCGTTTGAACGACTCTTTTAAGTGAACAATGAGAACCAGTTCACAGTGGCAAAGTGTTCGTTTGTGAGCCGTTTACTATTGCAAATTGCCCATCCTGTCATCAGGAGTCAGCTGTGTGCCCCAAAAACCAGGTAGGGCAGTTTAGCATTACATTTTTATTACGTCTTCATTTTTATCCGTTATATGTAGCCTGTCTAAGATAAGATCCCCTTATTAGTCCTACAGGTGGATTAGTTTATTGTGCCATAAAGTTTTTTAAGGTGAGGAAAAAATCCAAAACACTGATCTTCCTGTCAGAGCATGGGGATTTGGCACCACTTTGTGGAATGTTCACAATGAAAATACAAGCCAAATGAAATTATAGTCAATATTTCTGAATTTTCTCCACCAATGTGTACCCCTGGTTGACTTCTAAAAAATAAATAAGCATAACAATGAGCCAGGAACAACTCCTCAAGATCCGGTCAAAGAGATCAAAGAGCCATAAATCCCATCTCTAGTGTCCATGTTTGAAAGGTAAATGTTGCGCTGTGGAAACCTGACATGATATGGCTGATGTTGAGTTCTGCAGAATATCTACCCACATTTTACATTAATAGGTGTTTATTTTAGACCCTGTCAAGTTATTTTTCATCAAGACTAACTGCTGGTTGAATGAAGTTTGTATTGAAGATTTCCATGGACATAACATTTTTTACCATTGGTCTTTTTATGTTTGGCATTAGTGATAAATGCAGAAAATCACAGCAGCACCTGGGTGCGAGCCTGCATGTACTTGATCAAGGAAAATAAATTACATATATGATTTTACAGACATGATTACAAAATTATGTAAAGTCAATCTGTAAAGTCAAGAACAAACCAAAAATAAGCAAGCAGGATTTTAATGAAGGTGGTCACACACTTTAGCCATCTTATACATCACAAATTTAAGAAAAGACAGTTTTCTATCTGCTGCATATATCTGCTTTATTTGAGGCTAAACATTCACTCTGATCCTCTTAACAGGTGACAGATAATTCCTATAACTCATCATTGTTTTCATCCTGTCTTTGTCACCATATCTGGCTGTCTGCTCACCTGCTGGGACTGCATCTGCATCTGCTCCCCTGGCTTCTTTGGTTGATCTCTCTCATTGAAGCCTAGGACCTGAGGGTGCAGATAATTGTATCATCATGAGGTTCATTCAGGTCAACTTCAACAACATGCTTGTTATGAGATGTTTGGTGGAGCAGACTTTCTGATGAAGTGTCTTCAAGTTAAAGGATGCCATATCAGAAATGTTGCTTTGACCTAGAAATAGACTGAGGGGTGGAGCTGAGGCGGGCCTCCTGGTGCCCAGCTACATCATGCCCACCTGTGAGTCCGCTCAGCCACACCTTTTATCATACATATCTGTTCATAAGTCTTTGTATTAATTTCCTCAAATTGATGACTTAAAGGTGGGGTAGGCGGGAATCCATTAAAGAAGTATCTTTTTTGTGGTGTATATACAAAAAATCTTTTAATATCAGTCAATAGCTAAAAGTTGATGACATTTGGTAATATATTTGTTTATTTGTTTTATGTGTCATTTTACAGCACTTTGGCCACCCTTGTGGTTCTTTTAAATGTGCTATAGAAATAAAGTTGATTGATTGATTGATTGATTGATAAATATCGCTTTGTTTTGTTATGTCATCATCAAATCATCAAATCATCATCAAATTTTATTTATATAGCGCCAATTCACAACAGTCGTCATCTCAAGACGCTTTTCAAAGAACAAGAGCAGGTCTAGACCACGCTCATTGTTTGATGATCAAGAACCAACCTAAGATGGGATTTGGCCCATCTCATCTAACATGAGTAGCAGTGGCAAGAAAAACTTCCTTTTAACAGGCAGAAACCTCAGGCAGGACCAGCCTCATGTTAGACAGCCACCATGCAGCTGCTGGGTTGGGGAGGAATGTAGAGAGATGGAGGGGGAGAGAGGAGAGAGAGAGAGAGAACAAGATAAGGGGAAGGAGAGAGAGAATGAGTAAGGAGAGTGAGGGTGAGAGAGTAAGGAACAAGGGTGAGAGAGAGACAGGGGACAGCAGCAACAACAGCAACAACAACAACAGCTCATGTAATGGTGAAACAAAATAAATTCAGTTTACAGGGTTAGGATATGAGTAATTATGGACTATGTTAAATTGATTAAATGTGATTACAGTCAGCAGGCCTAATCGTAGTCAACTCTAGTTTTATGTTATTAATGTCAGTGAGGCTGATGTTCATGTCTGCAGTAACAGTCCAGAGGAATCCAAGAGAAGAAGGAGCTCAGGGCCTGAGGCGGACAATCATAGACGATGCGGCTAGAGTCAGGCATGTCTGCAGCAGCCATCAGCCCAGAGCAACCTAGGGGGCTGGGGGTGTCTGCAGCAACGGTCCAGAGGAGCCTAAGAGATGGAGGAGCTCAGGGCCTAAGGTGGGCAATCAAGGATTATGCAGCTGGGGTCAGGCAGTTCCGCAGCAGATCGTCTGCAGTATTAGTCCAGTGGAAGCTAAGAGACTCAGAGACCCTCAGAGAGAGAGAAATCTGGTTAGTGACTTATATGGGGCATAAAGATCTAAAGGAGCGATAGAGACAGACTCTAGCTCAGTGTGCCAGATAACCCTGACAGTCTAAACCTATCGCAGCATAACTAAGAGCTGGTTCAAATCAGCCCCAAATATAAGCTTTATCAAAGAGGAACGTTTTAAGTCTACTCTTGAAAGTTGAGAGGGTGTCTGCCCCCCGAACCTCGAGTGGTAAATGATTCCAGAGGAGAGGTGCCTGGTAGCTGAAAGCTCTTCCTCCAATACTACTTTTAGAGACATTTGGTACAACGAGCAGGCCTGCAGACTGTGAACGTAATGGTCTAGACCAGTGGTCCCCAAACTACGGCCCGCCCCCACATTTGGACCGGCCCCCTGACCAATAGCAGAGAGGCATTATGATTTTTTTTTTTTAGTCTGGTCTGATGGAAGAACGCGGTCTCACCGCCCCGCTGCAAGTCCACTGCCTAATTCACCAGCAAGCACTGTGCTGCAAAGTGTTGAAGTGGGATTCTGTCATGAAGGTTGTGGTGTCATGCATAAACATCAGAGCAAAGGGACTTGCCCACAGGCAGTTCCAACAATTCCTCTTTGAACTGGAGTCGGCGCACAGCGATGTGATGTACTACACGGAGGTCCGATGGTTAAGCCGGGGCAGAGTTATGAGGCGTTTTTACGAGCTGCTACCCGAAATTTACGCATTTCTTCACTCTAAAGACAAAACAGTCCCGGAGCTGATCGACTTAGAATGGAAATGGCACCTCGCATTTTTAACAGACGTGACAGAAATGCTGAACAGCCTTAACATGCAGCTACAAGGCAAGGGGAAACTCATTTGCGACATGTATTCTCACATAAAAGCATTCGAGGTGAAACTTGGGCTGCTTTTGCAACAAGTGAAAAAGCACAACTTCATCCATCTCCCTGTCACCCAAAACGTCTCTGCAGAGAACCCAGCAGTCCCGTTCCCAGCGGAAAAGTGTGTGGAAGCACTGGAAATGCTGAAGGCAGAGTTCGGTGCGCGATTCCGGCAACTACATGTTAACGCAAAAGACATCCGTCTTTTCCAGAACCCCTTTCTTGCCGACATCGATGAGGCCCAGACTCTTTTTCAGTTTGAGTTGGCCGAGTTACAGAACTGTGATGTTCTGAAAGACGCATTCAAGCCCAGCAGTCTCATTGACTTCTATGCCGCCCTCCCAAACGACACGTACCCTAACATAAAAAAACACGCAATGAAGATGTTTACAATTTTTGGCAGCACGTATATCTGCGAGCAAACCTTTTCACACATGAAACACCTGAAAAATCCGATGAGATCAAGAATGACAGATGAACATCTGCATCAGTGTTTGCGACTGGCCGTGACTAGAATGGAACCTGACATTCAACTTCTCACCAGCCAGATGCAGGCTCACAGTTCACACTGATGAACATACACAGGTAAGCTCACTTTTCTGACTTGAATGAGTCATTCTGAGTATAAATAAATTTAATCATAATAAAATCTACTGGGATAAAATCAACATCTCCACAACCATACTGGTAGTCAAATGTATTGTGCTATGTACGTGCTGTATCACTTAGTTCAGTTTCTTAGCCTGCTTTCTTTGTTGTTTTCACTGGGAAGTTGATGAGAGAGAGCTGCAAACAGTGGTGTCTACAAGCCTACTGGAACCTACAAAAGGACTATAAGGGAGGAACACAAAAATTTTGAGAGACTGCTCATATGAGTCATTTGAGTAAAAGATTCTGCTCTGACATCTAAGTTACCTTTATACCTGTTAAGATTGTGCATAGCACAACCGAAAGTTATTGTTCAATTTACTTTATTTCTGTGAAGAACCCAGAGAGGGATATTTTGTTATTTATTTCAGAGATAGTTTTATTTATTTCCTATCTTTTTTTCTGTGAAGAACCCAGAGAGGGATATTTTGTTATTATTTATTTTACAGATAGTTTTATTTATTTCCTACCTTTTTTCTGTAAAGATCCCGGAGAGGGTTATTTTGTTATTATTTATTTCACAGATAGTTTTAATTATTTCCTGACTTTTTTTCTGTAAAGATCCCAGAGAGGGTTATTTTGTTATTACTTATGTTATGATAATGTTGTTTATTTCATTAATAGTGTTATTTATTTCCTGGTTTCTGGAAAACAATAAATATTTACATTGAGGCACCCCTGTGACCGTCACACTTTTCCTGTTACAAACTGACCCTGACCCCCCAGCAGAGAAGGGAAAAGTTATGTGGCCCTCACAGGAAAAAGTTTGGGGACCCCTGGTCTAGACGGAAAGTAAGGTATAACAAGCTCGTCGAGATATGATGGAGCCTGGCTGTTAAGCGCTTTATATGTCATAAGGAGGATTTTAAACTCAATTCTAGATTTAATAGGGAGCCAATGAAGAGAGGCTAAGACAGGAGAGATGTGCTCCCTTTTTCTGGTTCTAGTCAATACCTGAGCTGCTGCATTTTGGACCAGCTGAAGAGTCCTTAAAGACTTACTGGAGCAGCCTGATAAGACAGAATTACAGTAATCCAGCCTAGAGGTAACAAAGGCATGGACTAGTTTTTCTGCATCACTCTGAGACTGGATAGGCCTAATTTTTGAGATATTGCGCAGGTGGAAAAAAGCTATCCTAGAGGTTTGTTGAATGTGGGAGCCATGTCGGACATGGTGGTCTGCAGCACGGGGGCTCCACAGGGGACAGTGCTCTCTTTTGGAGTGTGCAGGACTCTGCTCAGGACTTTCTGTGACTCTGTGGTAGCATCTGCACTTTTCTATGCAGTGGTCTGCTGGGTGGCGGGGAGCACCAAGAGGGACAGGAAGAGACTGAATAGACTGGTCAGGAGGGCCAGTTCTGTCCTGGACTGTTCTTTGGACTCCCTGGAGGAGGTGGGTGAGAGGGGGATGTTAGCAAAGCTTTTATCCATCATGGACAATCCCTCTCACCCACTACACCAGACTGTGGGGGCTTTAAGCAGCTCCTTCAGCAGCAGACTTAGACTTCCACTTTGCAAGACGGAGTGCTACCGCAGGTCATTCCTCCCTTCTGCAATAAGACTTTACAACGAACTGTAATAAAACTGAACTCACACCACCACTTTTTTCTGGCATTTAAATTGTGTATATTGTATATAGTTTATTTTTCTTCTCCCTTTTTCCTTTTTCAAATTTTTTTCTTAATATTACATTTATTTAAGTTCTTAATATTATGATCTTTATTTTTATAACTGCATTTTTGCACTCTTTGTCTGTGATGCTGCTGTGACAAAAAAAAATCCCCATTAGGGATCAATAAAGGAATATTCTATTCTATTCTATTCTATTCTAAAGGACAAATCCTGATTTCACACAGTGGGGCTGGATGCCAGACTGATGCCATCTAGTGTAGCTATATTATTAGAGAATGCCTCTCTAAGGTGTTTAGGACCTAGGACAAGAACTTCAGTTTTGTCTGAGTTGAGCATCAGAAAGTTGTTGGTCATCCTGGATTTTATATCTTTGAGACAAGCTTCTAATTTGGTAACCTGGTTTGCTTCTTCTGGCTTCATGGATAAGTATAGCTGGGTATCATCTGCATAGCAGTGGAAATTAATCGAGTACTTCCTCATAATTTACCCAGAGGAAGCATGTACAAGGTAAATAGGATCGGTCCAATCACTGACCCTTGCAGGACTCCGTAGCAGACCTTGGTGTGCACAGAGGATTCATTATTAACATGGACAAACTGGGATCAATCCGTTAGATAAGATTTAAACCAGAAAAGAGCAGATCCTGCTATGCTGATAGATTGTTCCAGTCTCTGAAGCAGGATGCGGTGGTCGACCGTATCAAATGCAGCACTAAGATCCAACAGGACAAGAACAGAGGGAAGACCACTGTCCGAAGCCATGAGTAGGTCATTTGTCACCTTCAGCAAAGCAGTCTCTGTGCTGTGATGGGTTCTAAATCCAGACTGGAAATCCTCCAATAAACCGTTGTTATGAAGAAAATCACAAAGTTGATTCGCAACAACTTTCTCTAGGACTTTAGAAATAAAAGGAAGGTTGGATATTGGTCTATAATTAGCGAGGGTGCTTGAGTCAAGAGTAGGTTTTTTAAGGAGAGGCTTAATCAATGCAGTCTTGAAAGACTGGGGAACATATCCTGTTAATAAAGATGTGTTGATCAAGTTAAGCAAGGACGTACTAATCAAAGGAAGAGTTTCCTTCAGCAGTTTAGATGGAATTGGGTCCAAAAGACACGTAGATGGTTTGGCTGCCAACACCACTGACTTTAACTCAGGAAGGTCAGTAGGTGCAAAGTTACTAAGGTGCACCAGAGGCCTTAGGGGCTCCTCAACAATTTCAGGGTTATCTAAGAGAGAGACACCTGACGAAGGCAAGAGGTTACTAATTTTACCTCTTATTTCTAAGATTTTTTCATTGAAGAAGCTCAAGAAGTCGTCGTTGCTGAGGGCTAATGGGATACATGGTTCAGTGGTGCTCTGACAGTCCGTTAGCCTGGCTACAGTGCTGAAGAGATATCTGGGGTTATTCTTATTGTCCTCAATAAGAGACGAGTAGTAAGTTGTTCCAGCACATCGTAAGGTCTTATCGAGACATTCCTGCCAGAGAAAACGAGCTTCAGCTGTTTTGGAAGAGCATCAAGTCCTTTCTCGTCTTCTTGATAACTGTTGAAGCTCACGGGTTACAGCATTATACCATGAAGCCAGCCTCTCGCGTGTAAGAGTTTTCTGCCGAAGAGGAGCAACTGTGTCAAGAATTGATCGCAATGTGCCTGAGGTATTATCGACGAACTGTTGCAAGGGACTGATGTTCAAGTATGAGCTATCAGTGAAGTTCTTCTCAAGCACAGAATTTAGAGCAGACGGAATTGCCTCCTTGAACTTAGTCACAGCATTTTCAGACAACCTTCTAGTTAGCACGGTTTTGTTATGAGGAGAATAGCCTGAAAGCACAAATTCAAAAGTTACTAGAAAGTGATCCGATAAAAGAAGATTTAATGAGCTGACTGACAAGGCTTCAGCTTCAAGGCCATAAGCCAGGACAAGATCGAGGGTGTGGTTAAAGCAGTGCGTAGGTCTATGTACACACTGTGTAAACCCAATTGAGTCAAGCAAGGACAAGAAAGAAATGCTTAGGCTATGATTTTCCACATCCACATGAATATTAAAGTCACCAACGACAATGACTTTGTCTGCACGACGGACTGGATCAGATAGAAACTCTGAGAATTCTGACACAAATTCAGAGTATGGGCTGGGAGGGCGATAACCTATAGCAAATACCAGTGGTCTCATGGTCTTTGAGGCTGGATGCGGAAGACTGAGAACAAGACTTTCAAGAGAGTTATCATCCAGTTTTGGTCTGGGGTTAATTCCAAGACTGGAATTGTAAATAGCTGCAACTCCACCACCTCGGCCAGAGTCCCAAGGAATGTGAAAGCTCAGGTGGCTCGGAGGAGTGGATTCATTTAAACTGACATATTCATCCTGACGCAGCCAAGTTTCGGTTAGGGAGAGTAAATCAATGCGATGATCAGAGATTAGTTGATTTATTAACACAGATTTGGAATTTAGAGACCTTATGTTCCCTTTCACAGTGACCCAACCACTACTACATCCCAGCTGCTCGGGATCTGCCGGGGGGGAAGCTAAGCTAGGCCGACCCGCACCGGCTACCAGGTCCTGGCTGGCTACCGCTACTCTAGCATCGGTGCGGAGCCACTTTTCCAACTCTGTAATCCTCGCCTCCAGAGCTAAGAATAAACTACACTTAAATCAGGTATCGTTATCGTCAAAGAAGGACGAGGAGTAACTAAACATCTGACACACTGAGCAGAAGCGAGCAGGAGAAACAGGAGACCGGGGGGAGGCCATCGTTAGCAAGTGAAGCTAAGAGAAACTAAGCTAAGAGAAGCTATGAGCTAGTAAAGTAAACCACCAGAGAGATCACCCGGAATGGAGATAAAGACAGAAAGTACAGAAAATTGTTTGAATCCACCTTTGGAAACCTTTGGGCGGGGCTTTTTGGAGCAGAAAGGGAGGGGAGAGGAGGAGCTGAGGGGAAAACTGGTTGGCAGGAGAGGTAGTGTTAACATTCAAGATTTCTCCCAATAACTGCCACTTCCTCAGATTCTGCCTACCCCACCTTTAAGCATCATGAATAAATGGAATAAAAAGGCATGAGTAGAAACATCCCTGTATGAAAATGCTGTAAGAATTATTTCAGTTTTTCTGTGCACATGACAGAACCTGAAAACCTGAACCCACAACATTTTTATGGGCATTTATCCAGCTGTGAAAGGGATGGCCTCATTCCAGCACCTCAGTGAACCTGATCCATTATTTTAACGGCCCCTGAACACTTGACTGGGTTCCAAACAGGTTTCTTTAGGACTGTGAGAATTTCTCACTGTATTGAAAGTGTGTTTCAGCGTGTGTTTTTACCTCTAACATCTGTGCAGCAGTGTTGCCTCTGGCCCCCAGCATCACCATAGCTAGAGCTGAGGAGATGCTGAAAGGAGAGTAGAAGATATTCGCTTTTTGGTCATCCTCACTCAGCTGTTTGAACAGCGCCAGATTGAAGATGGAGTTGGCCTTGGCAAGAGATGTTGATGGTGAAGCCATTGTGTCTACAAAAAAACAGAATTATTAACTGTAGCATTTGGTTTTACCCGTTAAATTACATCATCCTGTTTGGAAAAGATAAGAGCTTTTTAAACATTACATTTAATCTTCTTTTCAGCCAAATCTTGGAGGTGATAGTGATTTATCGTATGCATGAGGGTGCTGAAAAATCAAACCCAAGCCTTGAGCTGACATGCATACATTTTATTTACTTAAACCACACCTGATGTGGTACCAGCGGAAATTTGCAATGTTTTTGCATTGAATTTGCTGCTTTCCAACATGACGGACATCAGTGTTGGTTTCAGACCCACTTAATTTTACATCACTGTTAAAAGTGACTGTCATTACCTCTTTGGTGTAACTATTCCAATCTTATATTCACTGCTGAAAGTGCTGTGTTGTATCTTAAATTGTGGTTTTACACAGCACCCCTTGAACCACAAAGGTTTAAAAAAGAGGGCCCACTGACAACTCATCAGAAGTAGGATGAGCTAAAAAAAAAAAAAAAAAACACCTGGTACTTCCAGCACATCAAGCCTACATCCTGCTCTACTTCTGGGATTTTTGTGCCCAGCTCTTTGTGAATGACCCAGCACTTGGTACATTGGTCATTATTGTGGTCATTAAGAAAATTTAATTGATTTCTGCTTCATTGTTGATGTTTATTTATTATTAAACTTATTCACTTTGTATTTTGCCTTTAACACTGCTTGGCAGTACCTGCGTCCAAATGGACTTGAAGCACTTTGTGAATCTTACTGATCTTGTTTCTTCTTGTCTAGATCTTTACTTGAATTGTGCTTGCTCTTGCATGTATGCTGTAAATGACATTGTAACATGAGCATCTTCAGACAAGAGCGGGCTGCCCTGGGTTTTACTGAGGAAATTTTAAGGAAATCCATCCTTACCCAAAGGATTTCAAAAGGAGCCCCTCTGAGAGGACAGCTGATGTGGTTAAGGTCCTAAACAGTATCATGCCTTTGTAATAAATTTATTTAATTTATCTTTTTAAATCTAAAATGCATCAAAAGAGAGCCTTGATATATGATACGCATTTTTTTTTAATGAACTGATGCGACACTTAAAAAAAGAATATCTTCCTTAAACTGCCGAATCACTATTCAGCACTTCATCCTAAATGATTTTGCAAACTCTGAACCCTCTTGTGCAAACTTTTAGAAGTCTTTTCTGTATTTATTTGACTTTACAAATTCTACTTTTCCCTTACCATCCTGTTAACATACAACAGTAAATCTAAACATTTTAAGAAACACTGCATAAAAAACACAGATAGCTTTCACCATTTGCTGCCCAGATGAAAAACTGCATTACTCCAGAGTAGTTACATGTCTTACAACCTTTTTAAAACTCAGGTCATTCGTTTTGTTCGATACTTACTGTAAGACTGTCCCTGAAGACAAAAGAAGATCCGGGTAGTGATTCTGTGAAAGACAGGCTTGATCTGTTTGAGTCGGTTCAGTTTTATCTCACTGTGACACACCCAAGATCATCCAGGTCTTGCCACAACCTGAGTTTTTGATGGATGCCATCCATGAAAAATAATAACACCCAACCATGAAATATTGAATTTCCCTTCGGGGATTAATAAAGTTATTCTTATTCTTAGTCTTATGAAATGGTTCATATATTGTGCAAACAATGTGACCGACAGGTTTTGGTCGTGGCACAGTTTATAAAACACCATTTAATCACAATAGTGACAATTGTCAGGGGCAGATGTAAATTAAAAGCCATCCCCGAAGACCTAATGAACTCTGGACTCAACAGACATGACATGAAAAGATGTGCAATTTTTTGTTTGTTTGTTTGTTTGTTTGTTTGTTTGTTTGTTTGTTTGTTTTTTAGGTGCAGGATGACTGATCAAGCAGAGGAAAATTTGTAAAAACTCAAGAGAGGTAATTTTGGTTATAGATTCAAATGTGTGTATTAAATTGGATTATTAATGGAAAAACCCTTTCAGAAATTACTGTAAAAAAATCTCCCTTGAATCCTTGAAATTTACATTGATTGCAGTAAGAGATGCAGCAGGTAGAGACTTTGATGGCACTTCTATGGTCTGACTAAAAATCACAGTGTCACACAGTCATAGTTCATATGTTTTGAATTGATTTCACAACATTGCCTCAGTGAGCCGTTCCTGAGACATGGTTGACCTTAGGTACAACTTTATCAACTTCAGTTTTGAGAGGCTCCTCTCTGCTTGAGCCACCATGACTGGCAGAGTGAGAGCAATCCTGAGAGCAGAGCTGTCCCCCGCGACTCTCTCCCCGCTTCGTCTCATACAGTCGGTCAGCCTCTGTGCGGCACCTTCGCAGCAAGCAGGGGCGCCCACAGCAGCAGGGGGCACCAATTTGACAAGAGTTCGTACAAAACCGCTTTGCACCACAGATTTATTATTATTATTGTCTTTTTTTTTATTTTTTGGAAGTGCTCGTGCTGCCCCCCATGTGTCATGACACAAATGCCACCCCGGGCGGCTGCCCAGTTCGCCCGTGCCTAGAACTGCTACTGATGTTGCACTTAGTTATTATCCGAAGAGAAGACAGTACAACATTTTATTGGCAACAACTACCTGCATATAACTTTTAGAACAGCAGTTAGAGCTACTTAAAACAAGATATTGCTCATCTTTTATTGCAGTGACAGGTGGGAGGCTAACAAGGTTAGAACACATTGTTGGGGTGGCCTTTCTGCACCTTTTTTACAGAAGAGTGGCATCTAAAGCTCAGGAGCATCACTTGCATGCTGCATTTGTACTCCTGTTCTCTGGTAGATGGTTCAGATTACAAAAATCTAAATCCAACAGAATAAAAAACTTTTTTTTTTTAGTCAGGCAATTGTACAACTTAATCTTTAAAATGATCCAGTATGAGGCATTTGATTTTCTTGGCTGATGTCTGATGGTATTTTCTGATGGATCTTGCTCCCAGTTGGCCTCTGATGTATTGTTGGTGATGTTGTTTCTATGTTGTCTTTGTGATCAGTTCATGTATTGGTGCTGTTAATGTTTTGTGTTTTTTTACCTGGCTGCAAAGCAAATTTCCCTAAGGGGACAATATGTAAGGAAGGACCTCTGTCTCTGCAAACACCTGCAGAGTATGTGTCAGACTGCAGGTTACAAAAAACATAAGAAGCACAGGGTAATGAGAGATTGTTTTCACCATTAATCGTGGTTGGTAAATAAAGAGATAAAAAATACGAAAATGATGTAAAGCTAGTCAGCAATTTCATTGTTAAGTTGAAATTACACGTGGACCACCAATTTATTACTATGTGTGGGAATCACCAACAGGTGTGACTGTTTTTTGTTCAGTGCAGATTAAGACAAACGTAATACACAGGTGTGTCCTTGTGAGTGGCAGCAGAAACACTCAGTGAACGAGGCCTTTATGATTTAATAAGTGTGATTTAATAAATGTGAGTATGTGACCTTTTAAAGTGGTTTTTTAAAGTCATTAAATAAGCTTAAGGCCAAGTTGAGTTCTCTTTTATGTTTTTAGATTTTTCATTAACTTTGTGAGAAAGAGTCGTGGTTTTGGCAGTCACAGAGACTGAAACCAGTCGACTCAGTTTCATGTGAAAGGTGTGTTAACGTCATTGAGCATGTAGCCAAAATGAACATTAGCTGATCAGCTGTGGTTTATAATTTGGATCAGGATGGCCATTGCCACACTTGAGAATTCTGCACTCAAGTTTGATATCTAAAATATTCCAAGGACAACCAAACCTCTTATTACATGACTCTGAAACTCACGAGTAGGGTTGGGTTCTGATGCTTCCTTTCAATTTCGGTTCCTAACAATTCTCTCTTTCAATTCTTTTAAAGGGCAGGTTAAAAAAAATGCATGGTTGATATGAGGGCACTAACTAGAGTTCTTTTAGGGTGAAATGTCTGAATTTCTCCATAAACTTTTAAATGATATGAACTTTACGATAAGTTTCACACAGGGCTATTTTCAACCAATACATAAATATCAATCTTTGTTGTCAGGTCATTTGTCTATGAAAAAGAGCACAGGCTAACATTGGTTGGATATTTAAGTTGACCTGTCATATACAGTACAATTCATTTAATGGTAGCAGAAGACAACGTAATTCATTGTTTTACTTATCTGATTCTGACTGGTTAGAGGAAGACCGGCGCAGCGCGTCAAAGACGGGGCTCTCAGTTGTTTCTGCTCCATGAATCCAGGGGTGTTTAAAAGGGTGACCATACCCCCTCTTTTACCCAGACATATCCTCTTTTGGGGGGCTGTCCGGCCTGTCCGGTGGGAGTTTATAAAATCCTTCAAATGTCCGGGGTTTTCTATGGAAGCCCCTTTTTTTCACTGGCGGCTTCCATAGCTTTGAGTTTGTGTAGTGTGTACTTAATCTTCTTCGCATCACAGACCATTGTATCTACCATACACGTTCAATGAATCATTTAGAAAGACACTCCTAGAGGCAGAACCCCGGAACGTGTATTCTTTCATTATAGAACAGTGCAGCACATCAGTGCTCTCTTCTGCTCTACCCATAGACTGTATATAGAATGGACAGAGTCTGCCTCCTCGCTGGGTGAAGCCACTCTGAGAACAGCACCCTCTGTTGATGGGCTGCAGTATAAGTCATAAATCCCGCCTCTGCCAGCAAAGCTTATGGGGCTGTGGACAAACTTTGGAAATTTATTACACAGAAGTTATTAAAAGTTATTAGGGGATTTGTGTTTTCTTTGATTGACACCTGATACAGCCTATTGGCGTTCAGAGATTGCGTAGCTCACCCGGGGGATACGCTATTTGAGCCAAGCGTCATCACAGCGACTCTCTGCGACTTTCCCGCCGAATGCGCACAAAGCTACTGCGCAGTGCTGGTTTCAGGAAATGAAGAAAAATCCCAGAAATACCAGAAATACCAAGAGCTTTTTGGCTTCAAATCCAGGAGGCGGAACCAAGTTGTCCATAGTATATACAGTCTATGGCTCTACCCCTCTGCTTCGTAGTGATGGGAAGAACAGTTCTTTTGACTGTACTGAATCTTTGAAATCCGTTCATTAAAATGATTTGTTCAAAAGATTCGTTCACTGAATTAGTCAGTGCTTTGGAGCCCCGTCCTGCTGGGTTCAGTACACAAGTGAATGACAAGGCGGTGCTGATCGGGAGTTTGTTCATTGAACGAGCCCCTCCCCTCCCCTGCTGCTGAAGTCACAGTGTCATACACTGGGTGACACATGTTCATACATCAAGTCATGAAGGAAGAATCACTCCCCTGCCCTGAAAAAATCACCTCTCTGTGTGCCGCCGACGTTCGCATCGCGATGTGAGTGAAACAACAGCAGCAAGCAGCACACTCAAAATTTGACAGTTTTGTGTGGTTTTGTATGTTTGCATCTATCCTCGTGCCAACTTGCGCACACGGAAACCATACCTGTACCCTCATCATAAAATACAACATGAGAAAATATGCAATAGAACCTCTACACAAGCCTAATGAGTTTTGGAAACAAGTGCTGTTGACTGGTGAAGTGAACACAAAAACTCTTTGTCCACAATAAACAAAGGTATGCTTGGAGAGAAAAAGGAGAGGCATTTCATGAAAGAACACCTTGGCAACTGTTATATTTGGGGCTGTATCAATCATGCTTTGGTGCAGGGTTGCAGCCAGTGGGAAAAGAAGCATTTCTTGGGTGAAGTGAAGAATGGATTCACTAAATAAGAGCAAATTCTGGAGGCAAATATCACAGCATCTGGAAAGAAGCTAAAGCTAAAAAGAGGATGGCTTCTACAACAGGAAGATGTAGAAAACATACATCAAGATCCAGCATGGATTACCTCAGGAAACACAAGCTGAAGGTTTTGGATTGGCCTTCATAGTCTCCAGACTTGATCATCATTTAGAATCTGAGGGTAGATCTTATAGGAACTGTGAATGCTAGATGACCAAGAATATTGCATAACTGGAAATATTTTGCAAGGAAGAATGGGGGAAAATCCCAAAGAGTAGTTGACTTGCATTTGGCTAAAAAAGCATTTCCAAGCTGTGATACCTGCCAAAGGGGGTCTTACTGAGTACTGAAAGTACTGACTGTGTTTAGTGCACAAACATATTATTTTGCTCAAAGGTACAAAAAAAGTGTTTTTTTAATATTCTGATGTCGGTAAGTGTAGTTCCAGTAATGCTAATGATGAGTTAACTAGTTATACGAGCAGCTGCTTCATTTTTCTGGAGGTAACAGATTCCTGGCTTAGGTCACAGAAACTCACCTGGGGCTTTTTAAAAACACTTATTTCAGGAAATTGTTTTCACATCACAACTGCTGTATCTTTTTACATCATTGACTCTTTTTATCGGCCATATCCCCAAGTCACTGTTTGTGCGCACTGTCAACAGGGCCCAGATAAAGAACACAACCTCTTAGGTTCATGAGACTCATGTTAACCACACCGGGCTCTATTTTCGTATTTTCGGCGTAAGTCAGGTCCGCTGCGCCAACAAGGCGTTCCCAAGCACAATTTGGTATTTTGGTGAGCAGCGCAGCCCGGCGTAAGTATCCCCCCTCCCTAACTCAGCTCCTCCCAGCGGCGTAAGTCGTAGCGAGGGAGGAGAGAGGGCATGGAGTGGGTTTAACACAGCCGAGACCTGTTTTCACCAATCACATCAGCTCCTCTCCTTGCCTTTAAATCCGCCACAGGCGAGGCGTATTACCATTTTCGTGAAGTAGTCAAAGAGATCAAGAGATGTCTGAAGACAGTAATGCCACACGATGGCGACAGAAGGAAGCCTCTCAAAAACTGTCGCCGTAAGCGCTGCGGAGGGCGAGCTCCACCCTCCTATATAAGCACAGATGGATTTGATGTGTGTAAGTTTGGACCCACTGGTAAGACAAACACCCTTTTCCACAAATAAAGACACTCACATAAAGTTGCATATATTCAAACCTCATGTGACAAAGGTGGGTTGTGCGCACAGATCACAACATTAACTCCAAAAATGGCATTACAATTGGAACCATCTGTGCGTAAATAACGCATCATGCTCCGTGGCCTGGCTCTTTCTGTCATAGATGTTGGCATGTAAAATAAATTTGCCTCACAAAACTGAATATTTTAATGTCCGTATGTCGGCTTAAAGTAGATAACGCATCTGAGCACTGAAATAAATCATCTGTTCAGCCGCCACAGCAGCAGGACAGAGAGAGGACATGGAGACATGTCCAGGTTGAGCTGTGCAAGAAATAAGAGGAAGAGGAAGAAAGAAAAGGAGGAAGACGAATTACATATCTTGTTAACTTCATCTTCATCTTGTGTCCAAACGTGTGCCAAACGCGCTCATCAGATCAGATATAGATCAGAATATATCGATATAGATCTAAATGTATGTGGTGACTCAGATTATTAGTTGTTGATGATTATTTATTGCACTGAAATGTGCCTGACACTGTGGAAACCTGCCTGTGAGGCAAAAGTGACTTATGCTGATATGCCGCCAGTCTACCAAAATACCACTAGACCAGCTGCGCTCCGCCTGCACTGAAAGCTGACCAGGTTTGAATCGGCGAGCTTTCAGCGCACTTTACACGCTGGTGGCGAGCACGAAAATGTCTCTGCGCCCGCTGATTCTGTCGACACCTCCCCCTGCCACGCCACCACGCCCAGCTTGGCGGATCTTGGTTCGCCTCTGTGTGCCTCAGTCCACGAAAATACCGAACTGGCTGTACGCCGGGCTGCGCCAGACGAAAATACAACTGCGCGGGGCTCGCCTCAGTAAATGATGATTAACATATTTATATAATGATAAAATACACATGTGGTAGCATACACACACAAATTTTCTCCGTCATTGTTTACTTTACTCATGAAGCACGTAGCAAGATCCGAGCATGAATCCAAGCACTTCATTAGCCAATCAGAGGCAGACGGGTATGATGATTTGATTCGCCATGACTCCAGAAATGACTGAAAAACTACAGAATGTTACAAAATGACGTATCCACGCTCCTGGCTTGGAAGGTTGAAATGCGGATACTGTCCCGGTTTAAATGGGTTAAGTGATTGATGCTGATGACAGCAAGGCCAGTGAGCCGTTCCTGAGACATGGTTGACCTTAGGTACGACTTTATCAACTTCAGTTTTGAGAGGCTCCTCTCTGCTTGAGCCACCATGACTGGCAGAGTGAGAGCAATCCTGAGAGCAGAGCTGTTCCCCGCAACCCTCTCCCCACTTCGTCTCATACAGTCTGTCAGCCTCTGTGCGGCACCTTCGCAGCAAGCAGGGGCGCCCACAGCAGCAGGGGGCACCAATTTGACAAGAGTTCATACAAAACCGCTTTGCGCCACAGATTTATTATTATTATTATCTTTTTTTTTTTTTTTGAAGTGCTTGTGCCGCCCCCCATGAGTCATGACACAAATGCCACCCCGGGCGGCTGCCCAGTTCGCCCATGCCTAGAACTACTGATGTTGCACTTCGTTATTATCCGAAGAGAAGACAGGACAACATTTTATTGGCAACAACTACCTGCATATAACTTTTAAAACAGCAGTAAGAGCTACTTAAAACAAGATATTGCTCATCTTTTATTGCAGTGACAGGTGGGAGGCTAACAAGGTTAGAACACATTGTTGGGGTGGCCTTTCTGCACCTTTTTACAGAAGAGTGGCATCTAAAGCTCAGGAGCAAAGCGATGTAGATGCCGATGCCGATGCCGATGCCAATTGCGATGTCAGAGGGCCTCTATTCTCTAGGATCTTATGACTACTCACACTGTTATAGGGCATATCTGAAGAGAACCGAGAAAGAAGGGTGATATGGCGGGGGGGACAGGGACAGCAATCAGAGGGCCCCCGGGCTTTGGGGGATGGCAGTCAGAGGGTTCCTGGGCTATGGGGGACGGCAGTCAGAGGGCCCCTGGGCTGGCCCTGCTGTAGTGCCTCTCATGATTTACCAAGGGTTTTGAATGAAAGTCCTTTCAGTGAGCCCTAAGGCCCAGGATATGCTAGCTGTGTGACTTCATTTACGTGCGCAACCGCACATACTTGCAGCAGAACGATCAGAGCACTATGCACGATACTGGTAGTGTTGCCAAAAACAAATCACCAAAAGTCGCTATTGGTTCTCTGAAAAGTCGCTAGATTACGTCACGACGTTACTATTTGACAAGAGTTCATACAAAACCGCTTTGCACCACAGATTTATTATTATTATTATCTTTTTTTTTTTTTTTTTGGAAGTGCTCATGCCGCCCCCCATGAGTCATGACACAAATGCCACCCCGGGCAGCTGTCCAGTTCGCCCGTGCCTAGAACTGCTACTGCTACTCACTAGATGTCACAATTTGTCAATGAGACTTGTCCATGATGTTGCACAGTGGCGGTTCTAGACTTAATTGCTCCCTGGGCGAGACCCCCTCCAAGTGCCCCCTATTGCTCCCCTATTACCCCATCAAGACCTGAACCCTGTCTGAGACACGCCTCTGAAATCCTGAGGGCTGTTTTGAGAAGGGTCCCCAGATCCTGAGGTTTTCTGAAGTGTTAAGGTTTACAAAAAAGCTGAGATCTCAGCCTCTGTAGAAGATAGAAACAAAATTCACAAAGTATTTGAGAGCTTACACGTGTGGCTTTCAAGATAACTATCTTTTATTTTTCTGAACCTTCATCACATTTTTGATAACCTTGAACAAACAAACTCAAATGAAATAAAGCGGCTGTATGAATAAAAGTAAAGACTCTGCACTGGAGAATAATAAACTATTTACTTTCTGTAAAAAAAGTGGCAGTTATGATAAAGTGTCCATCAATACAAATGTAAATATAAAAAATAAAGTGTTGAAAGGGTATGCAGCTGCCCTAGTATAGTGCCAGTACAAAAGCAGAAACTAAAAACTAAAAAAATGAATAAATAAATACGTGACTGGGTGAGCACAGACATGAACGCACTGTCAAAGTCATGCAACACTCACAGAAATCGCCGAGAGTGTGAAGCAAAGCACTCCATATGAAGAGGTTGTTCACACTGCTGGATGTTTCTCCTCCAAAGCTGCTCTCTGCCTCCGCCAGTGTTTACTTTACTCATGAAGCACGTAGCAAGATCCGAGCATGAATCTGAGCGCTTTATTCACCTATCAGAGGCAGACGGGTATGATGATTTGATTCGCCATGACTCCAGAAATGACTGAAAAACTACAGAATGTTACAAAATGACGTATCCACGCTCCTGGCTTGGAAGGTTGAAATGCGGATACTGTCCCGGTTTAAATGGGTTAAGTGATTGATGCTGATGACAGCAAGGCCAGTGAGCCGTTCCTGAGACATGGTTGACCTTAGGTACGACTTTATCAACTTCAGTTTTGAGAGGCTCCTCTCTGCTTGAGCCACCATGACTGGCAGAGTGAGAGCAATCCTGAGAGCAGAGCTGTTCCCCGCAACCCTCTCCCCACTTCGTCTCATACAGTCTGTCAGCCTCTGTGCGGCACCTTCGCAGCAAGCAGGGGCGCCCACAGCAGCAGGGGGCACCAATTTGACAAGAGTTCATACAAAACCGCTTTGCGCCACAGATTTATTATTATTATTATCTTTTTTTTTTTTTTTTGAAGTGCTTGTGCCGCCCCCCATGAGTCATGACACAAATGCCACCCCGGGCGGCTGCCCAGTTCGCCCATGCCTAGAACTACTGATGTTGCACTTCGTTATTATCCGAAGAGAAGACAGGACAACATTTTATTGGCAACAACTACCTGCATATAACTTTTAAAACAGCAGTAAGAGCTACTTAAAACAAGATATTGCTCATCTTTTATTGCAGTGACAGGTGGGAGGCTAACAAGGTTAGAACACATTGTTGGGGTGGCCTTTCTGCACCTTTTTACAGAAGAGTGGCATCTAAAGCTCAGGAGCAAAGCGATGTAGATGCCGATGCCGATGCCGATGCCAATTGCGATGTCAGAGGGCCTCTATTCTCTAGGATCTTATGACTACTCACACTGTTATAGGGCATATCTGAAGAGAACCGAGAAAGAAGGGTGATATGGCGGGGGGGACAGGGACAGCAATCAGAGGGCCCCCGGGCTTTGGGGGATGGCAGTCAGAGGGTTCCTGGGCTATGGGGGACGGCAGTCAGAGGGCCCCTGGGCTGGCCCTGCTGTAGTGCCTCTCATGATTTACCAAGGGTTTTGAATGAAAGTCCTTTCAGTGAGCCCTAAGGCCCAGGATATGCTAGCTGTGTGACTTCATTTACGTGCGCAACCGCACATACTTGCAGCAGAACGATCAGAGCACTATGCACGATACTGGTAGTGTTGCCAAAAACAAATCACCAAAAGTCGCTATTGGTTCTCTGAAAAGTCGCTAGATTACGTCACGACGTTACTATTTGACAAGAGTTCATACAAAACCGCTTTGCACCACAGATTTATTATTATTATTATCTTTTTTTTTTTTTTTTTTTGGAAGTGCTCATGCCGCCCCCCATGAGTCATGACACAAATGCCACCCCGGGCAGCTGTCCAGTTCGCCCGTGCCTAGAACTGCTACTGCTACTCACTAGATGTCACAATTTGTCAATGAGACTTGTCCATGATGTTGCACAGTGGCGGTTCTAGACTTAATTGCTCCCTGGGCGAGACCCCCTCCAAGTGCCCCCTATTGCTCCCCTATTACCCCATCAAGACCTGAACCCTGTCTGAGACACGCCTCTGAAATCCTGAGGGCTGTTTTGAGAAGGGTCCCCAGATCCTGAGGTTTTCTGAAGTGTTAAGGTTTACAAAAAAGCTGAGATCTCAGCCTCTGTAGAAGATAGAAACAAAATTCACAAAGTATTTGAGAGCTTACACGTGTGGCTTTCAAGATAACTATCTTTTATTTTTCTGAACCTTCATCACATTTTTGATAACCTTGAACAAACAAACTCAAATGAAATAAAGCGGCTGTATGAATAAAAGTAAAGACTCTGCACTGGAGAATAATAAACTATTTACTTTCTGTAAAAAAAGTGGCAGTTATGATAAAGTGTCCATCAATACAAATGTAAATATAAAAAATAAAGTGTTGAAAGGGTATGCAGCTGCCCTAGTATAGTGCCAGTACAAAAGCAGAAACTAAAAACTAAAAAAATGAATAAATAAATACGTGACTGGGTGAGCACAGACATGAACGCACTGTCAAAGTCATGCAACACTCACAGAAATCGCCGAGAGTGTGAAGCAAAGCACTCCATATGAAGAGGTTGTTCACACTGCTGGATGTTTCTCCTCCAAAGCTGCTCTCTGCCTCCGCCAGTGTTTACTTTACTCATGAAGCACGTAGCAAGATCCGAGCATGAATCTGAGCGCTTTATTCACCTATCAGAGGCAGACGGGTATGATGATTTGATTCGCCATGACTCCAGAAATGACTGAAAAACTACAGAATGTTACAAAATGACGTATCCACGCTCCTGGCTTGGAAGGTTGAAATGCGGATACTGTCCCGGTTTAAATGGGTTAAGTGATTGATGCTGATGACAGCAAGGCCAGTGAGCCGTTCCTGAGACATGGTTGACCTTAGGTACGACTTTATCAACTTCAGTTTTGAGAGGCTCCTCTCTGCTTGAGCCACCATGACTGGCAGAGTGAGAGCAATCCTGAGAGCAGAGCTGTCCCCCGCAACCCTCTCCCCACTTCGTCTCATACAGTCTGTCAGCCTCTGTGCGGCACCTTCGCAGCAAGCAGGGGCGCCCACAGCAGCAGGGGGCACCAATTTGACAAGAGTTCATACAAAACCGCTTTGCGCCACAGATTTATTATTATTATTATCTTTTTTTTTTTTTTTTTGAAGTGCTTGTGCCGCCCCCCATGAGTCATGACACAAATGCCACCCCGGGCGGCTGCCCAGTTCGCCCATGCCTAGAACTACTGATGTTGCACTTCGTTATTATCCGAAGAGAAGACAGGACAACATTTTATTGGCAACAACTACCTGCATATAACTTTTAAAACAGCAGTAAGAGCTACTTAAAACAAGATATTGCTCATCTTTTATTGCAGTGACAGGTGGGAGGCTAACAAGGTTAGAACACATTGTTAGGGTGGCCTTTCTGCACCTTTTTACAGAAGAGTAGCATCTAAAGCTCAGGAGCATCACTTGCATGCTGAATTTGAACTCCTGTTCTCTGTCAGTGAATGGGGCCTTTATGATTTAATAAATGTGAGTATGTGACCTTTTAAAATGGTTTTTCAATGTCATTAAATAAGCTTATGGCCAAGTTGAGTTCTCTTTTATGTTTTTAGATTTTTCATTAACTTTGTGAGAAAGAGTCGTGGTTTTGGCAGTCACAGAGACTGAAACCAGTTGACTCAGTTTATTGTGAAAGGTGTGCTAACTTCAGCGAGCATGAAGCCAGAAGCTGTTTAGGTGTGGTTTATAATTTGGATCAGGATGGCCATTGCCACACTTAAGAATTATGCAATCAATTTGACATCTAAAATAATCCCAGGACCGCTAAACCTCTTATTACATGACTATGACACTTGAGAGACAGATCAATGTATTTCAAAACATATTTTCATATCACAAACTGGAAAATTTAACAATGCAGTACTTAATTGAACATCATAAATATGAAAACAGAATCGGTAAAGCAACTCAAAGAAAGCACATAGTGAAACTAAAATAAATGTTGTTTTATTCTTTTACTATCTTCTCACAGCCCACTTGCAGTACCTCCACTAGCCCACTAAGAGGCGCAGCCACAAGGAACCAATGGTTTAAGAAGATACTGTATTTGTACCAGGGCCGGCGCCCAGGGTCCAGGGTCCAGGGGCCCGGGGGGGGGGGGGGGGGCAAAGCGATGTAGATGCCGATGCCGATGCCAATTGCGATGTCAGAGGGCCTCTATTCTCTAGGATCTTATGACTACTCACACTGTTATAGGGCATATCTGAAGAGAACTGAGAAAGAAGGGTGATATGGCGGGGGGGACAGGGACAGCAATCAGAGGGCCCCTGGGCTTTGGGGGATGGCAGTCAGAGGGTTCCTGGGCTATGGGGGACGGCAGTCAGAGGGCCCCTGGGCTGGCCCTGCCGTAGTGCCTCTCATGAATACTCCTAAGGGAGCCCTGACGTTTACCAACTAGGGGTTCAAGGAAGTAGGGGGGAATGCTTTCAGAGGGCCCTATGATTATGGAAGCCCCTGCTAAGGGTCGTGACTTCTGGCTATGTGGGGGCCCTAGGGAGAGCCCTAATGGGAGAGCATACTGTTAAGAGAGCCCTCTGATTACAAATGTTCTTAAAGGGCCTCTGATTTACCAAGGGTTTTGAATGAAAGTCCTTTCAGTGAGCCCTAAGGCCCAGGATATGCTAGCTGTGTGACTTCATTTACGTGCGCAACCGCACATACTTGCAGCAGAACGATCAGAGCACTATGCACGATACTGGTAGTGTTGCCAAAAACAAAACACCAAAAGTCGCTATTGGTTCTCTGAAAAGTCGCTAGATTACGTCACGACGTTACTATTTGACAAGAGTTCATACAAAACCGCTTTGCACCACAGATTTATTATTATTATTATCTTTTTTTTTTTTTTTTTTTTGAAGTGCTCCTGCCGCCCCCCATGAGTCATGACACAAATGCCACCCCGGGCAGCTGTCCAGTTCGCCAGTGCCTAGAACTGCTACTGATGTTGCACTTCGTTATTATCCGAAGAGAAGACAGGACAACATTTTATTGGCAACAACTACCTGCATATAACTTTTAAAACAGCAGTAAGAGCTACTTAAAACAAGATATTGCTCATCTTTTATTGCAGTGACAGGTGGGAGGCTAACAAGGTTAGAACACATTGTTGGGGTGGCCTTTCTGCACCTTTTTACAGAAGAGTGGCATCTAAAGCTCAGGAGCAAAGCGATGTAGATGCCGATGCCGATGCCGATGCCGATGCCAATTGCGATGTCAGAGGGCCTCTATTCTCTAGGATCTTATGACTACTCACACTGTTATAGGGCATATCTGAAGAGAACCGAGAAAGAAGGGTGATATGGCGGGGGGGACAGGGACAGCAATCAGAGGGCCCCCGGGCTTTGGGGGATGGCAGTCAGAGGGTTCCTGGGCTATGGGGGACGGCAGTCAGAGGGCCCCTGGGCTGGCCCTGCTGTAGTGCCTCTCATGATTTACCAAGGGTTTTGAATGAAAGTCCTTTCAGTGAGCCCTAAGGCCCAGGATATGCTAGCTGTGTGACTTCATTTACGTGCGCAACCGCACATACTTGCAGCAGAACGATCAGAGCACTATGCACGATACTGGTAGTGTTGCCAAAAACAAATCACCAAAAGTCGCTATTGGTTCTCTGAAAAGTCGCTAGATTACGTCACGACGTTACTATTTGACAAGAGTTCATACAAAACCGCTTTGCACCACAGATTTATTATTATTATTATCTTTTTTTTTTTGTTTTTTTGGAAGTGCTCATGCCGCCCCCCATGAGTCATGACACAAATGCCACCCCGGGCAGCTGTCCAGTTCGCCCGTGCCTAGAACTGCTACTGCTACTCACTAGATGTCACAATTTGTCAATGAGACTTGTCCATGATGTTGCACAGTGGCGGTTCTAGACTTAATTGCTCCCTGGGCGAGACCCCCTTCAAGTGCCCCCTATTGCTCCCCTATTACCCCATCAAGACCTGAACCCTGTCTGAGACACGCCTCTGAAATCCTGAGGGCTGTTTTGAGAAGGGTCCCCAGATCCTGAGGTTTTCTGAAGTGTTAAGGTTTACAAAAAAGCTGAGATCTCAGCCTCTGTAGAAGATAGAAACAAAATTCACAAATTATTTGAGAGCTTACACGTGTGGCTTTCAAGATAACTATCTTTTATTTTTCTGAACCTTCATCACATTTTTGATAACCTTGAACAAACAAACTCAAATGAAATAAAGCGGCTGTATGAATAAAAGTAAAGACTCTGCACTGGAGAATAATAAACTATTTACTTTCTGTAAAAAAAGTGGCAGTTATGATAAAGTGTCCATCAATACAAATGTAAATATAAAAAATAAAGTGTTGAAAGGGTATGCAGCTGCCCTAGTATAGTGCCAGTACAAAAGCAGAAACTAAAAACTAAAAAAATGAATAAATAAATACGTGACTGGGTGAGCACAGACATGAACGCACTGTCAAAGTCATGCAACACTCACAGAAATCGCCGAGAGTGTGAAGCAAAGCACTCCATATGAAGAGGTTGTTCACACTGCTGGATGTTTCTCCTCCAAAGCTGCTCTCTGCCTCCGCCAGTGTTTACTTTACTCATGAAGCACGTAGCAAGATCCGAGCATGAATCTGAGCGCTTTATTCACCTATCAGAGGCAGACGGGTATGATGATTTGATTCGCCATGACTCCAGAAATGACTGAAAAACTACAGAATGTTACAAAATGACGTATCCACGCTCCTGGCTTGGAAGGTTGAAATGCGGATACTGTCCCGGTTTAAATGGGTTAAGTGATTGATGCTGATGACAGCAAGGCCAGTGAGCCGTTCCTGAGACATGGTTGACCTTAGGTACGACTTTATCAACTTCAGTTTTGAGAGGCTCCTCTCTGCTTGAGCCACCATGACTGGCAGAGTGAGAGCAATCCTGAGAGCAGAGCTGTTCCCCGCAACCCTCTCCCCACTTCGTCTCATACAGTCTGTCAGCCTCTGTGCGGCACCTTCGCAGCAAGCAGGGGCGCCCACAGCAGCAGGGGGCACCAATTTGACAAGAGTTCATACAAAACCGCTTTGCGCCACAGATTTATTATTATTATTATCTTTTTTTTTTTTTTGAAGTGCTTGTGCCGCCCCCCATGAGTCATGACACAAATGCCACCCCGGGCGGCTGCCCAGTTCGCCCATGCCTAGAACTACTGATGTTGCACTTCGTTATTATCCGAAGAGAAGACAGGACAACATTTTATTGGCAACAACTACCTGCATATAACTTTTAAAACAGCAGTAAGAGCTACTTAAAACAAGATATTGCTCATCTTTTATTGCAGTGACAGGTGGGAGGCTAACAAGGTTAGAACACATTGTTGGGGTGGCCTTTCTGCACCTTTTTACAGAAGAGTGGCATCTAAAGCTCAGGAGCAAAGCGATGTAGATGCCGATGCCGATGCCGATGCCAATTGCGATGTCAGAGGGCCTCTATTCTCTAGGATCTTATGACTACTCACACTGTTATAGGGCATATCTGAAGAGAACCGAGAAAGAAGGGTGATATGGCGGGGGGGACAGGGACAGCAATCAGAGGGCCCCCGGGCTTTGGGGGATGGCAGTCAGAGGGTTCCTGGGCTATGGGGGACGGCAGTCAGAGGGCCCCTGGGCTGGCCCTGCTGTAGTGCCTCTCATGATTTACCAAGGGTTTTGAATGAAAGTCCTTTCAGTGAGCCCTAAGGCCCAGGATATGCTAGCTGTGTGACTTCATTTACGTGCGCAACCGCACATACTTGCAGCAGAACGATCAGAGCACTATGCACGATACTGGTAGTGTTGCCAAAAACAAATCACCAAAAGTCGCTATTGGTTCTCTGAAAAGTCGCTAGATTACGTCACGACGTTACTATTTGACAAGAGTTCATACAAAACCGCTTTGCACCACAGATTTATTATTATTATTATCTTTTTTTTTTTGTTTTTTTGGAAGTGCTCCTGCCGCCCCCCATGAGTCATGACACAAATGCCACCCCGGGCAGCTGTCCAGTTCGCCCGTGCCTAGAACTGCTACTGCTACTCACTAGATGTCACAATTTGTCAATGAGACTTGTCCATGATGTTGCACAGTGGCGGTTCTAGACTTAATTGCTCCCTGGGCGAGACCCCCTCCAAGTGCCCCCTATTGCTCCCCTATTACCCCATCAAGACCTGAACCCTGTCTGAGACACGCCTCTGAAATCCTGAGGGCTGTTTTGAGAAGGGTCCCCAGATCCTGAGGTTTTCTGAAGTGTTAAGGTTTACAAAAAAGCTGAGATCTCAGCCTCTGTAGAAGATAGAAACAAAATTCACAAAGTATTTGAGAGCTTACACGTGTGGCTTTCAAGATAACTATCTTTTATTTTTCTGAACCTTCATCACATTTTTGATAACCTTGAACAAACAAACTCAAATGAAATAAAGCGGCTGTATGAATAAAAGTAAAGACTCTGCACTGGAGAATAATAAACTATTTACTTTCTGTAAAAAAAGTGGCAGTTATGATAAAGTGTCCATCAATACAAATGTAAATATAAAAAATAAAGTGTTGAAAGGGTATGCAGCTGCCCTAGTATAGTGCCAGTACAAAAGCAGAAACTAAAAACTAAAAAAATGAATAAATAAATACGTGACTGGGTGAGCACAGACATGAACGCACTGTCAAAGTCATGCAACACTCACAGAAATCGCCGAGAGTGTGAAGCAAAGCACTCCATATGAAGAGGTTGTTCACACTGCTGGATGTTTCTCCTCCAAAGCTGCTCTCTGCCTCCGCCAGTGTTTACTTTACTCATGAAGCACGTAGCAAGATCCGAGCATGAATCTGAGCGCTTTATTCGCCTATCAGAGGCAGACGGGTATGATGATTTGATTCGCCATGACTCCAGAAATGACTGAAAAACTACAGAATGTTACAAAATGACGTATCCACGCTCCTGGCTTGGAAGGTTGAAATGCGGACATACTGTCCCGGTTTAAATGGGTTAAGTGATTGATGCTGATGACAGCAAGGCCAGTGAGCCGTTCCTGAGACATGGTTGACCTTAGGTACGACTTTATCAACTTCAGTTTTGAGAGGCTCCTCTCTGCTTGAGCCACCATGACTGGCAGAGTGAGAGCAATCCTGAGAGCAGAGCTGTCCCCCGCAACCCTCTCCCCACTTCGTCTCATACAGTCTGTCAGCCTCTGTGCGGCACCTTAGCAGCAAGCAGGGGCGCCCACAGAAGCAGGGGGCGCCAATTTGACAAGAGTTCATACAAAACCGCTAACCGCTTTGCGCCACAGATTTATTATTATTATTATCTTTTTTTTTTTTTTTTTGGAAGTGCTCGTGCTGCCCTCCATGAGTCATGACACAAATGCCACCCCGGGCGGCTGCCCAGTTCGCCCATTCCTAGAACTGCTACTGATGTTGCACTTAGTTATTATCCGAAGAGAAGACAGTACAACATTTTATTGGCAACAACTACCTGCATATAACTTTTAAAACAGCAGTAAGAGCTACTTAAAACAAGATATTGCTCATCTTTTATTGCAGTGACAGGTGGGAGGCTAACAAGGTTAGAACACATTGTTGGGGTGGCCTTTCTGCACCTTTTTACAGAAGAGTGGCATCTAAAGCTCAGGAGCATCACTTGCATGCTGAATTTGTACTCCTGTTCTCTGGTAGATGGTTCAGATTACAAAAATCTAAATCCAACAGAATGAAAAACTTTTTTGTTAGTCAGGCAATTGTACAATTTAATCTTTAAAATGATCCAGTATGAGGCATTTGATTTTCTTGGCTGATGTCTGATGGTATTTTCTGATGGATCTTGCTCCCAGTTGGCCTCTGATGTATTGTTGGTGATGTTGTTTCTATGTTGTCTTTGTGATCAGTTCATGTATTGGTGCTGTTAATGTTTTGTGTTTTTTTACCTGGCTGCAAAGCAAATTTCCCTAAGGGGACAATATGTAAGGAAGGACCTCTGTCTCTGCAAACACCTGCAGAGTATGTGTCAGACTGCAGGTTACAAAAAACATAAGAAGCACAGGGCAATTAGAGATCGTTTTCACCATTTATTGTGGTTGGTAAATGAAGAGATAAAAAATATGAAAATGATGTAAAGCTAGTCAGCAATTTCATTGTTAAGTTGAAATTACACCTGGACCACCAATTTATTACTATGTGTGGGAATCACCAACAGGTGTGACTGTTTTTTGTTCAGTGCAGGTTAAGACAAACGTAATATACTGGTGTGTCCTTGTGAAACACTCAGTGAACGAGGGCTTTATGATTTAATAAGTGTGATTCAATCATGTGAGTTTGTGACCTTTTAAAATGGTTTTTCAATGTCCTTAAATAAGCTTAAGGCCAAGTTGAGTTCTCTTTTATGTTTTTAGATTTTTCATTAACTTTGTGAGAAAGAGTTGTGGTTTTGGCAGTCACAGTGACTGAAACCAGTTGACTCAGTTTATTGTGAAAGGTGTGCTAACTTCAGTGAGCATGAAGCCAGAAGCTGTTTAGCTGTGGTTTATAATTTGGATCAGGATGGCCATTGCCACATTTAAGAATTATGCACTCAATTTGATATCTAAAATATTCCCAGGACCGCTAAACCTCTCCGTACATGACTATGACACTTGAGAGACAGATCACTGTATTTCAAAACATATTTTCATATCACAAACTGGAAAATTCAACAATGCAGTACTTAATTGAACATCATAAATATGAAAACAGAATCGGTAAAGCAACTCAAAAAAAGCACATAGTGAAACTGAAATAAATGTTGTTTTATTCTTTTACTATCTTCTCACAGCCCACTTGCAGTACCTCCACTAGCCCACTAAAAGGCGCAGCCACAAGGAACCAATGGTATGAGAAGATACTGTATTTGTACCATAGACTCTATATAGAGTATATAGTACATACCGTCTATGATTTGTACTCAAGCTACACTGAGCTTTTTGTGTCGATTTTGGAGCTTCTGTCAGGACAAATCAGTACCCATCATGTCAGCTCATTTTGTTTAACAGATCTGTCGGTAATATTTTCTAACGAAAAACCTTTCTTGCTTTCTGTTAGTTGCACTGATTTATCACATACCAACAGTATCTTTTTTGTTGGTGAGAAAAAATAGAGCAGGGCAGAATTCTTTAACTTCAGTGAGTGCAATACGCTTTCGCAAAAAAAAAAAAAAAAAGGTTAGATTTTGTTCGTCTCAATCTTCAAAATAAAATGTATAAATAACGCTCGGTCATCCACTGCTGCAGGGGGCGATAGTGTCAACATAAGACGAAGGAGCTTATTGACGGATCACTTCCTGGATTTCATGTTGGAGCTGTTTTTGAAAGTCCTCTAGCTGGTTTACTCTCAGATTATGACAGTTTTATCAACAGAAATGTCTGCAGGATCAGACCAGGCTACATGGCCACTGAGAAACGGACAGTTTTGAAGATGTTTGCCGGCCGTAAGACGACACAGTAGTGAGCCGTTGGTTGAATTTGGTCCCTCCTGTCTGTTTGAGGATGGAGAGGCTGGTATCCGGACTGACACAGAAAGTGGTCCTCTTTACGGCTTCATTCGCTGTCAGACTGGCTTTGGTGGTTTATGGAGACTATCAGGATCAAACTATGGTGGTGAAATACACGGACATCGATTATCATGTGTTCACTGATGCTGCGAGATTCCTGACCAAGGTATCTAACAAAATAACACTTGAGATCATGAAGCTTTGACAAGTCTGAATTTAAGGTTTTTTTTTAGGTTTTATTGAAGTACAGATTTGATGAGAGACAATTTATGATTGATAAGAGTGTGAGAGAGAAGTATTCCACCTACGAGGGGCTTATAGGGGGACACAACTTGAGGACAAAAATGACCGGCATAACCCAGTGGAAAAAAAAAATAGCTACAACATGTCCAGCAGCAGAATGGAGGAGAGACCCTTATGTTATTGTACCTCCCTAAAAATAAATATGGTGGAATTCTCCACTGATTTTAGCAGAAAGTGAAATCTGAATTTTGTTGCTTCGGGTCCATTTTATTTAACTGTATAATTCCTGTGTGGTTACTCCTGCACAGGGTGAGTCTCCGTACAACAGATCAACCTACCGCTACACCCCTCTCCTCGCCTGGCTGCTAACCCCCAACATCTACATCAGTGAGCTGTTTGGGAAGATCCTCTTCATCGTGTGTGACGTGTTGTCAGGTCTGCTCATCTACAGGATCCTCAGTCTCAGAGGGCTGAACTCTGAGGTAGGATTTCAGATTCGCAGCCTGTAGAGTTTAGATTTTAGAGGCTTCTTGGTGGTGCTTTGTGGTGAGTTTGGTGTTTTTGTGGGGTCTCTGTTCAGACAGCACATCGTACCAGTTCTCTGTGGCTCTTTAACCCTCTACCGATGGGCGTGTCAAGTCGAGGGAACGCTGAGTCCATCCTGGCAGCTCTGGTACTCGGGACTTTACTCTGTATGGAAGGTGTGTTTCAGCTCTGTTTAATAATTCAGTAGTGTTATGTACATACTCAGCTTTTATACAGTAAGTGCTTTTATACAATGAGCGTGGTCTAGACCTGCACTTTTTTTTGGAAAGCGTCTTGGAATGACGACTGTTGTGAATTGGCGCTCTATAAATAAAATTTGATTTGATTTATTGATTTTATACTTACACTGCCTTTTGCCTTTCTTCTTCAAGCCCGGAAGCTGACTTGGGCGGCTGTTCTTTATGGTCTGTCTGTCCATATGAAGATTTACCCCATCACATATGCCCTGCCCATCCTTCTGACCCTCCGAAACCCAAAGGAATTATCAAAGGAGGATGAAAAAGGGTGGAGTTGGAGGAAACTGGTCAGATTTCTAGGAGGCTTCTTTAACAGAGAGCTGTTCCTGTTTGGAAGTGTGTCTGGAGGAGTTTTCTGTTTGCTTACAGGACTCTTTTATTACATGTAAGGTGATCAGAAATCACACAGAGACACAAAGTAAGAGGTTTAATAGTTTCAATGATAATTTATGACTGTGCAGTGTTGGAGTAAGATGTTCCAAACAGCAAAGTGGGAAAATCTCAAAAACTCTTGAATTATATATCTGCCAATTCAAGAAGTGGATACTTAAATGCTATTAGGATGATAATTGGCCATTTGCTAACTATAAAATCTGTGCCTGGTTGCTCAGAAGGTTTAGAAATCCCTTTTTAAAAAAAATCTGAATTAGTTAATGTTTGTAATATTCATTTATTGCCTTCCTGGAATATTTGTACCATTGACCTTCAGGGCCACCATATTTTTCTCCTGGTGAGCAGGGAACTGAGTATAGTTGCAAACAAAATAAAACATGTAAGTACTTTGATTTGGGTCTTCAGAGATGCTGGCTGACTTTTTGCACTGATTTCTGACATTTTAATCATTTCTGCTCTACTAAACTTGATTTTTGCCTGTCGCCATACGGTCAAAACTAACACTGCAACATGTGCTTACTATTTTGGAATATGACTATGATGATAGATAGGAGTCATTATTAGCTGCTCCACAGGATTTCTTGTCTGAAGGAATTCACTTAATCTGGATAACATTTAATGCAGCTGTGCTTCCTCTTCTGTGCCCATAGGTATGGTTGGGAGTTTCTTCATGAGACTTACCTGTACCACCTGACCAGGAGAGACATCAGACACAACTTCTCTCCTTACTTCTACATGCTCTACCTCACTACAGGTGTCCTTCCTTATCTAGTCATTTGTGTCCTCAGACTATGACATCTTAGAGACGAAGACCTCATTCAGTGAGCTGTAAAGTTTGAAGCATGTTTATGTACCTTATTTTCCTCTGCATTAACAGACAGTGAGAAACTAGAGCAGGTGAGGCAGTTGTAAGACCTCCTAAAAGCTTTTCTCTCTGCAGACAGCAGCTGGAGCCCTTTGCTCGGCCTGGCAGCGTTCCTTCCACAGCTCATCCTACTGTTGGTCACGTCGTGGGCTTTTTACTCTGACCTTTCCTTCTGCTGTTTCCTGCAAACCGCCATCTTTGTCTCCTTCAACAAAGTCTGCACTTCTCAGGTACATGAGTCTCAGTGAAGATCAGATAATATGCTGCTTTCCAGTCACTGTCAGCTAGTGTTAATACTCTGAATCATACATGTTGTTATCCGGAGGAGGTTCCTCTAAAGTGCTTTCTTTATGGTTGTTAAATCATCAGGAAGCTCACACACATGATGATGTGATCATGGAAAATCCCTACAAACTCAGAGACTTACTGAGTCAGTGTCACATGGTTTATGAGTTTACGATGGGGCAATGATATTTGTTTATCCTTCCAGTACTTCCTGTGGTACCTGTGTCTGCTCCCTTTGGTCATCCCTCACCTGAGCCTGTCAATCAAACAGGGGGTGGGACTCCTGCTCCTCTGGTTTGCTGGACAGGTAGTTACATTGATGAAACTTTTCATAACAATAATTCCTGACTTCAGATATGCAACCTGTTAACAAAATTTAAAGACGTTGTGAAATATAATCAGTAGTACCTGCTGTTAACTGGTGTGGCTTCAGTGTTGTCGCATTGATGCCTTGCAGGCAGAGATGTGCAGCTTTTGCCAAGGATAGTTTTAGTCTCCTTAGATCTTCATACTTGTCATGCAACATTAAAAAAGAGGACCAAGTGAAGTTGTTTTTCAATGTTTTGAACTCAAATCAACCTCAGTATGAAGTAAATGTAAACATTAGATGAGGGGACTTCAAAGTCATGGAATAGTTTGGCTTGAATGAAATAATAATTCTCACATTAACAAAAGCACTTTAAACAGAACTGGGGTTAAACGAGGAATTCAGACTCTTTTATACCTGATAGATCAACCAGACAAGGCTGCCCACTGAGTCCTGTCTTTGCAATATTAATCCAGCTCAAAGGAAAGGGCCAATGAACTAATTAAAGGTGTAAAAATGGAAGAACTGAAATGGACTCTATTTGCTGACATACTTGGACAGCCTGATGCGATCCTTGCCAGAATTGTGATGATACTGTTAAACAGATATAAACATCCTCTTCTGAGTATAGTAAAATGCAAAAACAAATACAGGTTCTCAGTCGTAACTTCAGTGTTCAGTCCCTGATACTCAATCTGAATTTTGCACCCTTCACGTTAATGAAACTGGCTCTTGATATTCTTTATAAGTTACCAATGCTTTAATGATGTGGTAAATTCAATGTTCACAAAGCGTTGTTTTGCATGATTGTTGATGTCTTAGCGTTTGTGTTTGTAGTGATAAGGAAATCCCCCACAAAGGTTTCAGTTATTCTTTCATTTGTTTGTTTATATAAACAAAGCTTGTCTCTGTATCTGTCAGGGTTTCTGGTTGGGTCCGGCATACCTCCTGGAGTTTAAAGGTTTTAACACCTTTCTGTGGATCTGGCTGGCTGGACTTCTTTTCTTGATCATAAACTCCTTCATCCTGATCAGGATTATCGTCCACTACAGACCCACACAGAGAGCTGCACAGAGACTGAAGGCTGAATGACTTTCATTCATTTCAACTGAGAATAAGATGGACTGTGGACAGATGTCTAAAATTAAAGTTTGTATTTTGTGAAACCTCTGTCACCCTGGTATCTTATGTGTCTTTAAGGTGCAGTACATAGTATTTATTCTCTAGTACAGATAAATCAGTGCATCTGAATATATTTGTTTCCACTGTTTCTATCTACACAAAAGCAAGGGCCCTCATCATACATCGTCATGTTTTTACAGTAGCTCGGTATGGACAAACTAACATTTAGTGGGTGGCTGTGCAAAATGCATCCGTGAACAAGAAGAGCAAAAAGAAGAGAGGGGCTGTTGATTTGCATGAAATAATTAGTACTGATAGACACTTTGATAATAACTTGACAAATGGCGGACCATATCTCTATACTGTACATCATAACACAGTTCATGTTAAACATTCTGCAATAACTGTTTTCTGTGATATGAGGATGTGTATGACAGACTTGCTGCTGCCCATCTGACTGAACCTTGCCAAATTGGACTTTTTTGGTTAAAGTTGTTGGTTGTGGTAAAGATAGAGATTACAGCTGTCTAGTCTTGTTACACAGAATAAAAAATTCCAACCAGCAGCTGATGAGACGGAGTCTGTTCCCGCAAGGATTTCACCTGTAGATTCAGCATATCGTGGGGAAGGACTACCCAGATGCCCTTTCAAGGTCGTAAGTGTTCACTTGACCACAGTGACTAGATATGCAAGCGCGCTGTAGCAGCTCGCCAAGTGACATGCCTCCGTGGCCTCCATCTTAGCAGGGGCAACTTTCCCACTAAAGGCATTAGATGTATATGGGAAATAAATCATATCTTGATCATTTCTTAACTGCTTTTCATACAGTTTACTTTATTTTCAATGTCAAAACGTGCCATTAATACAGAACTTTTTTGTTTTCATTTCTATAAAACCAATTTTTGTGGGCTTGTTGACTTTAATGTAGGCCTAAAAGTTTTTCGCAACTTATGTCGTGAAAAATTTGTATACTATAGAGAAAAGTAATAGAACACTGATCCTGCTCAAAACGCATGTTTTGATACTTAATTTGTCCTATTTGTCCAACAACTCTTTATCCTGTAGGACTAGTAAAAGATTGAAATTGGTCTGGTAGAGAAATCAGAAAAAATTCACAGTATAACAATAATGCACTGGCCCCCATACGTTGTATGCAGCTGATGAGATATGGCCAGTGCTCGGATGCGTTTGCCCTGAAGCCCTAATTCAATGACTTTGCTCGAGGCAGTAAATAACTTTGACTGTCAGGTGATTTTATTTTTCAATCTTCATCCATATAAATTAATGCATTTTTAATGACATTTTTAGAATCGCACTACAACTACTTGAAATCAGTTTTTGAGTCCATATCAAAATGCATTCTTTACCAGTGCCCAGTGCAACAAAATGTAGCTACTATATGATACAAAAAAGTTTTCACAATTTTGAGTCCGTAATGTTAATTCAGAAAAACAGCAGAATTTTTTTATTCTACATGAAAGTCGTCTTGTACTTCTGAGAAATTTATGGCATTCATTTACTAAACAGAGCATTTTTTTCTCCCAAGTGAATATGCTTCCGTATAAAACACACTGATTTGAACTCATAACACTACCAACACTACTTTAATAAAGTTTGGGATAACGCAGAAAGGCGACTAAAATCTTTTTGTCCCAATTCAGCTTCCATCCAATGGAATATGAGAATATCAAAGTCCTCTGTCAGGTTGTCGGGGTGTGTCAGGGTGTAAATAATAAACTCATGGTTACTGCAAAAGTCCACCTCTAAAGGAAAAAACTCCTGAAGATCACTAAACGACCGACTGTCTGTAAGTTTTCACCGTATGTGGTTTTGAGATTTCGGTGTTCAAGTTATTTTTAGTATGTTGAGCAGCAGAATTTAACAACTTTTAATCCCTTTTATTCTCTGATCAGGTAAAATAGGACAGAAGTTTAACTGCTAGTGAATAATCAGGCTGATGGCCATCTCATCTGGTTCATTCTGGTGAAATGTATACAGAGTGTAACGGTATATATTCATTATAATAATATATTCTATTTTGTACCACAACTGAGAGGACAGTATGTGGAAACAACTGTTTAGAAATAATAAATAAAATAAATGATGAAAACTAATGTTAGTTGAACTATTAAGAAATGATCTTCGTATTCTATTGATCAGTAATTTTAGCTTCAAGGGAATCATTTTAATTTAAAAATTTGCTCATTTTTTTAAAGTAATGTTTGGTTCATATTCAGGGAATGAGCCTTTGGCTGTGGCTTTCAATGACTATGATGCATAGTTAAACAGTAATATAAACACTTTGTGGAAATAATTGAAAATAAAATCTAAATTAGGTCAGTTTGTTAGTAAAGTTTTGCCGATGTAAAGTTAGACATTATAAGTGAGTAAACTGCTTCTTAAAATATTGTTGAATTTGCATACAGATCAATTTAATAAAACAGGGACGGTATTTTGACGACCAGTGATATTTTCTCCTGTTTTTATTTGAAGAATAATCTAATCAAATTTTTTATTCTTCCATGACTATTTTAGGATTTGAAAGTCAACAAAGTTTTATGTTAACAACCAAAAAAGAACAGCATCAATTTTTTTATTATTGACCAAGGATATTTAAGTATAGTTAAAAATGTAAAGAATCCTGTTTGTTTTGTTTGATAGTGGCTGAAACAAAGACTGAGTTTTACCAGTTTTTAGATTATCTAAAATGTATAATCTACTCAGACAGCATGAAAAATGTTCACTTTTTGGAGAAGTCTGACTTATGGAAAGTCAAATACTGAAGAAAAAAAAATGAAGGTTCACCTTTTTCGCTAAACAATCAAAATCAACAGAACTTCAGGCAGGATTAAATACGATTACATCTTTGTGTCAGGCGTCCTTGAATTGGTGTGGCAAGATAAAAAGAGTCCATAGATTTCTTAATGCTCACTCCGTTTTCCTGTGATCATGGGTATTTTCAGGTGCTTTCTTGACACCTCTTATTTTCCTCATTTCCTCGAGGTACCAAAACTAGTTTGAACAGAGTAATCGAACAATTTGTCTTTGTATGTCATCAAAACAATGCTGGTTTGCTGGTTATAACAATAATGATATGATACCTGACTTGTTTATATGAGGCTTTACGCAAAAGAGGTATAAAGTGCTTTTCAAATCAAAATGAGATAAAAAAAAATGCTAAGAGAATAAAATAGTGTTGGGGGAAGTAATATGACATTTTAAAGTTTAAACAAAACTCAACAACAAAAGAGACAAAAGGGAATTAAGAAACAAACAAATATATAGAACGAAGTAAGAAACATATTAATGCCAGAAATGAGAAAGAAACAAAGCGAAATAAAAGACTTGTGCTGCTATAACCATAGACCATAAAACAACTTAAAAAGTAACCATAAACAAAAGGAAATTAAACAATGTTGAAAACAGTAAAATGTCAAAAAAAAAATACATAATTCTGCTGGTGATGCTGCCTGATATTGGAATAACAGCAGCATCTAAAGGATTAAACATCTCCAGTAAAAGCATTTCTATCCACAAAGCATCTGGAAATAACTTACAGATAAATTAATTTATAAAATGTATTAAATGATGTCAGCTTGACAAGAAGAGGAAATGTAAGCTTTATTGTAAGTTCATGATATTATTTCAACTTGCTCCCCCTTCTTTTCTTTGCAGTCATAATGGCAACACCAACCCCTCTGTGCAAGGCCAACACCGCCTTCTCTCTGGCTCTGTTCAAACAACTGAGTGATAATGACAAGACGGGGAATATCTTCTACTCTCCTTTCAGCGTCTCCTCAGCTCTGGCCATGGTGATGCTAGGAGCCAGAAGCAATACTGCTGCACAGATGTCGGAGGTACAAAATACAAAATAAGTTTACTCTCACACTAACTCTGGTTTAGTGTGGTTTGCTGATTTGTTTATCACTGTAATAAATTCAGCTCCTCTCTGTGATAGTTTAAGCATCAGGAAACACAGCTGTGGATTATGAATTACCAGGTTTTCCATTCAGCGTCAGCAGCAAAGACAAAGATCTGCTCAGACTCTGACTCAGTTTATGGGGGCAGCTCTGCTGTGTTGCCTAGGTCAGGCAGATCATTATGGGTCTGTCTGGCTGTTGTCTTTCCAGTGTTATCATGGAGGGCAGATGTGTCTGATCAGAATATGATTTATTTTGGCCAAGTATGTGTACACACACATACATACAAGGAATTTGAATCGGTAAGCTTTGCACTCTATGTACAAACATTAAATATGTATGTATATATAAGTCACAAAAAAATACAAAAATAACAAAGTATGTACTTGTTGAACTAGGAATGGGCATTTTAAGAAAGTCCCTTGATCGAATAATCATATAAATTAATGATCAATCATTAATTTAATCTTTTTTTATGTGAATGGCAGAAAATACGTACAAAACGTGGCTTTCCCTATTAAAATACCCCCCCCCCCCCAACCCTTGTTTGAAATTGGGGATGTCTGTAGAGGACCCTACAGATCCTCCTTGCGAGCAAGGAGCTGAGATTAAGACTGAGAGCACTCGGAGGATTCATTAACCTCAGTTAGATGTATGTGGTTCAAGTGGCACATCATTGAGGTCATTGTCGTGTTTTACTTGTACACAGCATTGGAGTGTTTGCAGCAAACCTCATCGTCAGTGGTCTGTATCGCCTACCCTGAGAGGAGCAGTTTAAACAGTAGGTATCCTGGATACGTATAAGGGGTCTGCAGTGATGTTACCTGCACATTTCCTGACCCTGGACAGGTGTAAGTCCTGGATGGAGGACAGGTTGGTCCTGATGATTTTCTCTGCAGTCCTGATAGTCCATGGCAGTCTGTTCCTGTCCTGCTTGGTGATGGACCAAAACCAAACAGAGAATGATAATGGACTGGATGATAATGGTGTAGAATTGGATCCTGAAGTAGGTTGAACTTCCTGAGTTGTCATTGGAAGTACAACTTCTGCTGGGCCTTTTTCTGGATGGAGTCTATGTGAATGGTCCACTTCAGGTACCTGGAGGTAGTGGATCTCAGGAACCGGTCCACAAGTCCACAATACACATCATGCTGTTGATTGTGAGGGGGCGAGTGCAGAATGGGTCCTCCCAAAATCCACAGTTATCTTCACAGTCTTGAGCAGGTATGGCTCCAGATGATTCTGACATCACCAGAAGACCAGCTGATCCACCTCTTATCTGAATGCGGACTTGCCACTGTCTTGGGTAAGACTACGGTGTCGTCTGCGTCTGCATCTGCATCTGTGGAGGTGGTCCAGGATGTAGTGAAGTCCCATGTTTACTGCATCATCCAACGACCTGTTTGCAGAATAGGCAAACTGCTGGGGGGTTCGGCAGGGGGTCTGTGATGTCCTTCAGGTGACTCAGTACCAACACTCTTCCTTTGACAAAAACACAGGAGTTTCTGGGCTTTCATTGCCTGGTTTAGTTAGATTTTTTCTGTAATGTGCTTTACACTGGTAGCGCAGAGCTTCAGTTATTGACACAATGGTTTGTCTCTCAGTCTTTGCATCCCATTAACAGCTCACTTCTTCTTCCTCTGCAGTGCCTGAAAACTCAGGAGTGTCAGGATGAAATCCATTCCAGTTTTGGCCAGCTGCTGGGCGAGCTCAACAAGGCTGACACTCCGTATGCGCTCAATGTGGCTAACCGGCTGTACGGGGAGCAGTCCTACCAGTTTGTTGAGGTGTGTGCACACCTTTAGAGCAGGTGTGAGCTGTTTGTATTCAGTTAATCTGGAGAGAATAAGAACACTGGGGTGATGGATGATGGGTGGACAGCAGGGTGGACAGGCACATAAAGCAGTGACTGTGGAAACATTATCTGGCAGTGAATTCCTCTGACCTAAATGAATCAAAGACATTACTCTGTGTTGAGATGAATAAAAGGTTTTCTCTCCATTTTGATTCAGGACTTCTTAGGAGACACCAGGAAGCACTATGACTCTGAGCTGGAGGCTGTGGACTTCATCAGCAGCTCTGAGGCTGCAAGAATCAACATCAACAGCTGGGTGGAAAACAAGACACAAGGTCGATTACACCCAGTCACACACATTTATTTTTTCATTCTAACAGCCTGACGTTACTCTTTGATCAGATACTTTTAAAGTAATCACAAAAACATCTTAACATGAGCTTGAATTAAAAGTTAAAACTTCTCACTAGGGTGTTGCAGGAAAAGCATAATGCCCCACATAGAAAGGCAACTTGCATCAAATGGCATCAAACACAATGTAGCATTTCATGGAGCTAAGTCCAGGCCCAAATGTTTGATGCTATGAAAAGAAAATGTGATTAAAAAAATAAAAGTTTAAACTGATCTAGAATTTTAGAAAAATCAAAAACACTGTATTCAAAATGAAAAGTGTATGGATTTTTTTTCAACTTAAAGTTTTGATTTAGCTCTGGACTTCTATTGATCAAATCCCTTTTTTTCATTTCTTACTCTTTTATTTATATACTATATATATGAGGGGGCATGGAATTTTGAATGACAGCATAGCTAAGAAAGCTCATGGTGATCCTTTATTATGTTGCCTTTAGGAGAAGTGGGTACTTTGAAAGACACGACTCAACATTTCTACACACTATATTTAACTGAAAGCTGTAAATAAAGTTATGCTGAGGACACAGTTCACTTTTACAGGCTGTACTGTACAACTCTTGGCAATTACCAAGATATAAAAAGTGTAAAATATGCCAGATTGTTAAATTTAACACCCATACCTGAAGAAAAGATGTTTGTTAAAGTGTTGAGCTCAAACGTCACTCCTCAGTTGTCATTGTATAGATCTCTGTTTTTGCTCGTATGTCTATAATTTATAATTTACTATAAGTTAACAGTGGTTACAGCATCACAAAGCTTCATCAGTGTGCTCACACAGAATCTCAGTCAGGGACAACAAGAGCCAGGAACAAGGCAGGAACAGGGGTCATCCTCTGAACAGGAGATGGCCATATGAGGCCTTACGTTTGAGCTGAACACTTTAGCAACATGTTGGGTCTAAAACCTGCAACAAATGACTGAAAACACATAAAGAAGAGAAAGACAATGGTTTAGATTTCTTACTCGAGGAGAATGGGCAGAGATAGTTTCAGTTACAATCTCAAAACCATTCTGAAGGTATTTCTGTCCAGTCTCTTTTATTTAGGGTTGTCCCTGGTTACACAATGTTACTAAAGGATAGGGGAAAACTATGTGCAGCAACGTAAGCATTCTCATAAAACATAATAATGAACAACAGAAAATATGTGAGGGTCAAGGCAACATTGTTGACATTAAACGAGCTCCTTCTGATAGGAGCGGATCCTCCTCATTACTTCCCACGATTCACAGTGGAGGTTACATCACACACACACCTGCTGATAGGAGAAACAAGGTCACAGAGAAGTTAAGAAACACTCATGTGCTGTGTAATAAAGCTATTGGAGAGAGAAGTTAAAAAACACTCTTATATGATGTGTAACAAGAGGTCAAAACAGTTTATACTTGTAGTAAACTCTTACATAAGAATTTGAGTAAGATGATAACTTCTATACACATTTATACACATTATTCTGACACAACAACATTATTATCAGCTGCTAATAGTATAAAGCTAGTTCATGCTAACCTTGTGCCTACTCACCGCATTGACACCTAGAATCATCTTCCTGAATGCCCCTATGTATCAAACGTTACACAGCAATAAGCTATTTGGAATAATTTTCACTGTACCTTTTCTGAAAATAGCATTTCTTATCTGTGCAAGTTTACCAATGAGGTAAACTGATACTGCAATATGTTGACTGTCATTTGTGGAAACAGGAAACATCTTTTCTTTAAGTATGGGTGCTAAATTTGGCATATTTTACAGTTTTCATATATTGGTAATTGCCAAGAGTTGTCCAGTACAGCCTGTAAAAGTCAACTGTGTCCTCAGCATAACTTTATTTACAGCTATCAGTTGAACACAGTGTATAAAAATGTGGAGTCATATCTTTCGAAGCACCCACTTTTCCTGAAGGAAATACAACCAGGGAAGACCCTGAGCTTTCTTTTGCCTGGTAGCTGTTGGCACAAGGTTACCATGAACTAGTTTTATGCTTTTAGCTGCTGATAATGATTTTGTTGTTGTTGGTGTTAAGCTCAAACTTCAGTCCTTAGTTGGCCTTCTGTTGACCATGAATTGCAGAGCTGAATTTTTTTAACTTTAGCACTTTAAAAGTTAGTGATAAAAACTTTAATACATTTATTTTCATTGCAAATACAGTGTTTTTAATTTCCGAAAATTAAAGATCAAACCTTAAACTTTCAGTTAAAATTTTTATTTTTTAAATCACTTTTTTTTTTTTTTAAATTAACACACCTAGCTCCATAGGATTTTATGGCTCACATGATTTCTGTGACTGGACAACCTACTCTACTGCTGATCTTAAACTCCCAGCTGTGTGAATTTCCTTTTGTGTTTTGTTCTAATTTCAGGTAAAATTAAGGACGTCCTGGCTCAGGGCATGGTAAACAGTATGACCCGGCTAGTACTGGTCAATGCCATCTACTTCAAGGGAAACTGGGAGAAACAGTTTAAGGAGAATGCCACACGTGACCTTCCGTTCAGGCTCAGCAAGGTGACTCTGACTAGGGCCCTTGTCTCAGTTCAGAGACCGCATCAGGCTGAGCGTGCTTAAGCGCGCTTAGCTGAGCGCACTGCCGTTATGTGGACTGGAGTACCCTGAGTGAACCCTTCAGAGGACTTCCTGGTTGAGTCGCCAAATGTCGCCACTCTCAGGCTCACGTCACGACTGACTTGATGAAAAGCCGCATAACACAGCAGTTATTTTTTAATTGTACGACCTTTCTCAGACACAAAACAATAGATACATACAAGCATTACAAGGTTACCGCCGGTGTCAGAGACAAGGGGCTCTATTTTGGTGCCTCGCCGGAGACGTGCCGCAAGCGCAGCGTCAGTCAGATCCGCCGCGCTGACAAGGCGTTCCCAAGCACATTTTGGTATTTTGGTGAGCCGCGCAGCCCGGCGTAAGTATCCCCCCTCCCTAACTCAGCTCCTCCCAGCACCATAAGTAGTAGACGGGGAGTAGAAAGGGCGTGTAGTTGGTTTAACACAGCCGAGACCTGTTTTCACCAATCACATAGGCTCCTCTCCTTGCCTTTAAATCCGCCACAGGCGAGGCGTATTACTATTTTCATGGAGTAGTCAAAGAGATCAAGAGATGTCTTAAGACAGTAATGCCACAAGATGGCGACAGAGGGCAGCTCCTCAACAAGTGTCCTCCACACTCTCTCATATGAGCACAGATGGATTTAGTGTGCGTAATGTTGGACCCACTGGTAAGACAAACACCCGTTTCCACAAATAAAGACACTCAAATAAAGTTGCTCATATTCAAACCTCACGTGACAAAGGTCGGTTGAGCGCACAGATCACAACATAAACTCCAAAAATGGCATTAAAATCGGAACCATCTGTGCGTAAATGACGCATCGCGCTCCGTGGCCTGGCTCTTTCTTTCATAGATGTTGGCATATAAAATGAATTTGGCTCACAAAACTGAATATTATAATATCCGTATGTCGGCTTAAAGTAGATAACGCATCTGAGCACTGAAACAAATCATCTGTTCAGCTGCAGCAGCAGCAAGACGGACAGAGGACACGGAGACGTGTCCAGGTCGAGCTGTGCGAGAAATAAGAGGAAGAGGAAGAAAGAAAAGGAGGGAGACGAATTACATATCTTGTTAACTTCATCATGTGTGTTTATTTACTAGATATTTAATTTAATTTGATGCGGTTTCAGCTGTGTTGATTCGGTCAGGTTGTGTGTCCAAACGCGTGCCAAACGCGCTCATCAGATCAGATATAGATCAGAATATATCGATATAGATCTAAATGTATGTGCTGACTCAGATTAATAGTTGATGATGATTATTTATTGCACTGAAATGTGCCTGACACTGTGGAAACCTGCCGGTGAGGCATCAGTGACGTATGTCAATACGCCGCCGGTCTACCAAAATACTACAAGACCAGCTGCGTTCCGCCTTGCGCTGAAAGCTGACCAGGTTTGAATCGGCGAGCTTTCAGCGCACGTTACACGCCGGTGGCGAGCACGAAAATGTCACTGCGCCAGCTGATTCTGTCAACACCTCCCCCCTGCCACGCCACCACGCCCAGCTTGGCGGATCTCGGCTCGCCTCCGTGCGAATCAGTCCACGAAAATACCAAACTCGCCTTACGCCGGGCTCCACCAGATGAAAATACAACTGCGCCCAAGGTGCTTGTCGGAGCTCAACTCCCTCTGGATCACAAATGTTGATCATCATCAGTTTGATTGTTTCTTCAGAAACCACAAAAACTCTCTGAATGACCTGCTGATACATCCACCGATAACTCTGCAGATGACCAACGCTAGACATTTCCCCCTCCACAAAAGCAGCTTTATGACTTTTATGACATTTACTTTATGACTTTATTCTCCCAAGTTTACAACTTTAATCTCTAAATCAAAAAAACAAAAAATAAATACTCAATGTTGTCCTGATTCTCCGATGTAGTTTTGGCAGCTTTCTTATTTCTAATGTGTTCGATTGTGGTAGCAGAGCGGATCAGTTTGTCTCTAAATACTATAATGTTTGGTTTACAGATTTTAGTCAGTTCAGAGATCATACGCTCATGCAGCCTGAGCTGACTGTCTGCTGGTTTTGGATTTCTTGTATTTTCTTTGAAGAGGCACTGCGTCTCCAAGTGAGTCCAGCCCATAGACTGTACATAAGATGGACAACCTGGTTCCGCCTTCCGCCTGTATACGGATTTGAAGCCAAAAAGCTCTCGGTAATTCCGGGTTTTTCTCCACTTCCTTGAAACCAGAGCTGCGCAGTAGCGATGTGCGCATTCGGCCGCGGAGAGTCCCTGTGATGACGCTCGGCTCAAACAGCGTATCCCCCCGGGAGAGCTACGCAATCCCTGAACGCCCATAGGCTGTACCAGGTGTCAATCATAGAAAACATGAACCCCCTAATAACTTTTAAAAACGGAGCTGTACAGAAAAAAGAGGACTTGAGCACAAACCAGTCTTACAATAACTACATGTCAACATCACAAGCAGGGGGGAGAAAAATTTATGTTCTGTGTAATAAATTTCTAAAGTTTGTCCACAGTCCCATAAGCTTTGCTGGCAGAGGCGGGATTTATGACCTGTACTGCAGCCCACCATCAGAGGGTGCTGTTCTCAGAGTGGCTTCACCCAGCGAGGAGGCAGACTCTGTCCATCTTATATACAGTCTATGGTCCAGCCTCTCACCCGAAATGCGCAGCTGTGCAGTGGTACGCAAAGAATTCTGGGATACCAATGGCACGAAAGTGTGCATAAATGCACGCTTAAAAAAGGGGTGGGGGTAGTGTGGTTTTGAGACCGAATTTGAAGGGCGCTTAGCATTTCGTGCCAAATGGGACACCGTTCGCGCCGCGTGATGACCTCACGCACACCTCAAATGCGCTGTTCAACGGTGCGGTCTCTGAAATCAGACACAACCTAGGGATGTTCCCAGCAGTTAATTTCACTGACGTTTAAACGACCATTTTGAAACCGAATATTCAAATACACGAAAATTAATTAACTCCCAGGAAATAGCCCAAATTGAGCACATGTCAATCTATATGGCCTGATATCATCTGAAATAAATATTAAGAGTACATGAAAGCCATGCTTATAATATTAAAGTACGTTACAGAATCTTATTTTAGCGCTGGAGAATGACACAAAGTACAAGAAAGATCAACGCAATTAAGCTCCGCTGCGCTCAAGCCAAGCAGCCACTTGTGTGCCATCTTTATCTAAATCAAAATAGTTTTCTCTTTTTTCTCACCGACATCGCTCTGGCTGATCGCATGTGTTGATTCACTCTGAGGAAGTTAACCCATGATGCCATGCATACTGTAGGCCAGCGCTGCGAGCCCAGAGCAGCGAGCCAGGCAGAAAGAGTCGCACACAAATGATCCACACATTTTAGCTTGTTTAATACACACCTTTATTAAGACATGATGGTAAAAACGTAATTTTAAAAAAAACACAAAAAAAAACGCTTTTTTTCTTTTTTTATAGAATAAACTAATATTATTTACTAAACGGATAGTAAGGATAGTCCCGTTTACACATATATCCAAATGACTGCGCACATCCCTAACTCTGACCAGACTGACGTTAGCTCTAGTCTGTTAGTGTGGATTAAAAGCTCTCCATGACAGTAAAGTAAAACACTGTTGCTGTGGATGCTATTTCTGACCTTTTGTGAACCAAAGGAAACTAGACCACAGGGTTCAGTTTGATCCAAACCTGTTTGTAGACAGACACTTCAAATAAGTTTTTGGCTATAAATGCTGTCAGTGATTTAGAACACTTCATATTACACAAAAACATTAAACCATTAAATAATGTATGAATTGATTTATCAGCTATTTTGATGCTGACAGTGGTTTTATCTTTTCTTTGCTGAGAGTTTGAATCCAAGGTTTTTCTAGAAACTGAGTATTTTCTGCAGTGATCCACGATATGCATTTAATGAGCTGATACTAGGCCCAGCCAGGCCCAGAGTGGCTAATTTGGTCAACCAGGACATGACCTGGTAGGCTGGAGCTCTCACTCTGAACTGAAGTATTGCCACTACTGATTAATTCTTAAAAAATAAGGACAACCAGCATCCATAATACACTCTTCACATCTGACACAGCTTGTAATGTGCTTGTTATTTGTAGCTCAATGCCAGGATCAGATGTTTCCACTTTTTCTTCTGTTCAGAGTATTACCTGATCACACTTAAAAGTTACGTCAGCCACCCACATCACTGGAACAAAAATGTTTCTTGTCTTTATAACTTTTGATTTTTTTCCAGAATGAAACCAAGACGGTCAAAATGATGCACCAGAAATCAACATTCCCCTTGACCTACATCCCTGAAGGATCTTGCCAGGTAATCGAGTAATACAGTATATTACTTTTACTTCTGTTAACTGATTGGATGTCAGGTTGTCCGGTCATCATGAGGTGAATAGAGGGAGGTTTTATTTCATACAAATGTGGAGAATCTGTGCAGCTATAACAACTTCATAAGATTTGGGTTTGCTTGTAAATTCATAGAACAGTTTTGGACGGATCAAGTGACTGATATATGTTGTGTTTGATTAACCTTTCTTCTCTCATGTCTATTTAAGAAGATACCATCACACTAATGTTTGCAATGCAGCTTCCAGTCATTTCCTGGATTTGCGTACTATATTCTTTGTAATACCTGGAACCCTCTCTTGCACAGGTTCTGGAGATGCCCTACAAAGGAAAGGAGCTCAGCATGCTCATATTTCTTCCCAACAACATAGAAGACAATACAACGGGTCTGGAGAAGGTAGGACCCAAACTCACCTGGACATGCACATGTAGATAAACCTGCAGATATGAAAACAACCTGATGTTTGATTTTTTTTTAACTACAGCTGGAGCAACAGCTGACGTACGAGAACTTTATGGATTGGACTCGTCCTGATATGATGGATACCGTTGCGGTGATGGTGGGGCTTCCTCGGTTCAAGATGGAAGAGAAGTATGACTTGAAGGACATCCTGACGAGCATGGGGATGGTGGACGCCTTTGAGATGGGGAGGAGCGACTTCTCTGGTAGGAGATGTACATGTACTGTAATAGAGAGATTCACAGTTTTTTATCGAACAGAAATCCAGAAAACTATAATGGCACACACAAGCTATAGCCACCTGCTCACTATTCATCATCCTGAGCAGTCTCTGGTCAGTACAAGAGATTTTCTGTTGTTAAAATGACATTAATTGATAAAGCCCCCCCCCCTCCAATCCACCCCATTACAGGTATGTCTCCAGCAAACCTGGTCCTGTCTAAAGTCATCCACAAAGCGTTTGTGGAAGTAAACGAGGAAGGAACTGAAGCCGCTGCCACCACCGTTACCATTGCCTTCACAATGGGGCGCTGTGTCAGTCGTCCAGCCTCCTTCATCGCTGACCACCCCTTCCTCTTCTTCATCAGACACAACCCCTCCATGAGTATCCTCTTCGCTGGACGATACTGCTCCCCTGAGTGAGTGCCACCTTTCAGAGCAACTAGAGGAGGGTCCAAACCCCATCTACTGCTTCTGCTATGATTAATTCGGTTTAACATGAATGAAGGAAAAAAATACTCCAGAATTTTCCACAGATAATCACTGTGGGCACTTGTCTTGCGACACCAGATTAAGGAGTTAATTCAGTGGAGCCCAGTTTCTTTATTAGTTTGCCATGCCCTTCCCAACATAATATCATTGCACTTTTTACCTTTTTATGCCTAATCCCACCTAGAGGATCAGCTTTTATATATATATCTGTTATGCATGCTTGGCCTTTTTTGCTGCACTTTAATCTTTTTTTTCCGGCAGTTGTCTCCACCACTATAACACTTGTCTTGTACCTTACACTCTTGGGCTGAGTCTCATTTCAGAGACCACAACATTGAACGGCGCATTTGAAGTGTGCATGATGTCATCATGCGGCGCGAACGTTGTCCCATTTGGCACGAAATGCTAAGCGCGCTTCAAATTCTGTCTCAAAACCACACTATCCCCGCCTGTTTTTGAAACGTGCATTTATGCACGCTTTCGTGGCCTTGGTATCCCAGAATTCTTTGCGTGCCGCTGAAGAGCTGTGCATTTCGGATGAGAGGCTGGACTCACTTGGAGACGCAGTGCGTCTTCAAAGAAAATACAAGAAATCCAAAACCAGCAAACCTGAACTCACTAAAATCTGAAAAACCAAACATTACACTCTTTAGAGACTTAGAGATTAAAGTTGAAAACTTGGGAGAATAAAGTCATAAAATAAATAAAGTCATAAACCTGCTTTTGTGAGGGTTTTGCAGGGTTATCGGTGGATGTATCAGCGGGTCATTCAGCGAGTTTTTGTGGTTTCTGAAGAAACAATCCAACTGATGATCAACATTTGTGATCCAGAGGGAGTTGAGCTCCGACGAGCACCATGTGTCTGACACCGGCGGTAACCTACACCTGCAGAGACACCAACACCTTATTATGGCATATGGATTCATATCATAAACTAAAGCTCAATGTCATACACGGATATTTACGGCTGCATTGACGGATTTATCCTCAGCATATTGATTTCTGCCTCCACAAAAGCAGCGATTTCCTCCAAGTACACCTGTTTTTTTGGAAAAGACGTATATCTCATATGTTCTTTTTTAAGTCTTTATACTTGTGACAATGTGATGCTGATGTGCCAAAGGATGAAGTATCTCCTTGTTTGTGAAACCCATACTGAAGCACAGTTCCTTTAAATGCTTCATGGTCCTAATTTCAACAACTCTTCTCTGAAATAACAGGTAACCTTACGACTTTATTCTCATAAATTATTGACTTTATTCTCGTAAATTCATGACTTAAATCTTGAAGTCTTTAAAAAAATTCTCTCTATATGGCCCTCATACTCCTTCATACAAAACAATCATTGGATGAATTTTGTGGGAATGACCTGTGCTTGTATGTATCTACTGTTTTGTGTCTGTGAAAGGTCGCACAATAAAAAAATAAATGCAATTTGAATTTATAATAAATGTCTTAAGATTAATCTTTGATGATAATCTTAATTTATGACATTTATGCACCTGTTAAAATGGGCACCACCCACCTTAATGGTGGGAAAATAAAGAAAAACAAAAGTTTAATTCAGAAATCAAACATTAAGTTAATCTTAAATTAATCAATCTCATATCTCAAGCTGAAATTCTCATTTCAGGGACTCCACCTCTGGAAGAACACTAACAGACAAGAACATAGAAAAATAAGTGATCTGTTTATTATAGGATTAACGATAGTACAACATCCATGCAGTAAATGAGGATAAGATGAATATAGATAATAACAGATGAATGAAAGTTTCTGAGTCAGGCTACGGTTACTAAAGCTAATGATAGTGAGTGAATATGCTCTAATATATTAACCTACATTAAATTTGGTGTAAAGATAAATTTGGATGTGGTTATCTGAATTGAATGCATGAGACAGCATCAGCCCTTTTTGGAGCTCTGGGAGGTTGGATACTTAAGTGAGCCTGGTCCTTGGAGAAGATGGAGCAGGTTCAGAAGGTCCAGGTTACTGGTTCAAGAGGTTCAGCTCTGAAGAGGACCAAAGTCAGACGAAGGACAGGCCAGGAGTCAACGCACACAGGCCTGAATGCAAAAACCAGCGTGCTATGTATCCGTTTGATGCTCCTTTGGTCTCACTGCGACACTCTGGCTCAGAGGATGACTTTGGGCCTGCTGGATGGGGTTCAGAGGTGACTTGTCAATCACACAGATAACTGAGAAAAAGAGGCTCGATGACCAGTTGAGAGTATTTCAAAAATGGCTTTTCGAAATTAAAGAAAAATCGATGAAAGGCTTAATCTTGAATTGCCATGTGCGCAAAAAGTTAAAGTTTCACAACTTGAACTAAGACGATGTTAAAGAAAAATCAATGTGAATGAACACGTGGCGGAAAATGTAAAAGACTTTGGAAAAAAACAAGACAAAGAGAAAACCAGTTTAGAGGGAACTAAGCAGAAACAAAGAGACAAAAAAAACAAGAGGAAAAACAAGAGTGTGAAGAGTAAAAGGCAAGAGAAAAGTAAGAGGCAAGAGAGTGAGCACCCCAGCTTTACTGGTTTTATACTCTTCAGACTGGGATTGTCTCCAAAGTGTGAGGAGAGAAAGGAGGGGTCCTCATCCCCAGCTGCAGCTTCCTGAGAGGAGACTTTCAAGAGCCCGGATTGTTTGATCCAATGTATTCTTTTGGCTAGTAAAGGGATCGAATACTCACTCAGTATCATTTAGCATTGAGCTCCTTCTTCTCTTGGATTCCTCTGGACTGTTACTGCAGACATGGACATCAGCCTCACTGAAATTAATCATATAAAACTAGAGCTGACTACGATTAGGCCTGCTGACTGTAATCACATTAAATTAATTTAACATAGTCCATTATTACTCATATCCTAACCCTGTAAACTGAATTTATTTTGTTTCACCATTACATGAGCTGTTGTTGTTGTTGTTGCTGTTGTTGCTGCTGTCCCCTGTCTCTCTCTCACCCTTGTTCCTTACTCTCTCCCCCTCACTCTCCTTACTCATTCTCTCTCTCCTTCCCCTTATCTTGTCTCTCTCTCTCCCTCTCTCTCCCTCCATCTCTCTACATTCCTCCCCAACCCAGCAGTGGCATGGTGGCTGTCTAACATGAGGCTGGTCCTGCCCAAGGTTTCTGCCTGTTAAAAGGAAGTTTTTCTTGCCACTGCTACTCATGTTAGTTGAGATGGGCCAAAACCCATCTTAGGTTGGTTCTCGATCATCAAACAATGAGCGTGGTCTAGAGCTGCTCTTGTTCTTTGAAAAGCGTCTTTAGATGACGACTGTTGTGAATTGGCGCTATATAAATAAAAATTTATTTTGATTTGATTTGATCATAAATGTTAAAGAATGCTTAGTTCATAATAAAGGATTTGATGCTAAACACATATAAAGAATTGTAGAATCTCATTAACGAACATTCTCATTATGCTTTGAGTATCACTTTTCAAAGAACATTGATCATGTTAAAGTACTCTGAAATGAATCAGATAGTAACACATAGAAACTGTGAATAACACAAGGGTAAACACATGTGAATGAATTTCATAACAGTTAATAATGGATTCTACGAACCAACATTCAGATTATTAACTAACAGTATAACTACCTACTGGTAAACCAAGCTAAACAAATGATTAAGAGATAAACTAAACATTTCTACACTATTCCTACTAGAATAGTGTTGTAATTCAGACATAAAATCTTATCAGCTCTGAAAAGTTCATGAAACAGTTTGGAAAGCTGTTAAGCTCAAGAAACTTTAAGACTGAAGGATTTATTCTGTCAGTGTGGGATCTTGGCTTATGAACATGATAGGAAGATGGGACAAAGACTGTTTTACTGCACATGTTGAGTACTGACAGAAAATTATGGTGTAGTGTCCAAGCAACCTGTAATTAGACTAGTTGTAGTTATTCTCTTTGGATTGTACTCACAGAGAGAACAGGAAAGATAAACCAAATGTAGGATTTATGGCTGAGCTGATAAACCTGAGGCTTCCCATTCAAGGTGTGATGACAGACGTTTATCTGATCGAGTGGTCCTGAAGTTCTTTCCTGCAGGCCATAAACAATGTCTTTGTCTCTTTGAAGTAGAAAGGATAGACAGTTTGTGTTTTGGAAAGGCTTCTTTGGTTATCTTGTATAGAGACAGGAGGTTGTAGAGGGACTATGATTTAGTGTTAAAGGTTTACACCATCTTGTCTCCGGTGAGCAGATGTTAGCCTTACATTCTTTTGGGGGGTTGGGATTTGAAAGTGTTACAACACTTATCAAGAAGAGGTCTGTTAATATTCAACACCAATTAACTGCAGGGAAAGACCTCAGTCAGTTCTTTAAGAGGGGAATAATTAACTACTTGTGACGACCCTGTTCAGAGAGGACTGGTATTACTAACTGCATTTCTCTCTTTCGAGGTGATGAGGCACTAATTAGCTGCGTAGATCTGGAGCACTTGGGCCCACAGCCCCACCCAGGATTTAAACACCTTAGTTTCCTGTTTCTCCCTCTCTCTCTAGATCATCTCTGCACAGGCTGATTTAGATTTTGACACATGCACACACACACACAAACACACACTTTACACATGCCACAGATACATGTTTGTGTTGATTTAAAAACATTACTTTTTGTAAATTATGATATTTTTTGTCCTCTATGTCATTTGTTATTTTTGTCATGCTCTTTAAGCCAGGTCATGACATACTTTTAGTATATGTTTCCTACAGGCTGGGGTTAGTTTGTTTGCATGGGTATAATTAAAAGGTACCTCAATGAGCATTGTAGAGCATCTTAAACTAATTCTTCTTTCTGCTCTGTCCGGTGGCCCCGAAGGTGAAATGCACCAGCGCGTTATGATGGAAAAACATTTCTCTTTGTGTAACAATACTGAATGAGATGCACAGATATTTCACCAAATACAAAAGCAGTTTAAGAACAGCTTTGGTTATATTTTTGGAAGATTCTCAAAAAATTTCAAAAATGATATTTGATATAAAAAAAAATCTGCTCTGTACTTCTGAATTGGCGAGATAATTATCTCAGTCATCAGAAGGTGTTATGGATGGAAAAAACATGCTCTTTCCCCCTTATTTATTTTGTTCATTTTTAAATTGCACACCAGCAACAAGAAACAGCAAAAAAAAAATTTCGATTAAAAAAACAACAACAAATCAAGGCAACACAGTATAATTATAACAGTATGATTATTTTGTTAACGGGGAAAAAAACAGAGCAGATTTAGTTTACTTTGGTGAATGCAATAAGCTCTCGATTAAATTTTGTTAATAGACCAAGAATAAGCTAGGTCCCAAGATGGAGCCTTGAGGCCCGCCTTTAAAAACCTCCTGAAAGGTAGTAGAACCAGCCATCTTGGCGCAAGATGCTGCTTGGTTTGATAGGCCAATATGTTGAAGAACACTTAAAAGCAGACGGCGGTCTAAAGTATCAAATGCCAATGCCATCAAAAAAGCCAGATAAAGGTTTGATGGTCAGTGGTCATGCTCTAGAAAGAATTTGGGGTTATAAATATCTCAGAGTGACACTGAAAACATATAGAGAAAATGGTGGTGAAATTTGAAAAAGTAATGTTTTAAGGTGTCTGGCAGGAAATGATCTGGGGGCTGACAGAGAAATCTTGTTGATAATTTGCAGAGCAATGATTCAGTCTTGTGTAGATGAGTGTACTCTGAAAGTACGGGATATTGTGGAATTAAAATTCTTAAGAGTATGTAATGTACCATTTCCAACCACTCTAGTGTCAACCTAATCGGTGGAAGTGGGGGGATGTTGTTGGAAATAAGGAGGGTTGGAGTGTGGAGGGTCAGAGACTGTGACACATGTAATTTTACAATGCACTAGTTATGCATCTCAAGGGAGAAAACTTTTCAAAGATTTGGGAGCGGCTGGAGAGACTGTTTTTAATATGAACATGTAGCAAGTGGAAGGTTGAAAAGTTATTATAATGCCGAATAACACCATCTGGGGAGTTATGCCCAGGAAAATTTAAACCAATTGTAATGGAAAGAACACACCGGGTTTGAAATAACCACAGGGCGAGAGACGGTTTGTACAAAATCCATTTTTAAAAAAACGTCTTTTTTTTTTTTTTTTTTTTAAACAAATGATCAGTAAAATTAAAAGATCAAAATCAACTGCAACTCTTAATAATTCCACTATGGCCAAATGGCAAAAAAAAAACACTTGTATAGAGCTGGAGTTTACTGTGGCGGCCCAAGAAAACCAAAATCATGGGTGGTGGAACTAAGTAAAACACCTGTGGCACTACAGACACTCTGAGAATCTGTGAGAAAAACCCACCACTAGGGTTTTGGATGGCCACCTCGCACTTATTCAAAAGAGAAGGTGAATTAAAACAGGCCATAGAGCTCAGTGCAGTTGACTTGTTGCAACATGAACACACCCAAACGCATACACACAACTACGCATTTGATTGATCAGGCACATGTCAAATAGTTAAGGGGTTCAAAGACGTGTAGAATCATTGAAAATCAGAAGTATAATTTAGCTCCTGTCACTGTGATGGTTGCTGGATTTATGATTTCACTTGGACAATGAAAAAACAAGGCAGCAGGTGCGGCTCAGAACTGTACATGATGCCCGTTTACTTAGAAAAGAAACGCTACCATGCACAGGACGCGTCTTTATGCTGCTATGGTGATGAATCTTTGCGTTTTCTGGTGGAGTGAGAAGGGTGTCCCATACCTACCGGTCTCTTTATACTCTCCCATTTCAAATGAGGCGCACTCCACAGCTGCAAGTGTAACTTCATTACAAGTGACACTCGGTAGTGAAGGGTGAGTGTGTAGGCAGCAGTTTGGGATTGGGCCTGCATGTGAACTAATCGCATCAGTCCCCCAGGTCATGTTGTGAACATGTCTTCATACGCACCAGGGAAGAAAAGAACGTAGCAGGAGGAATACAAGAAGATACACAGAGGAATTATTTGTTTATCAACACGGTGTTAAATGTCTTGCAAACAAAACAAAAAAAATTCAAATGTGTTGTTGAAAATTTTCTTTTGCCAAGATCTGTGTTAGTTAGATTTATTTCAGCTTTGCAGGTAAGAGTCTTGACTGTTATTTTTGGAACACCTTAGTTTAAGCCAGTGTTTTTTCAAAGTTTTGGCAGTCACAGAGAATGAAACCAGTTGACACAGTTTCACATGAAAGATGTGTTAACTTCAGTGAGCATGTAGCCAAAATGCCAATTAGCTGAAATGCTGTGGTTTATAATTTGGATCAGGATGGCCATTGCCACACTTAAGAATTCTGCACTCAAGTTTGATATCTAAAATATTCCCAGGACCGCCAAACCTCTCATTACATGACTCTGACACTTGAGAGACAGATAAATGTATTTCCAAGCATATATTCATATCACAAACTGGAAAATTCAACAATGCAGTACTTAATTGACAGAATCTGTAAAAAATCTGTAAAAACAGAATCTGTAAAGCAACTCAAAGACAGCACATAGTAAAACTCAAATAAATACCATTTCATTCTATTACTATCTTCTCACAGCCCACTTGCAGTACCTCCCCAACCCCAAGGGGCCACTGGCAGGCGTGACTTTGTTTTTTTGTTCTGTGCAGGTTAAAAAAAAACATAATATACAGGCGTCTCCTTCAGAGTGACAGCAGAAACACTCAGTGAAGCAAGGCCTTCACGATTTACTAAGTGTGACCTTTTAAAGGCAAGGCAAGTTTATTTGGATAGTACCATTCATATACAAGACAATTTAAAGTGCTTTACAGACGCAAGGAAATACATAAAAAATATGAAAAAAGGACAGATTAAAATAATTTAAAATCCAAGACAATAAACGATTTTAAATCATAAAGACAAAACAATGTAAAATCAAAAAGACATAAAATGATTTAAAATCAATAAGGTAAATAGTTTTTTTTTTAATTATAATTATTCTATTTTTTTTTTGGTCTGTTCCATGTTTGCCCTGAACACCATGAAAACTATTTTTTCCCAGAAAAACAAAATAAGTCACAAGCTTTCAGACCCCCCAGATGGTAATTAGTTCTTTCTTTGACTATCGCGGCTCTCATGAGATTGAAAATTGGAGAGTCATGGTTACCCAGACCCTTCTTGCTCCCACCATTTTGTCTTAGCACCTGGGCCTTTTTTGAAAATGAAAAATCATACACAAGGAAATTTTGAAAAGAAAAACAAACCATCAAGTCTTCTTGAACTCTAACCTTGTGGCTCTGTTGAAGAATTTAAAGACATCCAACTCATTATTTGAGCATTTTATTCATGCATGCAGAACATTTTGATGACAAAAGGGTACAGAGAATATGAGAAGCTGTTGGACTGCTGCAGCCACCATCGTGGAAACAACTGATCAAATCTATCAAAGATGCTCCATAGTTACATTTATACCCTCTGAACCCTTGAAATTACAGTAATGACTGTTTGCATTATGTTAATGTCTTCAGAGTGGCTTTGGTACAAGGGCAGCTCTCAAAATGCACACAATACATTTTAATGATGTATCAAAGCAGACATAGGTATGTCTTTATGCAAAGCAGCACAGTTTTGACTCAAAAGCTCTCCCAAAGCACAGCTCAAAAAAACTGAATAGTCAATAGCAGAAATTCTCCATCTTCTTTTAGAGGATATGAAGTTAGTGGATATATCGGACTCTCATGAGTCTAATTCAGTGTTTTAAGACTCTAGAATCAACTTCACAGAGAACACAGAAAATTTAAGAGCCATAATAAAGTAGAAAAAATGTGGCAAAAAAGAAAGAGTGAACAAAATTTGTGAAAAGACAAAGCCACCATATAAACATTAGAAACTTAAATGATGCAAACACAAAAAACCCCACTGTGTTTTAATGTAAATCACCCAAGTGCCCTAAAAATGTACACAAAATGTGAAAAACAGACAGATTATACCTATAAGAGACATATCTACTGCAAAGCTTGCAAAAGGAACTTCATAATGGCCAAAAATAAAACAGCAATTCAATATAATGAAAGAAACCAAAGCAGAAAACAACCAAAAGTTTAGAAGAGTGACCACAAAGAGACCAAGTAACCATCTCAATCTACTCCCTTACAAATGATGCTGGGGTGTCACATATCGACCCCCTTCACATCTCATGTCTGCGGACGTTCTGCAGAGTTTACTCTGGTTTGCAGTATCTACCTGCAAAGAGGACAGTATTGCTGGGTTTATGTTTGATGAAGAAGAGGAAGGGGTGGTCTGCCACGAAGGAGAAGGGCTTCCCAATATAACCCATAAGAGTCTCCATTGTGATACCAGTGGCAGCTGCCGCCTCTGTCCCCTCCTCGTTCACATCCACAAACGCCTTGTGAACCACTTCAGATACAGCCAGGCCCTTGACTGGAGACATGCCTGCACAGGGGGAGACAGAGAAAGCTGATTTTTTACAAATAATGAATTAGAAAATGTTATAGTGAACATAATTTTTTTCTCTTCGAACAACATCCTAAAGTATATTTTTATTTCTGACCTGAAAAATCACTCCTCAAGGAGCTGAAAAGATCCGTCATTCCCAACTTCTTCAGGGTTTCCACCATGCTGTACGTCTCTTCCAACTTGAACCGAGGAAATTTCACCTCCACCTGACCATGATTCATCTTTTCTGTCCACTGCTCAAAGTTTTGATAGGTCAGCTCCTTCTGCAGCTGGTGTGAATAAAACAACAGCAATCAGTCAGTCTGTTTATTTTATAGTTACACGTACAGTGTGTATGTGTGTGTGTGTGTGTGTGTGTGTGTGTGTGTGTGTGTGTGTGTGTGTGTGTGTGTGTGTGTGTGTGTGTGTTTGGGGCGGGGGGGGGTTCTCTACCTTCTCCAGGCCTGTGGTGTCGTCCTCAATGTCATCGGGCAGGAAGATGAGCATGCTGAGTTCTCTTCCTTTGTAAGGCACTTCAAGGATCTGTTCAAAAGATTGTTATTCTTTAACCATGTTGAAATCTGATTTCTTCATCTTGATCATAGGCTGAATAATATGAATAGGCTGGTGTGACTCGGGCGCCCTGAGAGTGGCAGCAAGTCACAGCAGCTCCTCACAGACTTCACGTATGTGCGTTCTTATTGTTGTTTTTTGCACCTTTTTATCTTTCTTTTCATTCAGCAGTGTTGTGTCTGCATATTCCAGCCATGGATGTGCAGTTCATGACTCTAGCACTTTGTTTTCTTTTATTTTTCGGAGTTTTTAAGTCCGCGACCGGCGACCCATTCACCGGCCGCATTGTTTACAGCCGTGAACAGCTGTTGGCGCTGCGCCAAGCCCGGCCACCTTCGTGGGAGAGACCGGACATCCCCGCTAAGCTCCGCAGGAGAAGGAGAGGATGCAGGGCTGGAGTTCAGCATCGGGCAAAGCGGAGACGTTACAAACCAACTGTCCCGTCCATCATCATGGGAAACGTGAGGTCTCTCCCCAACAAGATGGAAGAGCTCACAGCGCTAACTCGGCTGCAGTGGGAGTATAGGGAGTGTAGCCTCATGATGTTCACGGAGTCATGGCTGAACGAACTCACTCCGGACCCGCTCATAACTTTGGACGGATTTCACCTCGTCAGAGCGGACCGGATCGTGAGGGAGAGTGGTAAGAAGAAAGGAGGCGGGATAGCGGTGTATGTGAATGAGAGATGGTGTAATGCTGGGCACGTCAGTGTTAAAGAGCAGCTCTGCTCTAAGGACATTGAGCTGCTGGCTGTGAGTTTGCGGCCATATTACCTACCGAGGGAGTTTTCGCACGTCATCGCGTTAACTGTTTACATCCCCCCCTCGGCTGATGCTGCTGCAGCCTGTGAACTCCTCCATGGTGAAGTGTCCAAGCTACAGACATTACACCCTCAGTCTCTGATCATCATCTCTGGAGACTTTAATCATGCATCGCTGTCCTCCACTCTCCCTACCTTCAGCCAGTATGTAAACTGCCCAACAAGAGACAATAAAACTTTGGACTTACTTTATACAAACACCAAGGATGCATACACCTCCCCCCCCCTCCCCCCGCTGGGCCGCTCAGATCACAACCTGGTGAGACTGCAGCCCATTTACATACCTATGGTGAAGAAACAACCCCCCACCATCAGGTATGTTAAGAGGTGGTCTGAGGAGGCCACTGAGGCGCTGCAGGACTGTTTTGAGACCACAGACTGGGATGTACTGTGCGGCCCACATGGTGATGACATCGACACCATGACTGACTGCATCACGGACTATATTAACTTCTGTGTTGAGAACACCGTACCCACCAGGAAAGTACAGTGTTTCTCCAACAGCAAACCCTGGGTGACCCCGGAACTGAAAGTCCTCCTGAAGGAGAAGAGGAGGGTCTTTAAATCTGGGGACAAGGAGGAGCTGAGGAGGGTGCAGAAGGAGTTGAAGAAGAAGATCAGAGAGGGAAAGGCCAGCTACAAGACCAAGATGGAAAACCTTTTGCAACAGAACAACGCAAGGGAGGTCTGGAGAGGCCTGAAATCCATCTCAGGTCATAGCAGGGGCCATGAGAGGGGACCTGAAGCAGGAGACAGGGAGTGGGCCAACGAGCTGAATCTGTTCTTCAATAGATTTGACTCTACTCCCACTCCTCCCCCGACTCATCTAACCAACGACCCGTCTGCTGCTCCTCCTTCTTCTTATTCACACCACCTCAGTCCCATGGCACCGACACCATCAACCCCCCTCCACTCATCCTCCACCACCCCCTCCAGCACCACCCCCAGCCTCTCCATAACAGCTGACCAGGTGAGAAGTGAGCTGAGGAAGATGAAGCCAAGGAAAGCCACGGGTCCTGATGGCATCAGCCCCAGACTCCTGAAAGACTGTGCAGACCAGCTCTGTGAGGTGCTACTGCACATCTTCAGCTTGAGCCTGAGTCTGGAGAGGGTCCCAACACTGTGGAAGACTTCCTGCGTGATTCCTGTCCCCAAGACAGCACACCCCAGGGAGCCCAACCACTTCAGACCTGTGGCCCTCACTTTTCACCTGATGAAGACTCTGGAGAGGATCGTGCTGAGGAACCTCCGCCCCCTGGTGAGCTCTCATCTGGATCCTCTACAGTTTGCATACCAGCCAAACATCGGGGTGGATGACGCAGTCATCTACCTGCTGCAGAGGTCCATGGCTCACCTGGAGAACACTGGCAGCACTGTGAGGGTCATGTTTTTTGACTTCTCCAGTGCGTTCAACACCATCCAGCCTTCACTGCTCAGGGGGAAGCTCGAGCGGGCGGGAGTGGACTGTCACCTAGCCGCATGGACCGTGGACTACCTCACCGACAGACCACAGTTTGTGAGGCTTCAGAACTGTGTATCGGACATGGTGGTCTGCAGCATGGGGGCTCCACAGGGGACAGTGCTCTCCCCCTTCCTCTTCACCCTGTACACCTCAGACTTCAGCTATAACTCTGGGAGCTGTCACCTCCAGAAGTTCTCTGATGACACAGCCATCGTCGGATGTGTATCGTCAGGGGATGAGCGGGAATACAGGACTCATCACTGACTTTGTCAACTCGTGTGGCACAAACCACCTCCAGCTCAACGCCAGTAAGACAAAGGAGATGGTTGTGGATTTCCGCAGGAGGGGGACACCTCAAACAGTTCCAGTGAACATACAGGGTCTGGACATCGAGATGGTGGAGTCCTACAGATTCCTGGGTGTCCACCTCAACAACAAACTGGACTGGTCAACAAACACAGACGTCCTGTACAAGAAGGGCCAAAGTCGTCTCCACCTGCTGAGGAGACTGAGGTCCTTTGGAGTGTGCAGGACTCTGCTCAGGACTTTCTATGACTCTGTGGTAGCATCTGCACTTTTCTATGCAGTGGTCTGCTGGGGGGCGGGGAGCACCGAGAGGGACAGGAAGAGACTGAATAGACTGGTCCGGAGGGCCGGTTCTGTCCTGGACTGCTCTTTGGACTCCCTGGAGGAGGTGGGTGAGAGGAGGATGTTAACAAAGCTTGTATCCATCATGGACAATCCCTCTCACCCACTGCACCAGACTGTGGGGGCTTTAGGCAGCTCCTTCAGCAGCAGACTGAGACTCCCACCCTGCAGGACGGAGCGCTACCGCAGGTCATTCCTCCCTTCTGCAATAAGACTTTACAATGAACAGTAACAAAACTGGATTTACACCACCACTTTTTTTATGGCATTTAAATTGTGTATATTGTAGAAAGCTTTATTTTTTCTTCTCCCTTTTCTGATTTTTTTTTCTTAATTATTACATTTATTTAAGTTCTTAATATTAGGACCCTTATTGTTATAACTGCATTTTTGCACTTCTTGTCTTGTCTGTGATGCTGCTGTGACAAAAAAAATTTCCCCATGGGGGATCAATAAAGGAATATTCTATTCTATAAAAAGTATGGATGACAAACATTTCGTGCTTCCCCTACTGGCTGGCTGGTCATAGAGGTCACAACAGCCTCCCTCTCCACGGCAACAGATGAGGCATGAGTCGAACTAGATAATCAGAATACAATACTAGTTTCCACAGGAAGCATTGGAACAGCATATAGCATTTAGTGGCAATGTGTTTAGTTGTCTTTTAACATAGATGCTAAATCATCGAGGGGGTAAGCATTGAACTAAACCCATACAAGGCTCATATCGAGAGAAATCCTTACAGCCGAGGATCTACACCTGCATTATTAAATGTATTTCCAAATGCTTCAGTTCAGTGAGATAGTGAGCAGGGCATAGGCATAGAGTTTCATAATAGACACAAGTCAAGCACCTGTCACTATTCCAGATTATTGCGCCCCTCCAAGAAACTTTAATAACCACCAACAAATGGGTTTCCCCTGCTGGGTCTGATTGCAGCTCCGCTAATGCTTACTGCACAAACTCATCACCTGGAACGTCACCACCAGTTAGATATCTCAGTGTCGGCCATGTTTGATTTCACTTTTGAATAGTGGGAGGATAGGAAGATGTGTCAGCCATCTTTATATAAGTCACTGATCCTGAACAACAGGCTGAAGGTACATTACCTTGATGTTGAGCTCTGGTATGGAGTTGTAAAAGAACGACTTCTCCATGCACATCATCTTCACAGTTTTGGTGTCACTCTATGAGAGAACAGAGAACTGTTGAGTGTTTTTTTGTACCTCAAACTCATAAACTTTGATTGTCTATTAATAACAAACTATTAAAACATCTGTTTGGGTGTTTTCTGATTTAAAAAGTAGACTGAAGAACAGATTATAAAAATCAAACTTCTGAGGTCAGCACTGGATCAAACCAGCTCTGTTAAAGTTCAAATCTAGCTTAGTTTAAGTGTGACTTTATATATGAGTTTATACTCATGTTCAAGGTCACTGGCTGAAGTAGTTTCAACATAATCAATCCACATAAGTTTACATCTTACCTCTATAGCTCTGAGTAGGTGCATAGACCTTGGTGAAACACAGCTTCATGTGTTTTTAAGATGGTATAATTTGGAAGATGAGGAGAAGCAGAGCATTTTACTGGCTGTTCTGTGGTTGCAACATCTCTGTGATCATTTACATCACTCTGAAATGTGTAAAGACTTTGGTTTGTACTCCTGCTTTCATTTTTAACAAGCCGAGATCATTCCATCTGTACACCAACAGAGTACCAGTTTATATTTAACATTTATATTACTCAAGGCCACTTGTTATTTTACAATAGACATTATCATCTAATCATACTGTTTTGCCTTATTTTACATACCACTACACTGCTGAACGTTGATTAATGGGAGTTAGCTGCAGTTATTTCAGCCACTGGCCTTTTTAAAGGTAAACAGCCCGTTAACAAAAGCTTCTCTCTCATTGGCCAAATGGAGTGACAAAATAATTTTAAGCATATTTTGGTTTGTTTGGACGAAAGGTTTTACTGGTTAAAATGAACCTTATGTCTGCATGGTGCAATCTAACACTGACACAACTTACTTTAAAACTCACAAGTTTCAACTTACATGTAAGAGTGGATTTTGCACCTTTAATTAAGACACACACTACGCAGAGCTGCAGCAGAACATAGAATTTCAAGACAGATGGATTTTTGAGACTAATGTTGGAATTCTGGTAACAGGGCCAGAACTGTTCATCATCATTCAGTTTTTGTGGGAAAATCTACAGAAAAATCAAAATTTTAAGTAATAAATTAGTGTCTCATTTCACAGGTAAAAATTCACTAATTAATGAATTCTGTATCAACATAGTCACACAAGTTCCTCCACTGCCTCAACACTGTCTGGTGTCTATTTGTCTTAGCTTCCTCCTCTGTTTCTATGTTCATGTAGCCTCGACGTAAGTAGGACTTCTGGCTTTTTGCTCTATAACTCTGCAGAAAAAGTCTGAGTTAAATAGGCTCAGATCATTAAGACTTCACAGAAAAGATTTATTAAATTCACTTATTTAGCAGCTTTTGTTCTTTAGTCTGTTTCCTTCAGTTTCTGTCTGTGAGCAGTCTTACCTTACTTATTCTGAATGGATGATCTATAGTGAGCTCCTTGTCAAAAATTTGCTCCCATGTTCCCTTAAAGTAGATGGCGTTGACCAGCACAAGCTTGGTCAATTCATTTATGGCGCCCTGAGACAGCAGGTCCGAGATTTTACCTGGTGATGAAGAGAAATATCCATCAGACTGAGTAACAGACACATGGACTCTACAGTACTTTTATTCACAAGGAAATTTGGTTCCTTATTTTCTGGTAGTTGTACCACAAAGAGGAGAAGAACAAAGATACAGAGCATTCACATGTTATTTATTGAGTGGTCTACTGAAAACAATTGAGGAAGAGACGAGACACAGTTTATACAGTTAAAGATAAATCAAAAAATGAGTGGGTATGAAAGGAAAAAGGTTTTCCTTTGAAGTCATTTTCTGATGTGTCTGAAACTGAGTGAAAATGAAATAGGGAAACTACAGGAAAAAACAGGAATAAGGACTTAAAGAAGAGGTCAAAATAGACTCTGACAGTGGACTTGCCCAACTATTTTGGATGGTTTTACCTTTGCCTGAATCCATCTTAAAAAGGCTTGGGTCAAGAGAAGTCACCAGCATTTATAGATGATATCTACATAGTTTTTTCTTTGCATGATGCTGTGGATGCAGCTGTGAACTGTGTTCATGGGCAGTGGTTTTTGGAGGTGATTAAGAGCCCATGCAGTGACTTCCACCACAAAGTCATGTGTGTTTTTAATGCATTGCAATCTGAGGGCTTAAATGTTATCCAGTATTGTTTTTTGGTCCTTGTCCCTTTGGTGCACAGATTTATATTACAAGTACTCCAGCTGATTTTGAAACATGTTGCGGTCACCCAAACAGGAATACCATTTCTTAAGTCAAGTCAAGTCAAGTTTATTTGTATAGCACATTTCAGCAGCAGGGCAATTCAAGGTGCTTTACATGAAACAAGCAGGCAAAACATTCAACACAATTTAAAAAGTAAAAACAGCGTAAAAGACATTTAACAGATTAAAAGTTACATTCAAAGCTAAAATAAGATTGGAGATAAAAGAAAACAAAGGTTAGATTGGAGAGATAGAAAAAAAAAAAAAAAAAGATCAAGACAGGCAGATGATGAAGATGTTGATTAAAGGCCTCAGGTTTGATTTAATGATAGGCCACAGCAAACATATGCGTTTTCAGCTGTGATTTAAAAGAGCTGAGAGTTTCAGCAGACCTACAGTTTTCAGGGAGTTTGTTCCAGATATGAGGAGCATAAAAACTAAAAGCTGCTTCTCCACGTTTAGTTCTGACTCTGGGGACAGAGAGCAGACCTGCTCCTGATGATCTGAGCGGTCTGGATGGTTCGTAACGTATCAGCATATCAGAAATGTATTTTGGTCCTGATCCATTCAGTGCTTTATAAACCAGCAATAGTATCTTAAAATCAATTCTTTGACAGACGGGAAGCCAGTGTAAAGATCTGAGAACTGGGGTGATATGATCTACTTTCTTGGTCTTAGTGAGGACTCGAGCAGCAGCATTCTGAATCAGTTGGAGCTGTCTGATGGATTTTTTAAGCACGTTGTGATTTCTCATATCTGACTTTTGATATGTTTTTGTTCATTTTACATTAGAATGGGTTTGATATTTTTCAAATCTATAACGTCTGTTTCTTTTTTTATCCAACACAGTCCTCATTGATTTTCAACAGCATTGTCACTTCTACCTTGTGTCTTTTCCTTCACCCAGGTGTTGATGTTGATCCGGGCCTCCTCTGCTTTGGTTTTGAAGTCCTCAGATTCCAACTCAGCGCTGTAGTGTGCTTTGATGTCTGCCAGGAAACTCTGGATTTTAAAAAAAGGCATGTTTGTATGGTGAAACCGAATTAGAGTTACAGTTTCATTTCTAACTGACATATTTTTCTTCTTCATGGAATGAATAGGAACTCAAATGAAAAAGAAAATATATGTCATTTATCAAAGGGATACTTTTGTACACAGGCATATGTTGGTACCTGCAGGGCATCTCTGCCTGGCGCACCTCCGACGGTGCCTAAGTCCCAGCTGCAGGCTTCAGCTGGGAGCCATCCTGGCCAGATGTTTTCCCTTGTTCACCAGGGACTGACCCAGGGACTCTGCATGGCAGGGGTGTCCTCCTCCCTGAGCCAGACTTGCACCTGGCCGCGTACCTGATGGTTCACTGTCGCAGGTCGATGTTGGGGACCTCTGGGGTACTTTAGCCGGGCCACCTCAGCCAGTATCTCGATACCAGCTGCAGGGTCCTCAGCTGGGAGTCATCCTTCACTGATGTTTCGCCCCTTTGATCACCAGGGGCCTCATTTATAAAACCTGGCGTAGGATCCATACTAAAAGTGTACGTAAGTTGAAAAGCTGAAAAGTGCGTAGGCAAAAAAAAATCTGATTTATAAAACCCTGCCTACGCACACCTGCACGCACTTTCCCTTTATAAATCACAGACCAGCTGGAAAGTTGCGCAGCAGGGATTTGATTCTTCCCCGCCCTCTCCACACCCAAAATTCACCATGTATGGTCATGCAAATTACCTCATGAATGTGATTTGCATGTAAATAAGCCTGGTGGATCCACGGCATTTCACGCTTAACCATGGCATCAGCAAGTCGTAGAAAAAGAAACTTTTCAGAGATCGAGGTGGAGGTTCTTGTAAATGAGGTGGCGGCGAGACGGGAGACCTTATTCGGCGGCCATTCGAGTGGCATCACCAATAAAAACGCCGTTGCCGTGGTGGCAATTGCGGCTGGCACTGAGCGCAGCGTTGCCGAAACAGTGTTGTTTTCGTCATATTTCGTCAAATATTTTCGTCAACACCAGCGTCAAAAGGAAATATTTTCATCAACGAGAACAACACTGGTTGTTTTTGTTGACGGAAATATTTCCCTTTTCTTCCACGACGAAGACGTAACGTTGACGAGCTAAACATAAGTCGGAGATGACTAAAATGTGACGAGACGAATGTGCGGTTACGTTGATGGGACGAGACGAAAATGACGACCAGAGTTGCAAAACTCAGTCAGTTAAACGCTAAACATATAGGAGCAGCTTCTGTCCGCTCTGACAGCTCTCATCAGCCTGCTGTGCTCCTCCAACACACAGACACACACGCACGCGTGCGCGCAAACACGTGGAGTTTTGTTTTCCTCGACGATGACGAAAACAAAACTGTGCCGAAATCAAGAAGAAGTGGTCTGATCTAAAGGTGGAGGCTAAGAAAAAAGTGGCTTTTCACCATCAGAGCGTGGCGGCGACAGGTGAGGATCAGAAAAAACAAGCACGTGTGACACTCGTGCATGTGTTCAAAAAAAAAAAACGCTCCGTTATCCACCGCTGCTTATGTGGTGAAAGTTCGTAAACCAAAAAGATGTAGTCATATTTATCTTAAAACAAATGCATGTAAATGGAATTTGTTTTTTTGCACATTTGTAAATTCAAATTGGCAAACTATCTACACCGCCACAGTGGGGTCTGTGCTTTCTGCGAGCATCACTGCCTGGTACGGCAGCTGCAGCTCTCAGGACAGAAAGGCTGCATCGAGTCATCCGTTGTGCTGAACGCATCACCCGGACTATTCTCACCTTGCTCCGATTGTCTCCAAAAAGTGCGTAAGCAAGGTGTGGAGTTTGCTTAAAGTTGCGCACATTCCTACACTAGTTTTTCTTTTATAAATCCCAACTCTTGCGTAAGAAGTGGCGTACGCAATTTCTAGCCAGGTTTTGTGCGTAAGCAAGCTTTATAAATGAGGCCCCAGAACATCTCAGGATGGTGGGGCAGCAGTCAGGGACGTCTCCCTGCCACTCTCTGCAGTTGGATTTCGATATTCAGTTTTTGCTATGTGGCATCTCGGTTCCCCCAGCTCTTGTCCTTTCTTCGTAGCCAGAGCCAGAAACTTCCCTTTTCCGCTTCTTCTGAGAGATCCTTAAGGACATTTTTGACCTTTGCTGCTGTGGAGACAATGTCCCTCAGGAAACGGTTGGTTGAGAGGCCAACAAAACCACGGCAGCCAATTTCCACTGGATAGGTTGTTGCTCTCCAGTCTTTCTCTTGGCATTCTGCCACAAAGTCAGCATACCGTGCCTTTTTCCTCTCGTACGCTTCCTGGATGTTTTGCTCCCATGGGACCATCAACTCGACTAACAGGACTCGCTTCTCAGTTATTGACCAAAGGACAATGTTGGGTCTCAACGTGGTGAACGTGATGTCACAGGGGAAGCGTAGCTGTTTTTCGAGGTCTGCTCTCATTGACCAGCCCGGGGCCAGGGCGGATGGTCTGTTCTCTGTCTCTTTTTTGGGCATTTCTTTCTGGCCTCTCCTGCTGTTACAAACTGCACCAGCTGCCTCTGTTGGGATTCTGACTTCTCATTGGCCAGGACTCTCATACTCTCTGTGTGCTCTGCCAGCATTCTTAGTACTTGGTCGTGCCGCCACCTGTAACGACCCTGGGCCAGAGCCGTCTGGCAGCCACACAGAATGTGGCAGAGATTTCCTGTGGTTTTTTTTGCAGAGGTCACAGTTGTACCATCGTGCCAGGTTTGTTGGGCTTGGAAGGGTGTCATAAGTAGCTCTTATGAGAAAGCTTATCCTCGTCTGAGGCATCTTCCAAAGGTCACTCCATTTCACTAACCTTGGTAAGATGCCCTCCCACTTGGTCCACTGGCCTTGCTGGCACTGGCCATTGGACTCGGCAAAGAACCTGTCCTCCTCCATCCTTGCCACTTCCGTAACCACCAGGTTCTCCTTCTTTCAAGGATGCTTTTGACCACAGCTTCTGTGGCTCTCCCCAGCCAAGACCACACCTTCCCTATTGCGTTCTTCCCACAAGCTCTTTGTGCTTCAGTCTGGAGATGGCATTGTCCACACAGGCCTCTGCCTTCCATGCTCTGCCTGTTCTTGGCACCAGAATTCCTGACCAGATGGTCACTTGACTGCCTGATTTCCAGCACCAACCTGGATTTCTCAAGCCTGTACCTGGTTGTGATGTTCTTCAGGGGCAGTCTCAGTGCATTTCTTCCGAACAGAGCAGCATCAGAGAGGCACCTTGGAAGTCCATCCACTTTCGGATGTAATTGCTTGCCTTGGCATCCAGCTTTGTGACTGTTGTTGCTGTTATTTCACACATCTTAAGTGGTCACATCACATGCTGGTAGAGTGTGGACTGATAGCACCAGACCTTTTATTTGCCAGGGAGGTAGCTCTGGTCAATCCTCTTTAGACCATCTTTCAGTTGGTCTGTGACTACAGCTGCCATGTGTCATATATATAAAAAAATTGCTCAATCTAGTTGCCATGAAAGTTCCAATGAGAGCACTCAAAAATCAGTCTGGTAATAGTGTTCCTGGCACCTTCTATAGTCAGTACTTCAATATTATATATATATATATATATATATATATATATATATATATATATATATATATATATATATATATACTAAATCACCTCACCTCATGAAACTTGAAGGACTGTTCCCCGTACAGTCTGTTTGCAGTAACAAGGGAGTAAAGGGCGCTCGGATCGTTAAGCAAGGTGAGCAGATTGCCAAATTCAGCATGGACATCCTTAACACCACCTGTCTGTGGAAGTGCCACAGAAGACATACATGCTAAAGAGACAGTGAGGTAAGGCAGAGCATGAAACAGCTTTGTATTATGTTAACATAACATGACTTTAATATTAATATTTATATTATGGCCTTTTAGTTTGCCAGCTCAAATAATGAGAAAAACACAGACATATATAGTCTATGATTGCAACCGTTTTTAGACCTTAAAAGTGATCCTATTGTTTCCCTTCTCAATTAGGAGAATGATAATGTTCCAGCTGAGAGCTGATGCCTTCAGAGTGGGTGGTTAGGTGAATCAGGGTTATGCTGCAGTCAAAGTCAAGTAAATATACTGCTTATACTGCTTCCATACCAAGCAGCACCACAAGGTTTTGCATTCTGTTTATTTTGCTTCTAACATAGGGATAAGTTGTTATCCTCAGAGACTTCACTTTCAGGTCAATTGAGGACTCATCAGTTATGAGTTGGTATTATGCTTGTTTTGGTATCCATTAGAGATTTTATGTCTGCCTACAAGTCAATTGTTTGAACGACTCTTTTAAGTGAACAATGAGAACCAGTTCACAGTGGCAAACTGAGCCATTCTCTATTACAAATTGCTCACTCTGTCATCACGAGTCAGCTGTGTGCCCAAAAAACCAGGTCAGGCAGTACAATTTAGTATTCACATTTTTATTATGTCTTCATTTTTATCAGTTATCAGTTATCTGTAGCCTGTGTAAGATAAGATATTCCTTTATTAGTCCTACAGGTGGATTAGTTTATTGTGCCATTAAGTTTTTTAAGGTGAGGAAAAAAATCTTTGTGGAATGTTCACAATGAAAATACAAGCCAAATGAAATTATAGTCAATATTTCTGAATTTTCTCCACCAATGTGTACCCCTGGTTGACTTCTAAAAAATAAATAAGCACAACAATGAGCCAGGAACTCCTCAAGATCTAGCAACATTTGTAGGTGTTTATTTTAGATCATGTAAAGTTATTTTTATCAATACTAACTGCTGGTTGAATTAAGTTTGTATTGAAGATTTCCATGGACATAACATTTTTTACCATTGGTCTTTTTCTGTTTTTTTCCGTAAAGTCAAGACCAAACCAAAAATTAGCCAGTAGGATTTTAATGAAGGTGGTCACACACTTAAGCTATCTTGTACATCACAAACTCATGAAAATTTAGGAAAAGAAAGTTTTCCATCTGCTGCATATATCTGCTTTTTTTAGGCTGAACATTCACTCTGAATATCTAAATTCTGACATAAAAGTTGCAGCAAATATTGGAATTTTTCCTCTTAACAGGTGACAGACACTTCCTATAACTCATCATTGTTTTCATCCTGTCTTTGTCACCATATCAGGCTGTCTGCTCACCTGCTGGGACTGCATCTGCATCTGCATCTGCTCTTCTTCCTCTGTCTTCTTTGGTTGATCTCTCTCATTGAAGCCTAGGACCTGAGGGTGCAGATCATTTGTATCATCATCAGGTTCATTCAGGTCAACTTCAACAACATGCTTGTTATGAGATGTTTGGTGGAGCAGACTTTCTGATCAAGTGTCTTCAAGTCAAAGGATGCCATATCAGAAATGTTGCTTTGACCTAGAAACAGACTGAGGGGTGGAGCTGAGGCGGGCCTCCTGGTGCCCAGCTACATCATGCCCACCTGTGAGTCCGCTCAGCCACACCTTTTATTATACATATCTGTTCATAAGTCTTTGTAATTATTTCCTCAAAATTGATGAACCTGATCCATTATTTTAACGGCCTCTGAACACTTGACTGGGCTCCAAAAGGGTTTCTTCAAGACTGTGACAATTTCTCACTGTATTGAGAGTGTGTTTCAGCGTGTCTGTGTTTTCACCTCTAACATCTGTGCAGCAGTGTTGCCTCTGGCCCCCAGCATCACCATAGCCAGAGCTGAGGAGATGCTGAAAGGAGAGAAGAACACATTCGCTTTTTGGTCATCCTCACTCAGCTGTTTGAACAGCGCCAGATGGAAGATGGAGTTGGCCTTGGCAAGAGATGTTGATGGTGAAGCCATTGTGTCTACAAAAAACAGAGAATTATCAACTGTAGCATTTGGTTTTTAAAAATAACATTTAATCTCTTTTTCAGCCAAAACTTGTTCACATGACACAGACTTAATTTCAATTGTGTCAAGTGAGAATTCAACTTGTTATATATCCACGTATAGACAATACTTGGGCAGGCTGCTCAAGTACATGTTGCTGCTTAAGCATAATGCAAGGGATTACCACATATTATTCATTGTCTTCTAACTGGCACTGGGTTACCTGATCCAATGCGGGCAAACACTAACTATCTAACACTCACTAGCTTGATGTGTGGTTTATCACCAAAAAATGTGTGCATTTTATCCGACAAACTTGAGGGTCAATCTTTGTGAAATTATTTGAGAAATCAATAGCAGACAGCCCTATTAAAATGATGTGTGAGACCAATGGTTTTAAATTTACAAATAAAAAACTGCAGAGGATGTTTGTTTTTGCATTGTATTTGCTGCTTTCCTACGTGACAGACATCAGTGTTGGTTTCAGACCCACTTAATTTTACAGCACTGTGAAAAGTGACAGTCATAACCTCTCTGGTGTAACTATTCCAATCTTATGTTCTCTGCTGAAAGTGCCGTGTTGTATCTTAAATTGTGGTTTTACACAGTACCCCTTGAACCCCATAGTTTTGCAAAGGAGGGCCTACTGACAACTCATCAGAAATGGGATGAGCTACAAAAAAGAACCTGGTACTTCCGGCACATTAAGCCTACATCTTGCTCTATTTCTGGGGGGTTTTGCACCCAGCTCTTTGTGAATGACCCAACACTTGGTACTTTGGACATAACTGTGGTCTATTCTGCCCTCACTGTATGTTGGCTCAATACAGCTTGACAGATAGTTAACAATAAATAATGAAAAGAAACTCTGAAGTCTTGTTGAGGATTGTTTGTTCTTCTTTTTCCTGTTTTATTTTCCAGATTTCTTCCCATTAGTCTTAAGAGTTGCCACCCATCCCGTTTTTCCCAAAATTGTTCTCTTTTCCTCATCAGATGTCCCGGGGAAAATAAATAGGTGTTTGATGAGCATTCCTCAAATTTCTTAGTATTTTTTGCCACCTTTCCCAACTTCTTTGTCAGGTGTTACAGCCATGAAATTCTGAGTTAATTATTATTTGCAAAAAAAAATAAAGTTTATGAGTTTGAACATTAAATATCTTGTCTTTGTAGAGTATTCAATTGAATATAGGTTGAAAAGGATTTGTAAATCATTGTATTCTGTTTTTATTTACATTTATCACAATTTCCCAACTTCAATAGAATTGGGTTTTGTAGTTGTAAGCAGAAGGGTGTGATTTTTTGCCATCTTAAGAAACACATCACTTGGGTTTTTGCTATAGACAATCTGAATCTCCATTTACCTGCCCAATCCTTCACTTTAAGTATTGCATCTTGCATTTTCTGACTTACATAATCTATACTGCAGCCTCTTCCCTAAATAGCCCCGTCATCTGCATACAATGATTTCCCTTTTCCTTGTTCAACGAGAGAAAACAATGTCATTTATCATAATGTTGAATAACATTGGACTACATACACTACCTTGTGGGGTACCATTCTCCACTTCATACACATTAGAATATTCTGCACCCACTCTTCCTTGTATTTTTCTGTTGATTAAAAAGTCCAACACCCAGTTAAATGCTTTTCCACCAATTCCCAGTGATTTTAATTTAATGAGTAGTCCCTCTTTCCAGAGTATGTCATAGGCTTTTTCAACATCAAAGAAGGCTGCTATCACTTCTTCCTTTTTGGTCTGTGCTTTCCTGATGTCTGATTTCAAACACAGTACAGAATCCATTGTATTACGACCTCTACGGAACCCATTTTGATATGCAGACAGAAAAGCTTTACTTTCTAAAAATATGTTAATCTTTCTGTAGCCATACATTCAATGATTTTACATAGATATGATGTCAAGGCAACAGATCTGTAGCTAGATGGATCTGAGGGGTCTTTTCCTGGTTTTTGAATTGGTTCTATTGTTGCTCATTTCCACACTGAGGGAAGTTGGCCAGACTCCCAAACCCTATTAAACAGACTTAACACTATAGCTTGTGCTTCCTCTGTAAGGTGTTCCACCGTTTTGTAGCATACACCATCTTTCCCAGGAGTAGTTTGACGAGCACTAATGATAGCTCTTCTCAGCTTAAACAAACTAAAAGGCATGTCTAACTAATCTCCTGGCAGCTCCATTCTCTTTAGTATTTTTGGGTTTGTTTTAAGGATCCTTCTTCTAATCTGCTTGGCCTTTTCTGTGAGATTGTCTGAACTGTGAACTTTTTTAAATGTTTGGGCTAGTAGTTCAGCCTTTTCTAAGTTGCAGGCAGCCAATTTTTCACCATTGTTCAATACTGGTATTTTAAAATTCCTCCTGATTCCCCCCATTCTCCTAATCATGCCCCACACATCTGACAGCTGTACCTCACTCCCAATACTGGTGCTATCCGTGCGTTTTTGTGTTCTTCTTACTATTGCCTGGGTCCTTTTTATACTGTGTCAGAGCATCCTGAGAATGGTGTTTTTTGAGTTGCCTAAACACTTTATTTCTGGCTTTTATGGCTTTATCACAGTCACTATTCCACCAGGCTACATTCTTGGTACCTCTACCCTCCTGTACTTTTGGAGATTGGTTCCTCAGCAGATGTAATTATTTCTTTTACTATTTCCTCATTGTGTTTGTAAATGTGTATATCCATCTGGCTCTCTTGAAGTTTTGTCAAGTCTATTTGTGCTGAGTCTTTGGAAAGAATCCCAGTCAGCATTTACCAATTTCCATCTAGGAATTTTCTTTCCCTTTTCCATACTAACCTTTGATCTGACTGTAGTCATCACAGGATAGTGGTTGCTACGTACTGTAGAATGTTTTAATACTTTCCAAGTGCTTACGTCTGCTGTTGTACTATCTACAAATGTCAGGTTGATAGCTGTCTCTGTGTTTTTTGTGCTTTTATATCATGTCCCCTCCCCAGTATTTGTACACACCAAACCCTGATCATCTAAAAATTCCTCAACTACACCATTTGCATCTGTGCTATTGCTTTCTCACAATGACTTATGTGAGTTGACATCCCCCCCTCCATATTACTCTTTCTTGCAGTGATCCCCCAACAGAGTTTAATATATTTTGATTTAATTTCTCACATGGATTGTAATAATTAACTATATCTATGGAACCTTTGTTAGTCCATACCTTAATTACAATTGCTTCATGATCTGTGTTTATTTGTTATATTTTAAAACTCATTCCATTCAATGCAATGAGGCTTCCTGCATTCCACTGCAACAAGAGTAGGACCATTAGGAGGATCCAGCCCATGCCTGAGATGATTGGGTATCTTCATTCAGAATGTCTTTGACTGTTTCCCAGCTCAACCCCTTCACATCAAGGTACCTTTCAGCTGAATTAACAATTATTTTGATTCTTTCATTTCGGCTCTTTGTCTGTGTTGAGCAGTTAATTGTATCTGCCATAAACAACACAGATTCATTTATACCTTATCACATCGGTTGCATTTAACGGTATCTTTGCTCACATTGTTGCTTTGCTTTGCTGTCTGTACGTTTCCTGACACCATTTTGACTGCTTCTGCATAGCTCACTCCTAGGAAACCCTGACTCTCTGTACCTCTGCTGCTTTTTTACTTGCCTGCATCCACGGTATGCTGAGCTATGTTCTCCTCCACAATTGCAACACTTCAGTTTTGCCCCTTCTTCACATTTGCCATACTCATGGTCTCCCCCATATCTGCCACAACTCTGTTTCCCCTTGCACACTGCCGCTACATGTCCAAATCTCTGACATTTAAAACATCTTAGGGGTGGGGGAACATATGGTCTCAGATCATAGCACATATATCCAATGAATATCTTTTCTGGGAGTCTTTCTTCATTGAAGGTGATTAGAATTGATAGGCTGTTGCTTTTAATCCCATTTCTTTTTGCTTTCAGCCGCTTAAAGCTATGGTCTACGATCTGAAAACCAGTTTGGCTGTTGAGACAGATTTGAAAAACGCAAATCCCCCCTCCTGTGCTCACCCAAAGTCATGCAACACTCACAGAAATCGCCGAGAGTGTGAACCAAAGATCTCAATATGAAGAGGTTGTTCACACTGCTGGATTCTTCTCCTCCAAAGCTGTTCTCTGCCTCCGTCATTGTTTACTTTCCTCACGAAGCACATAGCAAGATCCGAGCGAATCCACGCTCCCGGCTTGGAAAGCTGATATGCCTACATGCTATCCCGGTTTAAATGGGTTAAGTGACTGATGCTGATGACGGCAAGGCCAGTGAGCCGTTCCTGAGACATGGTTGACCTTAGGTACAACTTTATAAACTTCAGTTTTTGAGAAGCTCCTCTCTGCTTGAGCCACCGTGACTGGCAGAGTGAGAGCAGTCCTGAGAGCAGAACTGTCCCCCGCGACCCTCTCACCCTTCGTCTCATACAGTCTGTCAGCCTCTGTGCGGCACCTTTGCAGCAAGCAGGGGCACCCACAGCAGCAGGGGGCACCAATTTGACAAGAGTTCATACAAATCCGCTTTGCGGCGCAGATTTATCAATATTTTTTTGGAAGTGCTCGTGCTGCCCCCCATGAGTCATGACCATAGACTGTATAAAGTATGGACAGCATCTGCCTCCTTGCTGGGTGAAGCCACTCCGAGAACAGCACCCTCTGTTGATGGGCTAAAATATAGGTCATAAATCCCGCCTCCGCCAGCAAAGCTTATGGAGCTGTGGACAAACTTTAGAAATTAATTACGCACAAATACGAAATAAGAGGAAGAGGAAGAAAGAAAAGGAGGGAGGCGAATTACATATCTTGTTCACTTCATCATATGTGTTTATTTACTAGATATTTAATTTAATTTAATGCGGTTTCAGCTGTGTTAATTCAGTCAGGTTTTGTGTCCAAACGCGTGCCAAACGCGCTCATCAGATCAGATATAGATCAGAATATATCTATATAGATCTAAATGTATGTGCTGACTCAGATTAATAGTTGTTGATGATTATTTATTGCACTGAAATGTGCCTGACACTGTGGAAACCTGCCTGTGAGGCATCGGTGACGTATGCTGATATGCCGCCAGTCTACCAAAATACCACTAGACCAGCTGTGCTCCGCCTGCACTGAAAGCTGACCAGGTTTGAATTGGCGAGCTCTCAGCGCACTTTACACGCCACTGGGGAGCACGAAAATTTCAGTGCGCCCTCTGATTCTGTCGACACCTCCCCCTGCCACGCCACCACGCCCAGCTTGGTGGATCTCGGTTCGCCTCCGTGTGCCTCAGTCCACGACAATACCAAACTGGCTGTACGCCGGGCTCCGCCAGACGAAAATACAACTGCGCGGGGTCCACCACCCTCCGCCACCTCACCGGCGTACACAAAAATAGAGTCCAAGGTCTTTCAGCCACTGACTGTGAGTGGGCAGGGCAGCATCCCTCCATCTGAGGAGAACCGCACGTCCAGCCAGGAGGGAGGCAAACGCTAGGGTTCAGCTCTTAATGGAAGAAAGATTTGTATCTTCTCCCACCGTACCAAAAACAGCCACCAGAGGATCAGGTTCTAAGGTTATGTTAAGGATTTGTGATAAAGTTTGAAAAACCTCTCTCCAAAATTTCTCAAGGCTGAGACACGTCCAAAACATGTGAATAAGAGAGCCTTCACCTAATCTGCATTTGTCACAGAGGGGATCCACCTCGGGATAGAGACGAGCTAGTTTGGATATGGATAAGTGAGCTCTGTGAACGACCTTAAACTGCAGGAGGCAGTGGCGGGCACAGAACGATGTTGAGTTAATATACCTATGGATCTTTTCCCACAGATTGTCTGACAATGTAAGGTTCAGGTCTTGTTCCCAGGCAGCCCTTATTTTGTCTAGGGGATCATGTCTTATATCTATCAACTTATTGTATATTATGGAGATGAGCCTTTTACGTGTTGGATGCAACTGAAGCACATCATCGACAATGCTTGTTTCAGATGCTGCAGGAAAGTTTTGTACCTGAGAACGGATGAAGTGTCTAGCTTGCAAGTACCTGAAGAAGTGAGTTTTTGATAAGTTAAATTTTTTGCACAGCTGTTCGAAAGATGCAAAATAGTTCCCAATGAATAAATCTGTAAAGTGTCTAATAACTGGTCTGTGCCATTCCTGAAAGGCGAAGTCAAGTGAGGAAGGTGGAAACAGAAGGTTAGAAAAGATTGGGCTGGATAGAGAAAAGCTAGTTAAAGTGTTTTCTAAACTAGGTCCATATTTTCAAAGATTGTCTAACAACAGGGTTAGGGATTGAAATATGTGAGGGGACTGGGAATGAGGATCTAAGCAAGGCTGGAATAGAATGATTTTTAACTGAGTTTAGCTCCATATCCACCCACTCTGGTTTACCTGTCCTGTCATAGAAATGTGTCCAACAAGTAAGACAGCGTATATTAGCTGCCCAGTAGTACAGTCGGAAGTTTAGTAGAGCCATACCCCCGCTGTTTTTGGATTTTTGAAGATGAACTTTGTTGAGACGAGGACGCTTGCCTTTCCATAAAACTGATGACAAAACTGACTCTAACTGATCAAAAAAAGATTTTGGTATGAAAACTGGAATTGATTGAAAAAGGTATATAAATTTAGGAAGAATGGACATTTTAATTGAATTGATTCTGCCTACAAGGGATGTAGATAGAGGAGACCATTGTGCCAGACCTAGTTTAACTTTGTTTAGCAGAGATAGAAAGTTTTCTTTATAAAGACATTTGTATTTAGTTGTCACCGTAATGCCTAGATAGGTGATCTTGTTTTTAGGAACTTTAAAAGGAAGATTTGATAAGTCTGTGATAAAGGCAGCCTTATTCAATGAAAACAGTTCACTTTTGTGAAGATTAAGTTTGTATCCTGAAAACTGGCCAAAGTGGGAAAGCAAAGGCAATCTGCGTAAAGGGACACTTCATGTTCAACTCCCCACCTCCAGATGCCTTTGGTTTCTGGGCAGCTTCTCAGGGCAATAGCCAGAGGTTCCAAAGCCAGGTTGAAAAGGAATGGGCTCAGGGGACAACCCTGACGAGTACCTCGCTGAAGACTAAATGGTTGGGATTTTGGGGAATTTGTGAGAACAGAAGCGGTTGGGTTTGAGTATAATAGTTTTATCAAACTAATAAAGCTAGGTCCAAAATTAAATTTCTCTAAAACATTAAACAAATATGCCCATTCCACACAGTCAAATGCTTTTTTCCGCATCCAAGGAGAGGACACATTCAGGCACTGTATCCGAAGGAGTATACATGAGATTGAGAAGACGACAAATATTGAAATAAGGCTGACGGTTTTTGATAAAACCAGCTGAACAGCTCCATTTTTAAAAGTTATTAGTCATGTTTTCTATGATTGACACCTGATACAGCCTATGGGCATTCAGGGATTGCGTAGCTCATCCGGGGGATACGCTGTTTGAGCCGAGCGTCATCACAGCGACTCTCCCGCCGAAGGCGCACATTGCTACTGCACAGCACTGGTTTCAGGAAATTAAGAAAAATCCCGGAATTACCGAGAGCTTTTTGGCTTTAAATCCGTATCCATACGGAAGGCGGAACCAAGTTGTCCATAGTATCTTCAGTCTATGGGTTAGCCTTATAGGATTCCATTTGCTGAATGAAGCACCCTCTTGCGCAAGTTTAACGGTTACCTTAAACTCCTTCTTTCCTCCAGCCCCCCTTTTTTAATCCCTATAATCTGATTGATTACTTGCTCTCTTATACGTTTATTTTTCCTGACAATATCCCATTCAACTTTACACCTCCTGCCACCTACTTCCATCTCTCCTGACTCACTTCCTGATCCATCACTTCCTTCTGCCATCTCCTCACCATTCACAGCTCAGTTGTTGCCAACTGCCCTCCCTCGACTGTTTCTCTCTCCTCAAAATCAAAATGGTCTGACGAAGAGCTAACTCAAAAACGCTGAAAGGAAGAACATAGTCATTAAGAAAGTTTAATTGATAGTGACAATAAAAAGGTCTCACATTGATAATTGATTGTTTCATTCTTGATGTTTATTTATTCAATTTATTCACTTTGTATTTTGCCTTTAACACTGCTTGGCAGTACCTGCATCCAAATGGACTCAAAGCACTTTGTGAATCTTATTGATCTTGTTTCTTCTTGACTAGATCTTGACTCGAATTGTTCTTGCTTTTGAACGTATGCTGTTAAATGACATTGTAACATGAGCATCTTCAGGCAGGAGCTGGCTACCCTGGGTTTTACTGAGGAAATTTTGAGGAAATTCATCCTTACCTAAAGAATTTCAAAAGGAGACCCTCTGAGAAGACAGCTAATGTGGTGAAGGTCCTAAACAGTATCATGCCTTTATCATAATTTTATTTGATTTATCTTTTTGAAGTTAAATTGCATCAAAAGAGAGCCTTGATATATGAAATGCATTTTTTTTAAATAAACTGATGCCACACCTGAAAAAAACCTAAAATCTTTTTAAGCTGCTAAATTACTATTCAGCACTTCATTCTAATGATTTTGCAAACTCTGAACTCTCTTGTGTAAACTCTTATGATTTAATGAGTGTGACATTTTAAGGTAATGGATTAATGTCATTAAATGAGTTTATAGCTGTTATTGTTGGAACACCTTAAGTTATGCCAGTGCTTTTTGTTTTTCTTTAAATTTAAAGTTTTGGCAGTCACAGAAACTGAAACCAGTTGACTCAGTTCCATGTAAAAGGTGTGTTAACTTCAGTGGAAATGTAGCCAGAAGCTGATATGCTGTGCAATCAGGCGCTAACTGCAACACTTCATTCAGCATTAAAGTTTGATATCAAAAATATTCCAAGGACAGCCAACCTCTCATTACATGACTCTGACACTTGAGAGACAGATAAATGTATTTATTTGTAAGCAACACAAAAAAGCACAAAGTGAAACTGAAATAAATATTTTTTTATTTTATTACCATCCTCTAACAGCCCACTTGCAGTACCTCCCCAAGCCCACTAGAGGCGCAGCCATAACAAACCACTGGTTTATGATACTGTACCTTTAATTGAAGCTACAGTGAGGAGCTTTTGCGTTGATTGCGGTGCCTCCTTCAGGATCAACCAGTGCCTTACATTTCTGCCCATTTTGTCTTACAGTTGTGTAGGTTATGTCTTTCAACGAAAAATCTGATCCTGCCGTAGTGCTGGACGATAATTCGATAACAATATATATCGATCGCTAGACGTGTGGTGCGATAGAAAAAAAACGGGTCGATAAAAAGTTCGATAGAAAAACAGTTTCCCTTTCTTTTTCATCATAGCCTATCATGTAGCTTTTACTACAGTCATTACTTCCTCCCAACCAATCACAAACGCAGACCCAGGTACGCTACGGCACCAAGCCCAGCCCCTATCAAACCACAACAGACAGCACGCGTATTAGAAAAAATGATACAGCAAGGAGAAGCGGAGGAAATTGTCCCGAAAAAAGGTTTCAGTAGTTCACCAGCATGGCAATGTTTTGGTTTTTAAAAGTCTGACAAAAAGCGAACAGCGGTCGTTTGCAAAATTTGCAGAGAATTAGTAAAAACCAAGTCTGGTAACACAACCAACTTGTTTTACCATCTAAACCGATCGCACCCGCAGGAGTACGAGCTGTGTCGGCCACGCCGCGGCTCCACGTCATCGTCGGAGGAGGAATCCTCTGGAACCGCTGCCAGCACCAGCACAAAGCATGTGAAGCAGACCAAACTGGACTTCGTTTCTTGCCAAAATACGACAAAGCGTCCGAGCGGCATAAGGACATCACCCATGCAGTAACATGCTCCATAGCGAGGGACATACTGCCAATAACTACCGTTGAAAAGCCTGGCTTCGACCAGCTTCTAGCCACTCTCGACCCGCGATATGAAGTGCCCGGCCGCAAGTATTTCTCAAACACAGCGCTTCAGGCATGAAAATTGGTCAGGGGTTGAAAAGGTGAGAAGGGTGCAGACGAAATACGTTCCGGTGTTGTGCCATAGAATGCATCCCTGCATCCCGTCCACTCACTAGCTTCTTAAAGTGGAAGAAAATGAGCTCATATTTTACAAAGACGCGAGTATTTGGATCATGGCTACTAGCAGGGGGTGCATTCGGCAGGGGTGCATTCTACGACACAACACCGGCGTGGATAAGTCCTGCTTCTCGTGCTTAGTTTGTGTATTAAGTCAATCACATGATAATTAAAAAAAATAAATCTCCCGACCCCGGGAGAAATATTTCAGTGTTCAGACACCAGGCTGTGGGCAGTTTCCCACACAGTTAAAACTGGTAGTATGCTATTCCCACCTAAAGCTATTCTGTTTATTTATATATTTGTTTGTTTTGTTTATTTTCATCAAAAGACTATTTAAATATTTATTTATCAGATTTTCTGGTCACTTTAGTCTTTTATGTTTGTCAGTATTTACTGACGTCACTCAGGCCACCTAAGTTGATTTCTTTTTTTTTTTAGTTCTTTTTTAAAAAACTTTAAGTTGTGGTAAAATAAAAAAGGTGGTTGAATAAAGGTTTGAATTTGAATTCAGTGCTTGTGTGTTCTTTATTAAAAGTAGGTCATTAAGCAATAGCATAAAACATCCAGGGCTGCAATTAAAATATATGTTAAATAATTATAATAATTATATCGATAATTATCGATACCGATCAATATGATTTATTTTTTATCAATATGCTTTTTTCTATATCGTCCAGGCCTATCCTGCCGTATGTTAATTGCACTGATTTATCACTCACAAAGAGTCTTTTAGAGGAAAATGTGGAAGACTTCTTTCCTACTAGTTTGAAGTTCGTTCGTCTTTGTAAAAATTAGCACATGCTTTTCACAAAACTATGACATTAAATTATGACTCAACTTTTTTTTATGTAGTATTTGTAAAAAAAAAAAATATGATTGGAGATGTACAAAGCAAGAGTTGTTTTGCAGCAACATAAACAATTTAAATGTGTACATTCCTGAATTTCTAACAGCCCAAAGGAAGTATAAGACGGTGGTAGAGATGTTGCGCCGAATGTGATGCAATGTGAGCGTGCTGACGGTGCTGCCCAGGCATGTGATGCACCAACCATATACAGGACTGTCTCAGAAAATTAGAATATTGTGATAAAGTCCTTTATTTTCTGTAATGCAATTAAAAAAACAAAAATGTCATACATTCTGGATTCATTACACATCAACTGAAATATTGCAAGCCTTTTATTATTTTAATATTGCTGATTATGGCATACAGCTTAAGAAAACTCAAAAATCCTATCTCAAAAAATTAGAATATTTCCGCAGACCAAGTAAAAAAAAAAGATTTATAACAGCAAAACAAAATCAAACATTTGAAAATGTCAATTAATGCACTCAGTACTTGGTTGGGAATCCTTTGGCACGGATTACTGCATCAATGCGGCGTGGCATGGAGGCAATCAGCCTGTGGCATTGCTGAGGTGTTATGGATGCTCAGGATGCGTCAATAGTGGCCTTTAGCTCATTTGCATTGTTGGTTCTGGTTTCTTTGAGCTTCTTCTTCACAATACCCCACAAATTCTCTATGGGGTTCAGGTCAGGGGTGTTGGCAGGCCAATCGAGGACACAAATGCCATGGTCAGTACACCAGTTACTGGTTGTTTTGGCACTGTGGGCAGGTGCCAAATCATGCTGGAAAATGAAATCATCATCTCCATAGAGCTTTTCAGCAGACGGAAGCATGTAGTGCTCTAAAATCTCTTGGTACACAGCTGCATTGACTCTGGACTTGATGAAACACAGTGGACCAACACCAGCAGCTGACATGGCTCCCCAAACCATCACTGACTGTGGGAACTTCACACTGGATTTCAAGCAACTTGGATTTTGCTCCTCTCCAGCCTTCCTCCAGACTCTGGCACCTTGACTTCCAAATGAAATACAAAACTTTCATCTGAAAAGAGAACTTTGGACCACTCTGCAACTGTCCAGTGCTTCTTTTCTATAACCCAAGTCAGACGCTTCTTCCGTTGTCTTGAGTTCAGGAGTGGCTTGACCATGGGAATACGGCTATCGTAGCCCATTTCCCGGACACGTCTGTGAACAGTGGCTTTTGATACCTGGACTCCAGCTTCAGTCCACTGTCTTTGAAGCTCCCCCAAATTCTGGAAGCAGCTCCTCTTGATTGTGCAGTGTTTCCTGCCACATTTCCCCCTTCCAACAGACTTTTTGTGAATGTGCTTTGAAACTGCACTCTGTGAACAGCCTGCTCTTTTAGAAATTTCTTTTTGTGTCTCACCCTCCTGATGGAGGGTGTCAGTGATGGTCCTCTGGACAGCAGTCAGGTCAGCAGTCTTCCCCATACTTGTGATTTAGTTTACTGAACCAAGCTGAGTGTTTTTAAAGGCTCAGGAAACCCTTGCAGGTGTTTCGAGTTAATTAGACGACTCAAGTGATTAGTTAAATAGCCTACTAGTATACTTTTTCATGATATTCTAATTTTTTGAGATAGGATATTTGAGTTTTCTTAAGCTGTGTGTCATAATCAGTAATATTAAAAAAATAAAAGGCTTGCAATATTTCAGTTGATATGTAATGAATCCAGAATGTATGACATTTTCATGTTTTTAGTTGCATTACACAAAAATAAAGGACTTTATCACAATATTCTAATTTTCTGAGACAGTCCTGTATATATAATCGCTAGATGGCTTACGCACGCTGTTGGAGACCGACGTCCGCGCATGGCGGCCATCTTGCTTCAGGCACCACACCCATTCAGCATTACAGTTACTGTGCATGTAGCGTTTAAATAATCGTAGATTACTTAATTTTAAATAGAAATTCAAACGGTGTGGTTTGTCACAAACCTCAGAATTTTATTTATGTTCCTGCATACTCAAGAATAATTTTACCTATGAATTTCCATAAATAAACAGTAAGCACATAGGTAGAGCAATAGCTATAGGCCTACACCCAAGGCAGTTATATTAAATCATTTATATATAAAGCATTTAATCATTTCACGTTTGTTATATTAGTAATATTTCAATTATAGGAAAAACTATGGTAACATACAAAATAACATATATGTATTTATTTTTAATATAAATATCTCCCTAATGTTGCCATTTTAGATATTTTTAACAAACCAAACAGCTTGGAAATCATGTGCAATTTGCGCAAAGCCACTCAAAGTTTGTCTTTGCGTGCAAATAGCCGTGAAACAACTGTGCTGCACAATGAAGTCCTTTTTTTCTCAAAGAAAAGCTGCCATTTCAATATGTCTACGAACCCCGACTGATAGCCACGTTATTACGGTATATAATTCACAAGGCCATTTTTAAATTTGTCAAGATTTCAGCGAGTTAAGAGTATTTTTGTATCATGCATCTTACTCACCTTCCGTCAGCTACAATAGAGCGTACCAGAATGGTATACTGGAGTAAGATGGCCGCCTCGTATGGACGCCGGTGACTCCACCTTGAGCCATCTAGCCTTTCTTATAGTTCTCTATGGCACCAACACCACCGCTAATCTGAAAATATCTCATTTCCAGCACAATGCTATCCTAAGGAGAACAGCGCCCTCGCCTGGTCGTGTCTGAACACAGCGCTTGATGTCATGCGAGTTAACATGAGGCGGACAGGGGAGGAGATAGTGCCAAGGATAAACAGCAACAACACAATCACGCTCAGGCCGCAAGTCTGTGTCAAAGTGTTTTCCTGAGGGGGCACATTTTGATCTTTTACGGTAAGATTTGTGTCACCTTTTTTACACACTAGCATTGCTAACGCGAAGGTTATATGACCGCCTGTCACTGAGGTAGATAGCAAACCAAGCACGATTTAAAAATCGGAGTATTAAGCGTTAATGTGTTGTACTGTGAACAAAACATGTTAAATACGTTTCAACAAATCACACCACTTAAGCTTGGTGGTGATCCGTAATTCGGCGTAGGTTTGACTGCATAAGAAGCTGTAGGAGCTTTTAAGTGTATTTTAGTTGCTCTGTTAGGAAGGAACTGCAGCAAAGTAAGCAAGGCTAAGCTAACGTTAGCATATCCTCTGGAATGATAACATTTTACATACCTGTCTACCTGATTGTTAATTACCTTGCAGTTCTGTCTTTCTCGTTTTGTTCTGCCGTGTAGCGTTTGTCGTAAGCAGTGAAACTAACGCCCCTATATCTCAGCCTTTTCCTAAAGGAGTTCCGTATCGCTCAGTCAGAAGACGTCATCAACGGCAGCTTGGTTAGCTTAGCTTGCGTGCTAACTTCACCTTTGGCGAATGTTAGCCTCGTTAGCATCATGACTTCAGGTTTGATACAGGATGTTTGGAAAGGAGCGTTTTGTTGACATGTTGGCACCAGATCCAACTGTACTAGCCAGTAATGAACTGCTTTAATGTTAGCAGACGGTCATTCAATATTGTAACTCTGGGCAGTTATGTATGCACTACTCCAGCAGTGAAATAATCTGCATTATTACTGCATATGTACGATTCATTTCAATTTTAACTTGTTCATTTTACATATTGTATACATTTTATGCTTACATCTTGATACTGATGAGAGAGTGTAACAGCCAGATTTATATTAAACACCCAATTATCTATGCATCACTTGCCCACTGAAAGGAGTTATGTCAGGGTCTTTATTGCTAGCACTGATACACAAAAAGAGTCAGAGCTGAATCCAGACAGATGTTTTCGTTTATCTTCGTTTTTTGCCCGTTTCACCATGTTGGTATCTTTGCTTGGCACGCAGTTTTTTTTTTTTTTTTGTATATTGACATAAAAAAAGAGATCCTCCAAATAAGATTTACTCCTTAAGCCTCCTCAGCAGCTTTACAATCTTGTATGCATTTGTGCTTAAAAAGAGCCCAAAAGTTTAACACTTGGGCACAAATATAGACAAACAGCTGATGTGCTCAACGCTGAAAGTTTGATAAGATACTCTCACAAAACCCACAATGTAGTTGATTTTGATGATGTCCACCTGTCCAACATGAATACATAATAATAACTAGCAGCTTAAACACATCTCAGCCCTTTTAGAACCATTTCACCAGTAATGGGAATTTGACCCAATTATAAACTATTATTGCCAGGTAATAAACTACAGGAAAAAATTATATTTAAATAATAAAACAAATAATTAGTGCCATCAAGTTCCCCAAATAGATTACAACTGATGATGAACAAAAAACAAAAAAAAATTACAAGGAGCAACAGAATGACGAATCAGTGACCACATGATTCATATTCATTTTTTTGTCATCGTCGAAGTCTTTCTCCAACCAACAGTATAAATGATCAGTGCACTAGAAAACTCAACAAAAGTCTGCACAAGGTATATATTTATTTGAATCAGAAACAAAATATTAGCCACTGATGCAAGCTGCATGAAAGTACATCGGAAACATGAGTCAAACAAAAGGCCAAACTACAACAGAATTGACTGAAACTAGGGTGACCATACATCCTCCTTTACCTGAATATGTCCTCTTTTGGGGGACTGTCTGTGGGGAGTTTATAAAATCCTTCAAATGTCCGGGGTTTTGTATGGAAGTTATGAGTTTGTGTACCATGGACTAACGGAGTTAGAAGCGTAAAAAAAAACACTCGACCTGACCCACAAAATCCTCAAAGTGCGACTCCGCCCCCGTGTAGTAGTGTTTAGAGTATGGTCACCCTATTGAAACATCAACCAGAGCTTAAAAGAAAAAATAATAAGCAAAGATTGCAAAGACAACATTTTTTTTGTAAAATTAGTTCCAGAAAAATTAGTCACACCCTTATTGTTGGTGAAACGCTGTTGCTAGCTCAGGGCCTAAACAGGCTTGTTTCTATAAACTAGTTTATTAGCATTAAAACTTAATTTCTTGTGCTGACAACCTTTTCTCATATTGATATAAATGTTGATTAGTTGCATACAGGAATAGGGGTTTTAATAAGGGTTTGTGTTTTTTCTCATAAAATATATTTCTGCTCATTTGTCTTCAAAAGCAAAAACCTTACAGTGGAATCAAACACTGGAGAGGATGATACCCATCAGTAGGGCCAATATAAAGAGGCACAGCTTCTGTAAGCACCGCTGACACTGAACGAATGTGAATGTTGCTGGAACTGCCCTAGACTTAACAGAAATGGATATCAGGCATCAGTCCTCTGGAAAAATGACCAAGCAGGAAATGAAATGATCTGAGAATCTGTCTGAATGCAGCAACTGGAGCAGGCAGATTGAAACCTATCACCTGACAAGATGATCAGACACACTAATTTTGTACAGATATTAACAGGCTTTTTCCTTATTGGATTTTACACAGAATGCACAAGTTTATAAATTATGGATGACGTGTGGCTTGTGTCAATAATTCATAGGCCCTCACAGTCTGGTACCCTTACTCCAGGTTAACCTTGGCTGACTGATTCTGCTCCAGAGGTTTGAGCTCAAGCTCTCTGTCAGTTTGACTATGTTGAATCCTGAAATCATACCAAATATTTCTTGTTATTCTACAGGGTGTTAACATTTTTTGGCCGTCCCTCTGTGTGAGCCTTACAGCTTCAATTCATCATCAAAAGTCTGATCTGAACCAGGGCAGGATCAGCAGAGAGCCTTAGGGGTGGAGGAGCAGGCACTCACAGATCCAGAAGATGGCATCACCCTTTGTGCCTGTCCCTGTACCCTTTGACAGAGCCTCCCCAGGAGGTAGCAGCAAGCTCAGGCGGCCACCACGAGCCTCATCACTTGGCAGCGTCTCCTGCAGCTCGGACTCGTCTCTCAACAGGGCTGCAGGGGAGGACCACAACGGACAAGCATGCGGAGGACTTAGTTCTCAGCGTCAGTCTCGGTGCATGGATAGAGGCACTCGCAGCAGGACACCACCTCTGCACAGTCCCGTGACTCATGCAAGGCTGAACGGGGCCCTGGATCACTCAGTGGAGTACTCCACCTGTCCTCGCTCCATGTCGGATCCTGTTGGGAGCCAGCAAGATGAAGGGAGGCCTATAACTCCCACTGTACTGGGCTATGAGGTCATGGAGGAGAGAGCCAAGTTCACGGTAAGAAGAAACACATGAAAACCTTAAAGAAGTGTAGGGGAGTATCTTTGGAGAGCGTGTTGAAACTAAAAGGGCCTCGAGGAGAATAAGAGTACGGCCGTGTGCCATCCTTTAAAAAGCAACTGTGTTTAGGTGAGTTTGCTGCTATCCTTAGTAAATGCTTATGTAGTTCAACTTAAGTGAAAAACTCAAAACAAAAAAAAGAAGTAAGGGGTTTTATTTATTTATTTATTTATTTATTTATCTATTTACTTGAGTGTTAAAGCACTCATACTGATTTCAGTTTTCAGATTCTTCTCTTAAGTTTTTAGCTGTCTTGCCTGTAACCACAGTCTTGTGATTTACATCCATCATTCAGCACTAAAACTGGTTTCGTAGGTTTTTACATTAAGAAACAAGCAAGTATGAGTTAAATCCCTATTAACTGTTTCCGTGTAGAACTGTTGAAACTTTACCTGAAGGACCACACTTTGGTTTTGGTCTGGTGGTCTGGTGTCCATTTCAAGGTAAAGCAGTACTGACCAGTCAGATCTGAACAGGCCTTGGTGTCTGCAGGAAAACCATTCTTTTTGGAAAGCAAAACCAAGCAAAACAAAATCCACTTTAATGGCCCCCCAGTTCCAAGCTATTTTCAAAAAATATGCATTCATATGGCGTTGTTTTGAAAACATTGCATGTGCACAGGGATCCAATCAAACGAGTGTGCATCTCAGGCCAGTAAGATGGTATAATACCATCTTTTTTATTTTTTAGAGTGTGTTTACAGTCTGAGTAACAGAATCTAACTGAGGCAGTCCCAGTAAGTGTGTGCTTATAACAGGAAAAAGGACAAGGGAAGGTCTGACCCAAACTTAGACATGAGTATCTGCACAGCAGCAGATATCAGACAATACCACATAAGGCAAACAAGCAGTTGGTCATGCAACTTAAAAACAGGAAGATACAGTACAGGCCAAAAGTTTGGAAGCAAGGCCATTACAGGCCGAACAGTTGGGAGTAACTTCAAGTTTTTGTTCACAATGCTTTTTTTTTTAAAATCCAGCATGAGTTTTATGTATTTTGGGATGTATTTACTCCATGATCAGATGTTGCTTTCATGAACATACACCATTTTACTCCTTTAGATATACATTGATGTTAAAAGACCATTGCTAAATATATGTCAGCAAAAGATAATAAGGGCTTAGTTTTAGGGTTGAAAACATTTGCAAGAGTCACATCTTCAGTGGAAAAGCAATAAAAAACAAATCACAGTTGGATTATTCACTTCAATTTTATGGCTTTTGAGAGCCTGCATACAAAAATCCTAATAAATCTCAACTGCGTTCAAGCTACCGCAAAAATGGCTAGAAAGAAGCAACTGAGTAAAGAAACAAAAGAACAGATTTGTACATTGAGGAAAGAAGGATACACAGAAAGAGAAATTGCAAAACGCCTAAAGGTGTTTAACAAAGGAGTCCACTACACTCTGAAGAGACTAGAGGAAGCTGGAAGTTATGATGATAGAAAAAGGCCTGGACGAAAGAGAGTTACTACAAAAGCAGAAGATAAACATAGCATTGTCACCAGTAAGAGAGATCGACAAAAGACAGCACCACAAATAAGGGAGGAAATCAACATGACAAGGTCGAAACCCATATCTCTGACAACTGTGATATGAAATTTGAGAAAGGTGTGTTTGAAGGGTTGTGTATCTGCAAAAAAGCACTACTTTGTCCACAGAACAAGAAAAAGAGATATGAGTGGGCAAAAGCTCACAAAAATTGGACTTATGATGACTAGAAACAAGTTTGCACTATTTGGTTCAAAACGCAGAGTCTATATCCTCAGACAAACTGGTGAACATCTGAAAGCACCATGTGTTACACCCACAATTAAGCATGGAGGTGGTAGTTCCATGGTATGGGGATGTTTTGCAGGTGATGGAGTAGGAGATTTGTTTGAAGTAAAGGGTATCATGAAGAAGGAACAGTACCACTCCATCCTCCAGCACCATGCTGTTCCATCTGGACTCAGACTTGTGGCTCATAAGTTTGTTTTGCAGCAAGACAATGACCCTAAGCTCTCTGCCAAGCTCTGTCAGGGTTACCTAGACAAAAATAAGAGGAAGGTGTTCTTCAAAAGATGGTTTGGCCCCCTCAGTCTCCAGACCTTTCTCCAATTGAGCTTGTGCAGGATGAATTGAATCGATCGGTCAGAAAAACGCGTCCCACGAATCAGAAGTCTCTTTTTAATGAACTTAAGAAAGCTTGGAATGCAATCCCTGGAACATACCTTAAAAACATGTGGAACGAATGCCTGGTATATGCCAAGCTGTTGTTAAAGCCAGAGGAGGTTACTTTAAGGAAAGCAAAGTCTAAGCAACAATAACTCAAATACCTCATAATTATAGTCGAAATGTCTTCTGATAAGTTACTCTTTACACAATAGTCATGTTTATTGTGTTGCAAATTATATATATGAAACTATGATCTTTTATTGTACAAATCTGATCTTGCTTCCAAACTATTGGCCTGTAGTGTACATGTGGTAAGAAACAAAGGCCGAAGATGTTACAGATCTGAGTTTAAAAAAAAAGGTCATCATGTTACACATCAGCATAATATAATTTTCCACTTCAGTTTATACCAGAAAGTGTGATGATTTACTGTCTTAAACTCGTGTGTGTTTTGTCCTATCTCTGCTGCAGGTGTTTAAGGTCCTGGTGAGGAAGAGTGCAGACGAGAGCTGGGTTGTTTTTAGGAGGTACACAGACTTCTCCAGACTCAACGACAAGGTGTGTTTGTGTGGTCTATAAATATTTTTGTCCCAAATCTCAAGCCTGGCTGAAGCTTTATTTTCTAATCAGTCATTCATGTTTGAAGACACCGTGTTTGAGCGTCTGCTCATTGCTTTTAGCACGCCTTTTGAGCACACTGTGAAAGTGATTAGAGCTGCACAAAGAAGCTTTTATTTCCAAATAGCCAGCAGGCCTAAGCCAACTAGGGGAACAGGTCTTTCATGGTTTTGGGTCACAGATTATAGAACAGAGAAAAGTAAACCACGTGATGATGCCAAGTCAGGGAAAGGAATCTGCACCAAAAAATGAATGTTAGAAAACTGTAGCTAACTAGCTGGTGGTGTTTCTGCAGCTAAGCCTGCAAGATATTGATTTAACCAAACACTGCAATGCACAATTTACTATTGCAAAGATGGGAGCTGGGAACACCCTACAGCAAGTTAGGAGGGAGAGGACAGGAGTGGGTGTGGATATCCTCTCCTCCATTCCTGTGGCTTTTTACACAGGAATGGAAGAGAGGATATCCACATGATTTGCTGTACAGCTTTTTCAGAGCATGTGCTGTAATTTTACCTTATCGGTTACACATTTAACCGACTTGATATCTTTCAACATGGGGCATATTTTTAGTCTCTGTGTGCCATTTTATAACTTACAGTAGCAGCAGAAGTACAGTAATTTTTAAGGACTTGCAGCTGCATCCTGACCTCACAAAACAGCTTACACACACACACACACACACACACACACACACACACACACACACACACACACACACACACACACACACACACAAACAGGAGGAGGAATAACAGAAGTACATGAACAGATTCTCAGTATGCAGGGCTGCCTCCACACGGTGCTGCTGCCAAAACATAACTTGTCCAGTGGTTTGGATGTCAGCCAGCATTGCTGCACTCTAAAGCTTTGTTCACACTGCCAGCTCAATCCACCTTCAGGATTTCTAGTCCAGCCAGGCTGATGTATTTTATGTTGACGTTCCTTTCTTGAAATTAGTGAAAGTGTTTTTGAATCCACCAGTAGCAGAACATATCATGCAGCCCGGGTTGATCTGTGTCATTATAAAATATGTCCAGCAGAGGTCACTCTGACTTGAACATGTACAGTTCTCACTGTGCTGTTTACAGCACATGTGCCTGGGTATTACAGCTAAACAGGCGCTGATATGCATGAGAACTGTCTAACCACGTACTTTATGATTATGTTGGGTATTCCTTAGCTGAGTTTATTTGGTCTACAGAGGAGACTTCTAAACAGCATCAGCGAGTCACATCAGAAGAAAAATTTCCAGAGCTCTGCTTCAGAAATTTTCAAAGATTGCTTGTTTACACAGCAAAATGCATAAATATGGGTGACTGCCCATCACTAAGACAGTTTGACCACACCCCTAAATATGCAAATCTTATTTCAACTATCAGATAGGAAACAAAAACAGACGAGTAGAAAAAATACACCCTCTATACAGCCTGCAAAACAGGAAATGGGTCATAGGGACCAAAACTCTTTTTGTGCAGGGCTGTAAGCATGTCTAATTATGCTGTAAAACAGGCATTTCATCAAAGATGTTGATGAGGATTTATTGGCTCTTGGAGGCAGCCTCTAGTGGACACCTGCACCCTTTAAGGCCTCTGCTTTGGCTCTATGGGCTCTATTTTTGTGCCTCGCCAGCGTTGTGGCGCAGACGCGGCGTAAGTCAGGTCTGCCGCGCTGACAAGGCGTTCTCAAGCACAATTTGTTTTTTTGGTGAGCGGCGCAGCCTGGCGTAAGTATCCCCCCTCCCTAACTTAGCTCCTCCCAGTGGCGTAAATCGTAGAGAGGGAGGAGAGAGGGCGTGGAGTGGGTTTGACACAGCCGAGACCTGTTTTCGCCAATCAGGACCGCTCCTCTCCTCACCTTTAAATCTGCCACCGGCGAGGCATTTTACAATTTAAAGTAGTCAAAGAGATCAAGAGATGTCTGAAGACAGTAATGCCACACGATGGCGACAGAAGGCAGCTTCTCAACAAGTGTTGCTGTAAGCGCTGCAGTCCTCCACACTCTCTCATATGAGCACAGATGGATTTGGTGTGTGTAAGGTTGGACCCACTGGTAAGACAAACATCCTTTTCCACAAATAAAGACACTCACATAAAGTTGCATATATTTAAACCTCACATGACAAAGGTGGGTTGAGCGCAGAGATCACATCATAAATTCCAATAATGGCATTAAAATCGGAACCATCTGTGCATAAAGACGCATCGCACTCTGTGGCCTGGCTCTTTCTTTCATAGATGTTGGCATATAAAATAAATTTCGCTCACAAAACTGAATGTTATATTATTCGTATGTGGGCTTAAAGTAAATAACTCATCTGATCACTGAAACAAATCATCTGTTCAGCTGCCGCAGCAGCAGCTGCAGCAGGACGGGGATAGCACACGGAGGCATGTCCAGGTCGAGCTGCGCGAGAAATAGGAGGAAGATAGAAATACGGGGAGACGAATTAAATATCTCGTTCACTTCATCATGTGTGTCTATTTACTAGATATTTAATTTAATTTAATGCGGTTTCAGCTGTGTTGATTCAGTCAGGTTGTGTGTCCAAACGAGTGCCAAACGTGCTCATCAGATCAGATATACAGTGCATCCAGAAAGTATTCATACCACTTCACTTTTTCCACATTTTGTTATGTTTCAGCCTTGTTCCAAAATGGATTAATTTCCCCTTTTCCCTCAAAAATTCTACACAAAATACCCCATAATGACAAAGCGAAAAACCTTTTTTAGAACATTTTGCAAATTTATTAAAAATAAGACACTCAAATGTTGCATATATATAAGTATTCACACCCTTTGCTATCAAACTCAAAATTGAGCTCAGGTGCATCCTGTTTCCACTGATCAGCCTGGAAATGTTCCTCCAACTTGATTGCAGTCCACCTGTGGTAAATTCAGCGGATTGGACATGATTTGGAAAGCCACACCTGTCTATATAAGATCCCACAGCTGACAGAGCACGTCAGAGCACAAACTAAGCCATGAAGTTGAAAGAATTGTCTGTAGACCTCTGAAACAGGGTTGTATCGGCGCACAGATCTGGGGAAGGTTACAGAAAAATATCTGCTGCATTGAAGATCCCAAAAAGCACAGTGGTCTCCATCATTAAGAAATGGAAGACGTTTGGAACCACCAGGACTCTTCCTAGAGCTGGCCGCCCAGCCATACTGAGCAAGCGGGGGAGAAGGGCCTTGGTCAGGGAGGTGACCAAGAACCCGATGGTCACTCTGACAGAGCTCCAGTGTTCCTCTGAGGAGATGGGAGAACCCTACGGGAGGACCACTATCTCTGCAGCACTCCACCAGTCAGGCATTTATGGTAGAGTGGCCAGACAGAAGCCACTCCTCAGTAAAAAGCACATGACAGCCCACTTGGACTTTGCTAGAAGGCACATGAAGGACTCGCAGACCAGGAGAAACAAAATTCTCTGGTCTGATGAAACGAAGATCGAACTCTTTGGCCTGAATGCCAAGCGTCATGTCTGGAGGAAACCAGGCACCGCTCACCACCTCGCCAATACCATCCCTACAGTGAAGCATGGTGGTGGCAGCATCATGCTGTGGGGATGTTTTTCAGCGGCAGGAACTGGGAGACTTGTCAGGATCGAGGGAAAAATGAATGCAGCTAAGTACATCAAAATTCTTGATTAAACCTGAGACCTTCGACTGGGGCGACGCTTCATCTTCCAGCATGACAATGACCATAAGCACACGGCCAAGAAGACAAAGGAGTGGCTTCAGGACAAGTCTCTGAATGTCCTTGAGTGGCCCAGCCAGAGCCCAGACTTGAACCAGATTGAACATCTTTGGAAAGACCTGAAAGTCGCTGTGCACCAACGCTGCCCACCCCACCGCACTGAGCTTGAAAGGATGTCCAAGGAAGAATGGGAAAAACTCCCCAAATCCAGGTGTGCCAAGCTTGTTGCATCATACACAAGAAGACTGGAGGCTGTAATCGCTGCCAAAGGTGCTTCGACCAAGTATTGAGTAAAGGGTGTGAATACTTATGTATATGCAACATTTGAGTGTCTTATTTTTAATAAATTTGCAAAATGTTCTAAAAAAAAGTTTTTGACTTTATGGGGTATTTTGTGTAGAATTTTTGAGGGAAAAGGGGAATTTAATCCATTTTGGAATAAGGCTGTAACATAACAAAATGTGGAAAAAGTGAAGTGGTATGAATACTTTCCGGATGCACTGTAGTTCAGAATATATTTATATAGATGCAAATGTATGTGCTGACTCAGATTATTAGTTGCTGTTGATTATTTTTTGCACTGAAATGTGCCTGACACTGTGGAAACCTGCTGGTGAGGCATCGGTGACATATGCCGATATGCCGCAGGTCTACCAAAATACCACTAGACCAGCTGCGCTCCGCCTGCGCTGAAAGCTGACCAGATTTGAATCGGCAAGCTTTCAGCGCACTTTATACGCCACCAGTGAGCATGAAAATGTCACTTCGCCAGCTGATTCTGTCGACACCTCCCCCTGCCACGCCACCACGCCCAGCTTGGCGGACCTTGGTGCACCTCAGTCTATGAAAATACCAAACTGGCTGTACGCCGGGCTCCGCCGGACGAAAATACCACTGCACGGGGTCCGCCACCCTCCGCCGCCTCGCCGGCAAACACGAAAATAGAGCCCTATGTGTAACATTGGAGATCAATGCTAGGTAAACACATCCTCCACAGCCTGAAGTCCCCTCTGTTCCTCCTTCCTTCCTCTGTCAACTTGGCTGTGATGATGGAGGGGAGACATCAGGCTTGGTAGTGAGGTCATGACATAAGCCACCATGTAATGTTTATAAATGATTGTGGCCAAAGTAACAGACTTACCCTATGATGATATTTTTCACATTTATATCATTTGATATATAAAAACCTTATATTAATCAAGCCCTTGTGTCAAGATTGTATTCAGTCTTTGATGAAAATTTTTTAAATCAGATTCTTGCCTGATTTTCTTGCACCAGACTTTTAAAGGCATCCTTGGCAAAACTGTACCATATAACAATGTCAGAAATTTATGAAAGTGGCTGCAGCAGGACACCTTGATTGATGTTTAACTGTTTGAAGGTAAAATTATGTTTCTTATGATTTCACTTTGGAGACCTGTATCATTAAGGTACCAAGTTGTAGACCTTTTAAGACAGCAACCCAAGCCAGACAAAAATCTGGCCACATAGTAAGGCTGGGTGATCAACCAAAACTTTACTGATACCAAAATTTATGACAATAATCAACGTTATTTTGCCCATGTCAATATAATCAGTGTCAAAAACATAAATAAATGAAAGTTGGTTTTGGGTGTGTGTAGGTAGTCTATGGTCTCATGTCCCTTTTTAAGATGCTGTCCTACGTCAGAGACGTGACTCCACCCCATCCATTTCGTAACAAAGAGGAAAAGACAGGTGAGGAGCTGGAGAACGGTTCAAAAGTTGTAGTGGCAGCTGAAGTAGACAAAATTAATGTGGGAGGGGGTGAGCAGCTTGTGGAGTAATTATCGTCCATTTCTCGTAATCGAGGTAAACTGCTCAGTATATTGTGATATTGATTTGAGGCCATATCGCCCAGCCCTACTACATAGTCTGATACAATCTCTCACATATAAAAGTGTGAACAGTCTGTTGAAGCTTTGATTTGACAGGAAAACAGTATTTGACCCCAGGCAGAACAGCACCAAGATGTATTCACATTTTTCATGCTCCAGAACAAACACGTTTGGATACATGTCCGAATACATCAGCACTTTTGGCTGTCAGACTAAGGCCAGAGAGTGCTTTATCTTAATCTGCATGCATCTGCTGGAGTACAGAAAATCCCCAAACACCTGGATTGTTTTCACTGGAGTAACAGCAGCAGAGACTGAGGTAGACAAACAAGGCTGAGGGTCAGAACAGTGAACTTTAAAGTACAAGTCAGAAGTTTGTGCAGGAGTGATTTGAACTAGAAGTGACAACAATAACATTGTCTTTCAAAATATCTCAACCACTCCTGCAAAATGACCCTCCTCTCTGCTGTTTGTCAGTGTGATCGGTATCTTACAGACTGCTGGGGGGTTCGGCAAACACCCTCCATATTCCAGAAACCCCATCATTTCACCCGCTCACCCGCAGAACAGCATGAGACCAGGGTCTGAAATTTTTCTGAACTCTGGAGAGTCTAAAAACTGTTTGTGAGAAGATAGAGAAAAGTATGAAAGTTACATGGAGAGAACCCTGGAGATCCGCTTGTTAAACATTTATTTTGTTGTTTTAAAATAGATTTTCTAAATGCATTCTAGATTCCTATAGGTTTCAAAGTAGGAAATCTGCTGTAGTTCTTGGAGCTCTAAAAGAATGTCCAAGTTTGGCTCAGGGTAAAATTCCTGCACCCCAGGCACAGAGGCTGCAGACCTCCAGTTCAACACCGATCCTTGGCCATTTGCAAAAAATCTTTGGAAAAAAGAGAGCTATGTCTGACAAAACAGATATCTTTTATTAAAGCATTGGTAATCTCTGCAGGAATGTGATTTTCACTTCTTTCATCTGATTGTTGAGTCAATTATGAAGCCACCGGGGCTGGATTAAGTTATGTTCAGAGTTTCATCTTTTAACAGACTGAAAAGTGCCTCCTCTAAAATGTTTATTATACGTCAGTCTACTTTGTGGGCAGCCAAAATAATTAGTATTTAGAAATGGCTGAAACAATATTGTCAGCTTGATAAACAAACAGAATGAAACTGTGCAGTTACAGTGACATCACATCACACAGCCTCTGCATTTGGCTAAAGGTGATATGATCTGCCTTTCTCTCATTTTGTAGATCAACAGGTTTTATACATTAACTTTAAACTAAAACATCTCTGGCTGTCCGTTGCCTCACTTGTCCTCCAGGTCTTATTAATGACTTGGCCCAAGTTTGCTGAGCGTGTTTTAGTTTTATCAGTACCTTTTCATTTCCTTCATATCCTGCCCTTTACTTCATGTGTAGGTTGTTGAGCTTTCTTTAATGCGGATTGCTTTTGGACATAGTCTGCTGATTTGTGTCTTTTTGGTGGCCAAGTCACCTCCTTGTAAGTGATGTCCTTTCGGAGGTTGGTGGTGTTTGTCACTAATTTTTTACTTCAGCCATGCAGGCAGCTACACTAACTCTGTTGTGATATTCAAACACTGTATGTGCTTATACTTTACACTTTCTTACACCCTTACCTTTATCCCATGTACTTGTATTACTGGGTAGACTTGTTTACCCTGCTTGGTAAGGAATTTTAAAGTCTATCTTTAATCTTAATCTTAACCCAGTTTTATGCCCCCTAGTTGTAGGACCTATTTTTTCAATGAGCACAATTTGCTAAGCTTTAAGAAGCTTGAATTTTTGTTTTGAAGCATTCGGCTATTCCAGGTCACTCGCTAAATAATAGGGTGTGCCAATATTTACCCTAACCTCAAAAGGATTACGTCTAATAACTAACGTCTCCAAGCACATTAAACAAGTTGGCACTAAGCTGCACATTAAAGGTCACACCCTCGCCATCTGACAACACGTGCTGAATTAAATTAACCAACACACAAGCTGCCCAAAGAGAAAAGGGGGTGCTATGAAGTAAAACCTCAAAGATAAACTATGGGCCACTGATGCAGCAGCTTACTGGCTGCAAACCAAACAAAAGCTTAATAAAAGCTAGCACAACCACACAAGAAAATCTTTATAATCTCCAAAAGCCATGTGTTTCAGCCACTTCTTAAAATCTTCTCAGAATGAAAGGAAAAGGTTCTTGAAACCCAGCAGCTACATGGCTGATTTCTGGTCCGATACCCCCACCAGTCATATGCTGAGGGATCTCAACACACACATGAAATCATGAAACAAAGCTAGACCCTGCATCCACATGAGAGAGCAGCGCTTGTTTACCTTGGTTAACTATAAAATTCTGGATTATTAGCAGCGATAAACAGAAGACAGAAAAGAACAGTATCAAAAACATGCTCACCCACAACCACAGCGAGATTACTTACCTTTGAGCTTTGATGAAATACAGCATGAAACTTGGCTTAGTGCTATAATAGGACACAAGACGATAGGATATGATACATTACAATAGGATACATATGGATATGAAATTTACCCTCTAGCTATAATGCACCACAGTACAATACTGTACAGTAAAGTACAGCATGATAGGATGCGGTTTGGTACAATACAACATGATATTTGGACAATACAATCCAGTACAGTACAATCCAGTATGATCCATAGATACCCAGATGTAATGCCGTTTCTAAAGTCCAGGGGCCTCATTTCTTAACTGTGCATATAAAAGGTTCTAAATTCTGGCAAAGGAATAAAATCTAAAATGTGCATAAGTACAAAAAAAACTGTATTTATCAAGCATGCAGAAACTGGTTGCACACACACTCGTAAGTAATCCGTGATAATAAATCCCTCCTGTTATTTGCTCCATGCTTAAATTTTTGCATGTTCCTAAGCACAAGTACAGGTTGATAAATTCCATACTTTGTATGGGAATGTTCGAACGCACTCATTATGCACACATCTATGCCAGGGTTTTTCCTGCGTTCAAAATTGCGTGGCGGCCGCCTCCACCTAATTTTGTGCCGCCCCCGGCCAGAGCGATTGATTTCGCTCAACACAGCGTAAAGCTCCAGCTGTGTTGATTGAGCGATTGATGTCCCGATGCAGCAGCAACGTATTTTAACTGCAGTTGCAGCGTTGCGCCACTATAGAGGCGCTATATCAACAGCAGTGCACCGGAGAGAGCTGAAGCATCTACCGAAGAAGAAACGGATCGAATCAAGTTTTTTTCCCGCTAGTTGGTGCTGTCGGCGTCCTGATTTTCCCTGGCGGATGGTACAAACAGGTAAATACTGCTTCTCTTTTTTGCATCCAAGCATGTCGTGTTTATTTAAAAAAAAAAATTTACTCCGTTTTTAGCGTTGCAGTTATGACAGGCAAAATTAGCCAGTACTTTAAAAAGCGACCTCGCGAGGAGGAAAGTCAAGAGTCCAGGTGAAACACAGCAGAGAAAAAACGTAACAGGCAGTTAAAATGCTATAATTCATGGTGGTGACAACGTGGAAATTTGTGTCAGGTCTGAAAGTACTTAACAAAGGACTGGTGATCGCGAGGGTCAGAATGCAGGACAGGACGAGTCGGCGAGGCGAGGGTAATTAATTAATTAATTAGTTTCCAATTAGGAGCATAACAACGCAAAGCCGACGTGTACGTGGTTTTTATTCCTCTTTCCAGATCTTCTCAAAAACACAGAGCCAGTGGCTTTGACAAGCAGTGGCTCAATCAATTTACCTGGCTCAGGCATACTGAGGAAGGCATGCACTGTTATTTATGCCAAAAGCACTGTGCCCAACACAGCAGGCAATTGCTGCCTCCTTAGTGAGACAGCCATCAACCAACTACAGGCTGGACACATTAAAGAGACATGAAGTGACAGCCATTCTCAAAGCAGCAAAAGAGAAGGAGAAATATATCAAAGATGGTAGTACCTAAAAAAACTCAACTAATAAAGTTACAAAAAATAAATAACATAGTTTAGATAGTTTAAGAAATAATTGGTTGTCGTTTTTTTTTTTAGGGAGGACACTGCAGCGTATACATATATATGATTGAAAACACTATCACTCTTCATGTCTGTATCAGAATAAAAACAAAAATACTTAATGCATGATGAATTGTTTTTTTTTAAGGTGAAGACACCTCTGTGGAACAGACTGAAGGAGAGGCACTTGGATGTCTGTTGTAAGGTGGCCGTTGATGGACCAGACCAGGAGGCCTTGGACTACAAGGAGTGCATGAGGAGGTTCTACAGAATGAAAAAGAGGAGGCTGAAATGTTCTGTCTGGTTGCGAGATGTGTGGATGAAGTGTACTTTCAATTTAAAGTTGCCAGCTGATTTGTGTATGTATATAGTTTTAATAAATGAATGCTTTAACATAATAATGGTCACACTCTTTTTTGAACTCTTAACTTAAAGTATGTTGCCTGTAAAAGAAAGTGAATCGGTTGAATTTACAAATACATGCACGTCGTGGCGCATGGTCAGGATGGTGCCACCTCTGCCTCAATTTGAGCCAGGAAAAACCCTGTATGCGTACGCATGGTTGATAAATGAGGCCCCAGGAGTATTTCACTCAAGAGGACCCTTGATAATACCAGTTTCTCCTGTATTCACGTACTGCTCCCTTTGAAACTAAAGAGTATAATCCATTTCCTGAAAACTGTGAGTTTTTCAAGTTTAGGAGGGTTTTTTTGTCATGTGGGGTTCCTCTGAGTTTTTTGTGCTTGCAGGCAGCCATGAATATTTTCAAAAGGTTGATGTCTCATTTACTAAAACCTTAAGGAATTTTTCCAAGGTACCAAAATGAAAAAGAGATTCATATCTAAAGCTGAAATAACCCACCCCCTTTCCAAGCCTAACATCTTCAGCAAAAAATGTCTATCTGCAAATTGCTCCACACTCCTTCAATCAGGAACACTGTGAACCTATTAATTTGGACTTTTGATGCTGAGTAATAAATAAAGGATTGGTTTCATGTAGAAGAAACCTGTCCTGTAAAACAGAGTATAAGTGGGTTTGTGTATTTGGAGCCATATTTCCTCTGATGGGACCTGTTATGTTTTTTCTATGAGGGTAACAGCCTTTTACAGTTTCCCATGATGCCTTCAGCATCTTGTTAGTTATAAACCTCAACAAATATTCATGTTAATCCTGAGGGTTCAACTAAACCAGTTGTCTTTATTTCACAAAGAAAAAGTTCAGATCTGTAGTTATCCATACAAATGATTTAGAAACTGATGTTTTACAGCGAGTCCTGGATTTTCTCTGTTACTTTTAAAAACCTGGTTTACTTTGTCTGTGTTCAGTATTACCAGAAATTCTCTGTCTATGCACTTCAGCCAATTTTCCCTCTTTTGTCACTATTTTTACTTTTGTAACGGCTGAAAAAAAGGGGGCTGTATGATACTTAGTCCTCTTGTTTTTTTGTGTGTCTTTAGCTGAAGGAGATGTTCCCTGGTTTCCGCCTCTCACTACCTCCAAAGCGTTGGTTCAAGGATAACTATGACAGCGACTTCCTGGAGGACAGACAGCTGGGACTACAGGCCTTTCTGCAAAACCTGGTTGCACATAAAGACATTGCTAACTGGTATGTGACACAATAATGCAGTTGTTTTTCTCTTTTTGTGCTCAGTGTACATAGAGGCTCTGAATAAACAATACTGTTATTTTAAAAAGTGTTTTATGGCTTCTCTTCTTTATTGATGAATTGTAAACTAATTGAAGGTCAGACTACAAATAAATGAACTTATGCAAAATAATAAACCAAATAAATGTTAATAATAAATCTCATCTTCAGTGCACAGCTTAAACATTCAATAGTGCATGACTCAGCTGGAAAGTATGTTACCAATCCTAGATCCCAGATTTTCTGAAGAGCTGAACAAAGTTCAGGAAATGATGTTGGCAAAGTGTTTGTTTGCAATTGACCCAGTCTTAAAAAACACATTAGCAGATGCTGCACCTGGAGTAAGAGGAAATGTGGTCTTCACTTTGTCTGTGGACCTTTTAGAAAAGTCTTTTATTTCGTGTTTAGGTTTTTTAGTTTCGTCAGCTGCTCTGCAGCAGTGGTCAAGTTCCTTGTATTTCTTGCAAAGTCTGGTTCAATAAAAGGAGCATCTTTATTTTGATCTGGAAGGATTATTAATTATGACCATGGGCCTGGGTACAAACCCACTATGGGCCTCTACATATACATGCAAACAGTAAATGTGTGTCATCTTTATGTATACACTGTGTACCACACAACACATTACTTTTAAATTGTAACCATTGTTATGTGTCGCCATATTTACCATGCATTTCACTTTATTTTCAAACATAATTATACCACAACAACAAATACAGTTGTGCTGAGCACTCCAATTGGTCAGAAGAAGAAAAAAGAAAACAAAATGCCAAACTTGCAGACATGAATCATGAATAGTTTTCTCAAAGTTCTTGGAACTTTCGCTTCTCTGTGTCTGAGATTATATGACATCATTAGGCTAACGTCTGTGCTGCAGATCGATAGGTGATAAAATGATGGTAACAATATTGAAAATATTAAAGAATTTTGGATCATACTAAATTGTATCATTCAGCTAACATCACCTTACTTACAACAATAATACTTTTTTTTCCCTTCAAATTTAAAGGCCAAGTGCTTTCATTGGCCGAGGCTCTGAGCATGTACAGGGCCCTGGGCACATGCCCAGTGTGCCCTCGCAGTAATCCGCCTATGTCCTGGACCTGTTGAACATCATGATATATTAATCTAATAATACTATTCACATTTGATCCTTTTGACGATAAATCACCACAAAATATGAGAAAACAGGCACAGAAAATTTCACAGACCACAAAAACTTGTAAACTGTTAATGGTCTTTTTGACAAACAGTCTGAAACACAAAGACCCTTTTCCCTGACTGTTAGTAAGTGATAAACTCTGGCTTTCCTCCTTATACTCAGAACGCTGGGACCTTCAGATTTTTGACATAATGCTTAAAAAGTTACTGAAACACTTAATCAGTTATGAAAGTACAGCAACATAACTTCTTGTTCTTTGTCCTTAAAAAGTCATCACAGCTTTGCCCACATCTCTGATCCAGCACTTGTGTTTCTCTACAGTGTGGCGGTGAGAGAGTTTCTGTGTCTGGATGATCCACCTGGACCTTTTGATAGTCTGGAGGAGAGCAGAGTAAGTTTTCAGGCACATGTCTAGCATGGACAGCAAGTTTATTAATGCACAGAAAGCTTTGGGGCTTGTTAGAGCCCAACATGTAACAATAATCCGAAATGCAATGAAAAAAAAATGAAATAAAAACTGAAATGTAATAATTAGTCGATAATATAACAAGATGCTGAGCTCAAAATGTAGCAACTTGTCTCATTTAGGATCAATTATTAAATTTTGGGTTTGATAAGACTTTTTTTAATAACATTTGCGGTTATTGTTAAATATTGGGCAACAGAAACAGATCTGTTCCTTAAATGTGAACTCTGAGACCAACCAGATTTTCTACATCACAGGAGGAATGTAAAGCTTTATCACAAACTAATAGCTCCTCAGACTCTAATGTAGATATTTATTAGGCATTGAACTCATTAATTTGGACCCCAATGATTTGTTTCACTTACAATTTTACCATTTGTCTTGGCCAAGGCTTAAAGAGAACAGAAAAATACACTAGAGAGATCTAGCACCACTGGTCTGAGTATTTTTGCATTGCCTGGAGTTAATTTCTTACTGTTCTTCTTGTTCACCTTCTCTGCTGACACTTCAGTGTTTTTGTAACTTTATCGCCACACATTTGGACAGATAGTAGCTTTTATATAGATGTGTTTCAGCTCAGGAAATAGAACTCACATTCATACTGAAAAAGTGAAGTTGGTTTATGACAGTCATGGTCACAAGTTGGGGTTGTTTGTCCAGATGATAGAGGCAAATATGCACATTTTACTTTTAGTTTCTGTTGTTAATAGGCTAATTAAAGATGAGCAAAATCTTAATATACCTGATTTTCTTTTCTTGGATTTTGGCTCTGACATCCAGAAATCAGCACATCCTTCTTATTTATGTTCAAGATAAATAGGACTCAAGATTGGATGAACTAATTTAGAAAAAAAATAAAGTTTTCTGTTGATGAATGGTTTTACACAGTCAAACAGAGTAATGTCTGTGAACAGGATTTGGTATTGATGCCAGCATGTGAATGCATTACCACTCTTTAAGGACTAATAAGTCAAATTGTGCGCATGCTTGCGTTATTGATACACCAGAGCACGCATCATGCCAGGATGATTAAAAAGTAATACAGTAAAAAATCAGAGTTCACAAATTTCAGTCATTATTATTTCAGCAAATAATTATTTGCTTTTGCTCCAAAGCAACACATCTCTTTAAAAGCTCTCTTGAACAAAGATGTTTTCATAATGGAAAGGAGATCAGTTTTTATAAATTTGCTTACACAACAAATGCATACCGTGGCAAAAGCTAGGTCTTTCCCACGGTGGGTGATTGTGCTCATGGAAAATCTAGTCCTTAGAAAAACACTACCGACTCTGACAACCTGATCTTTCTCCTCAAAATGTAAAAATAATTAATGTAAGCAGCAGCTTCTTGGGTAGCTGGAAGTATCCAACCATCTATAGATGATAGAGACACTCAGTTTTAACCCAAAGTTGATTTTCCCATTAGTCATTGCAGTTTGTCCCAGATAAGAAGTGAAGGTTTCTGATAGCACCGTTCTGAGTAAAACCTCCACTCAGGTTTCATATGAACACACTGTCCTACTTTCTACAGTCTGAAGCTGTAGCTTTACAGGGCAGGGTCTTACTCTTCTTACATCAGACAATAAACATGTCATAAGCTTTGTGTCCGCTGTGGAAAAACAGACAACTTTACAAGACGCATTTACAAGTAAATGACATAATTTTACTTAATTTTAGATTTGACACACGGCCTGAGGTCAGTGTGAAGTCTTGTAAAATTTCTCTAACATCTTTTCTGTTTGCCATCCACGCTCTGTCTCTACTGTTAAAAATAGTCTTTTTATTCTTCCTTCCCATGCGTTTGTATCTCTGCAGGCTTTCTGTGAGACTCTGGAGGAGAGTAACTATCGGCTACAAAAGGAGCTCCTGGAGAAGCAGAAGGAGATCACCTCCCTTAAGAGACGGCTGGAGGAGAAGGAGCAGGCCATCCTGCAGCTAGAGAAGCAAATTAAGTCAGTAGAAATGTAATTTATTCAGTGAACTCAAATTAATCATTCACACAAAAGAAAATGAAAGAAAAATACAAGGCACAGAAATGAGTGGAAATCAGGTGTAGAGCACAAAACCACCAGAACAAACTCAATATGAGGGTTTATGCGTGAAAGAGTAAAGAATAAACAAACATGAGGGAAAAAAGCTTTGCAAAAAGGAAATAAGCAAAAGCATCTGGTAGGAAATAAGTGTGGTTTTTTTGTGTGTGTTTGTGTGGCAGCGGTGAGTGCGTTAGCCCGGGGTCTCTGTGCGGTCTGTCAGCTCAGGGCAGTGAAAGCAGCGTGGATGTGGATGTGGAGTCGTCAGCTGCAGAGGCTGATCAGGACATGCCTGAAGACAGTGGGTAAGACAAAAAAAAAACACACACAGACAAAAGACGCCAACTAAATAGAAGATAACAGTAAAACAAAGACCCCACACAAATCACAGCCAAGTCTTACATAAAACAAGTCACTCAAGTAACAGCGTGTGATCTGTACCCTAAAATTGAGATTTCAAGATTCAAATCTTCATTGTTGTTATAAAACAGTCATCAGAAAAGCAGCCCTGAGTTGTGTTCAAACCCTTTCCCTCCAGGAGTATTGTGCTGTATATGCTGGTCTTATTTATAGACCAGGTTTTAAGGGAAACCTCATCTTACTTTTCAGTGCTTTAGTTGCTGAAAAGTGAGTGTAGCAGTGCTTAAGTGTTTAGCCAGTAAAAACGTCCTCGTCCTGATTCAGAAGGACTTATAAGAAATCCAGAATAAAAAGACACTTGTTGACAGCACACAGCAGCTTCACTTTGAAATACAGTAACATCAGAGCCAGTGAGTAACGAAGACCTACAGAAACAAGTTGAACAAGATCACATAAATCCTCTTAGTCCTCAGTAATGCTGCATCCTGTTTGTCTTTCCCGTGAGACACTGTAATTATGACTTATGTGAAATACATGTCCTAGATGCTGCCCAAAGACCCCAAAAGAGTTTTGAATTAAGTGTTTATAAGATACACAGGAGTATGGTTGAAAAAAGTCAAGAATAGACTTGTCATGAGACAAGAATAAACTTAATTATAATAAAAAATAATGTGATAAACAATAAAACAGGTTTGTTTCAATTCTGAAACTGCCAACCATCTCAATTATCTCCACCTGAACTACACTTGTGTGCCTTTTTAAAATGTCTTCCCTTGTTGTATTTCTTGCACTTTTTTATTCCACAGTAGTGCCGCTCCAGTCTGAAAACAGCCCCATGAGGTACTTTAAAACCAGCTCAGCAGGTCTACTCTGTGTCAGACTGTCTCCTCCTCTTCTTCTTCAGTAACATGCATCCCACTGTTAAACTGTCTAACTCTCATTATGTGATGGAATGTGTTTTTTCTGTTTGTAAGTCAGTCTTGATGCAGCACTCACATGTTTTATGTATAGCCAGTTGTTCCTAAAATGCATTACGGTGCTCACAGCTGTTCATGTGACATGCGAGTCCTGAATTAAGGTTAACTTAAAATGGTTAAAACCTGTTATATCTGTGTTTTCAGAGTGTTTTGAAAGGTTAGACAGTTTGTTTTCAGAGCTTTAAATTCAGGGAATTTGCTCAAATCCTATCTTCTCTGAAGGGAGGTCTGTACTGTACAGCTTCAGCTTGTTTCTAAACAGATTTTCTTGCTGCACAAGAACTTTAAGTGCCTTAACACATTACGGTCTCATTAGTTGTTCTTACTTGTAGGTGTACAGGAATAAGTGAGGACACTTGAACTTCACTCAGCATACTGTTTTTAATTTGGATAAATTCTTCACATCGGGTCAATGTCGGGTCACAGCTGAATCAGCTGTACCCATCAAGTTGTGAGATGAAACACAACAAGCTCATCTCCGACACTGTCTACGAAATGAAAAAGGCTTCATGTCCATAACCATTTTTGCCCACATGTTGGCATGGGTGTAGGTTTATGTTCCACGAGTAGGTTAATGTTCTTTTGTAATCACTGCACACTGTACTAGTATCATGATTCAGACCGTTTTTAATACAAACACAAAGTTTTGAGAGCAAAGCTCTGAAAATAATGTGTCTCTAGCCTTGTTGTGTTTCTATTGTTCTGCAGTGTTGTATGCTGACTGTGGCTCCCTGCATTGTATGTGACTAACATCTGCTGTTAAAGCTCTTCTTCACGTGGTGACATCTGCTCACTTTGTGGGCATTGTAGGGTTTTGGATTACAGGTGTTCTCCTCCCTCTCCCATCTATCTGCTGCCCTAAAAAACAGGGAAAACCTGGAATCTGACTGCTGGATATCACTTTATATTCCCATTTTTACACACTATACCTTTTGATGACTCCATATCTCTCCATGTTGAAAACGTTTAGCTGTCCATTCAGCTTCCTTAATCAAACTTTCCACCAACGGCAGGCTCAGCCAAAGCCTGTCCTTTATTCAATAGTTTTTCCAGTCTTTCATGGTGGATATTCAAGAGAAAAACCTCAAGATATCACAACTGTCATTGCAACTCTGTCAAAAGCTGAAGCAAAATCAAGCAATTCAATGACTTAGAGAAACAATCTGAAATTCACTATGTGTTATATTTTGCCATAACCATGATTTTTTTCAGGAAAACATGGGACTCATCTTGGCCCATTCATTAGTTTGGTGTGATGCTCCTCTGAAAACAGGAGAAATAAATTGTCAGACCTTTGCAGGGAACAAATTGAATAGGACTGTAAAAATCTGGAGTGATGCAGGACCCTGCAGTAAATGATTATTGTCGTGCAGTCTGCGATGGGAGAGAGTCGGAGGTGAAACCTGTTCTCCTGCTGTGTGTCTGGTGATGTGACTTCATTAACATGTTGTGCAGTTTCTGTCTTCTTTCTCAAGGACGGCTATCAAGTTCAGATAAATGAGCATCTTTGCTCTGCCGGATCCTGTCAGTGTGTCTGGCTTCATGTTGTCTCAGTCCTCATGTTGTGTGGGATGAATGATTTAAACGGGTGAGATGCTGACTGTGTTTCCTCCTTCTCTACAGTGGCAGATGTGAGGTCCAGCCAGTGCGATCCTCCGCTTGTTGGTGCGGGCCATCGCTCAGCGCCTCACCTCCAGTCATCCAGGTCACTCAGCTCTTCCACCAGAAGCTGGAACACTAACGACAAACACTCCTCCTCCTGCTTCCTCTCTCCTCCTGCTCCCTCTCTCCTCCTCCTCCCTCTCACCTCCTCCTGTTCCCTCTCACCTCCTCCTGCTCCCTGGTTTTGTTTTGTTTTTCGCCCTCCTTTCTCCCATCACAACCTCCCTTAACCTCAGGGTCTCTGCCCCTGTTCCACCCTCTAGTCATGGATTCATGGATTGGTGGCAGCCTTGAACCTGAGATTGCGTCTTTTCTGAGAGGAAGCGTTTTTGTCTTGCAGAGGTTAGCGGTTATACATACATACATATATATATATATATATATATATGTATATGTATATACATTTATGCATATATATATGTATATATATATATATATATAAAATATATATATATATATATATATATATATATATATATATATATATATATATACATGCACAGATATATATATGCATAAATATATATATATGATGGGTGGCAGGATATTTTTTCTGGCATCTGGAAGAGAATCCTACAAAAACATTATCTGAACTTGAACCACAATTCTTCTGAAAACCTCAGACTGAGTTTTCTCAACTGTTCAGGGACACCTCGGTCCTCCTCGTGGTTCTCTTTCTGAACCTCCGACTGTGACCGCCTCGTCCTTGCGGTCACAGAGCCAGAGTTTGGCTCTCTGACCAAAAAAAAACTTGAAGACTCTCACCCCTTAGGTGGTTTGATGACTTTTACGAAAGTGACAATCTACAGGAATTCATCTCATGAGTTTCTGCAGACATGCATTGCCCTATGGCTCATTTATATGAGAAGGCAGAGAAACAACACCCCCATGTGGTTGCAGAGACAAGAATAAAGTCTGGATATGTCAAATATCTCAGGATAAACATGAGTTACCTGTGCGGTATCACAGAGGACTGAAGACTTTCTGTTTGGAGGTGGATTCATTTCATTTCTTTGTTCTGTCGTAGACTCTCACTTAAAACTTCACTGCTGTCACTTTCACTCACATGTTGTTTTTTGTCAGGTTCCCTTGTGTCAGTCGTGTCATGTGTGATCTGCGCTGAGGTCTGAGACAGACAGTAAAGTGAGGAACATACTGTTCACAGACAGAGCTGCATGGACTGTGGTCTAAAGTTGCCTTCTGAGGAATGTAACAGCCAGTGTAAACACTATCATATCTCCATAGTCCTCCTGCACTCTCCCATGAATCCCACAGCTGCTACGTGTTTGAATAAACTCCATGAATATTTATCACAGACCTCCTCTGGTGCCTCGCGTGCCGACTAGACCAGTTAACCCGAGGTCCTCCAGGGTGTTTTGAGGCATATTTGTGCCATTTTACAAAATCATTTTTTTTTTTTTGTATCAAACCTTTCCAATGCAGATTGCTTTTATTTTAAATAACAAAGATTTTAGGACAACCTCAACTCTATCCTGCATAAATTAAACTGTTTACACTAATCAGAGTGTTGAAAACAACGCAATTAAAGCTCAAGAACACAGACAGGTACATCTGTCTTGATTTCAGTTTAGCCCCTAACATCATGTCCTAATAGTAAGCAAGGTGATCAGACATCAGTGGTTAAATCATCTTAAATGCATTTTTTCATTCTGAGGAGTCATTTTGATAATGACAGGTTGTTTTTATTTGCATCGTGCAGACATGCAGATGGAAGTTCAGATTATGTCTTGACTTCTTCTAGCATTGTTGGCTGTTGGATTTTTCTGTTTCAAGAGGAGTACCAAACTTCACAAAGATAAAAAAAAAAAAAACTTTTAACCCTGACATCTCTAACTGCTCTCCTGTCATGTGGTTTCTGATGTTTCAGGGGTGAATATGTTTTTTATCACAGCCTAGACAGCGAGTGTCTGTTTTTGGTGATCTGACCGTCACACTATTGAATTTCCTTTTGGGGATAAACAGAGTTCCTCTTATCTCATCATATCTTATCTTATGCTGTCAGGACAAACTGGAACACTGAAAATTGGTCAGAACCTGGTTTTGGATTCTGGCCAAACGGACCCCCTTATTGAAAAATAACTTTTCTTTTGGGTTCTTTTGGGGTCAAATTAAAAAATGGAGGCTTTGACGGCTGTAACATAATTACTTCTTCAAAGTCTGCCCTCTAAATGTTGGTGTTTTCATCACTTAAAGGCTGGGATTGGTAACAAAATGTCTGATAACAGTACAGAAAGGAGCTCTGCAGAGAGAGAGACCTACACTTACTTTATCACCCTCTTTAAAGCCACAAATTCAAATAACAGAAACAATCATTTTTTCCTGACAGAAACTGTTAAAAGTGCTTGACAACGGCCAACTTGTTATTCCTTGTCATCAGATCAACCTCAGATTCAGTGCTGGCAGAAAGAAGGATGACTAAGAAGATCCCTGTAGAGATTAACCTTTTTGGAGGTTGTTTGGTTGTTCTTTTTAAGCCAGCAGACTTCACCAACAAAAACAGTAATTTTATCTGGGAGAACAGAGAAGCTGCAGGTCTACTGCTGGCTCTGGCTGTTTTTTTTTTTTTGTTTGAGGTTAGGTTTTAAAAGGTTACAGTATTTCCACAGAGCCATCCAGGACCTAAGGCTACTGGGGTGGCAACTGGATGGGGTATCTTTTAAAACACCCCATAATACACTAACCATTCTATATGGAATGATGCATGTCATATTTTCTGATTCGGAGTTACTTCATATTTGAGTCTGTGTTCTCTTCTCTTTATCATCTTGTATGTTCACAAAGCTTAAATTTACTCTCCTGCTTCTTTTTAGTTGTATTATACTCACTGATTCAAAATGGAAAACAAAGTAACCTTTCTGAGTCTGGTGGTTTGATAAGAGTGATTTAACCGCTGTTTCTGGTTTTAAAATCATGTTGTGCTTCGAAAAAGGTTTGTGTCTTCAAAGCTTTTCTCTGTACTGTTGTCAGACACTTAAAATAACAATCAACAATTAATATTTGCTCCCAAGAATCACATCACCTGCTTCCCAGCTGCTCTGACCCCATCATCTTAAGCAGCTTAATAACTTAAAACCATTTCTTAATTTAGCTCCCAAAATGTATAAGAAGGAGCCAGGTCAAATTAAATACACTTGAAATTGCTCATTTTCAGATCGACCTCAAATTCAGTGAAGGAAGGCAAAAAGAAACACCTTTTTTCTAGAGTGAAGATGATGTATAGACAGAAAAACAGCCTCTTCTTGAGATACTAATGTCCAGAAAGCAGACTTTAGTTTGAAGAACTCTAAATCTGCAAATAATTTTCAGAGCTGCTCTTGTGGTTATTTGACTTCATGGACTGTTGAGTGCTCTCAGCCGAGCTCTCTGTACCCAGACTGTTGACAAGCCTCCACTTTGTCCTTAAAGCCATAATTTAAAGACCCAAATAACTCTGAAGAGACGGATATTTCACTCTGAGTGAAAGTGGCAGACAGGCCGTGCTTTTCTCTCTTTGATGAAGACTTTATGAAGTGTGTAATAACCACTGCTAATGTTGGACTGTCTCAGAACAGGCCTGGGATGGTCATGTGATGCACTTTATGGATGAATGGCGACCCATAATGTTTGCTAGGATTTGTTTTTTACTGCTTCTTTTGTTCGAGACAGAAACATGCTTTTTCTAACACTGAATCTGTCTTTTTGTTGGATCGTACATGTTGGGATGGGATTCACAGATCTGGGTTTTGGTTTGTCTTGAAATTCCTCACATGCAGAAGTGCCTTAGAGACTTTTCACTTTACTTTTGACGTGTTTGAACAGCTTTATAGGTTTGTGTTTCACTGTGTTGCTCTCATGGTTTTTATTGTGTAAATGTTATTAGGCTGAACTGAAATGTTTTTGTAATCCTAAAATATTATAATCAAGTCTTAGTTCACATATATACTTATAGTTGCACTATTAAGATTTCCATGAGTAACATTTCAAGACTCAAGTCTGGGATTTAAAGGGATAATTCAGTGAGATAATCTGATCTGTAGATACTAAGATGTTTATCAGAAAGAAATATTGAATTCACACATTAATAAACATGTCTGATGTATGAAAAAATGTATGTTTGTTGGCTGTTTTCTCACATCTAAAGTGTCCAGTTGCATCAGCATTCAGTGTTCAGGTAAAAACAAAGTTTAACTGCGGTAGTCATTTGCATTTACAGCCACGAGAAGGCCTTTTTTAAATTATACATTGTGTGAATAAATACAAAAGTAAGTTTGAGCTACAAAGCTCGAAGGAGAGCTAAATGAGAACAGAAATCTCTGCATAATCATAATAATCTGAGGGTCAATATTCCTTAGGGCTGTGAAACTGATTAATTTTTCACCACTGAAATCATCTTTAAATCAGCTTTTGGGGGGAACTTGTCTATGTTTTAAGGTGGTAACAGGGTTACAAGTTGGATGATTTATATTATGTGCGTACGTACATACATACACACACACACACACATATGTATATATATATAGAGAGAGAGAGAGAAAGAGAGAGAGTGTATATGATATATAGCGGGTGGTCATGCAACCTGTTTCCATGGGATTCTCTCTGCACCCTCAGGAATATTTTAGGTCAAATTTTCATGTCAAGACACTAGAATTCTGTGTAAATCTAAGAAATACACCCATGATCATTTGGTTTTGAATTTTACTGCATGTTCTTGTTGTTTATTGAGCCCTTTGGACAGTAGCTGTGCTATAAAAACCATACTGTTGGGTGTTGAAGTCATTACAACCCAAAATACCTGCATGTCTAACCCTGTGTGAGGGTCAGAATGAGAAGACAAAACCCTGAGACGTTAAAGAAAGTATGTACTCTATGCAAACTGTTAAAGTTGTATTTTTGTTGTGACAGTTGACAGTACAGACAATACATTAGTGTTTACAAGCATTTAAGGCAGTTAAGACAGTTTGAAAGTACTTCTGTGGTTGCGGTATGAATACACATTGCAGCTTTTATCTAAGTGACTTTTTAGAGAAACACAAAGGTGCTCTTACCAGCTCTACTGCTGGTGCATGGGTTGCAGGACAGGACACTTTTCCTTGATAGAGATAGCTGTAGTCCAGTAGTTCCTCAAACTGCTGTATCTCTAACCCTATCTTCTCCTACTAATTGTTATATTTCCAGACTTTTAAGACCAGCTTGAGACAGCTGCTACTGTCTTTTCAAAAGTCACCAGCGCTTCAAACTCTTCAGTCAGCTCGCTCATATAGAAATAAGGATTGGCGTTTGAAGACAGAAAGTGAAAATAAGAAAGCAGGCTTTCTCAATCAACTTCCACATATGTTAACTTGTGTTATGTATGTGCGTATATGTACGTGATAAAAGTAATGCTTTGTGATTATGCAGAGATAAAGTTTTTCCAGGAACTCTCTCAAGATGTGCTTCAGCAGCTCTCGAGAAACAACTTCAAGAGAATGAACTGCCATATTCCATGCAGTGCCTGGCAACCTTAAAGTTTTGGTCAACAACAGAGCCCATACTTTCACCTTGCCGGATGCCGCAACATATTTTTACAAAGTGCAAACGCATGGTGCACTGAAAGACTGACTTACAGGTCTCATTTTTTTTTTTGAACAAGGATAATTCATTTAATAGTTACAAAGAAATTTTAAGGGTTTATAGTCACGACGCATGCATCTGTATTCACCAGCACGTATAATGTTCACTGAGTCCTGACCTGAGGAAGTGGCTCTCCTGTGGTCAGGACTCAGCTGTCCACCTTCACTTAAAGGACACGGGTCACTCTTTAGAGGACAGCAAGGTACAGGTGTTGGCTAGAAAAGACAAATGGTTATAAAGAGGAGTTAAAGAAGCCATCTTTACCAGACTGGAGAAACCTTCTCTGAACAGAGGGGGTGGACTCAGGCACAATCTCTCCAGCACTTACAGTGCAGTTCTCAGCTCTCTCCCCAGGAAACTCCACAAACATTCACACCTGGGACCACATGACTCAGGTGGCATAAGTCATGTCGTCACATGACAGGGGTCGTTAACGACCCTTTCAGGTTAACGACCCTCAGGGGGGAACACCCAGAGATGGGTTTCTATGACCCATTCTTTCCTCCTCCACGTTGTTGTCTGTCCCCTTCTCCAGTAAGATAAATATCTGCTCCTCACACTAGCAATATTTAGATTTTGGAGTCTTCAAGAAAAAAACACGACCTGGATGAATGAGAATCTACATGGACACACTGACTCCTTTTTATGTATGTTCCCCCATTCATATATTTTCTTTTTACAAATAGTCTTTCTAATCTTTTTGTCTTTATAATCCCAAAATGATAGTGATTGTGAGCAAAAACACACTTCACCATTTTTCCTGGAACCAGAGGTGGTCGCAGAGGGAGACATGGCTAACAGGGATCCTAGCGCTTCCTCTTGCCGAAGCCAACTCCTGTGATCCCATCAGAGGCCCTGCCAACTCCTATGTTTCCAACACATGCCCTGCTGACTCCTGTTTCCTTCTTGACTGTTATTTAGGGAGCAAGACGGTGAGGGAGGGCTGGGATGGAGAGCAGGGGGCGTAGTAGGGGTACGGCTCAACTTACCCCTGTCCTTTGGTCAACTTACCCCATCCACAGGGTAAGTTGACCATTGGAGACCACTTTTTTTTGGCATGCTATATTATCAAGACAGTTATGTTTACACTCATTCTGTTGGTTTGCAGGGATGCACAACATCTTGAAATATACGCAGATGCTTCAGACCTGCTTCAGACCATCATTTAGAGCACTCACACTTCATAAGGACTGACTAAAAAAATGAAAAATAAAAAAATAATAAGAAAAATAATTCATGCTCAGCATAACAGAAGCATCCCCTCACTGTGATTCATAATCTACATTTGTAACATAGTTTTCTGATAACTTTCAACATTGACACTAGAGTCACAATCACCCACAATCAGGATTCTGCGCGGTTCAGAAATTTGGGTTAATTTTTCAAAACCTTTGGAGAAACACAAGGAAAATCAACTGAAATCAACAATGTTTGTTTTTTAGGACACTCAAATACTCCAGCGTGAGTGTTAATTAGCTGTAGGTTATTTTTCAGTCTTTGTTGATGATATGCCGTGTTGAGTTTCTTCCTCCGGTTGCCAAATTTAACCCGTGACCAGTTCAAGAATTCCCCCAAATTCTAAAACACATTATGCAACCAGTGCAGACAAATTTAGACTAAGGGAGATACATCCTGCATGTATTCTCTGTAAAGGTTACATTTCAATGAACAGTGGAAGTTAATGAGGCATTAAATTAAAAAATTTCAACCTCAATTTCAAAACAGTTAAGATGGGGACAACCAAAGACTGACAAAGTTGTGCAATGTTAGAAAAAAATCCTGGAAAATCTCCCAACTAATGAGGTTAATCTACAACAGAATAGTGACATGACTGGGTATGAAAAGGAGGTTCACCACTCTGTGAGAGACTGCATAGGCTAATAGTTCAACAATTCAAGAATGATGTTCTGTAGAGTAAAATTTCAAAATAATTAGGGCTTTCTTTATCTATAGTACAATACAATGTAAAGACTCGAGAGACATCTCTGTATAGAGGGGACAAGGACCAGAGCTAATACTGGATCGTTGGGCCCTTAGGAACCACATAAAAAACAGAGAAGGCTCTGTAGTAGAAATAGCATGATCCCAAAATAGGAGTGACTTCTAAGCTAAGGCAAAGTAAAAACTGTCTTGGAATCTGACAAATCAAAATTTGACATATTGAATTTCCCTTTGGGGATTAATAAAGTTACTCTTATTATATTTTACCATGAATGTTGTGTCCTCGCTCCCTGAGAGGAAAGGTAATACCCAGCTTTTCTCATCTCCCAGTCCAAATCGAGCATCCCTGTTGGTGTTTGGATCATCAGAGTTCATGGCATGGGTATCTTCCTCATCTGTGAAGGATCCATTAATGCTGAACAATATCTGCATGTTTAGGAGCAACATCTGCTGACATCCAGACAAAGACTTTTTCAGAGAAGACCTTCATTTTTCAGCAAGACAATGACAAACCACATTCTGACAACATGAATTACAACAGCATGGCTCTGTAGGCGAAGAGTCCTGCTAATTTGTCCATGATTGAAAACATTTGGAGCATCATGACTCCAAAAAACAGGACCAAGGAGACCCTGAACTGTTGAGCAGCTGAAATACACAAACACACAAACAAGGATAGGGCTCATAAACTCAGAAGGATGATGGCTTTTACAAACCAGAGGGCAAAACAGACGCTCTTTATCTGATTTCTGACTTTACTGCTGCTACACATTTTCCATGAAAAGTGATTATACTCGGTGATTTTAATTTCTCTTTTATTCAAATGAAAATCATGCAATGAAACATCCCTCAGAGAGCTGTGACTGAGTGCTTTAATTGTTTATAACGCAAAGAGTCCAATCAAAACTGTGACTGACTCCTGTTAGTGTTTCGCCTTTGGCATAACACACAGCTCTCGCAACTGTGATGAATTTTATCTCTGATATAAATTCCTTATGTTTGATTGTTTTGGGCCATGTAAAGGTCAGTTTCTGCCAACATTTATATGAATTTAAGGGGCATCACATGATATACTTATTTCAGTATCTCATCAAAACGAAAACAAAACTAGATTGCTTTTTAAATCCCCTCAAAAAAGGTGTTTTCTCAGCTCGAGTCTATAAAGAAAATGAGCCTGTTATTGAAATCAGTAAAATCATCCATGTCATCTCTTTCAGCTTTACTGCATTAATTTTGAAGTTCAGGCTCTTTCAGCTCTGTCTACGGCTTGAGTTATTCACTGATTGATCATCTGCAAATACACACTTGTATGTTCGTCCCTTTTGCTCTCCTTTTATTTTGTGCTGTGCAAGTAAAACTGCTGTTTGTTATTTAGGACCTGGTTTTTAAAAAAGCAGTGCCAAACATTCACATTTTATTTATTTGTCTCGTTGCAGGTCAAAAATTGTCTCTCTGTACCTTTGACCTCATCAGGACTAGTTTTACTAGATACGCTTTTTGCCAGCTGTTATGAGTCCTGATAAGGTTCCTGCAAATGTTTCGGACCCTACATTGATGTGATATCATAACAGCTGCTGTGCATTAACAGGCGTATCAGCTGTAGGAATCACATTGCAGGAGCTTCTGCATCCAGTTTGTGAAGATCCCCTCCAGCCCCCCTCTTTTAAATGTAAGCAGATTATCTGTAGAGTAACAAAACAATGAGCATACAGTATCTGAGGACACTTCCTAAGTCAAAATATTCTTTAAAATATATCATAATGTACTTGTTTTGTCGTCAAAACTCAAAAAAAAATCTAATCAGTTAATTGGATTGACTTTTTATTTGTCCAAATGGATGTACTTAAGTATTTTCCTCATGTTTTCAATAAAATCAAAGACTCAAACCTTGTTGTTGTGCCCCCCTTTACAACTGAAATCATGTGTAACACTGTTAAAGCCCCAGTGTTGTCCTATGTGAACTTGTCACATGACAATTAGCATTTTCTGAATCGAGATGAATGAGCAGGACTCCTCTCTTGATCTGTGCCAGAAGTGAAAAAGGAGGGTTTTGTACCTCAACAGTTTTAATGTTTTCCTCACAGCTTCTCGTTAGATCAGGCTGACCGAGACAGACAGCAGGTGTTGGATGTTTTTGTGTGGATAAAATGCCCTAAAAAAAAACCTTTTTTCATGTGATTGCTCTCTGAGTCTGAAGCATAAAGTGTTTTAATGAGGGCTGTCAGGGGGCACTAACGACCGACTGAGCTGTGGTGATAGGGCTCAAACAGTTTATAGAACTACCACAAACCCGTTTTTTCTATTTTTCTCATACTTTCTATTTCAAATATTTTTAATAAAATGAGACATGCTGCACTCTTTTGTGCACCAGCCAATACTTTAACTGAAAAAGGAGCTGAATCCCAGTTTTAAAGTCGTGAATGACTGAATAAACTGCGTGGTGTTTGATGTGTGTGATTTTGTGTCTTGTTTTTGATGTTGTAAATGATGCTGCTGTGATGCTGAACAACATTCATACTCCGATAATTCCGTCATATATCAAATCTTATGTCCTAATGTTATGTATCGCATCTAATCTAACCATATCATATCATATCTTATCGTAAAGTACCGTGTTATATCATATTTAGGTCGAATCATATCAGGTTGTGCTGTGTCTTATTGTATTGTATCATATGGTATTGTAAGGTATCTTGACCTATCCTGTCTTATCCCATTGTACCCTATCAGGTTATATTATATGGCCACATGTCATATCATATCATGTCACATCGTATTGTGTCCCGTCATATCAGGTCATATCATATCAGATAATTTCATTATTGTATCATTACAGGTCGTGTCGTATCATATTGTATCAAAACGTATCATGACAGGTTGTGTTGTGTTGTATTGTCATAATGTATCGAGTCCTATTGTGTTATGTCATATTGTATTGTCTCTTATGGTGTTGTATGGTATCTTGTTATACCATGTTGTATCATAATGTATTGTATAGCATCATGTCAGGTTGTGTTGTGTTGTATCATATCTTATGCATCATGCCATATTGTATTGGGTCTTAATCATATCGTGTTATGTCTTATTGTATTGTATGGGATGGTATGGTATGCTATGGTCACCTGCCATATCATGTTGTATTGCATCATAACATAATGTACTGTATTGTGTCAGGATGTGGCATGTCATATTGTGTCCTATGTTGATCATGTCTGGTCTTGTCTGGTTGTAACGCATTATGTCACATCTTGTCATGTCCTATCAGGTTAGGTCAAATCATATCATTTTGTATAGAATCATTGTGTCATATTGTATCTGGTTGTATCCTTTGGTATCATGTAATATCGTATTGTTTCAGGTCACGTTGTATTGTATTGTATTGTGTTGCATCATGTATTATTTTATCATATCATATCATATCATATCATATCATATTGTGTCATTGAAATCAAACTAATGTACCAAAGAGAGTAACCCAAATAGAACTCCTGAAAAGGGGCAAAAGCTGTGGCTGTAACTGGGGATCACTGGACATCAGTGAGTAATCTAAATGATCTACACTGTGAAGTATTGCTTTAAGGGTTGCATGGTGCACTCAGTTTTAACATTTTCATTCTTTTTTGTGTGTGTGTGGTGTAAGGTTCACTGTGTAGGTCAGATGATTCAGTGTGCTCTGATGTAAACAACTGAGAAAGCAGCTTTTTACAAGAGGGCACTTACTATTACCTGCATCTCCACAAGAGGGTAGTAATAGAGGGAAGACATATTAGACTGTTATCACACAGGAAGTATTGTGCCTGTAAATCACATCTTCATACAGCATGAGCCTCTACTTCTATTGAGAGAGAGAAAAGCAATACCGCAGCCTTAACATGTCCACTACTAAAGAGTCACCTCCCAAAGACTTCCACTGTGCTGGAGAACAAAACTGGGTACTGAAATGAGTTAAATGATTGTAAATCTGCAATTTAATTGCAATTTGATGTTCTGCTTTACAGCATTGGTCATAATTGACTGTGCAGGTGACACAATTTTGCCTAGTATGTGTTAGGACTGATGATCTCCCTGATTTAATGTCTTTACTGATCCAGCCAAGATCAGTGTGTAACAATCCTGAGCTTTTCATCCAATTGACTAAAATTTCTATCTGTTTCTTGACTCCGATTGTGTCTTCTGTGCTTCAGTCTACACCTCACTTTGATTGTTAGATACAGTATTTAGTTCCAAACATTGAGTCATTTTTATCCATTTTTACATTTTTATCAAAAAAAAAAATCATGACAATGAAACATTGCTGCCACTTTCCCTACTTTCACAGGAACATGTGCACTGCTTTCTTTCCAGCTGTATTAAATGGTTATCTTTACACTTTTGTCCTTTTACTGCTGATATGGCTGTAGCACGCTCTAGTCCTGAGTCGACTCACTGTTCCCATTAAAAAATTTTGGTCCAGATTCTGGCTCCCACCACTCCTCACTCTGATCTTTCTGGCTTCTAACTAATATAAGATGTAATATAAGGTGCTCTTCCTCATCTGTAAGGCTTTGAATAATCTTCCCACTATATTAGTGAACCCCAGCTGGACCCCATACACTCTGAACTGTGTCCCACACTGTAAAACAATGTTTTGATTGGCAAGGTTTATGGACACCCCTCAGCTTTTAAATTGATGATTAATGAGTTTGAATTCTGTTGTAAGTTATTTTAAGATATCCTTTAGGTTGATTTTGTGAGGTAGATGATTAAAAAAAAACAGACAAGAAAAGAACAGTGAATCAACCACATAAAACTGGCGACTCAAGTGGAACAGATCACGATAAAAATCTCTAATAAAGCTGTGTTTAGCTTGGTTTTCATGACAAGCAAACCAAATATCCATCAGTTATTCATCTCTTGGACAAAGATCTAGTGGATATCTACCACCACACACAGTTGCAGGTATGTCACTGTTAGGTACTGCATAAAAGAGCCACCCAGGTAAGGTTAATACCTCACTAAAGATACATCTCAGAACAACCAGCTGGGAGGTCTTTGTTTGCATGTCTCCTCATGTTTCCACAGAGACGAAAATGCAAAACAGTAATTCAACTATTCTTGAAAAAGAAAACCAGAGATAATAAATTGTATAATATGCAAATCAACTCCAAAAAGATGTTACTGGATGATAAAAGAATAACCAACTTAAAAAAAAAAAAAAAAGGTGCACAGCTCTGACTTTCTGCTCTCAACATGCAAGCAGGCAACACTGCTGCAGGGCCGACACACGGGACTACTCAGACTACAAACACTGCCAACACAGATTTGGTTCATATGTCAAACAGAAGCAGAATCAGGTGTGCAGGGTGAGAAATTCCTGGTCTTCAGCTCCAACAGACTAGGGGCTCTATTTTCGTGTACGCCGGTGAGGCGGTGGAGGGTGGCGGACCCCGCGCAGTGGTATTTTCGTCTGGCGGAGCCCAGCGTACAGCCAGTTTAGTATTTTCGTGGACTGAGGCGCACCGAGGTCCGCCAAGCTGGGCGTGGTGGCGAGGCAGGGGGAGGTATCGACAGAATCAGCTGGCGCAGTGATATTTTCGTGCTCACTGGTGGCGTATA